TGCTTTCTTGCCCTTTTGTCAGCCTTTGATCCAATCGATCGTTGGTTGCCTGTGGTCTCGCGGTTCTGCCCGCAGCTGGTTCCTGCAGTAGGCCGCGCAACCGATCAGGAATATCGCAGCCTTTGGGCATGCATATTACGCAGTGCGCAGGTAACTTTGGCCACACACTCGTACATACACTCCGTAGACCATGAAGTTTGATGCCCATGACATGTACGAAAAAGATTGTACGAGAACGAGTCCAGACTCTCTGCATTTGGATATTGTATGTTTTGGATAATGACAGCTAACCCTTACTGCGATCGGAAAGAAAAAAACACACGCGTTGTTTGGGACCCATGTGGCGAACTTGGAGCTCGAACTATAGCTGAGAACCGTGATCATCTTCATCTATAGAGTACAGGTATACCAGAATTGCTCAAGCTGAGGTTCGTACAGTATTTGTACACTACACTTCATGCTGTGTGATTCATTGGCCCGGGGATCACCGTGCAGAAATTCTATTATCATATGAAATCAGCGAGAATTGAAACAGCCAATGCCGACCGTTTCACGATTGAACATGGTTGCACAGCAAATAATCGCCACCGTTGATAGCCCGATCGGCAAGTCCTGAGCGACTTGAGATGTGCTGCTGGAAGAGGGAATTGATGAGCGGGCCGCCATTGGATCCGTAAGCTTTACACTTGTTGATCACTGTGCCGTCTGTAGTCTTAGTGAGGGTTTTCCCATGCCCAGTATTCCCAGTATTCCCAGTAATCCCAGTAATCCCAGTAATGTTGCGGTCGATCGTGTAAAGTTGGAAGTCAGACGAGGGAGTTAAGTGGTCAGTCCCTGTTGCAACCCCCCAATTGTGTAAAATTACCAGTAACTCCATACCATTAAATTTCCCCGTAATAAATAATGGAGCGACTCCGTCCTGGAGAGGTGGGACCCTCAAAAGTAGGCACAGAGCATCCTATTTGTCCGACGCAGTGGTGATAAGAGGTGCAAATGATTGCCGCTGTCACCATCACACGTCCAATGGTCGTGCACCTCGTGGCCACTCCCAATTTTTGGATCAGGTCTCGGGCCACTGCACTATGTGTTTACGGAGAGGCTGTTCTAGAGAGGGGAGGCTAGAAGCTAAAAGCCAGAGAGGTCAAAGGTAGATGTTTACTACTCTATGGCCTCCAGAAAGTCGAAAAGTCGCCTCTCCGCATTTCTTAAGCTCGCCTAAACTATTTTGGGTACTCTGACCGAGGTGTAAATGCAAATGAATTTTAATAATAAGATATAATGAGATAATAGGATGAATATATAAGGAACATTTAATTAAATGTGAACTCAAGGTCCCACCAAGCCCACACCGGAGTCAATGGATGCCATTGGCCCCGGGAGTGCGCACTGTTGTGTCTCCCCAATCCCGTCCAGAGAGGGTACTGGTCTTGTATTCCACAATAATTTCCTCGTTTTATTCCTTTTGTGTATAATTCTATTTTCGATTTTATATTTTCCTAAAAATGAAATGGAATAAAATAAAATAATAGTAATAATAAAAACCACCCGGTTCCTGGCCCACTCCTAAACTAGTGACCCGGCAAGCAGAAAATAGCAGCAGATCACTCATTTATCCACCTGCTATCATTCCCTTCTTAATTCTCATATTGGCTTGACTTTCTCGCTCTCTTCCTTTTTTTTATTATTTTTATTTCCCCGCTGTCTATTTTCTTGTCTTCTACACTCATTCACTCTCTATCGAGTCCCTTTTTTTGTTTTATTTGATATTTTTTTCCTCATTTTAACTACTTTGGGTTTGGGTCTTCCTATTTGATTTCGGGATCCTCATCTATCACTCTCCTTCCTCAAGTACTTCGTCCCCCGGTTCCCAGAACCTGTCTTTCCTTATTCGACTACAAACAGCAACAACTACAGACGACACTCATTCTTCGTCTTATACTTAATTCAAACACACCACACTCCTTCCATCCTACATACTAATTCAACGGGAGCCTTTCAATTGGACTCATCTCGTTCTCTCACAGGTGAGTTTACTTTCTACATCTTGATTTTTTTCCCTTTGGATTTCCTAGAGCTAACAACAAATTAGCACATCAAAATGGACTCAACATACATGACCTCAGTGCAAGGGCAGCAGTTCGCCTACTACGACCAACAGAGAGGCCACTACCAGTCAGACGTGCCATACTACGGACAAATGCAATATGGAGCCCAAGAGCAACCAGTCTACTCTTCCCAGCCCGTGATGAACATGCACCAAATGGCCACCACCAATGCTTTCCGAGGAGCTACCATGAGCTTGACGCCCATTGCCTCTCCTCAACCATCACAAATGAAGCCTACAATCATTGTCCAACAGGGATCTCCCGCCTTGATGCCATTGGACACTCGGTTCATTGGTCACGACATGTACTCGTTCCCTTCAACCCCTCCACTTTCGGCCTCGGGCAGTTCCATCAGTAGCCCTCCATCTGCCAATGGCGCACTGCCAACCCCGATCACTGACACATTCTTTGGCTTCGACAAAGTGGAGGGAGTCAAGGAAGGCTGCGAGACCGATGTTCACCAGGAAATCCTGGCCAACCCCGACTGGGCCCGCTCTGACTCGCCTCCTATGACGCCTGGTAAGTCGTTCTCTCTGTCTACTCTATAGATCACATCTTGATAAAATGTGGACACTTGGGAAGCAAGGGCGAAAGGCTAATTGTATGACACAGTCTTCATTCACCCCCCATCTCTCATTCACAGCCACTCAGACCTTCTGTCTGCTACTTCCTGCCCCTCGCTTTCCCCCTCCCCCTCTCCTGTCCCGACCGACATTCTTGCCTCCCAATCTCTGGGATCTGGTCAGTCTTTCTGCGACCCTCGTCAGCTCACCGTAGAGCCCTCTGTCAATGTTCCCGCTCAGGATCTTCCTCCCCTGCCTACCCTCTCATGTGAGGAGGAGCAGCCCCGTGCTGTCGTTGGCAGTGCCTCTGTGACGCTTCCCGTCAATGAGAACCCATCTCCTTCTTTCAGTGCCTCCACCCAGGACCCGCTCAGTGGACTGCCCACTTTCGACAGCTTCTCTGACCTCGACTCTGACGATGAGCTGAACCGCCTCGTGGAGTTCCACCCTGCCACCAACGCTGTGTTCATGGGTGACAAGCGCCAGCGTGTCCATGCCTATCCCGTTGAGGATGATGGATTCCTGAGCGAGCACAGCCTCGAGGATACCGACGACTCCGAGACTTTCATCCCCAACGGTCTTCCCTCTTTCGAGTGGACCCACGCTCACTCTCACATCGAGCATGATGAGGATGTTATCGAAGAGCCCAAGACCAAGAAGCGCAGCACTCGCAAGACCCGCAAGAACATCGACGAAGAAGCCGAAGCCAAGGCGCAGGCCGCCTGTGACTCTTCTGCTGACTGCTGCTCTGACGACGGATCAATCGAGGACTCATCCGAGTCTGCGCCTGTGTCTGTCAACCGCCGCGGTCGCAAGCAGTCTTTGACTGAGGACCCTTCCAAGACCTTCGTCTGCACTCTTTGCTCTCGTCGCTTCCGTCGCCAGGAACACCTCAAGCGTCACTACCGCTCTCTCCACACCCAGGACAAGCCTTTCGAGTGCAACGAGTGTGGTAAGAAGTTCTCTCGCAGTGACAACCTCGCTCAGCACGCTCGCACCCACGCCGGTGGCTCCATCGTCATGGGTGTTCTCGACACCAGCGACTCTGGCTCAGTCTCGTACGATGATCAGCATGATGCTGGCGCCTTGGGCCAAGTCATGTACGAGACTTCCCAGAACGATGTCACCGTTGCTCCCGCTTTGGACCGTCGTGCGGCCAAGAAGCGCAAACGTGACCTCTAAAGGACACTCTACGTTTCATTTTATTCTTATGAGACCAAGAGACTTCCTACTGCATATAATATACATACATTTCTCGGTCGCAGTCTTTCGACAGGAAGCTCGACTTCATTGGTCTTGATTTGGTTTTTTGGCGTCCGGGCATATTACACCTGGGCATATATGGGCATTGGTGTACGGCAACATCCCCATTATCGGCGTTTCAATCGCACGGGGACACATTCCAGGAACTTCACAAAAGTGGTTCTGGGCGAGCATTTGGGCACAGAACGTCTCGGAGAGGAAAAAAACAGAAAAAAATTGCAAACCACTCCAAAAAAACAAACCATGCAAACATGGAGGCATCTGTGTTGTTGGTGAATTATTTCCTTTGTCTTTGAGATTTTCTTTTCCTTTTGTTTCGTCCCTCTCTCTCCTGGACCAACACATTCTGAGCAATTTGCCTCCTTGAACCCTTTTGGGTTGTCCCTTCGTGTACCTGTTTCATCTTCGTTTCTTGTGACTTTTCTTTTTATCTCTCTTTTTTACCCCCTGATTCTGACCTTTTCGTTCATGTTATTTGATTATTCGATGTAATATTTTTGCTGATTTTGTGTGCTGGTCACATTCGTGTATAAGTTTATTCATCTCTTCCCCCTGTTCCGTTTCATACCCCATTCTTATACTGCATTGGCCCTTTTGTGTTGGTACCAGTCACATCTCTAGATGTCGATTTACATCAAATTACAAAGATAATCATCCACTGATCTTTCCCTTGTAAAACAATGGCTATTCGTATTCTAATGTTGAGATGGTATACTTAAGCCCACAGGTAGTTTCAACATCGAAGTAATTGAGTTGGTTCATATACTTCTGACATATTTGCCTTAGGTTTCGGGTGTCAATATAGTTCCCCAGTTCTCGAGTTTGACGCAACTCGCTCCTAACTCTGCCCCTGCTAGTCCCCTTTCCAACACTCCATGCCCATATCTAATTTCCCAGAATCTTTATCGTATTTGATGTTTCCAATTCCTTGCAGCCCATACTCTGTACAGCTTTTCATGTTGTCACGCGCATCGAGCTATCGCTATCGATAAACAAGGTGGGGACACCGAAAAGTGCCCCCCGTTGCCCGCACCTAGAATTACTACTACAAAAACCCATCCCTCCAAGCATGTCAGCCCCGACACCAGCCCCTGGGCTGAATGTCATCGCCTTGATATCTGGCGGGAAAGATTCCCTCTACTCCATTCTGCACTGCATCAGCAACGGCCACAAAGTTGTCGCACTGGCCAATCTGTACCCAGAACCGCGCCAGGCAAGCACCCAGGATGACGACGAAGACATCGACAGCTTCATGTACCAGACCATTGGCCACAGCGTGATACCTCTCTATGAACAAGCCCTTCGAATCCCTCTATACCGCCAACCCATCTCGGGCGGTGCTGTCGACACAGCCCGCATCTATGGACATGCCACCAACCACGAAGACGAGACCGAGTCCCTCGTACCACTTCTCCAACGCATAAAACAGGCACACCCAGAAGCAAATGCTGTCTCGGCTGGCGCGATCCTTTCCACTTATCAGCGCACCCGCATTGAAAATATCGCAAACAGACTCAGCCTCGTGCCCCTCGCTTGGCTGTGGATGTATCCGTCCCTCCCACCCCCAGATGCCAGAAAACAGGACCTGTTGGCTATCAAGCAGACTGGGTTATTGGAAGATATGGCTGCAGTGAGATGTGATGCCCGGATCATCAAGGTTGCCTCGGGCGGGTTGGACTCGGGATTCCTGTGGGAGAACGTGTCCGGTGCAGAGAGTGGTGGGCGCATTATGAGGCGACGGATCACGAAGGCTATGAGTCGGTTTGCAGGGGCAGAGGATATTCGAGGCGCGGTCCTGGGCGAGGGCGGCGAATATGAAACGCTTGCGCTTGATGGGCCGGGTTTCTTGTGGAAGGAGAGGATCGAGGTCAGCGCCAAGGAGGAGAAAACTGGTGAAGGGGGTGTGGCATTTGTGAAACTGCGACAAGCTCGGTGTACCCCCAAATCGGACAGAGATATTGCGGATGGTGTGAAGCCTAGTGATGTTCGGAGACCGGGATTACTGGACGGGGCTTTCGAGTCGGTCCTCGGCTCTAGACTGGATGTTTCTTGGTCTGGTGGATCGAGGAAAAGTGCCAGCATGGCTCGGTCGCCGGCATGGTCAGGTTGTGAGCATGTGCATCGGCTGACTGGCTCGAGTTGGACTGTTTCGAATATCATTGCGCCCGAGGCTGGTCCCGGGGCTGGAGAGCAGATGAAGGGGATTGTACACAAGGTTGAGCAGATCTTGAAATCTTTTGATCATGCTGAGTCGGGACCTCGTTCAACAGAGGACATTGTTTTTGCCACTGTGCTGTTGAATTCAATGGCCGATTTCGGTTCAATGAACGATATCTACGTCTCTATGTTCAGCAAGCCCAATCCCCCAGCGCGAGTCACAGTAGCTTGTGGGGATCGTTTGCCTTCCAACGTCAAAGTCATGATTACCTTTGCAATTGACCTGGGCGCAAGAGACCGCCGTCAGGGCTTGCATGTACAGTCCAGATCTTACTGGGCCCCGGCGAATATAGGACCATACTCACAAGCTATGTCGGTTCCTCTGCAAAATTCTAGCAGGCTGGTGTACATTGCAGGTCAAATTCCTCTCGACCCGGCTTCTATGAATATGACACAGGTTCCGGGACCCTGGCATGAAGGCTACTGTCTTCGGGCTTTACTGGCGCTCCAACACCTGTGGAGAATTGGTGAAGCCATGCAGGTGGATTGGTGGCTGGGCGCAGTTACTTTCCTGACCGGCGAAGAGCATGCCGATGCCCAGGCCCAGGTAGCGTGGCGCCTCTGGGAGAAGATGCATACCTTACCAGACAACGAAGATGACGACGACGATGAAGGGCCGCAGCTGGATGCGTGGGACATAAAGTACGGACGTCGCACGGAAGATCCGACCGATATTGTGGCGCCTGGCCTGCCAAAATTCACAGCTCTGGTTGAATCCACCACATCTATCCCACCATTTTTGGCTGTTCAAGTGGAGCAACTTCCCCGAGGAAGTGACATTGAATGGCAAGGGCTGGGTAGCCGATGTGAACAAGCCAAACAGGACATTAAAGGAGCGATAGCGTCCACCACTGTGGACGGCCAGTTCAAGTATACTAGTATCGAGATCGACGCAGGTTCGTCGGTTGATATCCTGGAGCAGAGTCTGAGATCAGTGATAGAGACCCACTGTCGAGATTCAAGATTGTCCCAGGCTATTCTATACACCACACACTCGCTATCCGAGACCTCTTGGCCAGGACAGGTTGTCCCGTGCAGATCAGTATGGGGGCGAGAAGGGCGCAGACTGAGCGCAGGCGTGGTTCTGCAACAACTCACTTAGCCAAATGTCAATTTAGAACAAGGCAAGAAGTCTCAAATAAGAAACAAACAAGAAGAAGAAAAAGAAATTAGGGAGATCATTTACGTAGGCCCCTCGGATGTCATACGCACTGTCCGCTCGCATGTGATAGGCAAAATCGCTTCCGCATTCAGGTAAGATAACAACAGTGTCACTCCACGTTCTCACCACCTCTGACGCATCAAAGCTCCCAACCGCTGAATCCATTGATTTTCGGTATTCTGCTCTCCGCGATCACTCCGAACGTACCTCCAGCCCCGGCATGACGTATTCATCCATATAAGCATGGCGCCATGAGTTCGCGGAACCAAGAACAAGAAGCGCCGCCTCGGAGCAGCACACCCCTCAGCCCAGAAGCGTTCGCCGAGGATTTGCGACTTTTCAATCGCTCCCCCCATCCATATCACAGAAGCCAGCGCCTCGGCTCTCAGACCCCCTCCGAACATGGGGACCGGCTTCACCCACTCTCCTACTCAAGGTCCTCGAGAACCACCAGCGACAGTGGCACAGAGGCGGACGATGAAAGCACCGGTATACTAAGGGGACTACCAGCTCCACCACCCCGTCCCAGGAAAGGTCTGCGCTCGGGCGGGAGCGGTGCTACAGATGTCGACCCTTGGCTACCTAGCTTGCAGCCATGGCCATCATTTGTGAGACCTGCCCTGCGCACATCGCGGCGGAGCTCAGAGGAAGAGATGGAAGAGGAGGCTTTTGAAGAAAGGCGCAGATCGAAGCGAGAAAGACGTGTGGAGATTCTGCGCCGGTTGATGGAGGCTGTCCTTCTGTCGTCTGTCGGTGCCGTGGTTTTATACCAGAATGGAGCACGGTCCATAGCCTGGGAATGGCGCAAAGGTACATCGAAAACCTTACAGTATGACAGCAGAATTCTGTATGCTGATTGATTTGCAGAGCTTGTTACCCACATTATGGTGGTTTTGGGTCTTTGTGCCACCTACCCGCTTGCTGTTCGAGCATCCCAAGGCCGAAGCTGGCGCATCTGGCGCATCTGGTCTTCGAAGCGGAGATTCTTCTCTTTACCTGCTAGCTTTGATCCGGCTCCCCTTTTCTACCCGATTTTTATTCCTATCTTCGTTTCATTGTCGCTATCCAACCACACTCCTTCCCTTCTAATGCCTAATATCATTCTCGGCCTCGCCTCTCTACCTGTGGCCGTTGTTCCCTTACAACATTGGATTCATGGATTCAGTGTGATACACTGGGGTGTGTCCATGATACCCATTCTTGTCGCCGAGCATCTCTCCATGGACAATACGTGGCCAAAGCCATTGTCGCTTCGAGGACTCGACGCGGAATCCCTTATTCTTCTTTTCCCTTTGCATCAAGCGTTGATACCCACTTTAGACTTTTTGTTGACAACCAGCCTTCTGCCAGCCGAGCTGCAACTTTTGACGACTGCTTTGATCAATTTGTACTTGTTTGCGGCTTCTCCGCAGGCAGAGATTCTGAAGGCCATGCTATGGCTTGGTGGCATGTGTTTATTTGCCTCCTGTCGACATGTCCTGCGTTGGGAAGTTGCTCTGGCGCGCATTCCAAACTGGAAGTTCCGACGCGCGCCCAATAGTGCGCAATCCGCGCGCAAATTCCTCAATATGATGGACCATCGGCTCTGCGAGAAGCTGAGCAGAGCAGGCCCTCTCCATTCCGATGATGCTTCATCCGACAGCGATGGGCCAAATGGGTTCCCATTCCCAAAGTTGCGTGCTGCAAAGACCATGCGGGCGGAGCGCTCTTCTGATACGCCGGCGGAGCCTGCCTCTGCGGTGGACAAGATCACCACGGAGGAGATCTTCGAGAAGCATGCCCGCAGCCGGCGACGACACACCATCTCCACCTTCGATGAGGCCGTTCGAGAAGAGCGGGTGCGCACTACCCCTGGCGGCCGGCGCAAGAAACTCATGGGACCTGGCCTTGCCTCGTTCCTGTCGCTTACTTCAGCCCAGGCGCAGGTCCGCAAGTGGCTGTACGCATTCTATGTGTATGTCGCGGCATTTCTAATCATTGTGGGCCCCATACGCAAATATGTGGCCGAGCGTGCCTTGCAGGGCCAGGATCCCTTCGGTTGGGCTATAGGCTACTTATTCGGGAATTTCTCGAACGTTCGCTTCTGGATATTAATGTTGAACCTCGATCGCTGGATCGAGCTACCACCCCGACTTGATGCTGATGTCCTGGGTGCCCCCTGCTTCCTTGGATCGATCGAACACATCCGACAGGCTACTTTTGGGCCAGCCATCACCCGTCTGTTACTCAGTGGCTACTGCGTACTAGTTCTCCTCACCGGGTTGGCTATCGTCATTCAGCTCAGCACCGTCGCCGAGGTTGATACACGTCGCAAGATATTCCATGGCATGATGGTGGTGATGTTCCTTCCTGCCATCTTTGTGGACCCCAGTTTCTGTGCCTTGGCACTCGCCTTGGTTCTCTCTATTTTCTTGCTGCTGGATCTCTTCCGTGCATCGCAGCTGCCCCCCATATCACGCCCTCTTACCTATTTCCTGGCTCCCTATGTTGACGGTCGGGATCATCGTGGCCCGGTCATCATCTCCCATATCTTCTTGTTGATCGGGTGTTCCATCCCACTCTGGCTGTCCCTCTCCGATCTTCCCCGGGCCGGCCTGGGTCCCTGGGCAGGGTGGGAGGCTGAGTCACGAGACGTCAGCATGGCTAGCGGTGTAATTTGCGTTGGCATGGGTGATGCGGCCGCTTCTCTCGTTGGCCGACGATATGGCCGGTTGAAATGGTTCTGGGGCGGTGGGAAGTCGCTAGAAGGCAGCGTCGCCTTTGTCGCAGCCGTCACCTGTGGGTTGCTGGCAGTTCGTGCCTGGTTGGTCCTCGGAGGATGGCCCGTATCCGGGGTCGAATCAATCGAGGCAGACTTCTCGATCCACTTCTGGGTCTGGACTTTGGTCAAGGCGGTTCTGGCGGCGGCCGGAACCAGTGCCACCGAGGCGATTCTCACTGGCTGTAATGACAACGTCGTAGTTCCGGTGGTGCTGTGGCTGCTAGTGCGGGGTCTTGGCGTTTGATGCGTGTTGATGTGTATAGATACGATTTGTTTGCTGTTTTGGTTTCTCTCCGTTTGCTGTTGCGCACAGCCATTCTGCATCTGTACAGCTGTACTCCTTACATAGCTTGGTGAATTTGTATATATTGAAATCAACTAGAGTGAATTGCTGCCTGTAATGGCGCTATTGCCTATCTACTTTTTTGGCTATGGCCCCCTATTTCCCCCTGTTCCGCGTGGGAACTTCATAGGCTGCAGATAAGCTTCAGTTTCATCACATGAGATCTGCGGTGTAAACCGTTGAAGTGAAGAGATCCCATGTATAGATATAGTACGGAGGAGAGAACATCTGGGGTATATTCCGTCAAATCTCCTTTCTTTTTTTTTGGTAGTCTGAGCAACCCCGCTAGTACTACTAAATCCCCAAGTTCCTCACAGATCACATCTTGCCGATCTCGGTCTTATCTAATCGATAACACTGATCTTGGCTCCAGGGCTATCAAGGTAGATTCCGAATAGGTCTGATGCTTTATATGAGTCTCGGGGCCTTGTTTTGGATTCTTGTTTGCTCCTTCTTTTAACATCTCTCGCTTAAGAGTCGCTTGTTCCTCGCTTAACATATAGACGTCTCTTATCGGAAGGGAGACTCCCCAGATCATCCCACTCCGCCCTCCTGACCGCCTCGATCATCGTCACTCGTTATCGTTGGGTCACACCCCCAGGATTCTTGGGTCTCCCGCATCACATCATCTTGCTCTTCCATTGCCTTTCATCTTGCGCCATCTACTATAGCCCCCCCTCTCCTTGTCCTTATTCGCTCCTATACAAATCTATCAACTTTTGGATTCTTGTACTTGAACCCGAGTTCACCGATACGGTTCCACGGCTTGTACCTTCCCAGACCTTGTTCTGCCGGTTCCAGGTTCCAGGCTTGCCGGGGTCTCCGTCATCATTCCTCTACCCTGATGGGCCTCTCGCGTTGGACATTGCTCAGGTAGTCGTGGCTGGGGATTCCGATATCCAGAACATATCCAGGAATCCCAAGGAGTCCTGCACAGGCGTGCGCCACGCCATGGCGTCTCAACACAGGAAGTCACGCGAGTCCCGCCCCGAGATGTCTATCGGTCGCTACACGCGACTCGATGAAATCGGGCGAGGCAGCTTTGCAACAGTCTATCAAGGCGTTCATACGGTGAGCCATCATTCCACTGCCTGGGGGGCTAGGATCAATGGGAACGTTGCTAATCAATCCTTATCGCACAGAAATCGAGAACCTTTGTAGCTATCAAGTCCGTGAATTTGTCGAAGCTGAACAAGAAGCTCAAAGACAACCTTTCATCCGAGATTGATATCCTCAAAGGCCTTCATCATCCTCATATCGTTGCCTTGATCGACTGCCATGAATCCACCTCCCACATTCATTTGGTTATGGAATACTGTGCCCTGGGGGACTTGTCGCTGTTTATCAAGCGCCGCGATACTCTTGGATCACATAGATACACCAAGGATATGATCTCTAAATATCCCAATCCTCCTGGTGGTTCTCTGAATGAGGTGGTGACCCGGCACTTCCTCAAGCAGCTGTCAAGTGCGCTGAAGTTCCTTCGCGACCGAAACCTCATTCATCGAGATATCAAACCCCAAAACCTCCTGCTATGTCCATCGCCTTCATCATATCGTACTGGGGCAGCCCAGGTCATTCCATTCAAGGGGAGCCAAGATTCATTTGAACCCACGACTGGTCTTGAATCTCTCCCAATGCTAAAAATCGCAGACTTTGGCTTTGCTCGATCTTTACCAGCGACTTCACTGGCAGAGACTCTTTGTGGGTCTCCATTGTATATGGCGCCTGAAATTCTCCGATATGAAAAGTACGATGCTAAGGCCGATTTGTGGTCGGTAGGTACCGTTCTTTATGAGATGGTTGTGGGTCGACCTCCGTTTAGAGCCTCAAATCATGTCGAGCTGCTGCGCAAAATCGAGAAAGGGGAAGATCGAATTCGTTTCCCCGAAGAAAATCCAGCCTCGGACGACATCAAGAAGCTGATTAGGGGTCTCTTGAAGCGGAATCCGGTAGAGCGACTCAACTTCCCTGAGTTCTTTAGCAACAACGTGATCAATGATCCCATCCCTGGGCTACTAGCTGATGACGTTTCGGGCGTCCCTCAATCACCGCGACCCGCTCAGCTTGAAGGAAGGGCCGAGGCGTCCCCTTATGACACCGGGTCCGATGAGAAAACACCATATCCTACCAGCCATCGACCTGCCGTAGTACATCGGAAGTCAGAAACTCCACCAACCTCGTCGCCTCTTCGCCGGATGGGAAGCACAGACCGACCTGGCTTGGCTACCGCCAGGGAGCAGCAGCGTGGAGCCACGCCTCCTCAACGACCCAGTCCTGTGAGCCTTGCCACGGCCCCAGGTCGCCAAGAACTCACCGAACGAAACGCAACTACAGCGGCCATGGAGCGACAGAGGAGTCGTAATACCTTTTCATGCTCTCCCAAAACCACCGACTCGGCTGTTCGCTCCCGGGAGGAGCGGGATCGTGCTGCGCAGGAAGTAGCATTCGAAAGGGACTATGTTGTGGTTGAAAAGCGCGCTGTGGAAGTCAACGCTTTTGCAGATGAGCTCGCTCATAGCCCACGACTTCAAGGTGGGCTCTCAAGACCAGGGCATGCTGGCCCTGGATCTCGCCGCGCAACAACTCAAGCCATTCCCACAGCCTCACCCTCCTCCCCCCACTCAAATGCAAGTAAAGCTATTCAAGTCATCCCGGGTCGTACACGAGCAGATTCCACCCATCAACGCCAACATTCTTATGAGCGACGCTATGGACAAAGTCCTACATCGGCGACGTCGGCCATCTCTAAAGCTCTCAACAAGGCCAGCGGTCGTCTCTTTGGAATGGGATTTTCTCCTCCACTCGCCATCACCAAAGGTGGACGTTCTCCGCCGCTGGCCTATAACCCCTTCCCCGCGTATCCTCCCACGCATGCCAGTCTTTTAATAACGGGCGATGGTGCCAAAACAAATATTGCAGTTGATGAAGATTGCAAGGCAGTCCAGGCCATTGAAGAGTGTGCTACTCGCAGTGACGTTGTCTTTGGCTTTGCGGAAGTCAAATACAAGCAGCTTGTCCCGCTAGCCCCCTCTGCGCCGACTGACCCATCTGCCAGACCCGTTGACCCCAGTAATAACCAGGATTCTGCAGACTCTGACGATGGACTCACAGTAGACGCCATTGTCACTCTATCCGAGGAAGCTTTGGTGCTGTATGTCAAGGCATTGTCATTGCTTGCAAAATCCATGGATATCGCTGGGGCATGGTGGTCGCGCAAGAACAGAGAAGAGGTATACGGTGAGTCGCCAGGCAAAGACATGAGTGCCGTTGCGGGTACCCGAATCAACTATGTTGTGCAGTGGGTACGCAGCCGGTTCAACGAGGTTATTGAGAAGGCCGAGTTCGTGCGCCTCAAACTCATCGAGGGCCAAAGGCGGCTGCCGCCTGACCATCCAAGCCACCCAGATAATCATTCCATCGGCCCCATCGCCGGCTCAAGCTCATCTGCAGACGTAGTCGTCAGTCCCGGTGTTACCGCAGAAAGACTTATGTACGATCGTGCACTCGAAATGAGCCGCGCTGCTGCCATCAACGAACTGACTGGTGAAGACCTCGCCAACTGTGAAATCACCTACGTCACGGCAATTCGGATGCTCGAAGCTGTTCTCGAAGACGATGGAACACGGTCCACGCCGAGTGGCAGTGAGCGCCAGAGCGGCTCCCAACCTGGTGACAAAATTGTTTTGGACGACCTCCAAGTGGAGGATCGCCAGGTCGTTGTCAAACGTGAGTTCAATCCCAACTCACCCGACACAACCGATCAATACTCACACTGTGATATAGTTGTTTCAAGCATGCGTGGTCGCTTAGCATCCGTCCGCAAGAAGCTGGCTGTGTTGTCAAAACGATCTTCCGTGTCCACCCCGGTTGGCAGTGCGGGCAAGATGCCGCCATCTACTATCTCCCCCATCTCAACTACAGGCATCACACCACCCCGATGAATCTTTTTTTTATCACATCCTCCGCAGCAACACCTTCACCACTCTCTTCACTCATGGAGCGTCGTCGGGGCCTTGCACACAAGGTTTCATCCACGGCGTGATTAATCAACTCTTTCACCCCCTGGCCTGACCTTCCCTTCCATATGAGCTAGCCCACTGCCAGCTATCATATTTCAGTTCTCTCTCACGTCTCTTCGGGGATTCTAATTTCTTCGTTCATATTTTATTGTTCATCTTTCTTCCGCTCCGTTAGCCATATATCCCATCGCACGATGCCAGGGGAGTTTCATCTTGTTCATCTGACGCCAGTTGATGTCATGTTATGCCTTACTCCACGTTGCTTTTGATCTTTGCTTCCCTGTTTTCTTATTTTTTTGTTTTTCTTTCCCTTTTCTTTTTCTCTTCCATATCATCTTTGTTTTTTCCTGGCGTTTGACCTGGGGGTACGGTATACAGATTGGCAGTGAGTTTTTTGACGATGCACGAGGTCACGGCGTTCAGGTCTATTGGTGCTTGAAGATTGGATTAGGTATGCAAATACTGCCAGATGAGATGCATTGTATATATAGAAATTGAGCAAGCTCATGATCAATTTTTTTGTCTACAGTTCAATTGTAACCTCATGAGGGGTTAGTGCTCAAGTGACACAGGGCTTGCTGCGTCCAAGGTTGGTTCCACTGGTTTTGTATAATAATGCCCAATTGCCTTCAGTCGTCTCCAGTTGTCTTCGGGTGCCTTCAGATGCCTTCAGATGTTCTATGGAAAGTCTTGGCAGTCTTCGCATATAAAAACACAGTGGGGCAAGATTCATGAACACCAAGGATGGCGTGATTGACCATGTGTCAGGGTTTATTCCCATTTTGACCTCTTTTCCTTGGCCTTTCTAGGCACGGCCACTCCGGGTATCTTCTATGTCTACTCGTAGGCAACTTGAAGAGCTTGGGGACTTGGTAGCCTCGGGTGATCATGTCTTGCTTTTTCGGTCTTATTGCGACATTGGCGTGACCGGCATCACATCTGCTTGGGAAAATCCAAATCGAACCATGCAACTCTCGACACTATAATCGTTTCAAGGATTTTGGTGCGATGGGAATAGCCAAGGCTTCTGGAATCCTGCTCAGTGGATCCAATGGAAAAGCCTTTTGAATTTCATCCTTTTTTAACATTAAATTCAGCCCCAAGGTAGCATTTGATTTTGCCTAGCTGCAAAGACCTATGGCATCAGATTTAGTGCCAGCACCTCATCTCTTTGCCACCGTCGTTAACCGCTCATTGCCTACAGGTCTCGCCTGATTCAGGGTCCTGTCAAAATACAAATAAACGCTGATCAGTCCGTGTGGGTATTGCTCCAAGATTTAGGTTATCATGGCTTCGTCGGTTGATCACGGTGAGACTTTCAACAATAAAAAGTCGCTGGTGCTTGACACCAGGCCGACTGATAATGATGGATTACGCCGCGCAGACGGGATATCAGGACTGTGTATGTCAATTCCGTGGATTTCTTTTGGTACATTTCTGACTATTGCAGATGAGGGAAATGTCTTTGAAGCTTCACCTGACGACCGTCGCCAGATTGGCATCTTCAGTGCCTCATTTCTGATCTTCAATCGGGTCATCGGTACCGGTATCTTCGCAACGCCTAGTACCATTCTGGCACTGTCGGGCAGCGTTGGTCTTTCACTATTCATGTGGGTGATTGGCACCATCATCGCACTAGCTGGAACGGCCGTGTACATGGAATGGGGAACTGCGATTCCAAGGTACATGACGACCCTCCCATATCCAAAGGTTAACGCGGCGCAATCTCAAACTAATGCCACACAGAAATGGAGGCGAGAAGAATTATCTCGAATATGTCTATAAGAAACCCAAGTTCCTTATTACTGCCATGTTTGCGGCGTATGTCATCTTGCTTGGATGGGCAGCGAGTAACAGTGTTGTCTTTGGTCAATACATTCTCAACGCAGCCGAGGTCGAAGTCGGACGTTGGAACCAACGTGGAATCGGACTGGCGTGTCTGACTGCAGCTTTTCTCATCCACTCGGTTGCTCTGAAATGGGGTCTTCGTCTCCAGAATCTACTTGGTGTGATCAAGCTGATCATCATTGTGATCATTATCGTGTGTGGGTGGGTTGCACTAGGTGGACATACCAAGGCTGAGAGACCGGATAACTTCACCAATGCCTTTGAAGGAACAGTTGGCAGTGGATATAGTATCGTCATGGCATTGTACAATGTCATTTGGTCGTTCATTGGCTACTCGAATGCCAATTACGTATGGACACCTTGCTTGGACCTCAGGCCCAGTCGTGATGAGCAAGCTAACCGGTTATACAGGCCTTGAGCGAGACGAAAAACCCAGTCCGCACTTTGAAGATTGCAGCCCCAGTGGCCATCTGCTCAGTTGGTATTCTCTATATGCTCGTCAATGTCGCCTACTTCGCCGCCGTGTCCAAGGAGGAAATGCTCAGCTCTGGCAGTATTGTGGCCGCCGTCTTCTTCCGCAATATGCTAGGCAAGCAAGCCGAGAGAGTCATGTCGGTCTTTGTGGCCCTTTCTGCATTCGGCAATGTGATGTCCGTCATTTTCTCTCAAGGTCGAAGTACGTATTTCCCATGCTCAACCTCAGTATTATACTAACCATAATTTACGACGTATAGTTGTGCAGGAACTGGGTCGTGAAGGCGTCTTGCCGTTCTCGAAAGTCTGGGCTAGTAACTGGCCCTTCCGTTCGCCAGCCGCAGGTTTGCTTGAGCACTACATCGTATCGGCCGTCATCATGCTGGCTCCACCCCCAGGCGATGCCTACAATTTCCTCCTCAAGTATGATTTCCACGCTCTCTGGAAGAATCCAGCTGACCATATTTCACAGCCTGATTTCCTACCCCCTTGCAATTATCAACTTCTTCGTGTCCGCCGGTCTGATATACGTCAATCTCACCAAGCAAAAGAACTTCCCAGATTGGGCACCTGGAATCCGTGCCACCATACCAGTGACCGCATTCTTCATGCTGTCCAATCTCTACCTTGCCATTGCACCTTATATTCCGCCAACCGCGGACCAAAATGTGTACGAGGAACTCCCGTACTACCTTCATTGTGTGGTGGCTTTGGGCCTCTTTGCTGCCGGAGGCATTTACTACATTATCTGGGCAGTTTTGTTGCCCAGATTTGGTGGATATGTTCTTGTCAAGGAGACCGTTGTGGACGCCGACGGGTGGTCGCGTAGTGTTTTCACCCAGCTTCCACAGGAACAAGCGCATCGATAAAAGATAGATGTTGAGAAACAGGTATAATGCTTAATCATATTCGGGGTTGCGGAGGTTGTAGATTGATACCATCATCTATTTTCTAAAGTTCTAGCTTTACTTAAAGATAATTTCTGATACTTCATATCTACTAGGTAGCTGTGCTCTAGGAGATGTGGAAACACATTGATTACCAACTACATTCTCATAGTACTGTAACAGTGCTATACATGTCCTGCTACAAGGACCTAAGGAACAGATCATACACATTAAACACAAGTTATATCCAAATGCAAAGCCAACACATACCTTCCCTCCATATACAACAGTCCTAGACCATAACAACGCCACGATTGCAAAAGAAACAAAACCAAAACCATCATACATGAGCATAAACATAAACATAAACACATACCAAGCATATACAGCATATACCGTCGATCAAAAAAAGTAGATCATAAACAAAGAGGAGGAGGGGGGGGAAAGAGCTAAGAAATAGGCCGATGACACTGTGAGCATATCAGCTTCTGCTTCCCATCTCTCCCTTTGACACTGCGGAAATTCGTCCCACGGCACTTGTCACATTTCAGCACATCTTCCTCCGTTTCACCGACCGACGAGGTATAGTCACTGCTCAAGACACTGCCGGCGGTACTGAGCTTACGCTCCCGCGACCTAATCCTATCCGGACTAAGCAGATCATTTGAGTTCCGCGACCGCATCGCCAATGCATCGTGCGTGATCTTATTCCAATACGCGTAGCTATGATCACCCTGTAGCCAGAGCGGGTTATCTTTCGCCTTACCGCTGGCCAGAAGATCGGCTGACGTTGCGGGGACCTCATTGGGGGGTGGGACGTTGGTTTCTCCGGATACATCTATGCTTGGACGATTGTCCATGCGGGATCTGCGCGGAGATGGAGGTGGAGAGGTGATTGATGCACGGAGGGACTCTTGTGGTGCCAGGCTTGAGGGTCTGGATAGCCGCAAGGTAGCGTGTCGGTGTTGTGGAGATGGACTGCGGGTTCGGAGACCGGAGCGGGAACCGTCAGTGGATGAGCGGCCGCGGACGACGGAGTTGCGCCAGGATATGATGCGCTCGGAGGGGGTTTTGTGGGATTCCTTGCCGTTCGAGGAGGCTAGACTGTGGCGGCCAGAGTTTGTGCGGCGAAGGATACGTCGTGAAATGCTGGTGTTGGCGTTCCAGTTTTCGAAGCGACGGCGGTAGTAGGCGCAGTCTTGTCGGAGGACTTTGATCCGGCCTGAATAGTCGGCTATCACGATTATGTCGCCATCTGGGTGTTTGGAGCGGGATAGGTATGATGGTGAATCGTGGGCCATTTTGCTGATGATTGAAAGGCGGGGCGCTGATGCTGAGCGTTTGTGCATGCTCCCGTTCCCTTTAGCTGAGGGAGCTTCTTTTGGTGTCTCTCCTGACTCTGGGCCGAGAAGAGCTACCGGAGGTGGATTGCAAATGTCAAAGATGGGGTCTTCAGACAATGCCAGGGCCTGTTTAGTTTGAGTGGGTGCCGTAATTGCAGCTGTCACAATTGCAGACTGTGTCTCGAAAATCTCCACGGCTCGCTTTTCAGATTCCCCCTCAAGTGTCCCGATGGGCCATACATAAGCCCTGCGGTCCTCGCTTCCACAGATGATATGCTTCCCATCATCCGTAAATGTCGCTCTGATCTGACTGCAGGTGTTCTCATTTCCACGGAATTTGGCCTCTAGTGATCGATCATGGAAGTTATACATCCGAACCCGGGAGTCATTGCTTGTAACCAAAAGTTTAATTTCACCTTGGGAGTCAGCTTGGGGCACCATCATTGTATCAATTCCGGTGATCTTGCTGCCCTTGGCATTGCGACCCCTGGCAGATCGAACGTGTATCTGGGATGATACTTTCAAACCCTCAGTGTCATAGATGGTGAGCATGCCGTTGAGACACCCGGCAATGGAGTATCGGCCGTCTGGGGTGAATGCCACTGCAGTGACCATGTCAGGCACGGCAGTCACAAAAGCCACACTCTTGTCTGGGATACTCCACAGACGCAATTTCGTGTCCAGAGATCCGGCAAGGAAGAATCTGTCGTCACGAGGATGGAATTGAATGGAGGTCACGAAATCGCTGTGCTGGAAACAGCAAAGACATTCCGAGCGAGAGATGTGCCAGAGTCGGACGGTTTTATCCATTGACGAGGAAAGCAGGAAATTGTTCTGCTACAGTTAGCAAAAGTCTCTTTCCTAGTAGCCTCTTTCAACACATACCTTGCTCCAGCTCAAGTCCAATATGCTCCCCGTATGCCCCTCATATACCCGGATGGGCTTTGTCTGAAATACAGGGGCTTCAAATCGGGGGATGTCCTGCGCATCTACGGGGGTTGCTTCATTGTCTCCAACCGTATCTTCACGTTCCTCCGGTGTCGATATGACGGCCCACACTCGGACCTTCCGGTCTTGACCGGCAGCTGCTAGGTACCTGCCATCCTTTGAGAATACCAAGGCCCATATGGCTCGGCCGGTGTTCTCCCCATTCGACGGCAAAGCGGATGAGGTAGATATCCGTCTGTCTGCGCCTTTCTGCGGTGGTTTCTGCTGTGGACCAGCGCCCTCCAGTTCCTGCGCAAGGAAGACCCGGTTAAAGACCTTTTCTTTCTTGTAGTGGGCTCGCACTTTCAGATACTTTGACGGTGCCGGATGCCGTGGGATAAATCCAATCGGATGTGAAGTGTCGACAGACATGCGGCCAGCCTCGGGTTCCGAGGTCTCATCCTCTGTCTCCGAGACTTGGTCTTTCTTCTTGTTTCCAATGATTCGACTGAGGAAAGAGACACCTTTTCTATAGTGGGGTTGAGCACCGTGAATGTCAGTTGCTGTACAATCTGGTTGCCGAAAAAATCCTGGGGGTTCTAAAGCGGACCATGCCGGGGAGGGGAGGCGTCAAAGGAAAGGCTCGCTGACTTCTCAGACAAACACTTGTCGCTGGCCCCAGAGCATGGCAGAACAGATCTCAACACTCACTTCTTCTCTTTGGGGGTTTTGGAAATGGATGACGAGTCCCCCGTGCTCTTCTCTGGCTGGCTATACTCCGAGCCCACGGCCTCCGCCTCGTATGATGCCTTTCCCCATAATTTCAATGGAATGGATTTCTGAGTATTGGTGCGTTGGATAATGTGCTACAGTGACGATGGGGCACGGTCCTCGGTCAGCCCCCAACTCTTGCATCGTATCCAGAGTGCAGCAAAGTACGGCATACTCCGTACATGACTGGGTCTCGGTCCACGCACGATGTGCGGCTGGAAATTCTTACCTGTGACAGCGGATCTATAGCACTTGATTCGGTTTTGGTCTCATGGAGATTATTTGAGGATTCTCGTATAGGGCCACCCGTGTTCGGTGGGCGCCGGGTATTCCGCTGGGCATCTTGCGGACTATTACTCGAGCCCGATGCGACATCCGAGGTGACCGAACCTAACCCGGTCAGCATGGTTCTTGATTGGTATGTCCTTTCGAGCATTGCGCATTTGAGGACAGACGTTGGCCAATGCCACAGGAACCGAGGAAAATTCTCCGCCCAAATTCAAATCGTCCACTCACCGGGGAATGTCGAAGCTCGCTCGGTTATCGCTGTCGCGACTTGGAGATTGTTTCCCTCCGCCATGGCGTGTCCAGTCGCATGAGGATCTAAAGACTCTATATACGGAGAATATGTCCAGATGTTCGAGAAAAGAAAAGAAAAAGGAAAAAAGAGAGCGCGAAAAGAAGATAGCGGCAAAGACCGGATAGCGGGCAGATGACATCAAAACCCCCGGTGTGGAGCAAGACCCTTTCGGTTTTAAGAGAGGCCCTGACACTTGGACACTTACGGTCTTTACTACATATGGGTGCTTGGCGAGCTTATATTCCTTATATTCATCGCCTTTTTTGGGTTATGTACATGTTTATATGTTTATTAAATTCGTGACTGCAGCTTTCTGGCTCGGTCTTTGGCAATATCACACATGCCCTAACCTGGTCAGCATTACGAACTAATCTGGAACACACCGAACATTACCTGAATGGTCTCTTCAATCTCACGCGCCTCATTACCGCGTTCGATGCGTTGGCGCATTTCCACCATGATCAGATCGCGACTCCGACCGTTCACGAATGTGCTAGGCAAAGGTCAGCCTTCGTACTCGGATAGCGCATACTAACATACACAAATCGCAACCCGGGGAACTTTTTCTCGTATTCCGCATTCAATATGCTTAACTTCTCCGCCTGCTTTTCGGCGCCAGTGTTCAATTGGGCCTGTTCCTTCTGGCTCAGCTCGCTCAAATGCTCCGGGTTGGCGGGGGCTCGGCCAAGCCGCGGGTGCGAGCCGAGAATGCCAAAAAGCACGTTTCGGTCAGTCGGAGAATCCACCAGTGTGGACATGCGACCCCCTACTGCATCGATGAGCGCTGAGTATGAAGGAAACGCCTGGGCCAGTACGGGGATCATCAGCTGGTGGAGCTCCGGCGATGGCTCAAAGAGCGTATCAAGCACCCGGAGTTGGTTTTCCTGGGGGAGGGATGGGATTGCCGCGAGTGAGGGAAGGTCAGCCATGTTGTATTCTACCAAGGGATCATGGGATATCTCTGGTGGGATGCCTTTCCATTAAGTAGCCCTGAAGTTGTCCCGCCATCGGGGGACTCCGATGCGGTTGGCGGGGGCGGAGGGTGGCGGCTACATAGGATAAGGTCCGGGAACTATATAAGCACTTGTATGTGGTGGGAACGATAACTATAGAATGTGTCGAGGGAATACAGAATAGACCTGATCAATTGAGTCCAGCTACGGAGTACTTCTCGTACTCGTATGCCGATTGGATAGTGGACTCCCAGGGTGTCCCTCCGAAGTCCAGTCCAGGATCAGATTCCGAGGTACTTTGGCCCGGTATGCTGCAACAGGATATTTCTTGGATATTTTTGAATATTCTTGGATATTCTTGGATAATTCTTTCAATACATGAAATCACGCATTCTTTCTGAATGGCGCAGGATCACTTCTTTCTATAAAGAGCACCGTTCCCGAGCTCCGCGTTTCAGCGTAGCCACGTTAAATTGGGATAACCGCACAGGTGGAGCGTGCCCGAACGAATGAAACTCAGCCCCTGAACCTGAAGTTCATGCAGAGAAATAATTGGAACGGCATATGGAAGAAAAAAAAAAAAAAACGGAGCTGGGGGACGCGATCTTGAGATCCGATCCAAACTTTACTTGGTCTAACCGCTCTCCACTCCAGACCTCTTTTCTCCTTACCCTCTTCCTTACCCAAACAACTTCGGCTTGGTGCCCGCGGCTGTTCTCCATGCCGCTCTCGTCATGTCTTTGAATGGGCTCGATAATGCCCCCGTCGTCGAAGCCTACCAGAGTGCCCTGGCTGACGCGGGTGGGTGGTAAGTGGCCCCTTTTGCGCCGCGTGTTTCAACTCGACGTGACAGATGCAGAAATAAATCGATCACTGACATGGGCTCTCTGTTTCAGGTTTCTGTTGCACTATGTCGCAAGAGATGAAGTCACCCTGCACGCACGAGGCACGGGCGGGGTGCCCGAAGTTCGAAATGCCATTGAGGGTTACGGGGAATGCTCGCCCCTCTACGGCTTCCTCCAATATCGGCGCCGCAAAGTGATCATTCGTTACATGCCGGAGGGGCTCTCTCGCCTCATTTTAGGTACGCTATCCTGTGTTTTCTCTCCCAAATTTGGTCTAATAAGTCCCAGCTCGAAGCAATGTTCAGTTCCAATCTGTCACCGATAGATTCACACCAAATGACACCGTACTCCAATTGTCGAAAGCCGCCGATCTTACCGAAAGTGCCTTATCATCCGCATGTCTTCTTCATACAGCCTCGACCTCGATCACCTCCTCTTCAAGTTCCCTTCGCCGCCGCCGATTGATGGAAATCACGGAAGATGCCGAGGAAAATGGCACGAAGGAAGATGCCACAAAGCCAGTCCCACCTCCCCAATCCGAGGCACGCCAGAGATCTGGAAGTATTAGATCGGAAGCCACCTTAGTGCCACCGAGTGAACCGCCTGTCGAGTTGCCCCCGGTATCACCAGAAAGCGAACAGGCGCCGGTGGACTTCCAACCGCCCCCATCAAGGGCTGGCTCCATAGCTGCGACCTCGCCGGAGAGCCCCAGTGAAACACAATCGGCCACAATGTCGCCCAAGTCCATCGACTCGGGTCGTTCCAGGTCGCGATCCCGACCCAGATACCGAAATATCCTGGATGAATTCCCCCGCCCGTCAGAGGATGCCCGAATGTCAAGCCAATCCTCTCGCCCTTCGCTTCAAGAATTGGAACGAGCTGCTGGCTTTACCCCGAAAGTGAAGCTGGGACCCCGACCCTCCGTAGATAGCAGCGGGAGACCCCGCACCTCTGGCAGCTCTCGAAACCAGGACCAACGGCCTGTGGCATCTCTGCCAACAAATATGCGCTCTTCTTCTGTCCGAAAGGCCAATGCCGACGCCCCGCGACCTCGATCTCAGGGGAGTACATTTGCAACTAAACCAACTAGTCGCCTTCCGCCGGTTCCACCTCTCCTGGTCCCACCACCCTCTATCCCTATTTCGAGGCCCCAGCTTTCCCCTGGAGCTAAATCTCTAGGGGCGCTGTCGTCGTCATCGGGCTTGACTCCGGAGAAAGAGCGTTTGATGAAAGCTTTGCAACAGCGCAAAAAGAACATGGCCAAGCGTGCAGAAGAAACTAAGAAGAAGCAGGCCTCTGAAAAGGCAGAGCCCAAGCCTTCAATGGACGTTGCGAAGAATCAGGAAGACAATAAGGAGAATATCATTATCCAGTACGCGGAACCCGAATTTGACACCCCTGAGCCAGAGACGATTCTGCAGGATCAACCCCACGTACCTTCGATATCCTTAGCTGCCGACGCTGAGCCTGTTCATGGGTCCGCCCCTGAACCTGCTTCGCCAGTTGCTCCGCAGTCTGGCCTGGATGCTACAAGTACTTCCGCGGCTGTTGTTGAACCAATTTCCGAGCCTGTCTCCGAGCCTGTCCCTGGTTCGCCATCCACGCCCGTCTCAAACGCTGAACCAGAGCAACATTCTCAGTCTTCCGAAACAACTCAGGCAGAGCCAATTGTCGACGCTTCTGTTGCCTGCAATGAGGTTCCCTCGCCACCGCCCTCAGAACCCACCGTCGATTCTACTTCTTCGGTCGAACATGCCGCGGAACCCTCAGAGACTGTTCAAGAGGAAATGTCACCGACAACCCCTGAAGGTGAAACGCGCACAGATCACCAGGAACCCGCAATCCCAGGCCTTGCCCCACCTACCTTGAATGATGAAGTCCCACTTCAAAATCAATCCTCAGACGCCCCGCAATCAGACTCAGAGAACGTCCCTGGAACACATTTCGAAATTCCGCCCATCGCACCCGTGCCAACTGAGGAGCCTTCGGATGAAACTGTTTCAGCAGACGTCCCTGAGTCGGTTCCTCAACCTGCCACCCCCTCTGTTACACCCCCAGAGAGCGCAGACATCGCAGATACCGAAAACGAGGCTGCCCCTGTTCCTGTCTCTACCTACCCAAACCCAGCGGACGAATCGGTATCTGAACCCTCTTCTGCTTTGAAGAGCGAATCTTTGCCTTTGGATCAAAGACGTAAGGTCCACCTGGAGCCTATCCAGGTACCGACTCCAGACTACTCGGATGACGACAACCTTCTTTCTGACGACTCGTTCATGGAAGAACTAACTTCGGCGACTGTCCAAGAGGCCAGGCCGGTGTCAGTGAAATCTCCCAACGGCGGCGATCATTCTTGGAAGAGCTCGCGTGCGGTCTCGAGCCCCTATTCCACAGGATCTCCATCGGCTATGCAAACCCTTGCAGTGGGTCGATCGATCTCTAGCTCATATCCCGAAAACGGGCCCCCTACACCTGTTCTGATGGCGAAGAAGATCAACGTCTCTTCTGGGATTTCCAGCCGTATCAAGGCACTCGAGAAGTTCTCGAGTCGCGAAGGCACCCCCTTGGGCGCCAGTCCTGCCCCAAGCGCACCATCAGCCTCTTCGTCTTTTGAAAACCTTCGCAAGCGCGCATCAATCTCCCTACCTAGTGGCAGCCTGGATATCACACCACCGGGGACTAGGCACTCTACCCACACCCCCGACAGCTCTAGTCGACATGATCGTCGGATCTCTGTTGACGCCATGCGCCGTGCCAACTCGGTCTCCGTGACTGCTCGGATTATTCGTGATGCCGACGTCTCTCCCGGTTCTTCTGGGCTTGAGCCCTCTGAGTCAGATGTCCTCAATCTTCAGGCCAGCCCGCTGACTGTGGAGCATGAGACACCAGCGGAACCTCTTGCTCAGTCCCCCAATGCTGAACCTATCAACCGAGCCCAGGACCGAAGCCTGTCCATGTCATCCAATGGATCGGGTCGTCAAACTGCCTCTCGCCCACCTAGTCGTCTTTCCATCTCTTCGCGTTCTCGCACGGAAGAAAACATCACCTCTACCTCTCCCAGTTCCGAGGACAAGCGGGCATCCCGCACATCGCGCCTCATGCGTCGTGTCTCCTCAATCACATCTACATCCCGCCGCAGCATTATCGGTGCTCTCAGTTCACCAGTCAAGGAAGAGGAGTATGCTCCCACCTTTGGAAACGGCTCCACTGATGCAGCCGGATCTACCGGCTCGCGCACTTCGGAGCCTGTCGATATTGGCGAGGTGAACGTTCAGTTCCCAGAAACACTCCTTTGGAAGCGTCGAGTTATGCGCATCGACGAAGATGGTTACGTGGTTCTCACCCCGGGTACTAATGATGCCAGCGCTCGAAACATGACCAAGCGCTACCATCTCACCGAGTTCCGCACTCCTTGTCTGCCCGATGAAGATATGCAAGAATTGCCAAACAGCATCTTGCTTGATTTCTTGGATGGAAATACGCTTCAATGTGCCTGTGAATCGCGACAGGGACAGGCTTCTGCTCTGCACTGTAAGATTCCCATGTATCCTTTACGAAGAATCATAGCTAACAATACTCAGCTCTTGTCGAAGCACACGGTGCCTACCAACAATAAACATTGGTCAAGAACAGGAATTCTTGCACCGATCATTTTCAATTCCACTTCCACTCCCTTCTTATGGCCCTTTCTGGCTTCTTTTCTATATTTCTTCCCATTGCACGTTACACACTTTTGCATCCTGCATCTTTTCTTCTTGTCTCATCTGGACGGGAATACACCCCTCCCTTCGGCACATGTTTTCCTATCTCTTCTAACTCCCTCAACTTCCTGTATCCTTATCTCTATCTACCCTGTTGCTTGTATGTGCTGTGTGATATATGTGACATGTTCTTGGTATACCCCGAAAAACTTTTTATCTTCTCTTCTTTTTCTTTCTCAATACCAATCCAACTTCTGTCCACCGTGTATCTATTGCATCCCATTCCTTCCAACATTTCTCTCACTTGCATATCTTACCACATTATGGAGTTTTTCGTTCTTGATTTGTTTGCAGGTACTGGTGTAGTCGCCGCGATCCAAACAGAGTGCCTTTGTTTATGCACGCGATCTCCAATCAGAATACCGACTAAGCGCCAGTCTTTCATCCAATTGGCAAGATGGCCGAGTTGGTCTAAGGCGTCAGGTTAAGGTCCACCTTAACTCAATAACTGTTCTCAGTTTCCTGATCTACGTTTGTAGGCGTGGGTTCAAATCCCACTCTTGTCATTTCTTTTTTTGTCGATTCTCATTCGGGCAGCGACTATTTCTCTGTTCATTGAAGATCTCTGTTCTTGGAGTTTTGGTGTGGTCGTTGCCAAAACTGTGTTGAGATTAGAATTTTGCGATGTATAAGAGCGGTTGCAATCCGCATTTCCCCTGGGCATCACCGCTAGGTGTTCCTCACAATTTAGGAGATATTCGCTTATCTATATATTTCAACCTATAGTGTCATCCTGCCGGATTATTTTGTCTACTGCCGCTTTTACGAGACTGTTTGGATTCAGGATCAGTTGAGCGCTATGTAAAGTCCAACCCAGGCCAAGACTCAGCAAGAGCGTTAAGGTAATTATTCTCATAAAGCAAAATATCAAATCATCCGCAGTACACTCCTGGAAAGGGAAAATCTTGATCATCATCAAAATCAATGCGACAAAATGACCCCCTCATCTCCTGACCATCTCCCATCATCGACCAGAGATCGAAAAGGACGAATGGCCAACATTTCATCCACCCCGGAAATGTATCATATTTATCCACAATTGGGAATGCCTCAAGAACCTTAACATATCGAACCTCATTGTCGGGGCAATCTAGAGTTCCATCTTCAACAGCCTCGACTGGTGCACCTTTCAAAGTTTGCAGAGATTCTTCATCGATAATCATACACATTCGCCATTTGGTCCAATCGTCACGCATGCCTTCAGCTTCCACCCAAGCTTCGAAATGAGCGCGAATTGTCTCGAGAGACGCCCCGTCAAATTGTACAGGATCTTGCACGATCGTTGACCGGTGTTTAGCCCAGACTTCGATAGGCTGGCTGGCTGGGTATCGTTGGGTTTCTGCGAAGAATTCTTGTTTGATACAGCTTTCAATAAACCGAATAGCGTCTGGAAATAGAATGTCTGATTCAGCGGAGTAGGTAGTGCGATAGATGACAAATCCCCAATCTGGGTATCTGAGAAGACTATGTTTGAGCTCGTCCATGTTGCGTCAATTATTTTGTTTCGCGATTGTGTGGAATTTGAGTTAATAGTCGGGGGGGGGGGGATATCTATCTACACCATCGATAGGGTCACCTGACCGCCAGGCACTACGCGCTAATTACGGCAGTACACAGCCGCCCAACATTGAACACATTGGACGCTTTACCCACCACTTATGGGCACGATAGTCACCATGCAGCCACATGTATACCTAGGCATTGTAACCCTGGGGCAATACCTCAGTATCAGGACCTACCACAGCCATGAAGATGGTAGGGTAGCCGCTGTTCTAGACCTTTAGGCCGCCTTCTGGGTCGCAAAATACGACGGAAAGAGGTTGGTAGGTATGGAGTACTACCTGGGTGGATGTTCAAAAAGCATGTTCAAAAAGCTTTGCCATTCAAGGTATCTCAGGGTGCAGGGGTATTAAGCAAAAATTGAGCCTCTAGATAAATCACTAGAAGTCGGAGCGCAGTGCTGCTCAAGTAAAATCACCGAAATCATCGAAAATCTACAGGTTGCCCACGCCTACCAAATCCAAGATAACGCCAGCCTCCCCGTCCTGTCCTTCACACCCAACGCCTTTATCCCCGCTGAGAAGAAGAAGTATTTGTAGCAAGCCGGTGGTTTGTAAAATACACCCGGGGCCGTGGAGTGGTATGAAACGCGTACCCGGGAAGAGAAATCATGCAAGCAAGTCTGGAATTGTGCAGCTTCCTGCTTCATTTCGTAACTTTCGAATCAAGTGATCCAAATATCCATATCAGTCGTGATCATTCGTTGTGGTGTATCGCAACGCAAGAGATGTTTGTGGGAGTGGGCTGAGGTCAAGAATGACCATTTGCAAGATCCTCCAGCTCGTCATCTTCCTCATCTTGATCTTGATCGTCCTCGTTAAATTCAAGATCAGGCTGCTCTGTCTCTGGGATTGATTCCTCACCACCCATGCCATCCTGGTCTTCGGCAATGCCATTTTGCTTGGGTGCAGTATAGAACTCTGGGAAAGCGCTGCGCATTGTTTGCACATGCTGGTCGAGGACATACTGCATGAGGTTACTGACAGGCAAAGAAGAATGCATGCGCTTCTCCTGTTCCATCAGCTCTATCTTCATTTGAGTTTCCCAGTCATGTTCGCCAGCGTGAGTTCCAATTAGTTGTCTGCGTTCATCTCCGTCAGGCATTGAAAAGACCGTGGTGCAGCCGGGCATGCGACAGGCCCATGGACCGGGTAGATATGTTGGGGGTTCTTCGCTACCGCGTGGGGTATCTTGTGTTGACGTTGGCCCTGGCTCTGGGGACGAGACTTTGTGTGTGGTTGATGAGGATATCGAAGGAGTTTGGAGTTTGTCTTTGAATAGACTCTTCATCAAAGAAGAGCCGGCGCCACTAGAAGACGCAGAAAGGAAGGAACGAGCCCGAGGCTTTGTGGCTGAAAGTGGATCCCGGATCAGTTCGTGACCTCGCACTTTGCTGGGTGTTTCTATATTTTGTATGTCTTCCATCTCATCCGTGTCCTCCTGTTCATCATCATCGCTGTATTCAGATGCTGGCTGGACACTTGGGACCATGCGATTTCGCTTTCCAGTGGCTTTGTTAGAGACGGCAAAGACCTTTGGGCGGAGCACCGATTTCTGAGTTCGACCAAAGCGTTCATCGTCGCTTGATTCATCAGCCAAATGAAGAGGGGTGAGGAGTGCACGCGGTAGAGGTGCAGACTTTGAAGCGGCATTAGTGAGCTCGCGATGAATCACATAGCGGGACCACTTGAAGCCAGGGATATCATCTTCATCATCCATCAGTTCTACCACCTCACTAGCCCGGATAGCTATGATCTTTCGGGCGTCATCATTACTAAACGAAAAGCGGTCGGCCAGGCGTTCGGTTAGAAGGTCAAGGTGCAGTCGACGTTTTGCCAAATGACCCTCTTCTTTGAGGTCCCTAATGAGTCGGTAGATCGCATCCGTTTGTGACTTTGAAACGGCAGCTGGTTCATGTCTTGGGGTGGTGACTTCAGGTTCATCCTTGGCTTCACTCTCGTCAGGTGAGGGCAAGAGCTCCTCCATAAGTCGATTATAATCGTCCTATAAGCTGTCAGATTGCAAGGCTATAAGGAATAAGCTTATTCGGCTCACGTTAAATTGACGTCGTAAGTGTACGAAAACACTGGTCCTCATCCAGTCTACATCTGCATCACCTTGTATCATGCAGCGCAGCAAGAAGGCGGCGTGCAACGCAAACACCTCAGCTGATTCTTCTCGAGTTTCACACGAGCCATATGAATGATAGGTGTACTAAAATTAGACCGTGTTAGTCGGATTCGTACATATGGAGAGCGCATAACATAGATTGAAGCTCACCTGTTCACACAGATTTCGGAAAGAAGGATTGAGTTGTTTTTTGCCATGTTGGTGTTTGTCAACCAGGAAATAAAGCAAGTCAATGGCCTGAACCATGCGATTGTATGTGGGTTGGAAGCCCTTGGCCGGGGAGATGACATTGTACCAACCCGCCTTGCCAGCAACCCACAGCTCGATACTCTTATCCTCGGTTTGACCGTAGGCATAATGTGTGACTTCGTCGATGATAATGCGCTTGGGAGGGTTGTCGGGTTTGAGCACTAAGGTAGACGGGTCAGCGATCTTGATAACGAACTGTAATTGAACTGATACGAACACAAGTGTTCATGTGTCTCAGGAAGCGGTTCCAAGCTACCGATCACCTGCACAGGGTTCTGTTCTGTGGCATCGAGTAGATTCGCATAGTGCTTTTTCCCAGGCTTCATGACCTTCACCTCCGTCAGGCTGAACTCCCACCAATCGTTCTCATCGGTGATGGAGCCATCGGTGGGAGCAAGGACGGTTTCTTCGCGGGACGTCATGGCGGAATTGGCATGTTGGGGGTCAAGGGGGAGGCAAAAGGAGTGTGTGGGAGCTGGACGGAGGTAACTGATGAGATGAAAAGGAAAGGAGGGGCCTCTAGAGTGGGATCTTGAAGGTGTTGACAGTCGCAGTCATTGACGGCCGGTAAATTACAGATACGTTCGTTACGATTAATTACATGGAGCTCGTGCCTGGCCGTCACGTGCCAACCAGCCTCGAAGAACTATGAAGGGATCTATCACAGTGAAGAAGATACATATAGGATTAATTCGGAGATGAAAATGGTTAATCTTGAGATGAAGAAAGATTTAATCAGTTAATGTTCACTTATGCAAGACTAGCAAATAGCCGAAAAGGCCAACAACACGGGTGCTTCATACTTTGAACAGTCAGATGGACTCTTTTCGGCCCAGCATTTGAACATCTTTTAGATTTATTATCGAGGTCAGCTAGGTCAGATTAACATATGTACAATCGAGAGTCTATCGATACAAATTAAGATTACATATGTACGAAGTACGCTGTATAAAACGGGGTCAACTTCTGAAGTACTATCTCTCTGGCCTCTGCTGATATACAAATGTCAAACAAATCCGACAGATATTGGAGATCCAATCCAATTCACTTGAACAGGTCTATATAGTAATATTCATGAATATACTAGGTCAATGGCGTAGAAATTAAACTCAAGCAAAGCGCATACAGTCTCGACTGCCAAGGCGGAATCGAGATCTCGACCAAAATATCTTTTTTTTCCCAGATAAACCTCCCCACCGTCCCCAGATGCCATTCCCTCCAGGCTTCCGACTCTTTCGAACAACCATGTCTGGCGAGAAGATCCGCGAGGGCGTTTTCGGTAAAAATTCCTCTTGGATTCCGAAAGACTTATTCTGACATCTCTAGCTGTCCACAAGCCCCAAGGTGTCACCTCCGCCGACGTGATCCGCAACCTGCAGAAACACTTCAACCCCTCAAAGACCTTTAAGCCATGGTTAGAAGAAGAGCGCGAACGTCGCAACCGTGAGAGTGGATTCCAGCGCAAACGTCGCCGCCATCAACGCCTAGAAGTCAAGATCGGCCATGGCGGAACCTTGGACCCGCTCGCGACGGGTGTGCTCATCACCGGTATTGGCAAGGGTACAAAGTCACTCCAGGACTTCCTTGCTTGCACCAAGAGCTACGAGACAGTGATTACTTTTGGCGCCGAGACCGATACCTACGATTGCCTTGGAAAGGTTGTGCGCCGCGCGCCTTATGAGCATGTTACACGTGAAGCGGTTGAGAAGGCCTTGGCGCAATTCCGTGGAAATATCATGCAGCAGCCGCCGATCTTTTCAGCGCTGAGGGTCAATGGAAAAAAGCTGTACGAGTATGCGCGAGAGGGCAAGATGCCTCCTGTGGAAATTAAGCACCGGCCCGTTGAGGTCTTGGAGATGGAAGTTGTGGAATGGTTTGAGCCTGGCACACACAGCTTCCAATTGCCCAAGGAGGAGATGACTGGTGACGAGAAGGCTGTTGCCGAGAAGCTTCTTGACCAAGAACCTGCGGCCCCTACTCCGGCTGAGGGTGAAGCCGTGAAGGAAGAGCCCGTGGTGAAGGAAGAGCCCGAGCCTTCATCGTCCACGAAGCGCAAGTCGCCACCTCCGGCCGACGAGGTGAAGGAGGAAGCCGCGAATGCTGCCAAGAAGCAGAAAGTTTCAGAGACCGAAGCGGCGCCTGCAACATCAGAGCCTAGTGCCTCTGAACCAGTCAAGACTGAAGCTCCGGCGCAGCCTGAACAGCCCAGATCCCAAACCCCGGCTGTGAAGATCAAGATGACCGTTACCTCTGGTTTCTATGTTCGCTCATTGGCGCATGACCTAGGTAAAGCTGTTGGCAGTTTGGGCTTGATGAGCGAGCTTGTGCGCAGCCGCCAAGGTGACTTCGAGCTCTCCCCTGAAAAGGTTCTTGAGTACAAGGACCTTGATGCAGGTGAAGAAGTCTGGGCACCCAAGGTGGAAAGGTTCTTGCAGGAATGGGAGCAGAAGAGAATCGCCAAGGCTGAGGCTGAGGCTGAGGCTCAGGCCAAGGCTTAAACTGGAGGCTCGACCTTTGTTCCGGAGGAATATAACATTTTGAGCTTGTAAATATATCTGTAATATAAAAATCCCAATACACCACTTAAGTATGGGTTCTCAGCTGAGCAGCTCTGGAGCTTGTCCTACTTTGGTCCCGTGAAACTAAACTACCTACGGCGTAGACAACCTTGTCACCACCTAGTCACGAATGGGTAGGATGAGACAATCTGGACCCTTGAAAGAATCTATGTCCACAAGGCCCAAGAAGTTGGGATGCTCAAGCCAATTGACTGTGCGATCTCGCCGATATAGATAATAAATCAGAAACTGCCATTTTTGGTTATCCAGACCCAGCGAGAAAAAATAATTACATGATGCATGGTACAAATGCAATTCAAACAACATTAACTCATGACGAGAGTTTAGTTGCGTCCCTTGGCCGCAGTTCTCTTGCTCTTACCGGGACGCTTTGCGCCGCCCTTCATCTTCTTAGCAGAGAAGTTGCTGAGATCACCACTGGACGCAGCGTCACCGCTCTTGGCATGGCGCTTCTTGCCTCCGAATCCGAACTTGGCGTCCTTCTTCTGGCGCTTGCCACCACCTTCACGGCCACGCTTCTCGGGCTGGCTAGCCTCCTCAACGGCAATGTCGAACATGTCCTTGGCATCGTCGGTAGGGGCAGAGCTATCAGCCTTGCGCTCTGTGGGAAGAAAATAATTAGTAACTGCAGCTCAGATGGGGGTCTAGCAAGTCGCAAACATACTCTTCTTCAGGGTGTTGATCTTCTCTAACATCTCGCGCTTCTCCTTGTGTCGCTGTTGCAGCTTGGCGTTCTGAACCTGCTTGCCGAACTTCTTAAGATCACGCTGGCGGCGCGCCTCAGCAGCAGCCTTCTTGCCAGCCGCCTCCTCGTAAAGCTTCTTCTTGATCAGACCCATGTGCTCGTCGTTCTTCACCATCTCGGCGAAGTAGTCACCCGGACGGGTGAAGGGGATACCCTCCTTCTTCAGCAGGCCACGGGCATCGGTAGCGGCAGCCTGGCAGACCTTGTAGAATGCCAGCTCGCGGTTCAGATCGTCATTGGGGTCTTCGATCTCGATCGGCTCTTTCGAGACTAGCGAGTTGTGCTCTGAGAATGGGGTCTGGGTACCGATGAAGGAAATGCGCTTGAGGGCGGCGTTGATGGCGGCGGAGTTGTTGATGGTCAGGCGCTGGTGAGGAACAACATCCTCGCGCTCGTCTTCCTCGAGGTCGGAAAGGGGAATATCTTCTTCCTCTTCCTCTGCCTCGCCGTCATCCATCTCCTCATCCTCATCGACCTCTTCTTCTTCATCTTCCTCCTCAGCCTCGGAGCTAGCGGCCTCTTCTTCCTTCTTCTCCTGGACAGCGGGCTTGTCCTCGGGGACAGCGGCGGACTTCTTGCCCTTCTTCTTCTCGGCGGTCTTGATCATTTTCTTTTGCTTCTCAGCGTCAAAGTCACGGCCCTTGTGGGCGTCGAGGGCCTGGAGGAGCTTGCTTCGCTTGACCATTTTGGCTTTCTGTATTATAACAAAAAGTTAATGGTATTTTTTTTGTAGTTGAGAAAGGAATTGAGAGAAAAGAAAGCGACTCAGTATCCGAACCCGCATCAGAGAATCCATGGGATTTTTTTGAAATGGCGCCAGTCCTGATTCGGTTAGCGCCACCGATAAGAGCCAACTAGGCGATAAACAGCAATATCTCGGAATATAGATCATCCGAAATGCGGCGCTGAACGAGTCTGAGTATAGAGCACTGAATAATGGTTCGATTTGAATTCATAGCGGCTGATACAGAGTGTCTTTAGTCTGTATAGGGAGGACCTCAATATTAGTGCTTAGGTATGTAATAGGCCTTGCAAATGTGCTTCAACATGCGCCCAATCTTGATAGGGGATTCAGCATCAATATGCATAATCTTGATGAATAAAACGAATTTTCCTAGAGAGACCTTTGCTGAGTATGCAGTAGTCATCTGCCCAGGTAGTGTCTGATTTTTTGACTAGGTAAAAGGTAAGCCTAACAAATTACTGAACAGCACAAGTCACCTGGACAGATGTATAGTTCTCAAATTGGAACCCAAAGGTCCATGGGCCAATCAGCCGGATCCGGAAATACACATAATCCGCTTATCGGAGTCGTATCGTCTCTCTTTACTCTCCAGTACTCCGGAGTACCCCAAGTGCGTCTCTGTACAGTGAATAGTTTCACTATGGCTGAAACTTCCAAATCTCCATCTCCTCCACCAGAGGTTGAGCCTCTCCTTTCTCAGTCGGTATGAAATTTGGAAAAACCAAGGCTCACGTCGCACGTGCTAATATAGAGTATCTAGAACTCTGGTGCTCAAGGCCAGCTCCATGCCGCAGTCGATGACCTGCTCAATGAACTCCAAAGCAAATTCGAGAATGTCTCTACCGAGATGTTTGGGAAATGTGGGTATTTCCTTTCATTTGAGCCTGTTCATGCTCCCATGTATACATGCCCGACTGACTGAAATACAGTGGACGAAATGACCAAGCGACTTGATGACCTGGAAGCATCTCTGGCCGCATCACAGAACTCCAACACTCCAGCCCCTTCGACATAAGTCTCGGCGTAAATTACTTGAACTCCGACTTCGACTCCCTTTAAACCTTCTACGCACCTGGGTACCTTGCATGGCGTTTCCTGAAGTCTGGCAGGAGAGCAGGTGCATCTCCGGCTTGTCTGGCTCCACATCTGTATCTATTACTCATTCCATACTGATATTATGCAGCTTTTCTGATGTGGCTTGAACAGCTAGCTGCATGATCTGGTCTCTATTTGGCCTAGGCTGTTACTTTATGATTCATCGATACCCAATCCACATTGCATATGTGGTTCCTCGTACTGAGTACGCCAGAACCATATGATTCTATCAATTTCATGGCTTACTCTCACCCGGGCATATATAATTATGAACATCCATCGGAATATGGACTTAGGTCTACTTGCAAAACCTTGGGGGAGACCCCAGGATCCCAGTGTATGTTTGACTCCTCAATTCGTATAACATACAGGATCAGGCCAACATCTCGTAGATGGTCTCAATATGTATTCAACTTGGAATGAGTTCATGCATTGCAGTGATCCAGCCACCGAATCTATATCCAGTGGTGAGAAGTTCAAGCCACAAGCTAAAATATGGCACAGCTAACGTCCAAAAACATCCAAAAGCATTTAAAGCTCATCATGCTTCACATCGCCAACAAAGCGACTGAGGATGTTGCTACGGGAGACAATATCATCCAGCTTCTCAGGGGCAGAGCCACCCTTGGCCAAAATCTTCTGGAGACGAGTCACCTCCTTGACAGCGTATTCTCCATTCTTGCTCAGCTTGTCGGCGGCCTTGACATAGTACTCGGCGTACTTGTCTTCAAGGCCCTTGGCGGCCTTCTTGACCTCGACGGCGAGCTTGTCGAGCTTCTGAGCGGCGACGTGCTCGGAAACAATCTTGTCCAGAACGGCGATGGTACCGGCAGCGGCATCGAGACCACCACCGGGAGTACGGTGGGTACCGGCCTTCTGGTTAATGAACTTGACAAAGGCATCTTCGGAGCGAGCACCGGAGTAGTCCTCGGCCTCGGTGGAGCCCTTGGGGAAGAACTTGATGGTAGGGTATCCGGTGACGCCCTGCTCCTTGGTCAAGGCACGGGAATTCTCGGCTTCGGCATCGACCTTGGCGATAACGACGTTGGATTCGCGGACGTAGTCATTGGCGAGGGATTCCCAAGTAGGAGCGAGGCTCTTGCAGTCTAGACATTGTGAGCAATTAGCAGGTTGAAGAGTAAACAGAAAGGGGAATTGGTGAATAACTCACGTCCACACCACGGGGCGGTAAAAGCGACCAGGACATCCTTGTCGCTGCCAACGGTAGTCTTGAAAGAAACATCGTTCAAGTACTCAACGTTGCTGGGCTCTTTCTGTGCGGAACGGGGCTTGACGCCGGTCTTCTCGGTGATGAAGGCGGAGAGACTGTCGATATCACGGCCGCCCTTGTACTCCTCGGGCTTGTCACTCTTGCCATCGAACCACTTGATAGTGGGGAATCCCTGGACGCCGAAGCGCTTGCCCAGCGAGCGGTTCTCATCGGCGTCGACCTTGGCAATGGTAACCTTGTCCTCGGCGGAGGCAAAGGTTTGGGCGAGCTCCTCGTAGACTGGAGCAAGGGTCTTGCAGTGGCCACACCAGGGAGCAAAGAATTCGACTAGTGCGGGCTTGCCGGACTTGAGGACGACATCGTCGAAGTTGGAGGGGATCAGGTCTTTCACTGCGGAGCTTGCGTTGGCGAATCCGCTGAGGGCTGTGAGGGCACCGACGAGCAGGAAGCTCAGGCGTGCCATGGTGTATAAGATTTATAAGGAATTGATGTGAATTTGGGAGGATGCAATTGACAAAGAGGCGGAGACCATCGAGACCATTAAAGCTCGGATGACAAAACAATCCCGAAGAGGCCACTTGGTCCCGCAGATCTCCAACGGACCTGACGTCTACTTCGTACTGTACTCCACAAAGACTACTCCGTACATCGGTCCATAAATTGATATATTACCCATTGAGAATGGGTAGTACCAGACTGTTTTTCTAGATTTTTTTTCTTTCGTCCTAATAGTAATACACTGGAGAATTGCCAGCATCGGATTTTGTTGAGCTCGAGTTGTTGACGAGAGCTCGAACAAAGCGTACGGAGAGCTCAGCTCGTAATTTCCATGGATATCGTTAGAAATCTCGCATATCATCGTCTTTCGGAAAGCCACTTATTGGCGTCGTCCCAAAGCTTGGTTTCCTGGAGTTCCCTGCCCGCATTTTGCGTGCCGGCATAAACCTGTAAGATGTTAAGATATCGCTCAACCAATGTTGCCCAAAACAGAAAGGACTTACCGCATCCCATAGCTTGAATGCCAAATCCAGGTTTCCGGTAAAGCTCTCGCTGTGCTGGAACCAATCCTTGCCCTTAGCCTTCACATCTGCGCGCGCCTCGGGCGATGTAGAATTTGCCTGGAGTGGGAGGTCGTCAAGGTAGGTGCGGACCGCAATACCTAGACCGCAATCGTTATCGTCGATAAATGGAAGCCTGGGAGGGGTGTTAGGTCGAGCGTTCCGAGAAAATTCAGTGTCCGTGGAAAACAAACCTGATAGCCAGTTGCGTCCAGTCATCGCGGTCCCGATTGACATCGCCACTAAGTAGCATACTAGCCAGCACGACCTCAACCAAGTTCCTCAGTACGGAGCGAACCTCGGAAATCAGAGAGCGATAGCAAAGAAGTTGGCGGCTCAACGGGCCAGAGTAGCCAATGCTCTTGTGCTGCAATTTCGCAATACATGCAACACGCGAGACCAGCATATTGAAGGTCTTGTCCTCTTCCGATCCCCTCATAGGGCCCCCAGATACATGTGCAAACCAGTGCTTGGTGTTCAGAAGATCCAAGCGTAGCATTTCAATTGCGATGAATATAGCCTCTTCGAGATTGTCTGCAGGGTCAACAGCTGACAGCGCCTGGGACAGACATTGTCCCCATGCAGTGAGCTTGTGCTTGTCGTCGATATATCCGCGAAGTTGCATGAAGCGCCACATGGCATTAGATAAGATATCATCTTGAGAGGATAAAGCCTGTAGAAATGTTAACGACCATGAAAAGATTTAAGGAAATGTGAGATCAACTGACAGGTGTTTCTTTAGTAGCGAACGATTTGGCCACAAAGTCTGAATCACTCAAACTCTGTACAGCAAACTTGAAAGATCCACGGGGCGCCTGGATGTTCTTGACACCTTCTGGGAAATTTTCGCCATGAAGTCTCCATGACTGAATGGTTTCCTTGACCGAAGGAATTCCTTTCAGATTAATGGATCGTTCCGAGTTCTCATCGAACCAAGGACGAATTTGAATAACCTTTGTTTGGTAGAATCGATGAAGCGAGTTTGCTAGAAGACACATAGACTGAGTGCGCGTAGGTGTCAAGATGTCACCAACGAGTTGGCGATAGATTTCGGTGTCTTCGGTGCCCAGCGGCAGCGTGACACGGACTTGGCCAGACGTAAGGTAGTTGGGTACATCGGCACCCAGGATACCTTTAGAGAGATAGAAATAGAGCTCCTCGGGAAGTCGCTGTCCGATAAGCTCGTGTACGTCAGACGGGGCATTCTCCGAATCCATAGGTCCCACTCGACCCTCCAAATCGATGAAAACATGGTGCTTCACAACCATGAAAGCTCGCTTGTATAAATCGGTGTACTGAAGCTCCTGCATGCGGCGATCCTCGTCGAACTGAGCGCATAGTGTCAGTGCACTGCGCCCGGCTGCGTTAAACATGGGAAGTGCATCACGGATGGTAGGGCTCTTGCCAGGGAAAGCAGGGTTCTCGAATAGGGGGAAGGATCGAAGGAATGGTGAGCCTAGTAGTAAGCAAAAATCTAGGAACTGCTCGTCCGACAACCGACCAAGCTCCTCCTTGCAGGTTTGTTTTGTGATCCAGAAGAATTGTGCGGGCTCGGTGTCAATGCGGGTGATCAGCTTGTCAATATCGAACAGGAGAGCTTCGGAGGGGGCGTAAACGGAGTCGATGACGGGATTGGTGCCACGAGCGAGGTAGTGAAGCTATCAGGGCAATTCGATCAGTCTCATGAATTTACCCAAGTCGTGAAGGGGGCTACTCACTTGGGCCGCAGCGCTGTAGGGCGCTACCATAAATTGAACGCCAATTTGAACCAGGATGCGCTGTAAAAACTTGAAAAGAGTCTCTGGGGGTGGAGTTCCTGGGGGGTTGGTAGTGTCAGCGGTTGTTGGGGCGTTCGTCAGGTTCCATTGTCGTCGGTGCAGGCTCGCCAGCCCGGTCACCAATTCACTAGGAGGCTCAGGATAGAAAGAACCCATACCGGCACTGCTAAAGGCATCGACGACCTGATCTGCCTGTTGCTGGTCATAGAGATCCCAGGCTTGTTCGAATGAACGCGACGACTGGGATTGCGCGCGCTGCTCTTTCTTGCCGAAGTCCAGACCATTGAAGACAAACACACAGCCCACGCCAAGGTTCTTGAAGACTTGGAGTTCCTTTTCGATGTTTGCTCTGAGGGCGAAAGGGAATCCGCCCAGTGCGCCTAAGAGCGCCTCGCGGGTTGACTGGTTCACGAGATGTTGATTGATATAGTGAGACGCATCGATACCGATAACAGAGTCTCTCAGGGAGGAGAGGGGTAGGGATTGGGTGCGGCCAACGGCCCATTCATCGAGGGGACGGACTACACTCAGTTAGCTGCGATTGCGGGAGTGCGGAGCTCAAGTTATTACTCGGCATGATGAGCGGTCTATCTGTAGCTGAAAAGCACGGCCGATGCCGGGCATCAAACCCCGAGGAATAAACAACAGAAGGTAATCAAGCGAACGGGTTGAGAGTTCAGAGACCCAATGATGGTATGGGAGCTGGAGTTGTTGACAATGGCAAGACCACGAGGGGGGAAGGCGGAGTTGGCCTTTGGTTTTTTGCGCCCCTTCAATGTATCACATCACCCTATCACTTGTACTGGATATTCCACTCGCTTTTACGATATTATTGAATATCTTGGAATCTTGGGAATCTTGGGTTTACCTGGCTTATGGAGGTCATCTCGGGTGGCTATACAGATTGCCGTGGTATGTAAGGGTGAAATGACTTCAGGAATAACGAAGTACAGCTTGCAAGTATAGTAATACAACGACAGTAACTATACCCTTGAGCTCTAGACTTAGCTCTAGGTATACCTCCACATAGCCATAGCTATATCAAATGCTCCTCGAAAGCAGTTAGTCCAATCGATGTTCCAACACATGCTCCCTGATCTCGAAGCGGGGTTTACAAGCGTCATACAATCGTGTGCCTAAGTACGAACTTAGACATCTATAGGCAAGTCGATGCTTATACCGAGCTCTGAGACATCAGCGGACGTCGCCTAAGCTCGGAATCGAGACTAACTGGGTCAAGTCATCCACCAACTCCATTGGTTGGATCGATTATCGCTCCGGCATTGAAGATACGCGACAGGCCCACTTATGGGTATATGTCTAGCAACCTGCCCATATCTTTTGCAGTTTGACTCCAGTTACAGCTCTTCAAAATGGCGGACACAGCAACCCCAATCGAACTTCCTGTCATTGATATCTCCAACCCCCATGACCCCGCTGTGGGGAAGGCTATGCTGGACGCCGCCGCCAACTATGGATTTCTGTATGTCAACAGCAAAGGCAGTGATTTCACCGTGGAAGACGTAGACCATGGATTTGAATTGGTAAAATGACTTTGTTCAAGGGTTGATCTGGAGTGGTGCACCGCTAATGCCCTAAATTAGTCCAAGAAATTCTTTGCCTCACCTGCACAGGAGAAGGAAACATGCCGCATCCAGCCGAACGTGAGCAAATAAGCTAGAACCCCAGCAGTATAACGAGGCTCCAAGCTGACAGACGTCTTTTTTTTTTATAGAATCGCGGTTGGTCTGGAATGCATACAGAAACCCTCGACCCTGAGCACCAACGGGTATGTCAATGCCAACCCTCTGATCATTCAGTATGAGTGACGCTAAACTGTGTACCTGACATATTGATAGACCGGAGATTTCAAAGAGTAAGTCAAGACCTGTGCTATAACTATCAGTTCAGGTACCCAAGAGCTAACCCATCAAACAAGAGCCATGAACTTCGGCGACTTCAAAGACGGCAAAGCCCAACAGCCTCTACCACTGTCCCTAGCTCCCCACGAAGGAGAAATCAACCAGTTTGCAAAGTTCTGTAACAAAACATGCAATCGAATTCTCACTCTCCTAGCTCTAGGTCTTGAGGTCAGTGACCAAGCCCCAAACTCACCTGGGCAGATATTACCTAGCTTCCGACTCATTGATATACTAACCATCTCCAGATCGAAGAAGACTTCTTCACGACCCGCCACGATCCCAGATCTGGCCCAACTGGCAGCATTCTGCGGTACCTGTTCTACCCATCCATCTTCTCACCAAAAACAGCAGCCTACAAGCACGACAAAGATGTGCGAGCAGGCGCCCACTCCGACTATGGAAGCATAACACTTCTCTTCCAGCGCCCAGGCCAACCAGGTCTAGAGATTCGCACACCAGAAGGTACCTGGGCGCCCGTTCCCATTGTTCCAGGCAACGATGCAGCAGCGTATCCCTTCCCGCCAATTTTGGTCAACATCGGCGATCTGCTGAGCTATTGGACTGATGGGTTGCTCAAGTCGACTGTGCACCGTGTTGTGTTCCCGCTGGCTGAGCAGCGAAGCCCAAACCCGCAGGATCGGTATACGCTGGTTTATTTCTGTCATCCGGTTGATGCTACTGAGCTGATTCCCGTCCCAAGCGAGGTTGTTGCGAGACATCGCGAGGGACATGGGGGAATTGTTGGGAAGGTTGGATTTGGGGGTGGTGCTGGGAGTTTGATACCTGGAGACAAGCCTTTGACGGCCCATGAACATTTGATGTCGAGGCTGGAGGCGACCTATGGGTTCAGTAAGGATGTATAAAGGACATCTAATTGGATTGCTGAATACGGGAGAGTTCAAATGTGAGGAGAGTCAAGTCGCCTGTGAGACTGAAATTGGATTATGAGAAAAGGATGAAGAAAAAGAAAAACGCCTGTGCCGTTGTGGCAAAGTGCAAGAACACAACAAAAAAGTCCTCCGGACATAAATCAATCATAGATGAGATGCGCAATGTAGAATGCTTCAGATGGTGGGGACATGGCCGGATTTATCGGTCATGCTGCCCATCTACCGACATAGGAAAATCGTGATGGCACAATTAGTTATGGGAGGAAACGTGATGCTTCCAACAAAACAGAGGCAGAGGGAATAGGTCCCACGGTGGGGAATGGTAGAGCGAGATGTACAGTCATGAGATAGAAAAGATATGAGCAACGAAAAAAAAAGGGCTCGCAGGCAAGAGCCCCACGTCAAAGCAAGTTCAAAGCCGTGCGAAGAAGGGAATATAACAGAAGCCAAACATGTTAAGAGGTATCTTCGGGTCGAAATGGAAACGCCGCCAGATTTTGAAATGCCATGCGTAGTGAGACCTTAGGAATAGAATATGAGACGCGAGACATAGATAACGCTATGCGAGCCGGTATGCATGGAAATCAAAAATGAAAACCCCGAGATCATGATCACGGAGTCATATGGCACCAGTGCCGGTGATACACCCAAGCAGATTTCTGGCACTCTTTGCTGCAGTACTTGGTGCGACGGCAACGTCGACATTTGGCAAATTGACGCTGGAACTCTTCCCACTTGCCACATTTGTAGTAGGCACACTGGCGGATCCCACCATTTGCCTCGTCTTTACGACAGAGGTTTCTCATGACCACACAAGCCCAGTACTGCATGTCCTTGGAGTGATGTCTCACGGTGAACTTCTCAACCAATGGGAAGATATTCACATCATCGGGCAACAGATACTCATTCTCCTCCTCACACATCTCGACCGGAGCAGAGTCGGCGTTATCATCCAAAAGATGGAGTTCACGGTCGATCTTCAGCTTGGGAACGAGGTGGGAGGATTGGAAATATGATCTGAGGTAACAGTACTTGGAGATGTATGCCAGCAACTGCAACGACATGAGGACATCCTCATCACGAGGCATTGCGGTCAGAACGCCCTGAGCTGCGGGAGCGTTGCGGTCACGGAGGTACAAGGCATAGGGTGTTGGGGCGAGAGTGGGAGAGTTGGGGTTGTTGGTGGCTTGGGTTGGGGAGAGACCCAATCCACCAGTGTTTTGGGTGTTGCCGTCGGTAATTATGCTACCGTCGACGGTCGACCGATGGGTGATATTAAAAGTCTCGACCTCTGGGCCTTCTTCCTCAGAGGGATCGGTGACAGTAAGACCATGGGCGGGAGAGACATTGTCCAACATCGTATTTTCTCGGCCCTCGACATTGTCGATTTCCATGCGATTCGGAAGTCCGACAATGGTTTCAGCAGGCTGTCCCATCGTGCTGTCATCCATACTCGGATCCTCACCATGGGCATCGTCCGACTCACCGGAGCCTGATTGCTGCTGGCGGATCGCAGGACGCTGTCTGGCGGCGATCGTTTGAGGAAGACTTCGGGGTTGTGAATGAAGGGGTCCACTTGGAGTAGTCGGGGAATCGGGCTGTGAGACAATCCCAGTCTGAAGACCGGGAAGCATGCTAGGGAGGCGCTCAGTGTCATGCACTGGGCGCAATCCGAACCCATCAGTGGTTTCCATGGATGGAACAGCTGTGGCTAGAGGTTGCATTGATCGAAGGCGATGGCCTGCACGTGGCAGACGACCGTCATGGGCCCGGTGGTTGTGAGATTCTTGTCCAAGATTGCTGCTTTCTGGTGATGAAATCCTGGGAACATGGGGAGGAGAGGTGATATCCATGGCATCGGAATCGATTGGCTGGCTGTCATGATGGAATGGCTGGGGAATTTCGATGCTCGGAGGAGCCTGTCGATGACGGTGAGATTCCTCGGGCTCGGTGTGTGATTCGGGTTGGATGTCTAGATCCATAGGCGTGGAACGAGCAGAGGGCTCTCGGCTGCTGCTACATTTTTCGTCCTTGGAAGATGTTTGCTTCTCGGACTCGGGGGAGTCGCGTGATCGAACTTTATCCACCACCTTTATATAATTGTTCAAAATTGTGGCAATGACGGGGACCATGTCGGCTTCCACCACACGAGTCCTTACGCCCTCAGAGCCCCGCACTCCAATATTGACAACGCATTGGAAAGCGAGGCTCCATTTCCACATTTCCATCAAATCCTTGCTCCGGCCTTCTTTGAGGATGCATATCAAGCGCTCAATGCCACCGTCGACTGTAAGGATATCACGAATTCGGGCGGACGATGTTGTGAGGTAGGCGAGATGGTTGAGCGAGTTGATAAGGGGGAGGGTTGATGTGCAATCGAGGGCACGACGGTCGTAGAGAGTGGTGGTGATGTTGACCGAGGCCTTGTTCACATTGGGGATGCTAAAATTGACTTCCCGCATGATGAAAGAATGGCGAGACAAACGTTTAAACAGACGAAAGGCGATATTTCAGATGCAGAATGATGAAACGATGTAAAAGACCATGCAGAGTATGAATGCAAGAAGGCGAGAGGACCTTGAAGATATCCTTTCAAGGTAAGATTCAGCCCCCTAACCAGATGGGAATAAGCCCACTGCTATTTGTTGCTAAACTCTGGACAGGATTAATCCCAAGACATCAGGCGATTCAAAAGCGATGTTTCCAAGTGATGGATTTGTTTCGATGACTCCCAGCCAGAAGGGGCGAAAAGGGAGAATCGAGATGGAGGGTTGGAAGGAGGGGGGGTATTAGGGGGAACGAGGGACCGAATACAGGATCGAAACGACTCTCGTATTCTGTATTCGTCAAGTATGAGATGAAGTAAATGAGATGGCGATGGAGGGGGGGTGAAAGAAAGGATGGTTTGGGTTCAAGTTTGCGGCAAAGCGGAGAGCGTCAGGTGGCTCCTTAATATTGTTTTCGCTGGAACCAGTATTTGCGCCCGCCACTCTGCCTTCTTGACTAATCCTTCATTTTTTTCGTTTCTTTTTCTTTCGCAATCTTACTCTGACTCTTGCTCTGGCTCTGACTCTTGCTCTTGGATTCTCCTCTATCTCTACTTTTGCTAGTCTCCTGTCTCTCTCTCTACACGTCAAATCGAGTCGCCACCCTTGCCCGAAGATGAACTACATCGTAGAATTACATCCCCCCTTCACATACCAGCTGGCATAATTGTTCCTTGTCACAGGGTACGGAGTAGGTGTGCCCTTGATTTTTCTGTCAGATCAAGACATGCCTCGAACAGCCGATCGTTACCGAAAGAAACCCCAATATGCCGCCAGATTGATTATGCCATTCGGCACGAGCGGAGGTAGATCTTAAATATCCAGCGCACGAATCCACCAATGGCGCCGATGAACTATTGGAATAGCTTCGGCCATTTGTCTGAACCGGAAGAAGTTCAGACCACCTACCCCACAGATGGGGCCTTTCATTGTGTACAGTCCACCGAGGATCTCGAAGATGCCTCACAGTGTAGTGGATCGACCCCCGAAATGGGTTGTGTTACATCTTCATTTCATCGACGTCAACGTACATATTCAAAGACACCCCAAGGTTTGAGAAATGATCTCTCATTTCCTGTTTGTTGCGCAAAGCATTTCGCTCCCGAAGTATAGAACCCGACCCCTCCGTGACTTCCATACCCCACCCAGTGAACGTGAATCATTGAGGTGCGAGCAAACGGCCCGTGGAACAACATTCGATTGGAAATACCCCGGGCTGGATCATCCAACCCCTGATCCTACGATATGAGCACCAATGTCGCACGTGGAGCCAATATGTGCCGTTTCATGATCCCAGGGGCCGTTTCCTCAGCCTTGAGGATAGTTTATTTTGAGAGAGCGTTAAACTTAGTAACGTCTCATTGTCAGTGGTGTGCTGAGGGCCAACTGAAAACCCCCGCATGCATGGCTTTGGCCCCGTAGGGCCTCTATCACATCTCTACGGGGTTTGCACGCGCTTGCAACAATGTGGCGCACAGACAATCTAAGATTAGAACACCGGCAAACTGCCGAGTTATTTTATTACACGTCTAAGTGGTTGAAATTATTCCTTTCAAAAATTTGGGCTTATTTAGGACACTCTCATCGCGGCTGTTCAAGTAGAGAGACTTCTTAAGTTTCAGGATTAAGTCCCGCATGGCCTTAGCTCTAGACCATAACATACTCGTAAATCGTTGTTCGGCCTCAATGGTCCTCAATTCTGTGCCAAACACCACTTAAGTATATAAAATTTGAAACCGGATATCCCGCGGCCAGTACTCCGCACTCCGTACTCGGTCAAGTTGGAACTTGGGACTTCTATCTTCAAAAATGGCATCGTGCATACAACAAGAGTCTTCCAGGTGTTAGTGAGACCCATATTTGCTTTTATATACCCTGCTTACACTGGGCCTTCGGAAAAGGGGCCGCCTGTTGTACCTTCTGTGCCCCGTGGAATCTCGTACGAAGTACGAGTACGTAACTACAAACCGCAGGGACCTTGTAAAAAGGAGATGAATATATCCATCGATCCAACCGACAATCTCTAGAGCTCTTCCTGCTGAATGGCCCGGATTTCGTAGGATAGCTGACAGTACAAAATTGATTCGTGATCTTAGGTTAAATATGTTGCTTTAATTCATCTCCATGAATTGGCTGTAAGAAAAAGCATACCGGCATGATCATCTATAGATGGCTTTCGATAATCCACCAAGGTACCTAGTTTTCAGACCATGAATGGAAATCCAAACTATCTTTGAACATCTTTAAAGCAACCCTCAATACATTATCATGCGAAGTGACAAGGTGCGAGATGCGTCATAAGTGCCTACTTAAGTAGGCGTAGGCTCCATATTCTGACACTGACAACACACATTTAAAAACTCATATGCATGCTTGTGGCACATCAACATCCGATCGCCTACCGCTGGGGTCGTCAAAACCAACCAATCCCGGGTGTCGATTTTGCAAGAATCGAGCGAATAATGATGTCTAGGTAAATATCCAACACCCGGGCAGAAATGAGCTCGGTCAAACCTTGGTGAAGACCGAGAACGATTGAGCCGCATGGGTTGTGTGCAATTAGGCAGCATGAGTCAGAGGCATCTGTGAGATCAGCTATGTCTTGCCATCTTCGAACCGGAATATTCGTAATGCTGTCCAGGGGCGAAATAAATCTTGTGACCTTCGCAAACCATAACCGGGTCCGGTCTGGTCTAGTAGGAGCTCATCCCTGAAGCCAAGGGCATGGTTTTGGTGATACCTAGATGAACGGTCTCGAATACTCGGGCGAATTTAGCTTTGACCATCTACAGATGTCCAAGCGCTGTTTCTGGTTAATTGTGGCCTTTTGTCAAGAAGTTTTGCTGAATAACACCCGGGAGCGATATTCCACGATGACTGGTATGTTACCAGCGAAGTCAGATGTCGACCAAAAGACCGACATCATGATCTCGAACATTGGCATGCGTTTCAGTATTCCGGGCTGTAATATTCCCCTTCGAGGCTTTAGTCGAGCCTGAGGGCAGGTTTTGGAAGATGACTGCACATACAGATCAACCCATGCCAGGCCGTTATGCAATCATAGATTTGAAGCCAATGAATGCCACAGGATGACACTTGAGAGTCTCATAATACTGGATCAGCTGTCATCTCCCACTCTGTAGATAAATAGACTCGCGTCTGTCCCCGAACCCTCTAATTGGAGTCTGCACGAACAACACGATATTGCGGATCTCAAGTGGGGATCTTGGCGGGCCTCAACGATGTACCCAAAGCATGGACTCTATTCCTAAGCAGGAATTGTATTGCACATGCATAAGCAAGGAAATCTCCGTCCATGTGGCATTTAGAAGTTAGACCAATTTTGAGAAATCGAGAGTACTATGACGAGAATGCAACAAATGACGATCGCCCATGTACTCCATACTCCGTCTAGTCCGAAGATTGGGTCCGCGGAAAAAAAGGGGGCCCAGACAGCACAATCGATTGTTCCATAGTGGAGACATGGTTCTGAGCGAGTCAAGAGGCCGGAAATCCCTGTTCTTCATCTAACTACGAGCAGATGAAATGCAGCTCCCGGCAACGGTTGGGCCCGCCAACATGGATGACGCCAAAGTAACGGCTCAACCAATGCCGTGGGAATTGGATACGCCATCGTACATATCCTCGAGATTGCCTGAATGAGTCCCCAACCTGGAGAGCTCCTGAGGTCGATCAAGACCTTTAGTCAGCTTCGGGACCGTGCACCATTGAGACTATATCTAGAACGGATGGCTAGGGTTTGAGATCTCAGGGAGATTGCGTTAGATGTAAATTTCAAATGACATCGTGCCGACTGTCGGGATCTGAGAATAGCGATCACAATGGATTCCGGCTCAGTACGGATTAAGTACTCCGTACTCCGTGCAAGTAGCGAGAGTTAAACAGGGGATTAGACTAAGAATCATACCCGGAATGGACATGCATGAGACCCAGTCCAATCTCCGTTAGCTCGAAAAAAAAATACATATCCTCTATGTATGTAATCCAGGTATTTCGGAGGAAAGGGGAAAAGAGAGGAAACGAGGAAAACGCAGTGATATGTCAGAGAGCGGCGAATCGTTTCATTTTCTTCTTCTCGAACAGAGCCGCGGAGGGGCGGTTAAAGACGAACGGGAGGATTTGCCGTTGACTCTCCTTTGACCATTGACTGAGTCTTCAGTTGGGGCTAGTGGTCCTAGCACCAAGCCGATCCTCAGCGCCACAATTTCCTCCGATACCAGTACGAAGTATCAGGAGGCGGTATTTTTTGTCTTCTGATGTACTTACTGCAGACTCAATATAAATCTGCATATCAAAATATACATAATGTACGGAGTAGGTCCTCGTATGGAGAACGTATTTATACAGAGTGCAGTGTGTATTGGTATTGCAGAACCGCTCGAACAGGTAGAACGAGGCTGAAATGGCCAACTTTAGATACGTGCAACAAAGAGCGGGACTTGGAATTCACAGAGTATTCAACAGACCCAATTGGATTTAATTGTACTCCGTATACTCCAGACGATGGGATTTTTTTTAATCAAGTGAATAGTCCACGGGTGTCTAAACCAGAAGTGCCGTGGTACCTCGTAGTTGGCTATAAATTGGCTGTGAGTCCGGGTACCTTCCACTTTGGTATGTCATCGATTACCACTAGCCGGTAATACGCTGACTCTCCTCGCTCGGTCTTCACCCCCTGTTCCTCCTGTTCAGTCCCTTTGCTGTCGGTGCTCTTTCTTCCCAGACTTTCTTGTCCTCTTTTTTTACCCTCTCTGATTATTCTTATTATGATCCAGACTTGAGGCGCATCAATCTTCATTCCGCCTTTCTTTTCTCCCTTTTTGCTCCCACTCCCCATTGAGCACACCCCCCCTTCCCCTCAACGTTTCTGATTTTCCGACCTCCCACTTCATCATTGTTATCTTCCGAGATACCGTACCGACACAATGGCCGACATGAGCGGCGAACAGATGCAGGCCAAGATCACGGCCGCCCGACGCGAGGCTGAGGGTTTGAAGGACAAGATCAAGCGCAGAAAGGATGAGCTGGCCGACACCTCTCGTACGACTCCCACCACTTCTTATTAGATGCCGAGGCACACGAATCCAGAATGGCAGCTGTCTAGCAACAATGTTGCCCTGGAAGTCCTTGAACTATAGTACTGACTCTTGTGCCCCCCCGTCCAGTTCGTCAAGTCGCGCAAAACCACGCCGATGCCCTACCACGAATTGGAATGAAGCCCCGACGCACGCTTAAAGGTCACCTCGCCAAGATCTACGCCATGCACTGGTCCACTGACCGACGCCATCTCGTCTCCGCCTCGCAAGATGGAAAGCTCATCATTTGGGATGCCTACACTACGAACAAGGTCCATGCGATTCCCCTGCGCTCCTCCTGGGTCATGACTTGCGCCTACGCCCCGAGTGGCAACTACGTCGCTTGCGGTGGTCTCGATAACATTTGCTCAATTTACAATCTGTCTTCGCGTGAGGGCCCAACCCGTGTCGCGCGCGAGCTCTCGGGGCACTCGGGATATCTCTCCTGCTGTCGCTTCATCAACGATCGTCGCATCATCACCTCCTCCGGCGACATGACCTGTATGCTGTGGGATATTGAGTCCGGAACCAAGGTTACCGAGTTTGCCGACCACCTCGGCGATGTGATGTCGATTAGCATCAACCCAACAAACCAGAACATCTTCGTCTCCGGTGCTTGCGACGCTTTCGCCAAGCTTTGGGATATTCGTACCGGCAAGGCCGTTCAGACATTCGCCGGCCACGAGTCCGACATCAATGCCGTCCAATTCTTCCCCGATGGCAACGCCTTCGGAACCGGTTCCGACGACACTTCTTGCCGCCTGTTTGATATCCGCGCCGACCGTGAACTCAACACTTACCAGGTAAACAATCACCATAATGAATCGATTTTTTTTTTATTGACAGAAGCTGACGTTGGAATCCATTTACTTCAGAGTGACCAAGTTCTTTGCGGTATCACCTCCGTTGCATTCTCAGTCTCCGGTCGCTTATTGTTTGCCGGATACGACGACTTCGAGTGCAAGGTAAGCTGATTTCCTGCGTCTCAAAACACGGATAGAAGCTAATTCGAGATTTCAGGTATGGGATGTTCTGCGTGGAGATAAGATTGGTTCTTTGAGCGGCCACGACAACCGTGTGAGCTGCCTTGGTGTCAGCAACGACGGCATCAGTCTGTGCACTGGATCTTGGGATTCTCTCGTAAGTTCCATCTGTTACTCGGGTTTCCAAGGACATTCACTAACCTCTGGTTTTCTCGCATACAGCTCAAGGTCTGGGCCTGGTAAACCAACAAAAACAAAACGCAAGATACCCCGTGTCGATCATTTTGCAATGCTCTTCTTCGAAATTTTTTAGGTTCGATGGTTCGAATCTCCGCCATTGTACGATAATAATCAGTTACCGGGGAACCCGTCGGGTTTTCACGATAATAAACTACTCACGGCGCAGACATCGGCTCGTCGCATGCGATACGGAAGGTGGAGGTTGTGAGCGCTATGGGATGCAGTCCCGGCGAACAAACGATAGCGATGACAATACTGTTTGGACATGACGAGAGCGCGACTAGTCCTTGGGTTGTCGATGGTTGTACAGTGACTTGCAGGTCAAACCAAGCCAATCCATCTGATGCTTCCGCCGTCACCCTCTCTGGTCCCTGAATTTCTTAACTTCTCAATGACGCCCCTTTCCCCATTATCCTTTTTTTTCTTGAATTTCTTTATCCCCCCTTTAAGTTTCTCTTCTTTGTTTCCCCTTCTGGCCCTCGCATCGGTGTTGGTATGTGATTTCTTGGCAATGGCAAAAAAAAAGGAGGTCCCATCTACTGGATTTCGGCCATGATATTTCTGCTGATCCACTGCGTCACATTATTATTCTCTTCCCTATTTCTCTCTGTCTCCCTCATCTCCCTGTGTTCCCCCCCTTTTTTTTATGCCTCTCAACAAAGAGTATGCTGTACTTACTGTCTTTGCGTTGGAATCTTTTGCTTGAGATTCCTTGGTGTCGGATTTTGATTATGTTTCGAGCAGTCCAATTCCTATTTGTGATCTTTTTTTCCTAATTCCTGGTTTTAACCTTCCATCCTAGAGTCCATGTTCGATCTTCGGTTTGTTGCTCAGTGTGTGGCCTTTGAAGTTATCTGGTGTTGAGCGTGGCGTGGGCATCAGGATTCAGGCATAGGGCATGCACCAACGATCTTGATTCTGCATCAGTCTTTCGAATTCTCGGCTTGTTACTCAGTATCTGAAGTGTATGGCGTACAATTCTTAAACTCGGGTTCCTTGTATACAGTATCGAATAACGAATCACGGAGGACGTATGCCATGTTACGAGGCCAGTTCCGTGCCTCTAGAGCGAGTCGTGATATCTCACTAAATTCAAGACGCTGTTCTTACACCGGCTGCCTCTGTCATTCAGATTGGCCAAAGACGGAAAACGGACAACCCAAATCACCATTGCAGGAAGAAGATTTGGCCAACAGACTAAACGAAGACCCCGAATTCCTGACTCGGAGATGAGGTACTTCAGGCCGCCTGAAGAGGTATGTGCTCACGAATATGATATCTTCATGGCCGGGGCTAAGCACTGCCGTGTTTGCGCCTCCCACGTAAGAGTGAGATCCCCCAGCCTAGCCACTGAACGTACCTGAAGGAGCCCCCCGATAATAGCAATACGAGAACACCTGGAACTCCGAGAGTCAACTAGTGCCTCACTTACCTCTATGCGTAGATTGTCGGCAATTCCCGCTAAATTGTCTCAGCGACAAGCTTTCCATACAATGTCCCAAGAGTATAAACCAGATCATTCTCTACTCCGTACTCTGCACTCCAATCCCTTCATCAATCCCACCATGTCTCTGTCATGCAATGCCGTATCCAACCCCTCCTTTGAAACCGGAATTCTAAGCCCATGGCATGCACCCATCAACGTTGCAACAATCACCAATGGATCAACCGCATATAGCGGCAATTACTACCTGTGAGATACCCAGCATCACACCTCACCTCTCATATCCCAGATCCCAGCTCCGAACTAACCAAATCCTAGCAATCTCCAAACCGCCGTAGGAAACCGCGGTAACACCATCTCCCAGGGACTGCGGCACCTAAAGCGTCACACGCAATACAAATTCAGCGTACAGGCTCAGCTTCCGTCTCCATCCGGCTCGGAATACTGCTCGGTATATGTGTACATCGGTCGGAACGCAACAGTCGGTAACATTGCCTCGGCGCAACTATTTCATCCTGGGGAGTGGATGGAGGTGGCTGGGAGTTGGGTGCCGAGGCGGGAGCAGGATGTTCTGAGTATTGTTGCTGCTTGTGATTCGGAGGATTCGTCGGTGACGGGAAATGTTTTGCTTGATGAGATTGTTTTTGCTCCTGTTGATTGTTATGGGTTGGAATAGGGTTGTTGGACAGGTGGGGCTATATGAATGACAGAATTGACTTGGATTTGGTTTGTGCAGAGTGTATACTTATGTACACTTGTAAGTATGATGATGTGTAGGGTGAGAATGCGTGAGGTCTTGGAAAGGCTCAGCCAGTGATGGCATAAGTTAGGGCTGACGTTGTGGTCGCACGTTTTGCAAGACGGTTCATTTTGAACAGGTCCAGCTGATAGAAACCCACTGTGCCAGAGATCTAAGATAGTGAATTCAAGTGGACCGACAAGTGGCCTTGGAAAATCTGGTTCTGATGCCCTCGCCATGTCGTAAGAGGTGCCGGGTTCATCCAGGGTGATGACCAACCGATAGTAATCAAGATGAATCCATGATCCTTGCACTCCGTTAGTCTGTCGTATTCACTGGGCTCATGTGCCAAGCAGGGATGATATGATCAAGTGACAAAAATAGTGGCTAAGAAGAGCCCTGGGGTACCCAGGCCCATCACTTGCTGGCTCGCGAAGGATACATCTAGATCATCAACCTTGACACAGAATGGGCCAACAGGGAAGTATGGCCGATTCCTGGTGGGAATCTTGAGATTAATATGGGTGTGATCTTCCAAGACCTGCCGACTTTGTCTCCGTTGGGGTCACAGCAGCTCAATTGGACCAAAGCACCGAATCATGCCCTAAAGCCTACAGAGGCCCTGGAGACTGCAAACCTCAAATATCAATTGATGTCCGACACTTTAGGCCAGTGAGGATCTCGTATACCTGGTATCGATTATTGTATATCAACAGCTGTGATGGGAGTATTGCGATGTTGATGTGGAGACATGCCTTGGGGTACTCCGAATTTTCACGCATGTCAGCACGTCAGCTATGCCGTTGGCACGGAGATTGGATATAGGATCAGAAAACGGGCGATCTATAGTCGAGCACACAGAGTCTCCTGAAACAAGCGAGGACGCTCGCTCTCGGTCCAAGCCATAGGCAGTATCATAGGCGCAGAAACGCTCTCCCCAATCTCCATAGGGCTGGCGTCTACGCCTGCGCAATCAAACCTGCAGCTAATGTCAGTGGGATTTCAGGATGAAGAATCTGAATACGAGGGCCCACCGAGGTCGAGCTATGTAATCTGACAGCGACATCAAGGTCCTGGCATCCATCCGTCAGAATATGCTCGTACGAGGCTCGAGCCGAGGCCAAAGTGCTTCTAGCGCTTCTGATAGTGGCCGAGGATGTCTATCTTGTCCGATCTAGGAATACGGTCGAGCCGATTGAGTTGAAGAAAGGTCGATCGCGCGGCACTCCCACATTAGCGGGTTTGAGATGTTGAACCAAGCAAGTTCACAGGCAGTGGAGCCTTCGGAGCCGAACCGCGAACCCGAACCTATACGGGAATTATTTATATCTCTTTTCATATCCGATGACCTAGGCCAATGGAGAAGTGGAGGGATCTACGGAATCCATCTCCGCCGAAACGCCCTATTCCAAAGTAGATAGTCGCCCGGGGTACGTCGGGTAGTTCTGCATCATACGTAATCTATAGATCGTAGGCAATAGCAGTGTTTGAGAAAGAGGACAATAAATAGAACACAAACAAAGATACGAGTAGATGAAGTCTCAGTGTCAAGATTGTATCAGGTCGAGCAGAGTACCATGGAATGTAAATCCATTCTCGAGTCCGAGATTCTCGTAGACCGTTTGCCTCGAGATCTGTGTTCGACCGTTGGGCGCTAAGTTAAATAGATGAAACGGCGCTAAGCAGAGGTTCGATTCAATGCCAGGTTTATATTTGTTTATTTTTTATTTGCTTTTTAACGGAGGAATGCCGAGTCTACTTTTTTCTACTCGGCTCTTGAAGTATACTGCGTACATTCTAAAGTTGTAGTTTATAACACCCAAGTAGTCCAGACAGGGTACGGAGTTCTCCGTACGAGTACAAGTACAAGTGCAAGATTGAGTTCGACAAAAGCCCAATTGCTTTGGATTCAAGCAATCAAGAAAAATCGATTGGCGTAGAACGTTCTTCAGTGGAGAATCCCACCTGAAACGGGGAAAAGGGGCTGACCACCTCACCGTTTCACCCTGGCGATCTCTTCCCTGCTCAGCCTCCTCTCCGTTTCACTTCAGGGGTTATTCCAGTTCTCACATTCTCTACACAAACGCAACAGCTCTTAAAACCCTCCTCCCCCACTTCCAAAATGTCCGCTGCCCAAGAAGAATTCAACCAGCTGGTTAACAGCCGTCCACACTACACCACCCACCCCGAAGACCGCGAAGACTCAGACCCCCACTACTCCGACGAAGAACCCTTGCATAAGACCGTTGATTCCTCCGACGAAGACGAAAACATGGTCTCCTCACGTGCCCCAAACTACCACGTGCCCAACACCGTCTACGACGCCAACACTGGCCCCAAGGGAGTTATTGCCGATGCTCAGGCCTTTGAGCGCGCCCGCAAGAAGTCCTTCCGCCGCACCCTGCTCAACGCTGCCGGGATCAACCACGGCCCTTCTTTCAACTCCAAGTCCACCCGGGATGAGTCACCAGCCGGCGAATCCTCCAGTGAAGATGATGACGAGGCCCGGTTTATGAATAAGTGGCGTGTGTCCCGCATGCACGAATTGCAAAATCGCAACAATCGCCGCCCTAGCCCGCGGGGTAGACGGTTCGGCTCGGTTGAAACCGTTGATGCTGTGGGGTACCTCGATGCCATTGAGAAGGTCACTTCGGATACCGTGGTTGTGGTCTGCATCTATGACCCGAATGTAATTGCCACCATTCCTGCCTGACTAAGATGGATTTGCTGACTTTGTCTTTCTTAGTACGACGATAGCGCTATCGTTGAGGAATGCCTGGTTACGATCGCCCGCCGACAGCCCACGACCCGCTTCGTAAAGATGCACCAAGATATCGCCGAAATGGATCACATCAAGGCCCCTGCCCTACTGGCTTATCGTGGGGGCGATGTCTTCGCAACCATCGTCGATGTGTTGCGTAGCATTCCTCGCGGCCGCAGTTGCAGTGCTGATAGTTTGGAAGATTTGTTGAAGTTGTGCGTCTCCCCTCAATGACTCCATATTCCTTGTTTAGGTTACTAACTCACATACAGGAACCGTGTACTTTAATCAATACTTGAAATCGTCCTTGCCTCTTCTTTTGTTTTTAAAACCGTGGTTCAACGGTAGCATGGTGTCTTGGTTGTTCGCTTGGTGATTCTTCAGGGCTTGTCTTTCCTTTTATTTCCTTTGCTCTTTTATATCTCCTGTCTCTCTCAATCTGCTTTTCATGCCTGTCTTTGTCGCAAACACGTTGACTGGGGGGTGTATGGCACGGAAAGAAAAAAAGGAAGAACAGACATCTCTCTAAACGGCGTTGGTCTCTAAAATGGAGTGAATGGGTCTACCTCGGTTGATGGTCTGGTTACTATCCTGATGTGCCCCATTGGACAATTGTGCATTCTCTTCTCTCCTTGTCTGATTACTTCCCTACTTTTTACAGCCTGGCGGGGACTGGGCTTGATGTTGATTTGAGATATCCCATGCTGTTATTTACCTCTCTTTTATTGAACTCGATTTACATATACGGTGCAAGTAATAAACAAAGCAGTACTTGAGTACTCTGTAGTCAATGATAGATCTTGTAATGCCAATATATGAGTTGCAGAGACAGCTTGGAACACTTCTGGTTCATATACACACCTCGGGAGTATTCTACCTAGATACGGAGTATAGTCAGCGATAGACGAAAGCCACCTGGGCAGTGTGAATGCCACGGAAGAATTCAGGACAGACATTCGATCTATTGCTGGAATATACCTAAGTAGCTCTAAATTGGCAAAGCGCAACGGGCCCTGCAAGTGCAGGGTCGTTTACACCTACCTAACCTCACAAGTGGCCTCCAAAGAAAGCAAGATATCGAATTTGATAGTTCTCTCTTCCCTTCACATGGAAGAGACTCAGCGCATCGATGCAGCCAACGGCACGGAAAAAAAAAGAAGAGGAAGGAAAAAAAAGAAACAGAACCAGAGCCATCCGATTTCCTCTGACGGTCCGCTAACTCCCCGGGTCAAAGACAAGTAAAATCATGAGAAAGAAGTAACTAGGCGTATGATGACGGAAACAGATGGAATGAGCAGAAGCGAGGGCCGGATGAAATGTCCCTCGCCTACTCGTCTGCTTTCACTGGCTTGAAGTTCCCTCAAAGGGCGCCACGCTCCGCCGTGAAATCCCAGAGCATCTTGATCAATGCGTCGGGTAGGGTGTATAGATCAACGTGGAATTCCCCAACTAGAGCAAACGGTATCAGTATGGGACTGGACAGGGCTTCGGAATTTTCAAGAGGTAAACTCACGCTCAACATCATTCTTAGTGTATGAATCGGCTGCTTTGTTGTCGTGAACCATCTGGACGACTTGCAGAAGGTCGTCTTCGTTAAGCTTCTGGAGCCCGTCGGCGAGTCTGTCCATGTCGACCTTGGGGTGTGTCAGTCCCGCAATTCATATCTTCTGACCCGGCAGAAACTCACATTCTTGTCGGTACGCTTCTTCTTCTTGGCGCTCTCCTCGCCACCGGCTGGGCGCTTGGCCTTGAGGCCATTCTCATCTCCGGGGACTGGACCGGACTCACGCAGCGCAGCTAAAAGCGCTGGCTTGGGGTTTTTGAAGGTCTGCGGGCAAGATGTCAGCAGAAACTCATTCTGCCAGATGTCGTCGTCATTTTCGAAGTGAATCTTACCAAGACATGCTTGCTCTCATAGCGGTTTTGAGCAAAGTTCAAGTCATGTTGGATGGTGTACGATTTGTCGGCCGTGAGCTCGATGGACATGTCAAACTCACCCCAACCTTCTTCTTGGATACGGAAGGGGGGCTGTTTGAAGACTGTTCGTGATATCGCAGAGTCAGCATCAAGTCTATATCACCGCCTGCCCGAAACCAAGCTTGCACCAAGGCTCGCTCTATCGCAAGCCAACTGTGACAAAGTTGGATAGATCACAATCATACCTTGAGTGGCACGGTCGCCGAAACTGGGGTGCAAGTGGAAAGTGACCCTGTCGAAGATATTTGCCGGAACCAGAGCGCCCTTCTCGTTCACGAGCCACACTTCGATGTGCCAAGATCGCTGCGGGAAGCCCTCGACTTCAGATGGCTTATCTCTGCAGCGAAGAAGCTCGAGTCAGTTGACAGTCACATATCACCAGTCGCGTGAACTTGAAAGAAAGGGAGGGGGGTGCGGAGGCCAGTGTTTGTCGCGTCCTTTCGTGCTCATGCGCACGGCCACGTCCCAGTCCTACGAGCAGAAGACTCAGGTAAAAACCTAGCTGACACCCATAGTGGAAGACGAAGAAGCGCACGAAGCGCACGAAGCGCATGGAGCGAATATGAGACCGGACCGCGAGGACAAGGGTGGGGAGTGATCGAGGTGGAGGCAGAGAAAGCGCACGTACATAACATTCTGCTCAGTGATGAGGCGAACAGTTCGCTTGACCTAAATAGCGAAAGAAAAGAGGTTAGCTTGGAAGGAGGAAATTGAGCTCGAAGCTGTTGCGCATGAGAAAGCCACCCAGGTACAGTAGGAAGGTCTGCCACGGCGAGACGCTCAGTCCTGCCAGATGTAGGTCTTTGGATGGCGCCGAGAAGTGAGTCAAAAGAGAATCGGAACTCACGTCAGGCATTTTAAATTGATTGTGAGCTCAGTATAGGCGTGGATGGTGTTCAGTTCAGGATCAAAGCTGAAGGGGCGGAGTGACGGGACAAGTTTGCGCGGTGGGAGGTTCGAGGTTCTGGCAACACAATGATTAACGGGAGACAGGGAGGCGTCCAACGACGTAAAAATACCTAAGATGTGATTTTCAGTACGATGAGGGCTAAGAGCGAATACGATGGACGATTCAGATGAATGATCTAAGAGCGGTGGGAAATGAATAAGGTGAGGTTTGGTTGCAGATTGGCACTTTTGCCTCACGTTTCACTTTTTTTTTACTCCTCATGTTCGTCTACAAATGCACTTGAAAACTACATTCACATATTTATTTGCTTTTGAGAGTCTTGAGTGATTCAGCCCTGTTTGCAGAAGTACGGGCCGAGTGACGCCTACATTAGGTCCAACGGCTGTACCTCAGGTATACATGCCAACGTTGGCCTCAGCCTCAGCCTCAGCCTCGAGAATTTACATGCTTACAGTTCTCTATTTCTATTCACAATCTTCAGATCAAAATCATGTTCAGAAATTACAGTCTTTTTAGTCTTTGTTCTTGGGTTTCGTTTCCAGGTATCATGAGGGTATGGGGGTCATGTGCAGGGTGTATATTCGATGGGAAAATTTCTATCTACTGCCAAACTGTGACTGACATTGGGGAATTGCCCTCCATTTCGTAGACTGCATGGCTTGCAACACCAATGCAAGCAACATCTTCGTAACTGTTGTCTCGCTCGTTGCGTCATAGGGGTGGGAACTGGATGGATTGGGGGAGGGGGGTAAGGGGCGAAATTGAGGTGATTTTCGAGAGCGGATTCCTGATGAGAGCTAAATGCCCGGAGTGCTAAGGGCACAATGGGTGATTTTTCCTCACAAGCCTCGAGAAGTAATCATTGTAGCGGAAGAGATGTTTACTCCTCAGCGTTGAAGAGCTTCTCGTTCTCCTGCTGGGCCTTCTCGAAAGCTTCCTTGAAAGCGTTGGCGTCTGGAGGATTACGTTAGCATATGTTAAAGCCTGTATATAGACACGGAATCTACTCACTTTCGCTGTTGGCGAAACGAATGGCCAGGGTCTGGGCCTCGGGCTCGCCCTCGGAGACATCGGCAGCGGCGTTCCAGACCCAGCTGCGGTCAGAGCCGACGTTGGCGCTGAGAGTCATATCGGGAACAACTGCGGTAGCGCGTTAGGAACAGATCACACGTCAAGAGCATGGCGCGGGAAAGATCTTACTGTAGTGGTTGGCGCAAACCTTGAGGGTCTTGTCACGACGCATGACAAGACGGGTCTTCTGGTTCTCCTTGTGCTTGAGCAGACGCACGTCACCGGTACCGCGCTCCTTCCATTCCTTAGACTCGCGGTCGAACTTGAAGAGCTTGGCGCGCATCTTGAAGGACTGCTCCTCGAGCTCCTCGTTGGTCTTAGTCTCCACCTTCTCGGTCAGGTGAATGACGGGCTCGAAGTGGACATCGGCGGATTGCTCAACCTCATCCTATTTAGAAAGATCATGATTAGTATAGAATCTCGACAAAAGGTACCTTCGCCGGGCAAAATTTGGCATGGTTGCGATGACCCCACTATACGGGGAAAGGGGCACAAAAAGACCCCGCTCCCAGTGTCCGCACCCAACAGCCATATGTTTATCCAGCATGAGACGTATACAACGTACCTCGTCATCGGCCTTCTGGGCCTTGGAAGAACCGGAGGGCTCGTCAGTGGGCTCAGCGGCCTCTTCCTTCTTCTCTTTCTTTGGGCCGCCACCGAACATGGAGAACACGCTGTCGGAGGTCTTCACGGCAGCATCCTTAGCGGTGTCAACGGCCTCTTGAGCGGTCTCGGTGACAGTCTCCGCAGCAGCCTCAGTGGTGGACTTCTCGCCCTCGCCGGTGGCAGTGGTCTCCTCGGCCTTGGTGTCAGGGACGACGGTGGTGGGGTCGGGCTTGTTCTCGGCAACGTCAGACATGGTGATGGAGTTCAGGGTAGTTCGGTTTAAAAAGATAGGAATGGATGAGATGGCAGGGTTCCACAGGTACACGAGTGGAATCACAAGAAAAGAGATGGTAGTGTTTGTTGATCAAGAAAAGCGGCGATGAGGGGGGAAAAATTAATACCTACATTGGGTCCCATCGTCGGCAGAATTCCATACCGCCCTCGTCCGCCAATAGACAATAAACAATAACACCACGAAAGTAAGAAATTTGGGCTATCGGAAAATCATCACGGTTCAATTAAGATAATAGCGCCTGCATCGACTGAGATAATCCAAGTTGACTCCCTGTCCCACTGCCTCCCAACCCTGTTCGCCGCAAACAAAAAGAAAGAAAGAAAGCCCCCCATCCCTCAGCCAATTCATTAGAAAAAACACAGCAAGTACATAGTAATAAAGAAGATTTATCCATCATTTCGAGCGAGAACGAGCTGAGCAATCGTCGGATTTAGGCGACCAGAGCTTCATCACGTATCTCGCACGCGATTGAGCCCGGTCTAAAGCTTCGCATTTTCGGGCACTACGCACCCTGTCCATCATGCTGTGAAGGTCCACTTTAGGAGTTGAGTTCTCGAGTCGACTCCATGCATCATGCAGAAAACTTTTGGCTTCTTTGTTGACGCCACTTGTATGCATCTGCAGCGCCGAGGACACAATTTGGAATTGTTGTAGAGCGTTGCGGGCCAAGGTCTCGGACATCTGCTTGGAGCGGGATAGAACGACATCGCGTGCACTCAGACTTTCATGATGTAAAGTCTCCGCATCCCGGCGTAAGATATGTGCCTTTTTCACGACATCGCCCATGAGTACCTGCAAGTCCGTAGAAAACCGGCCATACACCTCTGTCAAGCCGGTTTGAGCTGTGTGTAGGTCTTTGGCGATGTTTGCTGTGATTTCCTGTGCAGCACGCCTCCAGTTTGAGATCTTCAGCCACGGAGTTCCAAAGTCAAGGTATATGGTCTGGTTGACTGGACGTCTGGACTTGGGTGTGATGGTCAAGTTGACCAAGCCATATGCATCCTCCCGATTCAGCTTCAGCGTATAAACACCCTCGAACAGAGCCGAAAGCTCATACGGAAGAGCCTTATCCTGCCTCTGGACGCTGATATTGAAGTTAGGGGTTTTCTTGGATGATGCAAACTTTGGGGGAGGCTTGATGACAACATGGTAGTCTCCAATGACTTGGAACTCAAATTCATCGTTCTTCTGCGTTTGAGGCGATGAGATAGTCGACAACTTAACATCTGCGGAAATCGAGCTACCCACAGAGGACACCTGGAATAGTCGCACAGATGATGATGGAAGTATCGCGATAGGAGTTTGGTTTGCTCGATCCAGGGCTGGCAGGGAAGCGGTGGGGAGTTGAGAAGCCACTGGGAGGGATGCACTGGACAGGGATGTGCCGACGATGCACTGTGCTAGGAAGACGACCAAAACCTTGATAGCTGTATATCCAACAAAGACAGCGATGACTGAAATGAGAGCAAGAGTGGCCAGACGCAGCGTAGGGGCCAGCTCTCTGGCCTTGGTAGCATAAGAGGGCGGAAGCCAGTCAGCGGGATACTTCCCGAGATCAGCAAAGAGATGTCGCTTAACTGGCTTGGGGATGTGAGCGGTGACTTTGTGTGTCTTCCTGGGATACAAGCCAACGAGCGAAGCAAGGTTTCGATTTAGCTGACCGGCAGTGATGCTCTCGAATGTCTTCAAGTCAATTGGATACCGTCTGAGAACCGCGGTCTCCCCAGAAAGCGGATGTCTGGATTCCAGACAAGTATGCAGACTGTTATGGTTGAGAGGGACCACTTCTTCAGTCATGTTCCATAGTGGCTCTTCTGATACCACCATGGCCGGGATTCCGTGGCGTTCTAGGAAGGTGTGGGCAAGATGCTGAGTCTTCAAAGCCGTTTCATCATCGCTGCTAGAAATAAAGATGATGGCCACATCAGGTAGGGTCCAGTCAGATGTAGAGGAGACTCGATAATCAAACCCGTTCCATGCCGATGTGCAAGGAGGGCGGTTCTTGAACCTCAAGCTAAGTGTGTTAAGTGTGTTAGGACGGTCTGCGCGTGGATCATCGGTGGCCTCCACGCATTCATCAACCACAAGCTGGACATGAATTGGCAGGAGCTCCGCGAAGGTGGGGACGGCGCCGGCGCCGAAAGAGGTTGGTACAACGTGGTAACGGGAGGATTCCGCAGAGCTCGCCTCGGAGCCAGCGCCTGAGCTTGATACTAGAACATCTCCGATCTTGTCGAGGATGATATTACGAAATCCGGGATGACCAACATAAAGCACGCGGAAGGGCTTGTCTAAATCAAGGCTCTGCTTGGTCATGGTCTGTTGAACCGTGGCCATGAGGATGGAGTCGGTTGGGTTGTATGGCAATCGACGTTTGAGTTCGGAAGCTGCAGTGCCTTCAAATATGCAAATGGTGTGCTTCAGCTCCACCCTCTCGATCTCAGGCCACATCTCGGGCTCGACAAACTCGATTGAATCACTGGCCTTTGAGAAAGAGGGCTTCGCGGTGATGGTGCTATCGTTGATGGCGCTTCCCCTAGAAGCAAAGAGAGCCGGAAGCTCCTGGGAGACTGACTCCTCGCACTGGACCTCTTCATTGCCGATTCCATCGTCATCATCGTTATCATCATCATCATCATCATCTTGGTTGTCTTCATCCTGGCTTGCATCGCTGCCGCTGTAACGTTCGTCGAGGCTCGCAACATCGTCCGGGCTTGCCTGATCAATCAAAGAGCCGATATCGGTTTGCTCGGAGTGACTGCCATCCTCGGAGTGAATATCGGACACACTCAAGGTGGCCCAGCTGTCACTCAAGGATTTGGGGACATGGTCAGATGGTCGATCTGACGTCATGTTGGTGGGTCGTGAGTGAGATAACCACTCTTCGACAGAGGCTGTTGTTGGCGGCAAAGTTGGGTATTGTAGGCTTGAGAAGGGTTGGGCACTGAGGAGACGCCGGCGAGGCGACTCTGGAAGGTCAGTCATATCGTCGGGGATAAGTTCATGGAGTAAATGGCGGCGGAAACAGAGGCTCAAGAAGAACTCAGGTCGGAGCAAGAACCAAGTCAAAAAGAAGAAGCGCGGAGTTAGAGGCAGAGCACAAGTGTGGGGGATATGAAAAGGGGAGGTCGGAAGATACTGGATATGCCTAAGCACCAAAGACACAGAAAGCCCAATAGAGTGATAAGCAGGTGGGTCTGCGGGGGTGGTTACCGTCACGGGTCTACCTCAGGAAGGGACGTAAGGGACGTAAGGGTTGAGAAAATGAAGTTATATTGGCAAAGACGATGATGTATCGGCCAAAGAAAAGGGAAACGTGAAGATCACAGAGGGGAGAAGTAGATGATCCGAGTGGAAGTAATGGCGGGGTTGTAGATGGTACTTGTCGGTGGGAGGGGGATGGTCCTGGGATGGTGGTATTGAGTACACCGAAATACACTGCATCTTACAAGGTCTCTTTGTTCTCACGCATCCTGCAGCTAAACACTTTTAATTCTGCTACAACATAACTCCGTAAAGTACTCCGCAAGTATCTTGTAGTTCTACTCCATACTTGATCGCCTACTCCACCCGGCCCCACATAGTCGCCATTATACTCTTTACTACAATCCGGGTATACATATCCTCACTGTTACGTTCCTTATACTTTAACCTAGTAGCATATAGTTACTCCGTATAAGTAACAAGAGTAATGGAAATTCGCAAACTTTCGTCTTATCAATTATATGGTATCGTGCAAATATGTACTGATGATCCCATCAAGCTCATTGCTCAAGTGAGATTGTGTAGAAGACCCCAGTCAATAACATCAAAATGACCTATTTGAATTCTGCAGGCTTTCCCCGCCTGTGTACTCTGTTTGTTTTGTTTGCTGGTATCAGGAATACAGATTATACAGCCCTCGCCTCATCTCCCTCCTTTAACCAATTACATGGTTACAATATTGATCAGCCACTGATACCTAGATATTCCTCTCTCTGGACTCTCACTTCCAGCCCAGAGAACGCTTTACCAAAAACTATCCAATGTGATCTTACTTAGTACTAAGGGTGCAAGCGATAATACCGGAAAACAAAACCACACACTTGTAATTGCTTGAGTAATTCAGGGCCATGCGATTCTGTTGAGTATTCTAGATCTATCATTATACCTCTGCTTCCCTGTCTTCTTCCAAGGTTTTTTTTCTTTCGTCAGGTCAGTCTCATTCAATCATTCTTTTTCAGCAGTGTCAATATATAGATCTCTTGCCAGCAACCTCGGAAGCTATTCCAGCAATGGCTTCATCCGGTGCCCCCATCCTGCCCATTCCGCTAGATCCATTGGTGTCCGATCCGAAGGATCTTTGCGTGTGCGATCTACTCCCCTCTCCAACAGAAGCCGAGCAGCGCATACATGGCCTTTTCGTGCCGCCATATGAAGCGGCTGTGGGAAGTGGCCTGGAATTTCAGGATCGGCCCGGTACTCCAAAAGAAGCCGAACGCTCGTTTCATCGAGGTTCACAATTGCAGTGTACAAGGGCGGCATTGGCTTGATATTTGTGATAGATCCCTATGGCTTGGATCGGCGCCTCTCTGTAGCAAAACCTCGACCACACTACTGTGTTTTCCATAGAGGACATAGCGTAATGGTGATTTCCAGTTTTCATCACTCGCATCCACTTCGGCACCCAGATCGATCAACCTGCGCGCCAGAGATTCATCGCCCAGGTGAGCGGCTTTAAAGGGAGGCGTCTGTTGATCTTTATTCCGGGCCGAAACGTCGGCCCCTTCGTCCAGCAGTTGGCTTGCGACCGCGGTATGTCCATGTTCTATGGCGATTGCCAGAGGTGTATTGTCACTGAGTGCATCACGAACTTCGATATTGCCACCTTGCTGAATCGACTTTTTTAATGTCTCAGTGATCCCATGACTCGCAGCCCAAATGATGGCTGAACTTTGGGACGCGATCACAATGCGGGTGTACAGATAGGTGTTGAAATGGGTATAGAAGTGCGAATGCGTGCGAACGAACGCATTGATATATTGCTCTGATTCAAGGCATTCCAAGATCATTAGAGGTAGCTCGCTCGAGAGGCCCAGTAGGTGCATTATCAAAGGCTCTAGCGTCGCTGGCCGCAATTGACTTAAAGCCCAGCAGGGGAGATGACTATCTAGGTGGGAGGCTGCGCACTTGAATTTAGAAGTGGGGATGTCCAGTCAAATTTGGCGTTCGCTGCCCGCTTTTAGTGCTGACAACGGGCTAAACGTCTGCTCAGGTGGGTGAAAATCAAGCACACCTTAGACATGAATCAGTAGAGGTCTGTAATTGGATATGACGAATGCGCACGGGCAACTTGCCAGATGCCAGCCACCTATCCACGGGCTCCAATGTTGGGACTTTGGTCTGTGAATTTATAAGCAATCTTTTGTAACTACATACCTACCGGGGTAGGTGTATAAATCGTCTCAGGGGTCTTGACCGGAAACCGAATCCAATATGAGATTGTACTCGTAAATGCTTCCAAGTTCCTGAAGTTCTAATTGCACCAATTCCGATTCTAAAGTTCTTGACCTTCGAAGTTTTACAATGTCATCCGGTCCTAAGCTCGATGATCAAGCTGTGTTAAAGTGGCTTGAAGGGGTGAGCCCCATCTTTCCCAAGTATATATACTGACACAAAAACTAATCTGTCGTGGTACTCAGTTCCATCAGGCCAGTGCTACGCTTGACGCCGATCGATGGCTTGACGAATTCATGACCGAAGACGTGGAGATGCAATATGCAAACAGCCCAGTGATCAAGGGCAGCGAGGTGCGGCAGATGTTCAAAACGGTACTTGGCCAGCTGGACATCATGACCCACGAGGTTCGATACTTTGATTATGTTGCACCGCGAATCTATCAAGCTGCGACTATCCGATACCTTGTCAAGGGTGACAACCATGACACCGACGAAATCACTATACCCGGTTTTGCTGTGTTCTCTGTCCGGGAAGATGATGGCCGTATCAAATGCTACCGAGCAGAGACTTTCCTAGACCCATCGGCAGTGTTTCAACGAATTGCAGAAAAACCAAGCCAACCATGAGCTTTTGCGGGGAATGTGTTGGAGTTGGAGTGATGGAAACATTGACCGACACTCGGAAGCCAGCAAGTCAATGATACGCCCAGGATATAGGAACCGCTCACTTGTCTGCGAGAACACAAGCAACTCCGGACTCCGGACCCTGAATAAAATATTGAGATTTACCCATGACCACGGAAGCACAGAGTGACGAGATCAAGAGTGGGCCTAGGCGGGACGGCCAGCTCCGTCGATTCTTCGTGATTTTCAGTGCATTGATCGCCGATTTGGTAGAGATTGCAGATCTGCGTTGAGATGTAGGTGGATTCTCTCTTGAAACGAGGTAGCCAGCCTGAAGAGACTGGAAATTGCGTAGAGAGCCGGAGGATCGAACATCGCAAGGAACCTGTCAGTAGGAAATCGTGGTCGATTGAATCCTCGGAGAGTATAGAAATTTGCTATTTGATATTGTACAATCAGCAGGCATCACTTTCCTAGCCCGGGCTTGAATATTTGTCTTCTTCTTCTGTAGGATCAATTGGGAAACAAACAAAATGCATTATACTGATATCATTCTTCACGTAGTTCAACAGGTGATTATTCCATACCCTATAGACAACCATGCTCGATCTGGTATTTGCGAGATTCAAGAGACAATGCGGGAAACAAGCCGTGTGTACCACGGTGTCAAGGATGGGTAGAGAGGAGGGTAAAGGGGAAGGTATGTACATTTCATTCATGCATGGGACAATCACAAAACACTGCGCACACGGGGAAGGGGAGGTAGACTCGAATCTGCCAGGACAGTTGCTATGGCGGAGACAAGGGAAATTGAAGTCGGGAAACGGACGAAGGATTGTTCTCTAACTCCCGATCAAGTCCTACCACCGTGATCGAGCGATGTTTGGTAAAACAAGGATATAGTGGTGGATTGCAGTTCCGAAAGGGAGGGATAGGTGGACCATGCAAAAGATTGATATAAGCGCTGTTTGAACAATCTCGTAGACCATTCGAGACTCCAAAATCCACAAGGTTCCATCGTCGACCACGCACGTGCTTTCTCCCAGATGCAACCAGAAGATGCATCACCGGCATCCGGTACCACAATATGATGGATGAAGGAGTCAACAATGATGATGGGAAAGGTCGTACCATCCCCCGAACAAGAAAAAGCCGTCAGATCCATTGAACGCCGCCCAGAAAAACAGCCCTATGACCACATAACATGCAGACAGGCTCCAGCAGAAAACTCCCGTGGTTCACCCAAAAGATGCTTGAAGATGAATAAAGACAAGTGGGGAAAACACAGCTGGGACGAGCACTGAGCGCTACAGCATCAGTGTTGTGATTTATGGCGAGGACCAACCACCAGCAACTTCAACCCATTCGGGAAGACAACTGCCTTGTTTGCCTTCGACGTCGACAATGTCAGTGTCGCAGCGGCATCGGCAACCGACACCATTTTCCTTGACCTGGTCGGCATTCGCCCAGTATTCATCCTCCTCGATACGCTTCTTCTCGTCTTCTGTGGTCTTTTCGAGATAGGGGATGCGGGTGAGTTGGCGGGCGGGGGCATTGGCAGGGCAGTGCTGGATAGTAGTGTGACGATAGCCGAAGTCACGGAAGTAGTGGATGTCACTGGGTGCGAGGAGTGCACCAGCGGCAAGGGAGTGAATAGGAGCATCACCCCACTAAACGTATCAGTCAGTACAGCCCCTTGGAGTGTTGAAAGCAGATGACTTACCCGTTCATTCCAGAAACCACCGCTTCTGTCCATCATGGTGAAGAAATCTTCATACTCCTTGCTGCGGAACCAATCCAGACGAGCGATTTCGAAGTTACTCCAGAAGTGACACATGTTATAGCTTTCGCCTTCCATAGCCTCGGGGTCAATGTCCTTCAAGTTGTTGTCACCGGGATCGGTCTGCAGGATTTCGTCGGGCAGTTTACCCTGTTTGTTGTCTTCAGGTGGGACTTCTGGCTTCTCCGGTTGCTCCAAGAACATCTCCCACAGGCCCTTGGACTTCAGGTTGTTCTTGCGCTTGTAGGCGGCTGCGTACCGGAAGATGTTAGGGACCGTTTCCCGAAGCTCCTTGACTGCAATGGTGAAACCGTATGTCTTGTTGGCCTCGGCCATCTTGAGGAATGGATCACTGAAATCGCAAGTCAGAAAATTGGCCCTGATGGGCGCACCGACTAATGACTTACTAGGTAATGTCACAGAAGTAAGTGATCTCGGGCTCCAAACGCCAGTACCATTCGTACTTCATCAGCAAAGGATGCTTGTAGAAATGTCTACTCAAGTTAGCGGGACAAATCAAATAATAATGATACACAATTAGACTCACCCAGAGTAGAAACGACACATGTGGTGATAACTCTCCATGCCACCATACATGATGGCAGCATCACCCTGCTTTCTGATGCCCTCCTTGGCAACATCGTGGTCAACCCAGTCGGGGAATCCCCACATGGAGTTGTCGATCTTGCCGAATTCCACGTCTGCGTTGGTGTAGTTCTTGACGGTAGCCTTGAACTCATCATCGAAATCACCGTCGTTGAGGAAAACATAGGGGTAGTTCCACCACCGGTTGAAATGTCTTTCAATCGACTTGAGCGATTGAACCACACCGTCAAGCTCCTTGTTTCTGGCAAGAACGACAAAGGCGGCATTGGCGCGGGGGGCCTTTGCGATTTCTTCGGGCTCGATGGGCATACATCCCGTGGCAAAAACCTTGTCATGCTTTTCGCTGATTTTTCTAGTCAGACGCGCAGGATGTTAGCTTTGCACACAATCATTATTTGCTGGGAGATACAAACCGAATGGAGGGCGGAGTGCCCGCTGGAATTAAGATGCCCCCGGGTGAGGCAGGGTGTCGCACGAAGAGAAGCAGAATGAGGACAATTACAAGACAAGGAAATAGTAAAACAAGCCCCAGGGGTATAGAAATAGATGAGTTGCCCTTTAGGCGGATCCTCCGCCGGAAGAAGGCGAATCTGGGATGGAGGCGGCCTTTTTCGTTGGGGGCATCTTCCAACGGCAGACTGGGCGCGCTAGGCAGCCGTTTTGTGATTCGTTGAATGAAGCTCATGGGTGCGATTATGGCAGGACCCCACAGAAGGAGAGTAGCGTCAGCTGTCAGACCCAAGCGACAGCACAGGGCTGTTAAGGAGATAGTGGAGAAATCGTGTCGGCGATGCGATCAGAGACAAGGGGTGTACGTCTCGGGAGGGAGATGGTCGGCGCACGGTATGGGGTGTCGATACAGAGCACGGTAAGATCCGGTAGCAAGATCTCAAGAAGTGAGAATGGGAGAAAATGACAGCAAAACGAGTGGCCGGAGGAATGCCTCCTTTCCTTCCCCCAACTTTCTCAGTCCCACGATCGTCAAATGGGTAGAGCGCCGGGAGCAACGCAAGCAACTGTGAACAACAAGGTACACAGGGGGAGGGTCGAGAACATGGACGGGGGTGATGGAAGGAAGATGGAGGGAATGGGGATGGAAATGGGCTTGGAACTTCGCCAAGACTGAGAGGCCACAACGCTTGCGCCTCCCTGGGTGTCACGTCAATACGGTTATTTTGCCCCTGGCCACTCCATGAATATGCAAATCTCGGTATTAAACAGTATTGAGCAGTACCGTATGGTCGATCCCCATGGTTTTGATTTGCCCTAAACGCCATACAAGAGATGCCATTGATTCATTTAGTTCGTACAATAACATACTTCCATCTAATTCTTAGTTCTTCTCCTTCGCTGAATCTTCTGCGGGAAAAAAGGAAGCAAGATTGATCGATCGAAATAAGAGGATTATACTCCCGGGGCCAGAATGCCGTACGGGAGGACTGATTATTCCGGTATTGGCCCCCTAGGCAAATTTAACGAAAGCTTCGATTCTGAACTCGTCTAGAAAGTATGCTTGTGCTCGTGTACTCGTACCCCATTCACTGGATCGCTGGGGTGTGTGTTTATGGTACCACTTCACGAAGCACTTAGAAGTCTAGATGTCCACTTGATCCAGCCCTATCTAAAATATGTACATCATGATCTACTAACCAACATGAAACCCTGAATCATTTATTTTGTACATTGTACAGAGTACTACTCGTACACAATTCAAACTGAATATTGAGTCGAGTACTGGAGTACTCGTATACCCTGACAAATTGTCTCACACTCTGACCTCTAACGCCTCCAAACCCTCTCAGCCCGTTACGAGATCAGCGCGTGCGTTTCATCTGACGCATTAACGGTGTATCAAGTATCCATCAGGTACCCAGTACATTAAATTCCACACAGGCTACGGTGTCCAGATGCCCAGCACACAAGTACCCCGGTACACCTAGACCCTCCACGTGACTGTACAGGGGATTCGCAAAGCCCGTAATTTTAGGGGATTGATGCATCGACACCCTCGCGGATAATGCGACACCCCTAGTGCCTGATTTTGGCCTCATCCTACTGCCTTTCTCTCCGCTTTTCAGCATTGACCCTGAACCTCTACAGCTTTCTCCAAGTCCTTTCAAGGTATCTATCTTTTTCTAAAAAGCCCACTGCTGCATCTTTAAAAAACCGACTCTGTTTACCCGATCAGATTTAGTGCTTCTTCGCTTTGATAGCCAATGAGGGAGATATATGTGAGAAATCTGGCAGAAAAATTAATGCCTACTATGAAGGGCATCAATATTAGAATCAGGCCAAAGTCAGGCATTATGGGTGTCGCATTATCCAAAGGGGTGTCGCATTATCCGCGAGGGCCCTAATTTTACTTCCGAGTCTGGACCGTTTCGACGCCTTCAGCATTCCATTTTCTAATATTCTAGAAATTAGATGCTCGTGTGCTGAATTGCCCCAAAAGGGGGCTTCTCCATTGAAACATCGAATTTGAACACCGCACTCCGTAAAACCATACATACATCATATGTGCCTGGGTGATTAAATGTAGATCGTAGGAGCAAGGGCCCCAAGGGGACCCAAAAGGCTTGGTTCCAGCCAAGACCGTCATCGCCCCCCCCATCGCAACTCCGCATGATGGCACTCTGCTCTTAACTTTGTGACGATCACTTCATGGGGCTATCGGCGCGGGGCTCCCCCTTTTCTCGGGACTCTCTTCTTCCTCCCTCCAACTCAGTATACTCGGTATGAATACTGTGCTATCCAGGCCCGCGGCGAGTGCTCCGGTGATCAAGCTCCCGGAGCCTGGCCCCTCATCGGTTTTCCGCCGCAACGGAAATCAGGACCCTTTTTCCCCTGTAAACGAGAACGGAAGCTTTGAATTTGACCGTGTCTTGAAGACAGGGAGAGTCTGCCGTCGAGTCAAGCACAAACATGTATTTCGCGCCTCGTGGAAACCAGCTTACCTCGTCCTCCGGCCAAACCTCCTTTCCGTCTACAAGGACGAAGAGACCACCCGCCTTCGAGTCTCCGTCTCCCTCTCCGAAGTCACCGCCGTCGCACCCGTCAAATCCCCTCGATCAACTCGACGACACGTCTTCGGTGTCTTTACCCCATCCACAAACTACCGTTTCGAGGCCCCAACGGAACGCGATGCTGAGGAATGGATCGCACGCATTCGCGCAACCATTCCAAACGACGAGGACGAGCGAGCCTTCCTTGGCTTGACCAAGCGGGAAACTCCGACTATCAGCAAGCAGCTCGTTGAAGACACAACCGATCACTCCGACTTCGATCACACCGGCCGCGCCAGCTCCCCAGAGCCGCGCCATGCACTGTCTCCCCGAATCGGAAACCAGAACCTCCCTTACATTCAGGATTACTCGGGCAACGAACTCGCTTCACATTCGGAGTTCTCTGATGGGCCCAGCCCAGCCCGCAATCGTCACCTACGGTCCATGCCTTCTATACATTCATTGTCTCTTTCGGCACCGGAAGAAAAATCCGCGTTCCTACCGTCATCCTCTCTGCCATCGACTACTCTCCCTCGAGACACAGGCAAGCAAACCGACCATGGTATCTTGCGCGATCCAGAGCGGGTCATCTGCCAGGGGTACCTGCAGGGGCTGCGAATTCAAGGGACCGTGCGCCAGTGGAAACGCCTTTGGGTTGTGCTTCGACCCAAGATTCTAGCCTTCTATAAGGATGATTCGGAATACTCTGCCCTCAAGATTGTCCCAATGTCCCAAGTCTTCGATGCTGCAGAGGTGGACCCCATGTCGAGGTCAAAGAAGTTCTGCATGCAAATCATCGCCGAAGAAAAGACATACCGACTCTGCGCACCGGAGGAAGAGTCGCTGGCGCGCTGGCTGGGGTCATTGAAGAGTATTCTTGCTGCACGCAGGAAGCTGGATCCTGCTTTAGGCAGTTCTGTATAACCGTGATCGCGATTGTGTATTGCGACCCCCTGTCCTATTTACCCTCCACTAACCGTGCTCTCATTTTCCTTCTTCTTCTTCCTCATTTCTTTCGCTCAATATACCCAGGGTGGTGATCATTTCCGACTGCTCGTCGCGTGATGCGCTTCGGAGTTTTTCGGAAAAGGATTGGCGTTCAATAACTTTGTGTCCTTTGAATGGACTACAGGGGGTTTTTCTTCTTCTTTTTCATCATTTATGAAGCAACTGAGCTTGCTGTTACTTTCGTGTGACCAGCTGTCATGCCATCATTTAATGGGCCTATTTTATTTCGGTATGGCTCCGTATTTCTTCCTGTCGAGTCTGGCATCCTTTCTTTCAGGTCTTACCCTTCATTTGTCTATCATATTATATGTTGTACCATAGTTTTTACCTTTCTTGGAGTTACTATAGTGTCTCATGATAATGCAGATTGGAAACCAATGTTTACAAAACAAAACTGCCACTCCATATCTATAGACCTCCAGGGCTTCCAACAGACTTCGGGATTCGAGCCCTGGGCATAGCTCAGACGACGTACAATATACTAAGCCACTCTACCTGCGACCCTGCACTCCTATGCCTGTTATATACTTAAAGTAGTTCCAGGCTGTCCATTGTTATATTTTCCGCGCTTCCAAGTTTGATAGGCCTTCTTCGACTCTTCAATATGAGATTGAACAGGCCCCGGACATAGAAGCCAAATCCCCGACTTAAACATCATATCCAACGACAGTAGTCGTAAATCACCCCTAGACGAACCAGAACTCAAGTTAAAGCCTTGGGCGTTCCTTGAAGCCTGGTAGATTACCAGCAAGCTCCAGCCATTCCCTCGGGAACGTGGTCTTTTCTTTCAATGAAAGCCCTCCCCACTCCTTTACCAGCTTGTCCTGACTATCCTGCCACTTCCGCATACTGCATGCAATCCACGATGCTGCCACCGAGGCAGTGGCCGCAATCTTCTCAAACGGCACACTGTGACCCGCCTCCTCGATCACCTCATGTCGAACTTCCCCAACGTCCATCCCCCCATTACCCCCAAACTCGGTTCCTGCAGCACGCGCACCACTCGCATGAGATCCATCCTTGTAAAGACTACTGGTTGCTCCACTGACAATGAGCACCGAAGGAGCGACATGCGGTATCAATTTCATTGCCAGAAGTGGCTCAGATCTATAGATCTGTCGTTTCGGCAGTGCATCTATAGCGCCCTGGTCGATCTTCTCTCCGGGGAGGATGACGGGCTTATGTACCCGAGGACGAATGTACGTGTATGTCACCAGCTCTTGGTGTTTCGAAGTTGCTAGCGTAACCGAGCCTGGCTGCAAGGATGGATGGATGACCGTGGGGAGCTCGCGATATGCGAATTGCGCCCACCTTTGTAGTACGCGCACGTCCCAGGTTTTGAAGACTTTGCGGGCTTTTTGAACAGCTTCGGCGTGCGAATGCCAGGTGTCTCGTCTGAATGTTGCTAATGCCATCATCTTGCTACCCTCTTTGATGCGAGGTGCTACAGCGATGTATGGTTCAATCAAGATAATGGAGGATAGTAAGCGTGGGTGCATCAAGGAGGCAAAAATGCTAGATAGTGTGAGTTGTGGTCCTTGGCTATGGAAAAGGGGTACGCACAGCTGTGTTGCACCGAGACTATGTCCTATGCCCATAATAGGCTGTGGCATCTGGTCACGGAAGTGGTTGACCATATGGATCAAGTCGCGGCTGAGATCAGCCCACGATACTGTAGGGGTCAGAGAAGTATTCATGCAGGTTGACGATCAATTGGGGACTTACGATCACTTCCTAACTGCTTCTCATTGAGGATACCACTGGCGCCTTGGTTCACGCAGTCTGCAATCCAGATAGAGCGAATCCGGAAACCTTCTGTGTTTGCACGAGCCAGCAATTCTTCCCATAGAGGCTCGTATAGTTCCTATCCCGGTCTCAATAAGGCGATCTTTCGAATTGAAGAGTACCTGCATACCTTGGGAAACCCTGTGCCATGTGTACCAATGATAGTTATGTCTCCAGGCTGGGGGTTAATATTGTCTAGCGGTGTATACTGTTTAATGCAAAGCTTCAGCTTGGCGTCCGGTGTTGCTGTTGCCTGCGCTGAGTCTCGGACATGTTGAGCATCAATAACATGCTCAGAGACTTGAAAAGGGAAAGCCATTCTAGTCATCAGGTTGAGCTCAAGGGAAAGTAGAGAAATCGGGTCTCTCTAATGGTAGTTGGACGATCGTAGAAAATGAGGCTAGCTCAAACACTTAATCTCAAACATAAAGTCGATCATCGATCCAATGCCCAACTATGTATTGCTTTCTTAACCGTGAACCAAGTTCGAGTTCCTAGTGGATCTCGACAGTGCACCGATCGTGAGATTTAGAAAATTGGTCAAAAGGGAACAAGCATAACAAGACATCAAGATGTAGGTGGGCCTCTTTGCAACTTGTATTGGATATGAAAATGATGTCAGACCCCTTTTTTTAAAGGCCAGATCTGTACGGAGTACGGTGTAGGCACCTGAAAAGACTAGTGTATCTGAGATTCACGGCTGGAAGATCGATCGATCTCCGGATGGATCTGATCAATCAGCCAAATCTGAGCACTCAAATTGACTAAATCTACCACGTCGGTCCGTGCGATACATCGTGGGTATATCATGCATAACCTGAAGTGTCCCTCGTCTTCATCGTATGGAGAACTCCATACATGACTAGTCATGGCCTTATTCTCGTGTGGATACATCATATACCGGATTTTCATGCTGCACCGTGGCGTAAGCCTGATCAGTTATGAATATGATACTGCGTACGGAGTAATTTGCGGAAATGCCGATTGCAGAACAATGTTCGGCAAAGCGCTAAAACTCATACGCCCCCTTTCGCTCGACGCGTAGAGATCCTTGATGACGTTCGACCCCACTCAATCGCCTGTTTAACCGCAAGGGCTCCACTAGATCGAAATCCGAGTTTGCATTTTTATAAACTGGAGTTATATTCGTTCTACGGATTATCTTCTGTCATTCTCTTTTGAGTTTCTTGGGGGTTTTCACCAACCACCTGGGCACTCGCCAAGCCGTATTATTCTAGAGTTGTCTATTTTCATGATGTTAGTTCATGGGATTCTTAACCAACTCAGATGCATGCATACATGAAAGCCCTGAGCCCTGGCTTACTTCTAAAGTTGAAATGCGAGAAAAGGTTCTCAAGAAATGAGACCTTCATAATTTCTAAAGTTACGAGGGAAATGGCAGATCGATGAGCTAATGAGTGCCTAGAAACGAAATATACAGTGGTGAACGCGGTTCCCCACGCCAAGGGGATATGCCCACCAAGGTACTCCGTACTCTGTACTGTTGAGAATAACATCAAAGGACGAGGCCAGAAACAATTGACAAGGACGGAAGAAACAAGAGAAGAGGCAAATATGGCAAGATCTACTCCGTACTCCGTACGCTCCCAGGAGCTGCAGACTATAGCCCTTACAGCAACCCCTCGAGACAAGACCCCAGAACACACCAAAAGTGCAAAACTTTCTGTTATCCCAACTGATTAGTTTCACGGTCCGCAAATTTTCTCATTGTTCTAAATTTTATCTGCGTACTCCGTACTAAGTTGGGATATCCGTGCCAAAATGCCTTTCTGCTGGTGCTCGTGCGTCCCAAATGCCGGGCGACAATGCCCTAAGCCTTCCTGGCGGGAATTGCCGACGACCCCCGTTCGCAGGTTGGTATGGACGGTCAGAGAACCCAAAGTTTTGCTTTTTCATTTGGGGAGGGTTATTGAACCCCTGCTCTAGAGCTGTACATACTGAGAATTTAATTCTCAGATTTCATCCGAAGGCGTTCCCATATGCAACCCCAGGGCCTCATTGCACGATATCATCCACAGTAACTGAGTTAAGAAAAAAGGACAACTAGGCCAGCAAGATGGAAATATAATCTAGCATTGCGTCGCGACTAGGACACTTGAACGTAGTATCTGGGTTGTACGGCCTGCCAGGTGTGACCTCTCTGAACGTTGACCACGGCGGATTGTCAGCTCCTGAAGTCCCGATCTCCGTCTTTGTCAAGCCTTGACTTGATTCTTCGCAGAGGGTCGCATCCGGGGTCTCTGAAGCTCACACTCCGCTTCTTCAGTACCTACCTAGGTAACCATATCATTGGGGTTATCCGCGAATCAGATCGACGGGTTGGTAGGTATGTGGGTCGCGCTGGGGATTGAAGGTCACCACCACTGGAAAATATTTCCGAGGTGACATACGGCTGCTGCCATCAGCGATGCCTGGCAAATTGGCTGCATAGTATGTGCAATGAGAGCTGATTCCCCAAGAAAAGAGGCTCAAAGCGAACCAAAAACTGCAGAATCATCCCCTGCTCTGACCGCCTCGATGACAGCCCCATAGGGCCACGGGCGATAATTTTTCTATCTTGGCTTGATCTCGCAATCTTTCGCAATTTGGACTACTGTTACAAGTATAGAAGAGATAATCATATTGTCTTAGGATGAAATACTCCGTACACCGTAGAACGGTGGTATTTCAATTCCTATTTTTAGTCCAAACCAACATCTGGAGCTTGTTCCGGAGTACGGAGTAAAGGGTGCAGCAGTTCCCAATTGTCAGATATCAGCCCTGAATCCCGTTACAAAGTGGATAATTTGGCACCAATTGAAAACGAACATGAGGCACTCGAGACAGTCGAGGCAAATGCCAAGACATCGTGGTCCCCAAGGGTCTGAGTGGATAATCATTCCCGAACTTCCTACTTGCGGGCAAGGGACAAAGGTTCCCTAAAGCTTGTCCTGTTGGACTCGGAGCTACAAGACACTTCGTATACTCGTACTTCGTATACTCTACGCATACGAGAGAGACACAAAATCGACACCTGCCAAGGCCCGAATGGGGGCTGGACCCACGTAACCCACAGGCGGAAATGAAAAGCCAGCGTTGCTCTATCTGCACTGTTCGCGTGCCCAGTTACCCTGTCCGGCGAGGAGAGAATAGCCTCGCACTGCCGATCTTCAACCACTCACACGTGTGGATGTGGAGTGACCCCCAAAAACTTCCGTTGACAACTGCTTTTAGCCCCCCCGTGTCGGGAACCCTTTTTTCCCCTTATCGTTCCCGTATTCTCCTTTGATGCGGTTCAACTGCTCAACATGAAGTCTAGTCGGGGACCTCTATCCCAAAGGCTCGGTGAGCAGGCCCGGGATTCTGCTCTCTTTGCTCTCGATGTCGCTCAAGATCCTCAGCTGTACATGGACCGCGGATGGGAGGCTTCTCGGAGATACTTCTTCTCCGTGATCTTTATCGCCATCATCGTGTCCAAATGTTTCCATATCCTAGTTCACCTCAAGTCGTTGACTGTGCTCTCGTTCCTCTTCTGGGGTCTGTCCTTCTTCCTGGTTGATTTCGTGCTCATTCTGGTCGCGTGCGCCCTGGCGCGTTCCTTCAGGTATCCGTTATGGCGTTACCTGGCTGCCTTCGCCACTGTCCTGTGGAGGTAAGCTCTCATCACATTCCTGGAATGTACAATCGCTAATCTAGCCCTAGTTTGTATACCGCATCGATGACCGCCGCCAGTATTTCCTACTACTTCCACGTCGGGCATGAGATTCACTGGCGCAACATCAACAATTTCCACCATGATAAGCCTACTGCCTGGGCGGTCTTGACCGCATTGGGCTTCGCAATCATCATTGATGTGTTGATCTACATCGCGGCCTACTACGCAACCCCGCATCTCTTCCGTATCACCGATGCCTACCTCGCAACCTGGATTTCCCTTCTGCCCGCCAAATACCGCTGCACCCGCCGCAAGGCCCACACTCTGCCGGATCCTGAGATATATGAGCAGATTGCGATCGATGACTATGATGAGAACCACGAGTCCGCAGGATTGCTGGAGACACCCGAGGACCAGCCTCAGGCCTCGCTCTCACCCGAGAAAAAGAGTCAGCCGATGCTCAAGCGTGGACTTGTGATTGCGTGCACTGTGGCCATCCTACTTCTGCGTTTCGTTCGCCCCTCTGATGCGACCTACGAGTTCCTCTCGGCCACTCTGCCGCTCGCGCCGTTCAAGGGCCTCATCTATCGCCCCAACCAGGGAAGCGTTGCCGAGCTGCCGGGCGATTTCAGCTGGCTGGAAGGCAAAACAGCCTTGGATGACTTCCCAGCCTTTGATTGGCTTCGCACTGATGATTCCTCTAATGGGTTTGTGGAATGGTCTCCTTTCAAAATCAACCACACAGAGCACTTCCAAAAACACTACAACCCGGCAAAGGACCCATTGCATACGATCAACCTGGACCAGGAGATCTTGGAGCCTATCCGGGAGGTGCTCCAGAATGGCACTGTCAAGATCAAGCATGTCATCGTCATCAAACTGGAGAGTAATCGCCAGGATGTGTTCCCCTTCCGCTCGGACTCTTATATCATGAAGCATATCAAAGAATCTTTCGACGGTGAAATTCCCAAGGAAGTTCTTGATCGTCTCGGAACGCTTACTCCCATGGCTCAGCGCTTCACTGGCTTTGAGACTGGATTTGAAAGCAGCGAGAAATTGCAGCCTTTTGGTGGAATCAGTGCCAAGAATGCCTATACATCTGGTACCTACACCATGAAAAGTCTGACGGGAACTGTGTGCGGTGTGAACCCTATCGCTGTATTCAACAACCTTGAGTACTATCACGATATTTACCAGCCCTGCTTGCCGCATATTTTCAACTCATTGAGTGCCCAGCCGAACAAGACTACTGAGACAGAAGATTGGATGTCCTGGCCATGGCACACCATGTGGTTGCAGTCTCACTACGGTACTTGGGACAAGCAATACGCCCTTACCCCGGCCATGGGATTCTCGGAGGTCATGGACAAGGAGTTCCTGGAAGAGTTCAATGACAAATATCTGCCAGAGGAGAAGCACGACCACGACTACCCGGACAAGACCCTGAACGGATATCTCCGGGATGTTATTACCGAGGCGAAAGAGAAGAAGAGACGCCTCTTTTTGACTCATCTCACCCACAACACTCATACTCCGTACTACAAGCCTGGTGACTATGAGGAACTGTTCGGAAACACAGCCGGATGGAACGAAAAGATCAACAGGTATCTGAACACCATCGTCTACCAAGATGAATGGTTGGCCGATATCATGCAAATCCTGAACGAAAACGACATGACCGATGAGACCTTGCTTGTTATGGCTGGTGACCAGTTCGTCTACCCCCCGCGCAAATTATCTCATTCTCTCGCTAACATGACTTTAGTGGCCTTTCACTTCCCAACGACGGTGGTGTGACAGCCAACCACGACCCACACGTCGGCAGTTTCCACGTGCCCCTTCTGTTCTCTCACCCCAAGCTGCCCCAGATTGAAGTCGACAGCGCTGTCCTCTCGACCCAGATCCTTCCCACCATCCTCGACCTTCTCATTGAATCGGCCTCCATCGACGAGCATGACACCAAGATCGTCAAGGATCTGCTCTCCATGTACGAAGGCCAGTCCATGCTCCGCACCCTCATTCCAGAGCAAGATGGCAAGCACGAATGGCACTTCTCTACCATGAACCCCGGCGGAACCTGGGTTTCCATGCGCGCAGCCGAGCAGCCATACCGCCTGGTTGTGCCCTTGATTTCCGACGCCCCCTGGCGATTCACCGATGTCGTCGCCGATCCATTCGAGCTCCGCCCCGAAGAGCATCTAAACATCGTTGACCTTCACGACATTGTGCAAACGCGCTACGGCCCTGCCGCCGCAAAGTGGCTCTCCGAGGCTGCCCACGTATCCCAGTGGTGGATCGCAGAGAATCATTTGCGCTGGGGATACAATGCCACATTGGAGGCATAGTTTTGGCCTCTGATTTGGTGCTGTAGATCTTTCTTTTTCTTCTTTTTGTCGTTTATAGAGTCTTTAATCCGGCCATCATGCTGGCTTTTTGTTTATATGCGGGGTCTGTTTTTCCCCCGTTGATATCTTTGACATGTATCTCCACGAGAACAGGAGCCCAGCGGGCTGGGTGTTTGTGATCACGACAGCTACATGATTTCATGTGTCATATATGCCTTGGGCTCTCCTATTGAACATAGCCGATGGGATTGACGCAAATGCCCGCTTTCGAGGTTATATATGGCCTTTTGTCTCATATTTTGCAACTCTTCCGGTTATGCTCATATGTGGCTCTGTCCACAGATCCAGACAAGGGTCAATAAGTCTTTACAGTGACTATAGTTACAAAACGTTCATAAAACACCTTTCAATTTTCAAGCTGATGATATGTCGTCCTCGTCAATAATAAACAGCTTACCTTTTAAGGTTTAGTAACGACGCATCGTCCTGACAAGGCATAAGGTGGCCTGGGGGCTCAGAACAATGCGCCTGGCTCAGAGCAACATAAAACAGCCCTGTGAATAGCCTTCAGGGCCAAAGTTGAGATTGCCTAGTGTCAAACACGAAGATTGGTACCCGTGTTGACCTGGTAGTGTGGGATGAGAAAGATGGGGTAACCATCTCTCAATATCTCTTGATCAATTGTTTCAGTCCACTTCCCCTCCATTCTTCGTAGGTTTGAGAGGTAGAAACCGTATTCTGCGAATATCACGAGGTGTAACACCAACCGCGATACGGCACTGCCCCTAAAGCGATGGGAATGTCTTGTGTAGGAAATTTGGCAGCTCTTCTTCCAGAAGAGCCTAGAGAATGGATCGTCTCCATCCACTTCCTCTCTTGCCCGTAGAATCAAGAAATACTAAGGAAGAATTGAAGATTTGGCGGTTTGCTCTTTCTGGATCGTCTTCTCCGTTCTCGATCCTTCATGCATTCTAGCCATTCCTTAGGTGATTCTCATTGATCTCCATATTCGATGTCCTCGCTCAATGGAATGTCAAATTTCTGGCGCTTGCTTCTGAGTTCGCCAAGTCCTTGGTCATATTCCTTGATAGTATCTTGGCACACCGAGTTTTGGGCCAATTCATTGTGGATTGGGATCGGACAGAGCTTTTTGGGCGTTAGGTCTGTGATGGAACCAGACGCTCTTTATCAAATCGAGGATGCAACATGGAAGTGTGCGATAGTATTGGGAGACCAGTTGCACAGACAACCTGGGCCGATATTGAGAAGGAAAACTACGCAGGTAAGAGAGCAAAGTGAGAAATGATTGAGAATGCTAACCTATCTCAGGACAATTGCAGCCGACATACACATTTTCCTTGGCACAGATTCAATCAAGCCTTCGAGTGGTCTTGGCTTCAAGCCACATTTTCAAGTGGGAAATATTCAAACATAGAAGGAAAGAAAAAAACATAATACAAGATGCATCTGCATCTCTGGATCCGACATCGAGCCAGAAGCCCTTCACTCTCTTTAGTGCATTTCCTCCTCTTCGACGGGAATGCTGTCGTAAGCACCCGAATCGCGTCGGTTTTCCCCGCTGTGGTTGATGTGATGGTCCTCAGCCTTGCCCTCATGGTTGACCACGAGGAACGACAGGACCACAATAGTTGCACCGACCCAATAGAGTGGGCTTGCGTACTCCGACTGTAAGACCATTTGTCCAACCAGGGAGAGGGGAATAGTCAGACTAAGGCCCACAGTAACGACAAGGGGAGTGGTGAGCAGCATGGCGTAGGCCCAGGCGATATCCGAAAAGAAAGACGCGAGTGAGTTGGTCTGGAGATAGTGTGAGCCACAAGTATAAAAGACGAAGAAAAGGAACCTCCTCTTACCAGAACGATGAGCCAAACCCGACCAGCCTCAGGGAAAGCGAATTCTTCTATTCCAGTCCAGTGGAGTATAAAAAAACCGGGCCATAGCAGGACAACATTGAAGAATCCTACCAGCCCAAAGAAAAGAGGCATGTTGACCAAGGACTCATCACCCACTTGCTTCTTCATGACAATGGTGTAAAGACCGTACATAATAGCACTGAATGCTGCCATAGCGTCACCGAGTGCAATTTCCCCAGTGGACTTGTGAGGGAATGAGCCTCCGCTACCATCTGGGGTTGCACCTTCATCGGGCGCGGAGAGATCAACGCGGGAGATGAGGATAATGCCAATCAAGGAAGCGATGACACTGATGAATTTGCGGGGAGTGAATTTTTCCACTCCAAGCAGGGCACCAAAGACCAGGGTCCAGACACCTTGAGAATGTAAGTAAGAGTTGGCGCGTCGGCCCCCGGGAAAGCCTTATAATAGGAGAAATGCTTACCACTTGTGGATGTGAGAATAGTTGTGCTCGCAACTGTTGTAAATTGCAGACAGCCCATAGCGAAGTAGTTTGCCTGCAAAATGCACGTTAGTAAAGAACACGTTGACTATGGAAACCATCGTTTTTCCACAAGCATTAGACTTACAGTGAACTGTGATGTGTTAGCCAATCATTCTTGTCCCAAACGGAAGTATGCTTACCCAAAGAAGACAGAATTGAACACTGAGTTTAGCCGTTGCCTTTAATCCCAGCTTTTGGCCCGAAATCTGCGTACTTGAGCGTCGTCTGGGTCGCCAGTTCTCCTCGTCGGATTGATCCTGTAGCATTCTTTGCTCCTCCGCGTTGGGATCTTGAGAATCTAAGAGTCTCAAAAAGCTGCCGACCGAAGTAACTTGAGACAATTTCCGGAGGCGCCACAAAGCCCATGTGCGGCGGCCCAGAATAAAGAAGAGCGGCATGATAAACATGGATGTGTTGGTGTAGGTGACGAAAAAAGGCTTGGGATAGGTCTTGTCGGCGAAAATGGTCTGTATTCCACATTGTTAGTCTGTATCCCAGTCCGTTTGATTTGTATAGATCTTGCGACCAGGGCGCGCCTACACTACCAAGGAAGTTTGAGGTGGTCCACAGCACGACAACGACAAGGAGAAGAACGATGCCCATTGTTCGTCGCGCTATTCCCAGTGGCATGGTGCCAGGTTCATGGGAGGCTGGCCCCATGTTGCGACCCGAGGTGTAACGGTGTTCAGAATGCTGCAGGATAGCAATTGGTGCACGAAAGGGCACCACGTTAACAAGAGATCAGAATCCGGTCATCCGAAAAGGAGCAGTATGCTAGATTTGAAAGAACGGAACGAAGGACGAAGGCAATGTAAAGAAGAGTGAGGAACATCTCCAAACGAAGACCGGGGCCAACATGTTTTCGATAAGCCTCGATAAGGATGTACTATAAGAAGAAGGCGGTCTATGATGCACGTGCCAGGTACAGATGACCCCGGCTGCTTTCTGACAGGGAATTCTTCAGGTGGGTCAGGGTCCCAAGACTATTGCCGGAATTGTACAGGAGTATACGAGTACGAAATAAGTACTCCGTGGTACTATCCCTGTAGCTTGCACGAGGAACCGATTTCATCATCCGATGTTCTAGGGTTGAACATTGGCCAGATCGCATTGGGAAACTGTAGATAGTACTAGTAGTATCGCGTTAAGCCTCCCGGGGAAAAAACAGCAAGGGGAAAAAAAGGGACTTCCATGAAGTTAAATATAATCTACTAGACAAGGAAAATTAGGCCTAACCATCAAATACCCATAGCTCGAAAGGCTTCTCTGCAGATACAGAGCCGGAGAGCAGGTGAAAGCACGGAAAGTCAAAGATAGTTCGCTGAAGTGTCACGATAATAGGAAGGGTATGTATATCAACAGGCGCAGCCATCACGGTCATTGTCCAGATGAATGTTGATCGGATCGCTGAATTCACCGCTGAACTCTTCGGCTTCTTCCTGGGCAAGGGCACTCCGTGCAATGACTATACTAAGTTAATATACGGTGGCGGTTACTCGTTAGGCGACATGTCAACTCACCTTCGAATGCTTGCTCAACGTTGACCGCCTCCTTGGCACTGGTCTCGAAGTAAGGGATATTACCCTTAGACTGGCAGAAAGTCATGGCACGTTTTGAGGAGATCATACGCTTGCTCTCCTCCACATCGACCTTGTTACCGATGACCACCTGCACATGACGGTCAGCACGGACCAGCCTGGGTCATTCTTCGCTGCGGTGTACGAGAGAGACGAGGAAGGAATGCAGGAACGCCACTTACGAATGGGAAGCTTTCGGGATCCCGAGGGCTTGCTTGGATCAAGAATTCATCCCGCCAGCTGTCGAGGGCTTCGAAACTCTTGGAGTTGTTCACATCGTAGACAAGGACACAGCAATCAGCTCCCCGGTAGAAGGCAACTCCCAATGACTGGAATCGCTCTTGGCCGGCAGTATCCCAGATCTGGCATATCAAGTCAACCATTGCCCCTCAATCAAATTTGATCCAGTGGATTGTTCAGGCCTTACCTGCATGGTCACCAGTCGGTCGTCAACGAGTACCTCCTTGGTAAGGAAATCGGCTCCAATAGTAGCCTTGTAGCTTCCACTGAACTTTTTATTGACCTAGAAGGTTCAAAATAAATGATGTTAGTGGATGCTGGGAGTGGCGACCGCGATGTAGCTGCAGCGCTGGTTGAGGTGAGGCTGTACGGACATATTGGTTCATCAAACTGGTTTTTCCAACACCACTGTCACCGAGAATGATAACCTGTTTATATGAATACTGTGTCAATAGAAAAATTTCTCTTTGGTGATTTGCTACCTGTCACACGGAGCAGATGCGGAGATCGTACCTTGAGGAGGACCTTCTTCCTTGACGCCATGGTTAGGAGTCTGTGAACTAACGAGGTGGAAGTGTATGAAGATAGTGCAGTGGGACAAATTTTCAAACCCAAGAAGCTATGCGGAGAAATTGTCGGGCCCTTCTAGCACAAGTGAGGGCAAATGGAGTTAGAGAGTTGGGGTTGGGTTGCAGCCGGATTCGATGATGCATGAGGCCCGGGCGGTCGATCGGGCGGTGGGCGTTTGATAACGATAGCACGTTTCGCCCACCGAATCTCCACATCTATCACCTTAAGGCACATCCCCATTTACTTGGGAAGGCCCATGGCCCACTGGAGGGAGGAGTACTTGGCTGCGCTGACAGTCCGAGATCAGCGAGAGAAGGCGAATGTCCCTCTCTACAATGCCTGTTCGTGCTTGAACGATGCCTTCTGTTGATAACGACTGACATCATTCCACCGATCTAGATGCTCAGCTTGCAGATCGCACCAGCAAGCTAGCAACAACAACAAATGCCAGCCCAGCGCCATCACAGGTTGAGATCCACCGCTCCATTCCATCGCCGTTGGTAACAGCCTCCAAAAAACAACGCGGGAACGAGCCGGGTCCAACTCCAGCAGAACTTCTCAATATCACACGTGCAGACTTATCGGAGGCGCAACGCTCTCGCTCAGAAATACAGGATCAACTTAGCCGTGTGACTACAGAAGTAGAAAGCCTTCGAAAGAAAAGCACGCAAGAGGCTCGGCGGATCAAGCTTTTGGAAAGCGAGAGAGCGCAACTGAATCTACGGCTGAGAGACCGAGATGCAGAGTTAAAGGGGAAGGCCAAACTATTAGAGGTAGGCAGTGCCTTCAGTTCTTGCATTAGGGCTTCCTGGTCAGATCCAGGTAGGCGGCGAAAGGTGGCTAACATACTTCTTTGCTTCGTTTCCTCAGGACTTCCAAGATGAGATGGCAACATTGAATCTCCAACTGAACATGGCCGAAGAAAAGTCAACTCGACTCCAAAAAGAGAACCAAGATCTTGTTGACCGTTGGATGGCCAGAATGGGCCAAGAAGCCGAAGCAATGAACGATGCATCCAAATTCTCATAGCAAATTCGAATGTGCTGAAGCGCCGAGCAAGCGATTAGCTCACTGATCTGTCTTTGTCGCATATTTTGCATTATGTGGCCTTCGAGGCGTTAGATCTATAGCTAAATATGGACTTCAAATACCTTGAGGACGGCCAACACCATTACGCAGCAGACAATTTTCTTTGGAGACTCCTAGACCTACACCTCTGGTGTCGTGATTCGACTAGTACGCTAGGTCAGATTGGAAGATCGAACTTTAGAAAATCTCCAACAAAGTGAAGCAAGGACATTTTTCACATACAAATAACCCACAGCGCCAACATTTGAAGTATGTTTACCTGCGCCAGGTCCAATTAATTGATTGGAATGGTTGCCATTTATGGAGTAGTACTAAGATATGCCGAAGGGGTGGAGCCTGCCTGCACGTTTTTTAAGCGTGAATCGGCACGAGTCGGCCTTTAACCCTAAGCTTGGAACACATACGATGGATTTTACCAAAATGTATGTTACAGGAGATGTAAGGTATTCCAATTTATACAAAGTTCTCAGACATGGTATCATACAAAAAGAAAAAAAAAGGTATATCCAGGAGGGGACGTAATGTACATGTCCTCGAAGACACAAAGCAATGTGTGTGCCATGAAAGTAAGTCACAAACCATTGGCAGTCATGGCGTAGGATCAATAAAAGCTTTCAGTCGAGAGCTATCCTTGGTGGCAATGAAGTATGTACCGCCGACGTCGGTCCAGCTAACATTATTTGACCAATAATTCTTTTGCTGGACCTGCAGAAGGTTGATAGGCGAGTTCAGGTTGCGAGACTGGATCTTGTGACCAGCCGGCACAAAAGATTTGAGGGAGACAATCTTGCATCCCTCTTTCATATCCAAAAAGTGGTTGATCAGCTCGTTGTTGAGCTGGGGTGTGAACGCTTGGTTGTTGATGAGCACCACATCTGCTCGTTTCAGGACACTGATGATGCTTTCTTGCTCGAGGAAATCACCTCGAACAAGGTGAGTCTTGCCTGGCACGATACCCCAAAGACGGCATCGTGCTTTAAACTCGGATTGTTGTAAATCTGCCAAATCACAGGCGTTTGACATCATCTCGCATCCCCAGCTTTCACAGCCGATTTCAAGCGCGGCCTGTAGGACGACATTTCCTACGCCAGAGCCCAGGTCGACGAATACCTGACCGGACTTCAGTTTTGTCTCCTTGAAAATTGTGCTAATGAAACGAGGGAGGAGCTCTCCGTAAACGTTGTCCGTGCCGTTCTCATATTGCCGCAGAGACTCCACGCGAGGGGACACCGTGCGGGAGTAGATTTGGGTGAGGATTCGCTCTACCCATGGTAGGTCAATGCGCAATGTAGCATCCAAATGCTTCGCAAGACCGCCATTTTTCACCAGGCGCTGGATAGCCTCGTTATAATCGTTCACAGCATCCAGGAACTGAGTCTCGGACGTGACTGCCAAAGCCCGGCGCAACCGACGCTTGATTCCGGTTGTCTCGTCATTGAACTCGTCTGCCGCTTCGCTGGGGATGTAGTTGTCGGAAACCGTTTCAATAACTTGCACGATGTCGTCGATGGGTCGAAATTCGTCGTTTTCTCGGGGAACAACAGATTCGTATCTACACAAACAATAACTTGTTAGCACCTCGTAGAATCGCGGCCCACCTCGTCGACATACCTTTCTTTGAGCGAAGCACTGGGGTATTGCAAAAGGATTTGTTTGGGCTTGCCCTCAGCGCCGAATGCAGGCTTGAACTTGCCGGCCTTTTGGCCCGACGTTATGTCGGCAGCGTGCATCATTTTAAACGGCCTGGAACCTTCTTCAGAGAATGCCTTCACGGAGCGGAGGCGCCGCTCCGGGTCTGGCTCGGCACTGGCGCTCATCCTTGCACGTTTATGCACCTCGAACGAGGCATCGCTATCGCTGGCATCGTCGTCGCTGGACAGTCGCTGTTCGGGCGTCGGTCTTTTTCGGACACGCGAGAGGGTACCCAATCGTTTCGCTGAGCGAGCTTCCAAGTCGCTTGAGACCGATCGAGATTTCAGCGACTGCGTTTTCTGATTGCGTTCGGCCGAGGGCTGGGCTCGTGGGGACCGAGTCTCCGGGGTTTGGGTCAAAGATCGGGTAGGGGCAGCTGGTCGAGTCTGCACGACTTTGCGGATTTGCGCTTTCTTGGGCTGTAGAGAGAAGCCTCCGGCCCCTCCTTTCTGAAGATGGTCAAAAAACCCCATGAGGGTAATGTATACAAACAAAACAATGACGAAATCAAAGAATGCACATGCAAAAAGAGCAGGTAAATGATATATAAGGTGAGAAGAGTATAATGCAGGTGAATGCAAAGTAATGCGATGCAGAGGTGGAAGTGGGAGAGAAAGAAAAGCGAGTCTTATCGATTAGCCGGGGAAAACCACGAGGTCCACGGGTTTCTTGGCAACATTCACAGCCTCATGTCTTTACTCCGTCCTCCGCACTACATCTTGATCAGCTCAACATACGGAATACATCGGTTATGAGCCTAGATGACAATATAATCTGCATTTTTAAAGCCCCAATACTTTTGGGGACGAACCCTGGGGTATCACAATGAGTTTTGCTATGTAAATTACACGAAACTATGAACACACCCTTTATTTCTTTGCCTTCTTCTTCGCCAGTCTCTTCTCCGCACGGACATCCTTCTTCATACGGGAATCCACAATCTTGTACTTACCCTTGACACCCTTAGGACGTCCAGAGATACCACGGTTGGGACCCTTGGCAACCACAAGCTTGACCTCCTGCTTGGGCCTCTTCTTAGTTGCCCTGCTCATCAGTCTGGTAATGGCACCGGCCTTGTCCCGCTCGCTGAGAGCATCGTCTTCTGCCAGAAGTGCAGACTTCTTGCGCAGCTTCTCAAGTCTCTGAGCAGCCTTGAACTTCTTGCGTCCCTTGGCTTCCATGACCTTCTTGATTGGACGGGCGTTGATTGCACGCAGTTTTTCTCTGATGGCTGCAGAGGCAGCCTTGGTGGTTGGCCGCACGGGATTGCTGTGCTTGCCCTCGTCATCGATGAACCACTCGGGGAGGCCGTCGGAGTCACGGAACGCATAACGGTTGAAGCCATCGTCGACAATGTCCGACGATCGCTTCTCTCCGGTGGCCATAGATTGTGCGAGAGCCATGGCCTCTGCGGTGATAATATCGATATCTGTAATGAAGGCGGGTGGTTAGTAGTGTAACTACATTGAAGCAAGCTATGAGATCTGACATACCCAACTGCCCATTGGCTTTTCGAGGCTCAGCATCTTCTGGCTCGCTCTCATCGGACTCGTCAACCCAGACAGACTCCTTCTTTGCGTTCTTCGCGTCCTTCTTCACATCTTTCTTGTTCTTTTGCTTGGGCGTGGAGGCTTCTTCCTCCTCCTCGTCCTCGTCCATTGCGAAGATGTTGTCTTCTTCCTCTGGCTGCTCCTCCTCCTCCTCTTCTTCTTCTTCCTCCTCCTCGTCCTCTTCCTCCTCGCCTCCTAAGCCCTGGAAAATGTCCTGATCGAAGAACATGGACGCGTTGTTGGAGAGCTTCTCTGCCTTAGCAGCTTGCTCAGCAGAGTTGGTTTCTTCGTCTGATTCCTCTTCTTCTTCATCGCCACTGCCCTTCTCCTTGTCAGAGAAGCCTTCCCACTCGTCGGCTTCATATTGTTTGCGGGTCTTCTTGGCGCGCAACTTCGAATCCTTGTCCTCCTTGCGACCAGTGTACTGTTCATACATGTTGTCAAGCTCCCTCTCAAGGCGGTCTTCTTCATCGTCGCTCTCCTCATCTTCAGATTCGGATTCTTCGCTCTCGCTCTCGGCGGGAAGGTCGCGAGCATTGACGACCGCATCTCGGGCATTCTCCCGGTCGACACGTCTCAGGGTGAAAGTAGAATCTTCGCCTCCCATGCCAAGCTGCTCCATACCAATATCCATGGGCGCAGTCATGTTCATCTGCATTCGGATGATATCTTTGCGTTTCTTCTCGTTCTCCTTGCGCCTTTCCTTCTTGCCCTTAGCAGTTTGCTGCTCCCGCATTCGGACCAGATCTTCTTGGATCTGTAGCTCCTCATCCATAGGGGCGATTTCCGCAACCTCTTCACCAGTACCTTCCTCTGTGGTAGGCTTCTTTTTGAGGACGAGACCAAACTTCTCACGACACTTGATACGCCATCTGAGCAGGTTGCGGAATTCCTTTTTACCTAGGACCTTCAGATCCTCACAACAGGTTCGGATTTCGTCTGTCGTCTCCTCCAAACGGTCCAAAGTAGACAGCGCAAGATCTCCACCGGGAGGTTGCTGGAAGCTGAGTTTGTTGTAGCCACCCAGAATAGAAATGGGGTCAATAGTGTTGATGAACTCTGTCACTGGAATCTCTTTGTGCTGAGTCCAATCTCCCTCCTCGTAACCGTCACGCTTACGCTTTTTCTTTTCGGGGTTGAAGACCTTGGCCTCGTAGTTGGGGGTTGGGTCCTGCAGCTCTGCAAAGACGTGCTTGGGATCAAGGAACTTCGGGTCGACATGCTTGGGGGCCTTGTATCCACGGCAAACAACGAAAATTTCGGCGGAAACATTTCGAGAAGAAGGAGGCTTGGTGGCTTCGACTGAGTTGAAGAGCTGCTTGAAGACCCACAGAAGAGGGTTGTAGTCCTTGGACCGGAAAACCTTAGTGACAAAGTTTCCGCCCTCGGCCAAGAAATCAGTAGCCAGTCTCAATGATTCCAGGACAAGCTCGGCCTGGGAGAAAGCGTCCTGCACCCAAGCGGAACCGACGTTGGGGGCACCATCGTGAAGAACAATGTCCGCCTTCCAGTGTTTGATATGCGAGCGAATCGTTGCGCGACACTTGTCTGTGGTAATATCGCTCTGGAAGGTGATGGCTCGGGGGATAGGCTTGATTGGAGAAAGATCGACACCGATGATAAGACTTTGCGCCGGCATGTATTCTGCGGCGACTTGACACCACGACTTTTCAACCGTCAGCTTGAAGAATCTTCATGAAGGGCGAATTGATGATACTTACACCAGGCGCAGCGCACAGATCGATACAGACCCTACTCTTCTCCAAGAATCCATACTTCTGGTTCAATTGGATCAACTTGAACGCAGCACGGGCACGGTAACCCTTCTCTTTGGCAAGCCGATACCACTTATCCAAACGACCTTTTCCATGCTGTGAGAGGAGTCAGTATATAAAGGCGAGTGAGACAAGATGTGACTAACCTTCTTTTGGATCGCCATTTTGACGGAGTATTGGTCTGAACAGACCAAAGAATCCTATTAAATGACTGGTAAAAAGACAAATGTATACTTTTTCTAATCAGAGCCGCCGAAGAAAAAAAAAGTTGCAGTATTATTCACCGCCCGTGAACCGGCTCTCCATATTTCTGCCTGAGGCCACATGGCTGCCAGACATGTGACGTGATATCACTCAGGCACCTCCCAGTCATTTTGTGGCGCATTGTAGTTGCTTTGTCTTTCGAAAATAGATCGAGCTCCAGGCCTGATGTTTTCAACCTTACCTCCATGACGTCTAAGGGTTCTCGGAAGAGAGTGAAGCCCAGCCCCGGAGGCGTGGACACACCAGTTACACCCGATGGTCGAGAACGTTCAGACTCCCAGACTCGGGGACGCAATGCAGTAAGCCTGTGAACTCGATGTTATCTCTGACTTGACTGTGTTTACTCACTACTAGCCCTCGAAACAGAACTGGTATCCTGGAGTATGGTCTTCTGCCGCAAGAGTCCCTAAAGCAGCCCCAGTTACCGAGGTTGCCCGTGAGAGCATCTCAGCCGCCAAATCTGTAGCCTCGACTGCCATGAACACATCAGCCTCTCTACTTGAAACCCCCATAAGGACCCGAAACCCTTCTCTTCAACTCACGCGAAAGGAAGGCGCATCGGCCAGGTCCCTGCCCGTCGGAGCTACCACAACCCGAGTCAACATTGCATCAGACGGTTCGGCCTCTACCATAGCCACCGGCGATAACAGTGACTCCGCTACCATCAAAGCCGTGACATCGGACAAAGAGACCTCGGAGGATACCAACACCAAGCCTGTAGAGAAAACGGCTAAGGAGCAGGCCACCGCACCCAACACCGATTCGAGCCAAAAGCTCACGGATTCTGCAGAGGGAGCAGAGCAACCTAGCGGCTGGTTTTCGTGGCTATATGGAACACCAAATACAACCCAAGCTACTGCGAACGCTCCAGAATCCACAGAAACTACAGAGCGCCCGCCAGCCGAACAAAGCACAGAGCAGGTTGCTCAGTCCCACGTGAAAGAGCTTACGCGAGAGGTGGAGGCAACACCAGCAGCAGAGGCAAGTCAAGACACGATTGAAGTTAGACCCACGGCGCACAAACGATCGTGGCTTCAGATGTGGTACGGTACAAACACACCGAATAATCAAGAAGAGCCATCATCTGCAGCCCCCACGGCTGTGCCTCCTGTGGCTGAGAACATCACCGAAGAATCCAACTCAGAAATGCCTCCGAAAGATCCAACAAAGGACCCAAGAGAGCCGAACGGCGGCTCGCAGACCCCTGTCACAAATGCGAGATCATCTGGTTGGTCGTTTTGGTCTAAAGACACAAACAAAGATGCGCCCTCAGATGCACCTCAAACAGGCGAAGCAGTAGAAGCTTCAGTGGAACAAGATAAATCGTTGAAGACTAACGCATCTGATCCAGACGCAGATGGAAATGTGAAGATCACCCACACAGGTAGCATCAAAGTCAAGCCGCCAAAAGACAGCCATCTCAAGGATGGATCTGTATCTACCGTCGATGCGCCACCCGCTGAGCCTCGACCGGCCGATATAACCGCCTCGAAGCAATTGCAGAAAATCCTTCCCAATCAAGTCTTGCCCAGTTTTCAAGAAACGTACTCCTTCGAGGAATCACCCTCAATTTTGCAGAGCCTTGGTAGGCTGCTGCATTACAGTAAGGGAGAGGAGATTGGGCACGTTAGCAAAGTCAGGGAGCCATTACGTGTTAAACGTGCCTTGGCGATCGGCGTGCATGGCTACTTCCCGGCACCTTTAATCCGAAGTGTACTCGGACAGCCAACCGGAACTTCAATTCGTTTCTCGAATATGGCGGCAGATGCCATTCGGAAATACACAGAGAGTCACGGCTACACTTGTGATATCGAAAAGATCGCCCTCGAAGGCGAAGGTCGCATCGCAGAACGAGTGGATCTTCTATGGAAATTACTTCTCAATTGGATGGAAGAGATACGGAAAGCAGACTTTGTCATGATCGCATGTCATAGTCAGGGTGTTCCGGTAGGCGTCATGCTGGTTGCAAAGCTGATACAGTTTGGTTGTCTTGACGCCAAACGAGTGGGCATATGCGCTATGGCAGGCGTTAATCTCGGTCCCTTCCCCACCTATCGTTCTCGATTCATCAATGGTTCTGCTGGCGAATTGTTTGAATTTGCTCTTCCATTCAGCAAAGTCTCCAAGGAGTATGAATCTGCTCTCAGGTGTACACTGGATTTTGGTGTTCGCATATCTTACATTGGAAGCATTGATGATCAACTTGTTTCTCTGGAGGTATGCATCCACGCCTCTGTGGGAAAAAGTGGCAATTGCTGATCTTCATAGTCGTCGCTGTTCTCACCCGTAGCCCATCCCTACGTCTACCGCGCCGTTTTCGTGGATGGCCGAGTTCATGCTCCCAGCTTGTAAGCCACTACTATACCCCCACTCTCACCCAGTCTATGGGACTAACAAATTGGCGGGGAAAAGTTTATCTCACTTGGTCGGCTTCGCTCTCAAGCTTCGCAACCTGGGAATTTCAGACCACGGTCTCATACGCGAACTAAGCGCCCCTCTAGCTGGCAGCTTATACTCAGGCGAAGGACACTCCCGATTGTACGAAGACGAAGCTGTTTACTCGTAGGTTCCACAATATCCCCATTAGCCGCGCAGAAACTGACCAGACTCAAGGATGGCTATCGAATTCGCTCTAGAGACTTCTTCCATCCCCAATTCGACTCTCAGCATCAAGCGAGCCACCAGCTCTGTGTCGCCAAACCCGTACATCTTGCCCTTTGCAATGCGTGGTCTTTTGGAAGAGGAATACGTACGGCGTGAAATGCACGGAGACACAATGGAGTTACTAAAGCAGTTCGATGACTGGAAACCTTCCAGCAAGGTTTTGAAAGACGTCAAGTTCCGACTGGAGGGAATTCGGTCGAAGCTATAGAATCTAGCGTTTATCTTGGGGTTGGGCATTTGCAAATTCTTTCTTGAGTTGTGGACATAAAATTCCACAGGCAGTGATCATCTGTTCATACAATTTATGTTGGTTCCAAGACTAAACAATTAGAATTAACTTCAAGAGTCGGGTGGTACTCATATTGACAAAGTACGGGATTACGGGACCAACATCAGTTATATCTACTTAAGTAGGTTACAGGGTTCTTTGGAGTGAATCTGCTTTCGATCATGTTTGTCTCAGCATTATATTATACCACAGATTATACCACAGATTAAGAGATGGATCTAGGGCTTTTGTCAATCTTGAAATGTGATAGATTTGGGCCGGTGGAGGTGAATCTCTCTAGGCATCGTAAACCACCCAGAGTACGCCAGAAATATACCTATGTAGCAACAGAAAACACACTGACAGAGCAAAACAAACGCCTGGGGCTCTTCATGCTTTAATGGAAAAAGAAATAGTGGAGAGATCGTTCAGAAAGGCGTCGTGAAAATGCATCAAGTTGGCGCTGGTGGCCCGCAAAAACAGGAATTAAAAAAGCAGGGAGGGGAAAGACAAGATTAGGCGAGAAAAAAAAAAAGAGCAGAATAGAAGAGAAGGGATTGCCCACGATTAAACAGACATAGAAAACGCCGTTTTATATGCGCCCTCAATTTCATCTAGAGCCAATTAGCCACGCACCACGAGATCCATTCGAATGATACATACCTCTCATCCCATCCAGCGCCTCAAAGGCGATGGAATAGTTCGACACGGCCGCAATAATCCGTCCCAGGCCCTGTCTTAGCTCTTCAATAAGCTGACCCGTTGAATCATCGCCCTTCTCATTCTGGACTGGTGAGAGCTGCTTCGCAACGCGCGCCTTATAGTAGATCATGAACATGGCATAGCTGCTTTGAATAAGGCAGCATGCGAATGAAGGCATGGTCCTTGGTAATGGGCGTTGGTGTCGTGCATCAGAAAGGGGTTGGGGCGTGGGTAGGCCGTGGAAGATACGGGAGATTAGGAGGGAGGCCTGGAGACAGATTTTGCCGGATTGTTGGGTGCTGTACGGGAATCCGGAGGCGAATGGGTACTGAGGATATTGGGGGGCGTAGGATGATGGGTCTGGGTGAATGTCTGATGAGGTGGATGAGTCGGAGGGGGTCATGTATTCTGTGGAGGCGGCTCTTTGGAAGGTATCTAGACTGCTGCAGGGGCAGGAGACGTTGTGGATGCCTTGTTTTGGAAGGGTGTTGGGAGTGCTTGGGTTGGCGGAGGTTAAGTCGCAATGCTTTTTAATGAAGAGTGGGATGTCGGAGAAGGCGCGGTAGCGATGAGTTTTAATTTGTGCACTGGATTTTGGTTTAGATGTTGGTTCCAAGGTTGGTTTTTGGTGAGATTTTGATTGACGTACCTGCATAGTTTGATTCGGGAGATCGCACGGATGCTTTGAGCCGTTATGGATTCGTTGTGGTCGCCGAAGTCTGATGTTTGGGGTACTAGTGGGAGGAGCTCGACTTGTGCAATCACCGAATTTGTCCATGCGTCTAGTTGTTGCATTCGTTCAAACATATGGTACATCCCTGATTGGGAAGCAAGACATTTATTCAAATCACCAATGAACTGAGTGGCGGATACGAGCACTTGCTGTGACTGTATCAGAATAGACCAACCCTGCGACTGATTAGCGAATGAAGGGTCATCATGAGGTACTCTCGATACTAACCTCAGCATCTGATGAGAATGATGGGTATGGGGTCGTGAATTGAGGATCATTGATCACTATAGCGGGCATCTGTTTCTCATTAGATTCGGGTACGCTGTAAGCAGAATGACGGGACTTACGGTTGTGCTCACGATCGATCCTTGAACCACACAGTAGTACTAAAAAGATAATTAGAAGACAGCCAAGCAGGTGGGTAAACAGGAATTCGAACCGTCATCCACCAGGCTCTCCGTCGGGCCTCGGAGAATTCGTCATTCCCCGTTTGGGCATGCAAGGATTTGTCCAGTGCAATTGCTAGAGCCTGGCCCGCACGGTACCGCATTTTGAGCAGATTCCCCCGTTGGGCATACTCATAGGTCGAAAGCACTAATAACGCCAACAGACTCTCGTAATCAACCGGGCATTGGGGATGGACTCGTTGTCGTCCGACCAAAGGTCGTCCGGCGGACAATGCTTGGCCCGGGTCGGTTGACGATAAATCGAGATCGCACTCTGCCTCGATAGTCGAATTGGCCAGCTGGGCGAAGCTGTGGGCGTAGGCTCGGCGTTGAAGAATCGATGCTCCAGAGTCTGGATCGAGATCACTCGGATGCGGGATTAATGCTAATATCGCGGAGAGTGCCAGACTCAGAGGCGAACGGGGGCGGTAGATCATCGTCGGTTCGGATGAACTGGAACCTGGAACGGGACAGTTGAGCGGTCGATCCCGGCATGGCGGTGATGCCCGTGGCGGAAGAATTGGAAAATAATTGTGAATAAAATCATAGTAGGCGTTTAATCTGGACAAGGTCAGACGATGGCCTGACTCTGAATCACAGGAACGTACATCTCCGGCTCACTGCCATAGGTCCTCACATAGGACTCGGTGCCCATCAATGATGGCGAGATTGGGGGGACCTGCATATGCGATTGGGTTCCATCGCTGTTGAAGAGACCCTGGAAGATAGAGGGTACCTCGGCTTGGAAATCTAGATGGCGCAGACCCGCGCCAGGTAGTGAGAGGTCATCAATTTGACTGAACATTCCCGCTAAAATACCGTTAGAAGGTGTCACGATATTGATTTGTTGGTTCTCTGTTTGACAATAGTCTACACACATACATTCCTCAAACCCCGGTGAGGGCATAGCGGGATAAGGAACATCTTGGGACTGATGCCTTTCAGGCGAAGTAGAGGATTTCTCCTTCTTCTTGCGAGGACCGCCTCTCTTGCTGGGTAAATAGGAACACTCGCGGTCTTTGTTCACACACTGGTGATGCCGGTTAGCTTCGTATTGGCAGCCGGTGACATAAATGACATACATTGGAACATGGCATTTGACCGCCACATCTTGTCCTGGAGGCGCGACTAGGGTTCCGGTTAGCGGGGGTGAAATGCGCGGTAGTCAGACGGGGTTTACTCGTACGCACCAGGGTAGACAAGCGACTTTGACCGGGGGTTTAGCGAACTTCTTGCGAGTTGGGCGAACAAGCCCATCGAAGTCGGCCATAACGAATCGGCTAGCGTAGATATGCTCCGCAATGAACCAGTCGGTCGGGACTATTTCACCGTCCAGGCCTAGGCGTACACATCGGGACAAATATTGTACTCAAATCTGAACAGGAAAGCGCTGATATAGAAAGTTTATGATTGCTTGTTGGCAAATCCCGGACTGTGGAGGGTTCGGGATTTGCTTTTTGGGTATTGAGGAACTAAACCCCGATTTGGAGAGGCTCAAGATTTGTCATACTGGGGAACTTGCGTTTTTCGAAGATCTACATTATCTTTTATATACTTTTTTTCATTAGAAGGATATGTCAGAAAATTTGCTCGATCTGCCATTTCACTAAGCAACCGTGGTTTCGATATCGGAAGTAATTCGGCATCTCCCTTGGGTTTTGGTTGAGACGCGTCATGGTATTGAAAGCACGTGACTGGGCCCGACAGTCTGTACGTAGTCTGTATGTACAGAGATGTACAATGATGTAGGGGGAGGACAGGATTTGATGATCGTGAACGCTGGGGTTCTCATGCATGACAGATCTGGCGATCGAAGTATGGTGCCATTGAGACTTGCCGGGGCTCCCTTCCGGCCCGAGACAGGGTCTGTACTCCGTCCTTCGTCCTTTGTATGAGAGTACATATACAAATATACTGTCGTACTCTCATACTCGTACTGGTACATGTCGGTGAAAACTCGCAGAAAGGGAATATCAAATTCATGCAGGTGGACCCTGCGTTATGGGCTTTCCCTTGGCCCGCTGGCCAGTCATTGGGTGACAGACGCGCACATATTTTCTACCATTGCCAGATTGAGTCTAGTCTTCAATCTCCCTGTCGTGCAGGAGTATTCAGGCATCTATCAGGCAGATTAAACCCATATTAAACCATGTTAAACCATATTAAACCATATTAAACCATATTCAAGCATATCTCACATTTTACAACGATATTCTTAATGGTTTGTATGTACATTAGAGTTAGTGGGCCCGGTTTAGCTTAATACCTGCGACATGCCGCACGCTATCCCACACGCTATCGGGGACCTTCACCGGCAATTTATGGCCCTTGAGTTGTTGATCAATCAACCACATTCCAACCACAAACTCCTCCCGCAGGAGAAGCCCGATGTTTTGATGGTCCACCAAGTCCCACACCTGTTCCAGCATGGCGGGTGGCAGCCGGCTGCGGGACCAAATTTCCCGAACCACTAGATTTAGCACCATCTCCGCGGACTGTCGCCCCGTATTCGACCCATTCAGAGTATTATCGGTAGGGATGAGCAGCCCTTTATTCGAGGCCCAAACGCCCTCATAGCGCTTGCGTTCTTTCTCCGTCACCTCTCGTCGCCAGTGTTTACGATCCCCTTCGTGATGCTTGTGAGGGTGCTTGTTGAGGGGGTTCCGATGCTTGCGGTGGTCGGAATCGGGCTTGGGCGCGCTGCGCAGGGTCTGCGGCATGCCCTTGGGAGGACTCGGGGTCCGGGACAGATCACTCTTGGGAGAGTGTGCTAGATGTAGAATGGACCGTGCCCGCCGTCGCTGGGGAGGAAGCGGCGGCGGCACTTTGATGGATGGAGACGCCCGTGCTGATGCCAGGGATGAGGCGACAATCGCATTGGACAGAGCTTCCTCACTCATGCCGGGTTCATCCATGATGCTAGGGGCACTGGTTGCGTGCGATTGTGCTGAGATGGACATCGCACTCGGTGTCGAAGGTCGCAAGGGCGTAGTCGGAACCCCATGACTTCTGATAGACCCTCGCGATGGAGGTAACCGGGGAGGCAGCCTAGGGGCTGTTTCATCTGGCTGTGAAGAGTGACGAGAGCTCAAGGAAGGGTGAGGACTAGAGCCCCGACTGTCGTGATATTCTGTAGTTCTCGACTGTTGCGATGGCGAGCGCCTTGAAAGAGGCAAGTCGCGGTCGGAGTCGAGCTCATCGTCTAGTAGCATGCGATCCAGACTACTTCGTCCCCGGACCGAGCGTGCCGGGGTTGGGGATGGCACGTCTCTTTCTGGCGCTCTGCTTGCACTTCTTATCGCGCCCAGCTTGGCGGCTGAGGATGGAGTCGTCGTGTCCCGTCCAGGGGACCTTGACGCGGCCAGTCGAGCAGCGATCTCTGAAGTAGACGCGAGCGATGCAGCGGAAGGTCGACCTCGCACGTTGAGAGTGCTGGCTGAGGGGGAGACTGGCTGCGTCAATCGGCCAATCTTGTCCCTAACGGAGCCCACTTCGGGGCCCAGGTCGGATCCGTTGCGCGGACGATTTGGTGTATGACGATCGCTTGCCATCGCTGACAATGGCTTTGCTTTGACATTGGGCGAAGGATCTCTGGAGTGGAAGGCTAGCGTGGCACCTTGTAACGCGGCGTCATTGCGGGACACACCCAACCGCTGGTTCGAGTTGCCGCCATTCATGGAGGAGATCCAGATGTCCGTCTTCCGTGTCGTTGATGTTCCCTTTAGTTTGGGCTGGGAATTTTTCTTTTTTTCCTCTCTCTTTGGGGTTCGAAGAGATGACAGGTTCCACGCCCGTGCGCGACCGATGATCCAGCCTCTCTATTCGTACTCGTAGGACTCCGAACAACGCCACATTGATCTCTGGCTCGGAGGCTCTTGGCTCTTGGTTATTCTGTTATCATTTTGATGTGTTTCCTAAGTAATTCGAAGAGTATTCTGTTTAGCTCAATTAAATCGACGATGCTCTTATTAACCGAACGGTAAATTGCCGTGTAAAATAGTTCAGCCAATCGGTTCTACTTTCTCCGCATTTTCCAAGACACGCTGCTTTTTCCCCTCATTGTTCTTTCTGCAGGTCTCTCTGCAGGTGTTTTCCGGAATGCAGTAAGCTGGTATTTATTCTTGGGACCATGCTTTCGGGCAAAGACAAAGAGGATCCAGAGGATCCAGAGGCTTCAACTCACGGGTCAATACCGGCGCTTCGTCCAGAGACTGACGATCCAAATGAGGACTTGGGAACAGGCCATGTGCAATGTACAGTATGTAGCAGTACCTTTCGACGACCGGAGCATCTGAAACGTCACCTGCGGAGCCATACGAAGGAGAAACCGTTTGAATGTGCCCAGTGCGGCCGGCACTTCTCAAGGAGGCATGCGACTTGTGTTTCCCGTTATGGATTGCTCATATACTGACTGATCGCAGCGACACACTCCACCGACATGAGATGAGCCACCATACAACAGGGAGCGAGGGCAAAGATCGAACCCACCGTATCACAGTCAAGACATTCCGTGCTTGCTTTGGTTGCGCAACGGCGCGTGTCCGATGCAGCGGCGGGATCCCCTGTGGACGGTGTGACACCCGCTCGCTTGAATGTCAATATCCAACACAGAGGCGGTCCAAGGCGAAAGCCCTGAGAGATTCGGACATTAAGGGAGCTGACGCTGGCAACCCCAATCCCGCGCATCGTGCTTCCAATGCAAGCTCCCATATAAACCAATTCCCTATACACAGACCAAGTGATCCCACTTCGTCATCAAAGCCATTGCTTGGTGTCTTTTCTACAAACACTGACCAGTTTCAACCGACCCAGTCGAACGTACACCGCGCGAATGGGGAGGCATCAAATACACATGCCTATCAACCGCGTACAAAGCAGGAACCATCGACAGCACGACCACCGTTGAGTGTATATAATGAAGGTGTCAATTCAACATATAATCACTCAAATCCCGGTGTCCCCAAACTCTCCGTTGGTTCGTCTAACCTAGACTCTGAAGTAGGGGGTCTCCAACCAACGATGTCTGATTTAGCGGTCGACATCGAGATGACAATGGAAGATGCCCCGTCTTTGGGATTTGACCCTAGTCTCTTCGGCCAGTCAATGCATTCTACCATCAACTGGCTTCCAACCGAATTAATTCCAGGGGCCTTGCTCGATCAGACACAGCCTGTCTCTTCGCATCATAGCCAATCCTTTGGTCCAGGTCCATACTTCTCTCACATCGCATGGCAACCACCGGCCGTTCTTTCTGGACAGACCAGCTCATCGCATCATCAAGCATCCTCTGAGAGGCTATCAGCGCACATTCCTGCGAGCAACATGGAAAGCCCTGGTCGATACTCCCACGGAATTAGCGAAACCTCACCGCAGACAATATCATCGGAATCCGCCAAAGGATCAGTGGACAATTACGCCGAGGTCGTGGGACCCAGACAAAAAAAATCCAGAACGAAGTTCTTACCATGGTCTGATTCGCCTGCCAGCACGATCACTCTTGGAAAGCAGATACTCCTCGAAGACCCTGAACGTCGATTTGGCTTTCCTGTCTTTTCCGGGCGCCATGCAGATCAGATACCTTCAGATGTAGAGCGGCATTTTCCAAGCATCGAATCCTCCACCTATGATGAGTTACATCGGCAATTTACCTCGCTCTGTCGCAGCGAAAATCCATTTTGCGAAACCTTTGAAACAGAGAGATTCCCCACCGCGGACGAACTCACTCGCTTTATTGCCCTTTTCTTTGATTCTTTCCAGGCTGTATATCCAATTCTGCATCTTCCAACATTCAATCCAAACTCATGCCATTGGCTCTTGACAACATCAATAGCAGCGCTTGGTTGCCATGTCGCACACATTCCTGAGATGGAGCAGTATACATCAGCTCTTCACGAGTTTCTTCGGCGAGGCATCTTTGTTGAGGTAAGTGAACAATCTCATTGTGAGGTTCGTTCGACTCACATACAACAGAAGAAAAAAGACCACCGGGCTCAGACTTCTCTTGAAATCCTGCAAGCTATGCTGTTCAACTGTATTGGGTTGGTTCATAGCGGAGCCGAACGTGATATATACTCGGCCTCAGGTACCTTTGGCGAGCTCATAACCCTCGTGAAGACCATCAGATTGTTGGCACCGCGAAAGGTTTACCTAGACGGGGCATCGCAAGATGAAGATTGGAATTGTTGGGTGCAAGACGAGGTCAAGAGACGCACTGGTTACTGCATCTGGGTAAGAGTGCCACAAAAACAATGAGCTACCCAATTTCTGACAATCATCCAGCTCTTGGACTGTACCCTTGCGTACTATTTTGATAACAAACCCTTGCTATCACTAGATGATGGACAGGCTTCGCTACCTGCTCACGAGAAGCTATGGCAGGCGGCCTCAGCAGGAAGCTGGAAAAAGTTGTGGGAGAAATTGTCAGGTAATTACACTCAGCGTTATAGATCGGACTATTGCTGATTTTGACAGCCAACGAATCATTATATAACGCAGTTCATATTCTCTACGTCGAGAAAAGGCTGATACCCGGCATTGGAGAATTCAGTCACATCCTAATCATCCATGCTCTCTACCATCGAACATGGGAGGTAGGAGATTACTTCCGTCGGCCTTTATCATTCTGGAATCCCACCGCTAAAAAGCAATCCCGCGAAACCGCCATTCCCACCGGCTCAGTCTGGCTCCCAGGAATCCCTTCATACTCTAAGTGGCGTAACAGCGCATGTGACTGCCTCGATATTCTACATTGGACCGCAAATAGCACAGTAGCCAAAGCTGCCGGTCTTGAGCACCCAACCGTCCTTCACCTCCACGCCGCCCGACTGATCCTGCTAGCTCCGTTCCGCGAAATGCGCTCCCTTGCCACCGCCTTGGCAACAGAAAAGCTACCCTGGAGCAAACGACACCAGTCTTTGGAATGGCAGTATGTCCGACGCTGGATAGAGCACGATCAATACAAAGCGCGTCTATCGATCATTCATGCCGGTGTGACCCTCTGGCACATCCGCCGCTATTCTACCAACGCATTCCACGAACCCGTCGCAATCTTCATTGCAGTCCTGACGCTCTGGGCATATGGAGCTTGCCATGCGCATGCATCTCACGAGTCGACACCGCTTTCCCATTCACAGACACCTCGTGTTGAGCCTGGACATGACTCAAGGCTCATTCATCTAGATCGGCCTTGCGACGATGAACTTGTGCAGCTCTTTGTTCGGGAGGGTCATTCCATGAGGGCCAGTCTTTCCGGTGTTGGTGATCTTTGTGGTGCCGAGGGTCCTGAACGGCTCCTGCGGGTCGGTTGTGGGATTCTTTCGGAAATGAATGCGTGGGGAACTTCGAGCAAGTTTGCGGCAATCTTGTCCAGACTTGCTGATTTGACTTCGCATCACTCTTGGAATCACTCTTCCGTATGATGTTTACTTTGATGTGCTGTCGAATCTTTCGCTTCTCTTACACTTCATTTTGACCTTGTACATTAATCATCCTTGCGTTTGTTTTATCATTCGCTTTATACCCTGAATGAACTCAATCTGAATTTTGGACTGCTCGTGTGTATCATTAATGTGGAGGTGATTCACTCCAGCGGGCTGGTACTTCGTGCGGCTGCAAGGAATGCCCCACATAGCCTTATCTTATCGGGAGTGCAGCCTAAAAGCATCCGGGGTCATCTTAACTTTCTTCCAAGGTTCCTTGTCTTCCTCTGTAATGGATTCCGACGAAATCGTAGAACCTCTCAAGGAGGAGGACCTTGATGCGAAGTGAGAACGTCCTACCAAAGCTTGCGTCCCGATTCCTAACATAGCGACAGATACCCCAACCGGCCTCACAACCGAGCTCCATCCTTCGCATTCCACGACCTATACCTCAACCTCTTCAACCCTCTAAATGCACTAAAGAAAAAGCCAGGGGGTCCAGCTCCAGCTCGCCGGAAGCTCGGTCCGCACGGAAAGAGTGCATCGAGTCTTAATCCCCTCGAGCTTCGCCGCGATGTGATCGAGCGCTTCGTTTCGCGATGGCGCAAAGAAGTCGGCGATGACATCTACCCAGCTCTTCGATTGATTCTTCCCGACAAAGACCGTGATCGGCCCATGTACGGTGTCAAAGAAAAAGGCATCGGCAAGATCCTTGTCAAGATCATGAAAATTAACAAGGAATCCGAAGACGGCTATAACCTCTTGAACTGGAAACTTCCTGGACAAGGTGCCACCATGCGCATGGCCGGTGACTTTGCCGGACGATGCTTTGATGTTCTATCAAAGCGACCGATGCGTACTGAGCCGGGAGACATGACCATAGACGAGGTCAACGAGAAACTGGATAGTTTGTCCGCTGCATCGAAAGAGGATGAGCAGGTGCCCATTCTCACAGAATTCTACCGGCGTATGAATCCCGAAGAGCTTCTCTGGCTCATACGTATCATTCTCCGGCAGATGAGGATTGGCGCGACTGAGCGCACGCTATTTGATGTCTGGCACCCCGACGCCGAGAACTTGTACAGTATATCTAGCAGTTTACGTCGTGTCTGCTGGGAGCTTTATGATCCTAATATTCGACTCGAGGGTGAAGACCGCGGTGTTGGGCTGATGCAATGCTTCCAGCCCCAGCTGGCTCAATTCCAAATGCATTCGTTTGAGAAGATTATCGCCCGGATGAAGCCGACGGAAGGGGATAATGTTTTCTGGATTGAAGAAAAGCTCGACGGTGAACGTATGCAGATGCATATGGTTCCTGATGATTCAGTGAACGGGGGTCGGAGATTCGGGTTTTGGTCGCGTAAAGCCAAAGACTATGCCTACCTCTATGGAACTGGAATCTATGATGAAAACGGGGCAATGACAAGACATCTAAAAGATGCTTTTGTGGACGGGGTGCAGAGCATTATACTTGATGGCGAGATGATCACTTGGGACCCGGAGCAGGACGCCATCGTTCCCTTCGGCACACTCAAGACCGCAGCGCTGGCTGAACAGCGGAATCCGTTTTCAAAGGGCCACAGGCCCTTGTTCCGCGTGTTTGATATTTTGCATCTCAACGGACGCGATTTGACAAAGTATACACTGCGTGATCGTCGAAATGCCATGGCCAAGACAATCCGACCTGTCCACCGTCGATTTGAGATCCACCCTTACGAGGAGGCTACCAACACCACGGAAGTCGAAGCAGCTCTACGGAAGGTCGTTGCAGAGGCCTCGGAAGGGTTGGTGTTGAAGAACCCACGCTCTCCATATCGACTGAATGAGCGCCATGACGATTGGATGAAAGTCAAGCCAGATTACATGACCGAGTTTGGAGAATCTCTTGATGTCATTGTAATCGGCGGGTATTATGGTTCTGGACATCGAGGAGGCGCCCTAGCCAGCTTTTTGTGCGGGCTCCGAGCCGACGACAATCCTAGTACCGGCCCAGGATCTATGAAATGCTGGTCCTTCTGCAAGGTTGGTGGCGGTTTCACTGCGGCTGATTACCAGGAAGTCCGTCATCACACAGATGGGAAGTGGAAGGAATGGGATGTGAAAAATCCACCAACCACCTACATAGAATTGGCCGGCGGCGATGCTCAGATCGAACGGCCTGATATGTGGATCAAACCATCCGAGTCAATCGTTCTGAGCGTGAAGGCTGCTTCCGTGGCAGTCAGCGAAACATTCCGCATGGGAATGACTTTGCGTTTTCCCCGCTTCAAGAAATTGCGCAAGGACAAGGACTGGAAAAGTGCTCTATCTGTCCAGGGATTCCTGGATCTCAAATCAAATGCTGAGCAGGAGCACCGCGAGAAGGAGTTCGCAGTGGACAACTCTCGAAAGAAGCGAGTCAAGAGGGCCACCAAGAAGCCGTTGACCGTCGCTGGACACGACGAGAATATTGGCAATCAGTACATCGGACCTTCTGGAAATATGTTCGATAAACTTAACTTCTTCATCATAACCGAATCAACTGTGCCAGAAAAAAAAACAAAGCTCCAGCTGGAGCAGCTTGTGAAGGCTAACGGGGGTAAGATCTATCAAACCAACACAGCGGCAACAGATACGATATGCATTGCTGAGCGAAGTAAGTCTCTCATACCAGATGAATTCAGGATAAGTTCGATCTAACATTCCTTCAGAGACGGTCAAGGTGGCTTCGATCATGAATCAGGGTGAACAACACATCATTCGTCCGTCCTGGCTACTCGACTGTGTCAAGCAAACTGAAAAAGACGCCGGAATGCCTGACCTCCTTCTCCCATTCGAACCTAGGTATGTGTGATTCCCCGCAATTCTTCTACGGGCATTGATCTTCTGGGTTTCCAGACATATGTTCTTCGCAATGGAAGATAGGGAAGAAGAATTCACAGTCAATGTCGACCAATTCTCCGACAGCTACGCCCGCGATACAACCGTGGAAGAGCTCACAGATGTACTTGAAGCCCCACAATCAATCATGACTAGTATCTAATCTATTGCAGATTCTCAAGCGGATGAACGATTCTGCCGAGGTGCCCAATCACATCGATTCAAGAACAGCCCAGAGAGTAGAGATTCGCATCCAGGACCGCGTCAATGCAGGCTATACTGCTCCCTGTGGTTGGCTTTTCCGCGGCCTAACGTTGTTGCTTCACTCCGAGTCTCGTTCAGATAGCCAGAAACCCCATCGAATACACCTTGCACAAAATACTGCCCGCTTTGCTGGTGCGGATATTGCAAATTCCTTGGAAGACTCGGGTATCACACATGTGGTTATTGACTCGGATATATTGACTTCGGAGGAGATATCTGCTCTTCGGAAGTCTCTTGCTGATAGATCTGGTTCTAAGATACCGCATCTTGTTAGCTTAGATTGGGTGGAGGAGAGTTGGAAACATGGAACCCTGCTGGACGAGGAGAGATTCCAAGTTCGACGGTAATAGGAAGACCCAAACAGATTGCTGTTTGAATTTCATGCTATCATAGGTAGTCATCTAAGGCCTATTATTTGGTTGGCCATTTAGATCACATAACATCTACGTATACCATCTACGGTGATCGGCTGATAGATTAAAGCGAGCCATTTGAGGCCCAGAAGGATAGGCAACCCTGGAACCTTAGCAAGACCACTCTCTCATTGGACTCCAGATTGACCCCGTGATCATACTAAATATCCGGCCACGCGGGATGATCTCATGAGCTGTAAGATGATATCACCACATATTAAGGTCTAGAGTTTTGTTTACAATACAAATACAATGCTTAATTGGTAATTGTTTGGATCGGTATAGATGCATATCAAAGGTCTAAGCCCTCAGGCGCTGCGCAAGACGGAGAAAGGGGTATGATAACAAAGGAAAGTATGTGTCGACCAGGACACGGTCCTAGACGCCGCGCTTGAAATGAACAAAAAGGGAGGCTTTAAAAAAAGAAAATTCGTGCAAATGTGAGTGGCCAGAAAGGAGATGGGATATGCAAACTTATGCGCTCGGCGTGATGAGAAGCATTCGATGAGAGGCCTTTCTTTTCTCACTCGGCTGAAATGCCGACCCATCGGGAGGGGACTGTGTTGTTGTCATCACCGTCCTCGTATTGTCCCAATAGACGATAATTGTTCTTGCGAGCAGGCAACCAGACGCGGGCGCGGGTGGGGATGTCCTCGCGAAGTTTACCGCGGCGTCGCATGTTCATTTCGAGAACGACCACACGCAGGAAGTCGCTGTTCTCACGAATCTCGCGAGAGCGAGACATCGGGGGAATCTCCGGGTCGAAAGTAACAAATTTCTGTTCCCGGCTTGCGATGTGGAAATGGTTGCGTCGGTTTCCGCGGCCGCCAGATCGTCGATATGTTTGCATTTGGATAGAGACCGGGCTTATACCAGAGGCCTTGGGCGTGTGAGGGTAGTCATGATAGACGTACATCTCGGCTGGCGAGATTGGAGTTGGGTTGAGATATCGTCGAAGGGCTGGGGAGGGGGTTTCTTCCATCGGTAATGGACGGCGATCATCTGTCGTTTCTGGAGCAATATTGAAGAGGGATCGGGTAAGGAAGTCCTCTGGTTGGACGGAGGGCGTCGCGAATGTCGAGACGGTCTGTGCCGCGGATTTGATGGCTCGTAAAGATGCCGTGAGATTCGACTTGATGGCTCCAAACCGTCCAAAGGAGGCAGATCGCTTGGTCGGCGTCGTGTTGATTTCGACAGGCTCATTGTCATACTTGATTTCAATAATTTCGCATTCAGCGACTTCTGTCTGAAGCAGGGGGTGGTCCAAAGCACACTCCTCGCAATGTGAGTACCGAGGTTGACGCTTTTCTGGGGTGGTCCGGTGACTTGGAGGGGTTGGGGGCGATGAAAGACTTGATGGTGAGGCTAGGCCATGAACCAATGACGGTGTTGATTCACTTGATGTCGATCTCACAGAAGGTGGAGAGTCATGCCCAGAGTCGTTGCCCAGAAGTTCGTCATGTTCTTCGGGTGGGCTGAGGAGGAAGTCCAGAGGAGAGTAAATGGAACCGTCCAGGAAGTGATCCTCTTTCGGTTTGACATTTTCTTGCAACATCCGCCGGAAGTCCTCTTCATGGTTGCTCCGAGCTAGTTTCCGGGGTCTGCGCGTATTCCGACTTCGTCGTGGTGGGATGGCAGTCGCATCTAGCATCGAGTTGAATGACGTAGGGATGTGGCGTTCGTTGGATGAACTCGAGGTCGACCGACGAGATGACTCAGACGTTTTCGAGGGCGTACGGGATCGACTTTCTCTGCGCATGGAGAGATTTCGCGAGCCTCGCTTTGGGGGAATCACGACTGGGCTGGAGTTCGAACCCCGGATCTCGGTCCTTGATGCGGGGCGAGAAGCAGAGCGAACAGGTGTGAATGGATTCATGCTCTGTTCCAGGGGCTTTTGCGGCAGCGCCGAGGTGAAGAGGAATGCTCTCGGGACCATCATGATGACGACTGTTCGACCAACGGGTGACAGTAACTAGCGAGGCCTAGACCGGACGAAGCACTCTGGTCGAGCGTCTGGACTAGATACATGGGTGGAAAGGAAAATCGTCAACTGTGAGCAGTCCCCCGTCCTAATAGTCAGACGGAAGACGACAGCCAATCTGATTATGTATGTTGGCCCAAGATGCAGAGCGGATAGGGCCGCGAGACAAGGGTATGCACGCGACTCGATAAGGTGACGGATTTGATAAAGGGAGAAGGTAGGCGATAAGATCGAATATTGAAGGCGAGGAGGGTAGGAGCGAGGAGGTCAGAAAGATAGAAGAGGTAAGAAAGAGGAGAGAGTAAGGAGTACAGATATTAAGAGAGAGAGAGTCAATTCGAGCAGAAGATGGGGAAGAGTGATGATCTCAGATAAGCCCGTATTGGGTAGGTAAAGGCTGAAAACCATCTGTGTGCACAAGGGACAGGTAATTTATTTCAGCAGCATGCCGATTGGCTGGAGCATGCCGTCTTCCGATACCCCCATTGTGAGTGTCCACTATGGTCGTATTGGATTCGTAATTTTGGATTCCCATTACTCATGGAACATTCCGCCGGTGGAGTCCGGAAGACTGTGGATTTCCGGAATCGGTTGTCGATTTTATTAAAGGTATTTATAACAGCAAGAAGGTATACAAATATCTCCAAGGTTTCACGATTTCAAGATTGGAATAGATAGTATGCTTATTGCGGTAGAATATAAAAAAAATCCCGGTACCTTATCAATGACTCAGACTACCTGGGTGTAGACCCCCCGGAAGGGCATCCGACAGAAATACAAAACAGAGGAAAAAATGATGAAAAAAGAATGTAAAAACAAAGTGGTGGGTGGGCCCGTTAAGGTTGCTTTTAGTGCGGTGTCGGCAGATGCACACCGTTCTCCCCAGAACAAAATCCGAAAAAGAAAAAATAAAAAGGAGAGGGTTCGGGTTTAATCGAGTGTCCCCATTAGTGGCTAGAACTCCGTCTTGGGGGATTAATTGCCTGTTTACGGACTACAAGTCGTATGTGTACGAGTAGTCTAGGTGAAACCGAAACAAAAAAGCAATGAGATGAGTAGGGGAGATAAGTCTAATGCGCGGTGTCAGCTCGATAGGATCGACAGGAACTCCAACGGGGCTCCCTGGTTTCTCCGATTGAATCGTTGAATACCAGAGTTAATCAGCGGGTGGCTGCAGACTTCCTAAAAAGTCAAGTCGACGAGACGTGGCTAGTGGAGCGCCATAAGCGAGGATAATTGCGGTGAAACCCCTATTCTCAAGTGCCCCTTATATTGTGGCTTTGTTTGTGGCGGTTTGTTTATAGTTATTCAATATGTTTGTGTGTGTGAGTGTCCTCTGGACACCGGACTCCGTGCTCCTCTGTACGGAGTGCGAATGAAGCCGAAATAATTATTTACATCCTTACTCCGTACATTGTTCGCCTAATGTACGGATTACAATTCCAGGTCAGATCCCCGTTGAGCTGGTCCAGTCACGATCGTAGAATATACTGGCCCACAGTCATCTGCGCATTCTTTTCGCATAGGCTATTCCAATACAACACAGACATTGCAAAACCGCGCAAGAGTTCTCTTGGCGGGTCTGTCCATCGCAAAGTCCCAAAAAGTAGAACTTAAGACGTGGCTGGTGGAGCGCCTTAGACGAGGACATTGCGGTGAGCCCTGTATATCGATTGGTTTTGGGGTGTTTGTGTGGTTGGGTTAGGCATTCATACATCCTTCCGGTGCTAGTATTTCCAATCAGGTCTTGGCAACTATTGACATCCACAGGTGACTATACGAGTAGTTACAGAGCACTCCGTACTTCCGTACTTCCATTGAGAAGGTGTACATAATCGTACAATGTAATTGTTGTCAATCAAAACCCGGACAAGTCAGATATCCTACACAGGCGGTTACTGTACTAAGGGATATCCCCGTACAGCGATCTTCCGAGGTTCTAGAGCCCCCCTGTGGCGCGCTCCTTGCTTCTTTCTGTAGTTCATGCTTTGAACACGTTCCACGGGTTCTATACACCCAGATGATGTATTCAAGTACTTACGGAGGCCTAGACAGCCCAGCGCTTGAGGCATTGAAATGATCACTGGGAACGGACTATCCCGTCCTCCGGCTGCTATGTATGTCCTTCGTTACGGGTAATCTATAACCCACTCGCCAATCTTTCGAAATCCGATGCCCCAGACTGGCTCCTGGATCCCCAGAACCGTGCAAATGCAAACGGAAGCTGAACACTGCATTCCATAGTCCAATACTCCGTAGACCGGGTTGACGAAGAAATGGAAAAGCGAAAAATGGCTCGAAACCTAAAATCACGCCACGTGAAGGGCATTAGTCAGCCGCTTATCGATCGAATATCACAGCCATCCAGAGGGCGGCGATAAACCACATCGCTGTCGCTTGCATCCAATCATTGTCACCTCAAGATCCTCGCATCCTGCAAACCCGTCTCCGCCTCCACTGCGGGTCTGCAAATATCGTGGGGTAGATGACCGGCAATTGTCATAGATCGCGAACTCGTAGGTCCAGATACCCTACCCCATTTGATATGGAACTAACACGACCGACAAGCCATTTCCGGGACCATGCTCTAAGACGCTGTCCCAATTAGGAAATGGCATGCATCCATATCAGTGAATGGACCAGTGACCGGCAGACACGACAGTCAGAATAGACATGCAAAGGAGCCCACTCTCACTCGTCTCCAGTTGCACTAATCAAACAATCTGAATCATAAATCTGAATCATGAGTTCCGAACATGCCCAGTCGTCGAAAAGACGATGTGTCAGCACAGCTTGCGTTGCCTGTCGCAAGAGAAAGTCCAAGGTACGCATCCTGTGTTGTACAGTCGCCTCTGCAGTACTAACGATGTCTGTGATCAGTGTGATGGAAATCTTCCAAGCTGTGCGGCTTGTTCATCAGTATACCATACCCCTTGTATGCATTCCCTTTTTGAAACAGGGTGTATGACTGGCACATCTAACCATTCTTAGGCGTATATGATCCCAACTCGGATCATCGTCGCAAAGGTGTCTATAAAAAGGACACGGATACCTTGCGCACTAAAAACACCACTTTGCAAACCTTGATCCAGGCAATTCTGAACTATGATGAAACAGATGCTTTTGACCTGGTGCGCCAGATCCGCGCTTGCGATGACCTCGAGGATGTGGCAAACGCGGTCCTTGCCCAAGAGAACGGGCTTTCATCAAAAAATCAAGCTGCACATGAATCCTCCAGTGAGAACACGAATGAAATCAATCAATTTGAATCAGCACTGGCTGGAAAAATGAGCGAGCTGATGTTAGACGGCTCACGCAAATTCATCGGAGGGACATCAAACCTTATCTTCTTACCGCCAGGCTCAGAGCTTCACGAGGCAGCTGCGGTCACAAACAATCTATCTCTTGAGACTGGCCAAATACACGCCGTGAGCCGATGGACGCAAGTCACGGATGACGACTCGTTGATCAGCCATTTGATGACCATGTATTTCACTTGGCATTATCCATTTTTCACCACTCTCTCCAAAGATTTGTTCTATCGGGACTACATTCGCGGAATCTCCAGCTCCTATTGCTCTGCCTTGCTCGTCAATGCCATGCTTGCTCTCGGTTGCCATTTCAGTTCATGGCCAGGCGCTTTTGATGATCCCAAAGACCTTGCAACGGCGGGCAATCATTTCTTCAAAGAAGCGAAACGACTCGTCCTGGAAAATGATGAGCATGAGAATGCCAAGCTATGTACAGTCCAAGCATTTGCACTCATGTCTGTCAGAGAGGCAGGATGTGGTCGCGAAGGAAAAGGCTGGGTCTACAGTGGCCTCAGTTTCCGCATGGCTTTTGATCTCGGGCTCAATCTGGATTCTCAGAACATTGGCGCCCACAGCCTCAGCGATGAAGAAATCGATGCTCGCCGGGTCACATTCTGGGGCTGCTATCTCATTGACAAGTAAGTAGCCCAATCTCAAATCACTTCCCCTTTACTCACACTCGGCAGATGTTGGTCAAATTATCTTGGTCGGCAGCCTCAACTGACCTCCGCAAACGCCAATGTTCCCAAATTTGATGTCTTCCCACGAGAGGAGACAGAGTTATGGTCGCCATACACTGACTCTGGTGTGGGTCATGAGCATACTCAGGCATCGCGGATTCGGGCTGTTGCTCTCCAGATTTCTAAACTCTGCGAAATCAGTAGCGATTTACTGGTGTTTTTCTACCATCCAACCGAGCTTGAGAAATTCCAGCCCAAGCAGTCGGAGCTGAAGAAACTAAGTGATGTCCATACCCGGCTTGAGGCGTGGAAAAACAAACTGCCCAAGGAGCTGGTCGCCAAAGAAGGGCAGCTGCCTCAAGTGCTCGTTATGCAGTAAGTTGACTTGCAGGATAATTCTGGGAAACTGGCTAACTTACATCACAGCATGCTGTATCAGCTACTAATTATCCACCTCTATCGGCCTTTCTTGAAATATACCAAGGCTAATACACCGTTGCCACCCCATGTCTCACCTCGCAAAATTTGCACACAGGCTGCTGCCACTGTCTCCAAGCTCTTGCGCGTGTACAAACGCTGCTATGGATTGAAACAAATTTGCAATATTGTCGTTTATATCGCTCACACTACTTGCACTATTCACCTTCTCAACCTCCCTGACAAAAACGCTCAGAGAGATGTCATCCACGGGTTGAAAAATCTCGAAGAAATGGCAGAGGGTTGGCTCTGTGCTCGACGTACCCTGCGCATCCTGGACATTTCCGCAAACAAGTGGAATGTCGAGCTACCGCCTGAAGCAATTGCCGTCTTCGAGCGAACTCATGTCAAATGGGGCTCATGGGGCTCTTGGGATCAAGCGGCATCTCCTTCGATGCCCGCAGAATCCCCCACATCAACTGTCATGCAACCTGCCACAAGCCCCAGTCGATTCTCACCAACTGCACCACCATTCCAACCATCCCGCGCGGAAAAGCACAAAAACCCTCCCACGGCTGGAAACCCTCGTATGAGTCCTCAATACGGCCCAGCCCCAACCTCCATCCCCATGTCTCTCCCGTCCATGCGAGCAGCACACAGCGCTCTATCAGCCCAACTTCAAAGGCCTGATTTTGCCCCACCTGAACCCACGTACCTTCGGCCCCAAATGGCCTACCAATTTCCCCCTATCGCACCTACCCCCTCAACTCCCCAGCAGGGGGCCTGGTTCGATGGGTCAGGCGCCCATGTCGCACCTCAAAATGGAACGCCGCCACCAAATGCATCCCCCGTATCTGGCTACGACGGTACTGAAAATCTCGTCGAAGAGAGCCAGGACTGGTGGTCCAGGAATGCCACATATGGTATGGGTATAGGTGGTTGGAACGGTTCTTGGAATCCTGCACCTCCCAATCCACAGCCTCACATTGGATTCCAGACTGAAAATCTCGTTGCTGTTCCTCAGCCACCAGTGCCCGGTCCGGACACTGGCCCTGAGCAGCCCCAGACGCCAGTTGATATACCGATCGCTCGGCCCCCTTTGGCTCCTGATGGCAATCCCACATTCAGGGATGGATGGCAATGAATATGGTTTATTCAACTGGGCCTCTGCGTAACGAGGTTCATGTACCTAGTACATGCTCTGTCTTCACGTTCACATTATTGTTTTATATGTTTATCCTAAAGTTGAATTCCTGGTACCATCGTCAACTTGGAAGACCCCTATGACACCATTTCCATTCTGCAACCTTGGAACCTTTCAAATGTGATTTTTAGTGATGATTGATTTACAAAGAACCGAAAGGGCGCGTCTACGAATATGAAAATGCATGTCATAGATGATCATTAGTTTGCAAACACCAAAACCAAGACGCAAAATGCTACTTCCAAGAAGACCATGAAAAAAAATATATGGCGTTCGATGGTATCACTAGAAAGTGATGTTAGCAAGAGACCGACAGAGTCAAGAAGATTTATCAGTAAAAAACTCACCAAGAAATAATCCGCAACGGGTTTCTTTGCAGGCATGCCCCTTGTATCCTGCGCTGCGGCCTCGAAAACACGGTACCTCCTTCCGGGACTGACAACTCGATGATCGCCAGAAATTCCATTGCTCCGACCATACTCGCCGTTGCTGCGAGCGACAGTACCTCCACCACTAGCATCTTCACCAAGTTCAAGTATAGCGGCAACGTTACCGCAGCGGTAGCAGTAATTCGGAGCAGACCAGACGGTTACAATGCCGCCATCAAACATCTCCTTATAGCCCTCCATGACAAGCTGGTGGGCACGTGCAACAAGCGACAGACCGTTAAGATGATTAAACTGCTTCACGATATCACCACCAAAGAGGAACCCGGCTCCACGAGGGCTCAACCCCCAGCCTTCGATCTCATCGGGGTCTGACCAGAGCAGATCACACATGGCACCTTCATGGGGTACTTCTTGTTTGCGATCAATGAGTCGAATCTTGTCCACCGAATCAATGAGCGGTGACAAGCCACCGTGGACGCAGAGCACCGCTCCAGTCTGGCTAGTCACGGCACTGCCGTTTCCATCGCTGCTCGCGCCTGTCCCCGGTGCGCCTGATCGAGAGGGCGCGGCAACCTGGCCTGGGGCGGCTGAGATATCCCGTGGTGGGGAGATGTTGCGGGAGTCTGTGGATGCGTCGGAGGAGGAGCGGTGTCGTGGGCGGTAGGTGCTCATTGTGACATGACCTTGAGAGTTTAAGACTTCTGTTTCTAGCGCACTATCTGCGATCGGAAGACTTGATTGTGCGGTGTCATTTAGGGTGGATGAAGTTGGTTCTAGCTCTGAGCTCGCGCCGAGAACGATCGCGCCCAGGGCCAGGTAGTCGAATACTTCACAGCAGTAGCGCCATACGTTGGCGCTGCCGTATTTGCGGATGCATTCGTCGTAGAAGCCATATACCGTTGTGATTTGGCGCGATTCGTGGTTGCCTCGGATCAGAGTGATGCGATCGGGGTATCGGACTTTGAGGCAGAGGAGGAGGAGGAAGGATTCGAGTGAATAGAAGCCACGGTCGACGAAGTCGCCCATAAAGAGGTAGTTTGTGTCTGGAACATCACCACCAACACGGAAAAGCTCCATCAAATCATGAAATTGGCCATGGATATCACCGCAGATGGTGACCGGTGCGTCTACCGACACGACATTGCCTTCTTCGATCAGAAGCTCGCGCGCTTTGTAACACAGTTCGCGGACTTGGCTTTCGGGGATCAGGCGGCAGGCCCGCAGCTGCTCAATCGCCCTGTGAGACGAACGGGTATTTTAGCTTGAGATACGATGAACTCCCTCAGGAGGGGGACATACCGGTCAAGGTCACTCATCGTGTGTGTGGAGGAGGGAGGGGAAGAGGAGAGAAAGGGATTGATAAGGAAGTCGAGAGACTCCCCGCAATGAAAAATTCAGATAATTCGGTTCTCCCTGGGCAAAGACAAGCTCATCTTTGCGAAGCCATAGTGATTATGCGCGTAGCAGAGACTTGAGAGAAGCGGAACATCCAATCACGCGGGAGCCAGATAAGATTAGATGGCAAAGCCCTTCATCGTCTTCTCTCCGCAATCCCTCCTTTGCTCTCTCCCCTCCACTTGGCCTATCTGGGCTTCAAATGCGTGTCGATCCGGAGATCCTTTATCTGCCATCCTATTGACCTTCTTTCGGTACCTTCATCCCTCCCGGACTCAATTATATCCCCCGTCCAGCTCCGAGATTATTCGATGGCCTGAAAAAATTCCGAACAGTCGGCCACGCCCACCGCACCTCAATTGAATCACTCCTCTACATTAAACATTCCTCACAATGCCGCCCCATCTACATCCTCGTTCGCGGTCAACAATGGGCCTGTTCGCAGGTACACTTCTCGCATCTCTGCTGGTGGTTGGATTGCCGCATGTCTTCCCCTGTCCATCCCCAAGACGCACCTTCGCCGACTCAGAGATGATTCTTTCTGCCGACGGACGACAAATACCGCGGGTCCGACGAAGACGCAGAAAGGATGTCGAAGCACCCCAAGAGGGCACATTCCCTACCCAACCGGCGCCAATCGGAGTTGTGGATGACGAGGTCTCAACCTTCTTCCAGATGGAAAACGAAGCGGAAGAGCTTTCTCACGTCAACCACGAATGTCCCATCCCCAAGCCCAAGGGCGTTTTAGGGGAACTGCTCGGCTTTCGTAACGTTCAAGCGAACTCCCACCAGACAACCGGCCTGCACAACAGTGATCAATGATTCTTGACACTCAGACCATTGTTCTTGTTTTTCCTTTTTTTTTTCTTGGCCTGTTTAATGATACCATGGATTTATATACAAAGAACTGCGCAGATTGGCGGGGTTAGAAGACCGAGCTCGAGGTCTCAATGCGAGCTAGACCTATGTATTCTCTATGTACACTGAAATGTATTTTTTGAAAAAAATATACCACAATTCATCCGAGACTTGAATCAAAGTATAGACAACACCTTGGAAATTTTAACGAACGCGTATGTTAGCACATGAGAGGCCAAACGGCCACATAGAAGCGGAGCTCCGGCCACCTTGAATGTTCTCCCACCCATCATACCACCATGGCATTGACAGCCAAAAGCTTTGCTTACGACGTGCTCACCAATCCACGCCATACAAAATGGATTGCACCCTTACTGGTTCTAGGCGATGCGCTCCTCTGCGCCCTCGTCATATGGAAGACCGCATGTAAGTCGCGTTGTAGTGTCGCGTACATCGAACCCCAAACCATCTAACCACGACCAGACACTGAAATCGACTGGACAACATATATGCAGCAGGTCTCGCTCTTTATATCCGGTGAACGCGACTATCCCTTGATCAAAGGTTCGACCGGTCCACTCGTTTACCCTGCCGCTCACGTATACATCTACACCCTGCTCTACCACGTCACGGATCAGGGCCGCGACATCCTCCTTGGACAAGCCATCTTTGCCGTGCTGTACCTGGCCACTTTGGTTGTGGTAGTGTCCTGTTACAGACAGACAGGCGCACCGCCTTATCTTTTCCCACTCCTCGCTCTATCAAAGCGGCTTCATAGCATATTTGTCCTGCGCCTGTTCAATGATGGCTTCGCAGCTTTCGCAATGTGGGTTGCTATCTACCTATGCTTGAAGCGCAAGTGGGTGGCGGGGATAACAGTGTGGTCTATTGGCGTCGCTATTAAAATGACACTTGTGTTGCTCGTTCCAGCCATTGCAGTCATTACTCTTCTCAGTCTGGGGTTGGCACGAAGTATTTTACTCGGGGCCATGGCTTTCCTTGTGCAAGTGAGTGCTAGCCTGTTAATTATATACCGGATACCAGCTGACAACAGAGTATAGATCTTTCTTGCAGTGCCATTTATCCAGGTCAATGCTACAGGTTACTTCTCTCGCGCTTTCGAGTTATCCCGCCAGTTCATGTTCAAATGGACCGTCAACTGGCGCTTTGTGGGTGAAGAAACATTTCTTTCCAAGGAGTTCTCATTGGGTTTGCTAGTGCTGCACATTTCCTTGCTAGCTATCTTCTTCGCGAGCTGGATGAAGTCTTCGGGGACGAATGTAGTTCGCTTCCTTCAAGATATCATCCAGCGTCGCCAGCAGACAGTGCCGCTCTCGAAACCGTTCACCATGAGTGTGATGTTGAGCTCACTGGCTATAGGTTTGCTCTGTGCTAGGTCCTTGCACTACCAATTCTTCGCCTATCTTGCCTGGGCCACTCCCTTCCTTCTTTGGCGTGCAGAGATTCATCCAGTCCTCATTTACGCAATGTGGGCACTGCAAGAGTGGGCCTGGAACGTCTATCCCAGCACGGATGCGAGCTCAACCGTTGTGGTGTTGTCGCTCGCGGTCCAGGTCTTTGGCGTGCTGTTGAATGAATCAAGCGGAGTAAAGAAGATCAATGGGACCAGCCACGGCAAGGCACCTGTCCAATAATCAAAAAATCACACCTAGTCTCGAAAGACATTGAGGCGTACATAGTTCAAGCGCCGAGTGCCAGCACTAAACCCCGTAACCCGTAGCCGACGCCATTGACACGCGCATGATGGCTTGAAGAATATCAATCAGTCTGACTCGTCTGAAGAAGGCATTTGGCCCACGCGAGACTCCTCTTCCTCATCGTCCGAGCCGACAAGCACAACGGGTTGCTTCACGAATTCTGTGGGCCTTTGGGGGACAGTACCAGTCAGCAAATGATTTCTTTGCCAGTTTCATGGAGTTCGATTCCAGGGATAAGACCTACCAGAATGGAGCCTTTCTCCAGGCCTTTTCGTCCCGGACCACATTGACGATCTCTCCGCGAATTTTATTATCTCGCTCCTCCTGGCCCTTGGTGTCGATCACAACATACGAGCTGCGTTTGATCCAGATAGTCGAGCGGAACCGGGCGGGCAATTCAACAAGCATTTGCTTCTTGTCTGGCTGTTCGATCAAGTAGATGTTGTTTCCGGTCGCTTTGATTGCCCGCACGATCTGCTGGGTTCCAGACAGCTCGTCGGGAGGAGTCAAAGTCTCCTCTGCTGTGGCCAGCATCTTTCTGCGGGGAGGGCCCATGGCGTGATGAATGAGATATAGAGAAGCTAGAAAATTATGCCGATGTGAAGGGAATTGGGCAAAAGGTGCAAAAGTTGTGGGGTTCGGGAATTTTGAGCTTATCGGCGGGGCTATCGCTTCTAGAAAACCCAAGGTCCTTCCGGAGCACTACGTCTCTTGTCCATGACACTGTACCTTGACCAACTCCCGATATACCGGCGGCGATGATTATCATAAGGCGGAACAGGCTAAACGGCTAAGCAGCAGAGTCGGCCGGGATTAGGATTCCTTGCAATTGACCTGCGGGATTTCCATCTTCGGCCTAGTACATGGCACCGGTCCAGGGCTCCAGGGCTCCAGGGCTCCATGCTTGGATCTATAAGCCAGGTACTCGCGGACATGCGGGCTCAGATGCAGCTGTATTCAGAATGAAATCTATGCTGGCTGAGCTTTCGGGATTTCATTCAATTCTCAGTGTTCTTCGGAATGGCTCCCTCCAGCCTTAATGCATTCCTCGAGATAGAAAGCTCGCCCCAACTCACTAGCCCTCGACCTGCACTACGCAAAGACAAGCACGGCGCTGCCCAAGCACCATCAGACTATGAGCTGGATGATATTCAGCAAGCCAAAGACTCAACTCGAGTGACTTCTAAGTCTGTGGCACCGCCAACGACATGTCCTCCTTCGCCATCACCAAGCGAGCTGGAGCAGCGTCTATCGATGCCTCAAGCTACACACGAAACCCCTACATGGGCTGTAGACCGAACTGTCACATCATGGAAAACAAAATGGCGGATGTCCAGCGTCTGTCTCATGAGTCTCGGCAGTGGAATGAATGACAGCGCACCAGGTGCACTAATTCCCTACATCGAAAAGCATTATAACATTGGATATGCCATTGTATCTTTGATCTTTGTGACCAACGCACTAGGTTTCATCCTGGCAGCTCCTCTCACTCATTCGATCGAGCGTAAACTTGGCCGTGCAAGGAGCTATGCTCTCGCACTATCTGTTCAGGCAATTGGCTACGTTGTTATCATCTGCCAGCCCCCATTCCCCGCTGTTGTCGCCAGTTTCTTTCTTCTAGGATTCGGCATGGCCCTCGCTCTTGCTTTGAGCAACGTATACTGTGCCAATCTCGCAAATTACACAACGGCTCTAGGCTGCTCCCATGGCTTCTATGGCATTGGCGGCATCATTGCCCCGCTATTTGCGACAGCTATGGTGTCTGACGGGATAAGGTGGTCATTCTTCTACATTATTACCCTGGCTGTGGCAATCTTCAACTTAGGATATGTCTCGTGGGCCTTCCACCGCTTCGAAAATGACTCGCCCAATGAGCCACCACTGGCTGCAAGGTCAACAACCTCACACGTCAACGATGGAGAGCCTCCTTCGCGAACCCAGGTCCTCAAAAAAACGATTCGCAATCGTACTACCCTTCTCGGTGCTCTCTTCATCTTTGCCTATCAGGGTGCCGAAGTCTCCATCTCAGGCTGGGTCGTCTCTTTCCTCATCAGTTATCGACACGGCGATCCATCGCAAGTTGGATATGTCAGCGCCGGCTTCTGGACTGGAATCACAGTCGGTCGATTCTTGTTGACGCACCCAGCTTCCAGTATCGGTGAAAAGATCGCCGTTGCGGGCATGATAGCAGGTGCTGTTGCGTTCCAGCTGTTGACCTGGCTGGTCCCAAATGTCATCGGAGATGGCGTCGCGGTTTCTATCCTAGGCCTTCTCCTTGGTGCTGTTTACCCGTGTGCCACATCGGTTTTTACCAGGCTCATTCCGCATAGCATGCAAATCTCTAGTCTGAGCTTTATCAGTGCTCTTGGTAGCAGTGGTGGTGCCGTTTCGCCTTTTTTTACTGGTATACTTGCACAAAAGGTTGGCACGATAGTCTTACATCCGATTTGCATTGGGCTCTATGGCGTCATGGCTATCAGCTGGCTCTTGTTGCCAAAAGTTGTTAAGAGGACTGAGTAGGATCTCTAACTGGAAGGTCAGATTGGACCTTGGGAGGCCTATAAAGGCTCTTATTCTTCCTGGAGTCGTCGCTGCTAGACTAAATACTCAAAGTACCTGGGTATATGTTTTCAATTGATTCTAGGATTTTGGTCCTCCTCTCGCAATACAACACAAACTTGAGAACTGGTTGTGAACATACAATACTTCGGTCTGGTCTGACGGCACATCTGGGCACTGCATGTAAACTTACATTCTGTTCTGGATTGAGGAAACAACGCCACCACTGAGCACCAGGCGCAGGCGCAACACATCTACATCTTGGCTGCATTAGGCTGTATGGAGAGTTCGGTTCTACCATTGCATCGGCCCATGAAAGTTCGTGAATTCTCAGATTCTGATACCAGGTGATTTGTTCCTGAAGTCGACGATGGCCATGGTTTAGACGATATTCGTATTCCCACCAAGTAGTGATATCATGAGTTTTCAGACGAAAGAAGCCACCCAATTCCAAGGTTGAGTGGGCACGAGGCTGACCAGCATACATATATAGCGGCATGTCTGCAAAAGATTCAAAATTAATTTCTAGATACTTAAGTATTGCTTAACCTCCAAGGCTGGAACCAGATCATTATACTCGGCCCCGGAATTACTTCAGACCACTTGTGGACAGTGCTAAGGTTGGTTTGTTTCTCTGCCAAGGTGCCGTCTGGATCAGATCTAACGTTCAGCGGCATTCCAAGGGTTAGACTTCAGGGCTGACTTATGGTGCTAGCAATGAAGTCTTCTCTGCTATATGCTACTGCTCTATTCTTGAGCACCTCCTCGGCTTGGGAGCTTCGAGCAAACAACCAAGTTTACAGCGGAACCAAACCCCAGGGCTGTAAGGCCATATTCATTCCCCGGGGGGCCAAAATCAGCTGGACAGGGTCCAGAGGCGCCCAAACCCTCCAAGTATTCAACGTTCAAGGGAAGTGCTCTCCGGTCTACCGGACTGTGATGGGCGTTGGAGATATTAATGCATCGAACAATATCTACGGCTATGTGGTGAAGTCTTGAACCTGGGTTCCAAGGTTTTGTGCAATAGGATGGAGATTAATTGATCCTGAATGAATCGACTTTTTGCACTCCAAGGCGATACTCTACGCTATTACCCCACATACAAATGTGGTCATGGTATTTAGAATTTGGGCCATCAAATTGCAAGGTCTGGCCTCAAGATCGAGTCGTGCTGATACTTTGCCCGGAGTCTGGGCCTAATCGACCCCATAAAAGCGCAATGGAAACGCCCCACACCGTACATCAACTCCACTCCGAAACAAGGTGTGTAAAATATTACTTGGGTAGAGAGATCCAGAAGTTGGCTGGACATCTGTCTACGATTAGCCTCTCTACTCCGGGACAGGGTCTCATCAAAAATGCAATGGATCTTCCCCTTCTAGTACAAATCTGCATTCGGAACCTCGCACCAATCGAGATAAAATCGATACGTGTGCGTACTTAAGTATATTTATTCCTAGTGAAGTGACGATAGTAGATTGCTACACCAAGGCTAGCGAGGGTACGAGTATTCATCTGGACGAGTTGTAGTTATACCAACCTTAGAAGAACTTAGAAGCCCCCCAGAATCGCTCGTCAGTCGTGAATTGCGATACAGTGTACTTAAGTACTTGGTATACACCCAGTCATGTTCCAAAATGTCTGGGTAGGCCCATTGGGCTGCATAGGGCTTCGACATTGCATTCTCTGCTGGGAGCTGAATAGTAATATCTACCGTGCCTATGTACCTAGGCATGTCCCACGAGTTCGATTTTTAGCTTTTTCTTCGTAATGGATCTAGGGAGTGGGTTTCTATGTATTTCCCATCAAACAGGTAACTCGTCAAATTCCACACCAAGCTTCTGGAGGCGTAGAGAACTGAGTTTGAGGTGGTTTACAGAACAGGGCATCTAATCTCTCAGAAGGTGTCCCCAATACCTACTCAATAGACAGATGCACACTGAAAAAGCGGCAAAAAGGCATTTAATCAGCAAGAATGTAAGCAGGGTCCATGAATTGCGTGAGCAGTAAGGGGATGGATGCGATGGTAGAGATCCTAGTCCTCCGTACCCAATGGGCATATAGACTGGGCATATTAAGACCGATCTGGCAATTCCTGCAGTGTCAAGGGATATACCAATTTCACAGCACGAGTTCAAGAGGCTTCACGTGCATGACAGACACTTTCGCCACTTCCTTATCGTGGAGGTGCGTGTGCGGAGGACTGCCGTATACACACTCTCCGTATACTACTCACTTTCTTGGGAATTGGCGTAAATCCCGAAAACAAAACAAAAAAAAAAAAAACATTAATCACCACTTGGGATCATACTCATTTTACCCTTCTTTTCTTCCCATCGTCCCATATTCATCGTTGGGAATATTGGATTTCGGCTGTCAATCATTGTGGTCTGTCTCACATTTTCCGAAGTGGCATTACCCGCGCCCGTTGCGCCCCCCTTGTCAACAACAGCCCCGCGAATCCTCTCCCACCACCAACCCACCTTGACCCGGCGCAAGCGCACCTTTTTCTCTTGAGCTTGCCGTGCTCTGTGCCCTAGTCGGAACCGTCATTATGGATGGGGAAGAGCTAATCGCCTCGGTCTTGCACAAGATCGAGCGGGAGAAGGCCCTCATCACCGCTGCCAGTAACATGCGGCAGTCCACCGACAATCCCCTTGTGCAACAGAGAGTCGATGCTAATATTCGCGATGGCCGCAAGAACATCGCCTACCTGGAGGAGAAAATGCGAGAACTGGAAATCCGCCAACGAAACCAAGGCGCTGGCTCCCCCGGCCAGCGTGGAGGCCCCGCCCCTCCACCCAAGGACCATGCCGGATATGCTGGCGACCATGGCGAATACGACGATCCTCACTATCCTCAGGGTGGCTCGGGCTCGATGCCATCTGGTGCCCCGTTCGCCGACCCCCGACCTTACGCACCGATCCCGAAGGCCAGGCCTAACTACACCAAGCTAGGTGCGTTCCAGATACGGAGGTGGACAAGCTCGAAAGTGGTCATGAAAAGCCGAGAAGCTGAGATTGGACTGGAAATACTAACATGAGGGTTCATCTTCCAGATCTGATCAAATATGACACCCCGTACCTCGGGCCTAAGATTCAACTAATGCTGTCCCAATTGGAGTTCAAGCTGAGTGTGGAGGTGCAATACAAAGCCGGTATTGAGAAAATGGTTCGTTTGTACCAGGACGAGGGCGACCGGAAGAGTCGCGCCGATGCCGAGGGCCGTCGCATTGAAAGCAATCAAAAGATTCAGCTTTTGAAGCAGGCCCTGAAGCGATATGAGGATCTCCACGTTGATATTGAGTCTGGCGACGCACCGGATGGTATGGCCAAGATGACGAACCTACTGGGACCGATCTTTTTACTGACCGACGTATAGATGAGTCTCTTAGTAGTCCAAACATGCGCAAGCCGCTGACAGGTCTGTTGACGATGCGCATCCATGCGGTCAAGGATGTGGATCACGCTGCTAGCTCAAGATTCTCTCGTGGCCCAGAGACGTATGTCGTCGTCAAGGTTGAAGATGCCATCAAAGCGAGAACCAAAGCCACCCGGAATGATCGATGGTTGGACGAGGGCTTTTCCATGGACATCGACAAGGCAAACGAGATCGAATTGACTGTTTACGATAAGTCGGGAGATCGTCCCACTCCTATTGGTATGCTGTGGGTGCGCATTTCCGATATCGCAGAAGAAATGCGTCGGAAGAAGATCGAGACCGAGCTCAATGCGTCTGGATGGGTGTCAGCAGACAAGATGGCCGATGGCGGTTCTCCTCGGCATGACCACCCCGGCTCCCCTATGGGATCTTCACATGGCGCCAGCTCTGGAGGACGACCCGGCACTGCGGGACATGGAGGGCACCACGGCGGCGAGAGCTCCAATGTCCCCCCAACCGTGATGATTGAATCATGGTTTGCCCTAGAGCCAGTTGGTCGAGTTCAGCTTCAAATGAGCTTTGGTAAGCCCGAAAAGCGATATTATCAGATGTAAAGATCAGACATGCTAACGGGACACAGCCAAGCAATTGAAGGACCGTCGTCCGTTCGACATTGGTCTGAACCGTCAAGGTGCCGTGCGCCAAAAGAAGGAGGAGGTTCACGAAAAGCAGGGCCACAAGTTTGTCACCCAGCAATTCTACAACATCATGCGCTGTGCGCTGTGCGGAGAATTCCTCAAGTATGCTGCAGGCATGCAATGCGCGGATTGCAAGTACACCTGTCACCGCAAGTGCTACTCCAAGGTTGTCACAAAGTGTATCAGCAAGGCAAACTACGAGACCGACCCAGACGAGGAGAAGATCAACCACCGCATTCCCCATCGCTTCGAAGGGTTCTCCAACATCTCCGCCAACTGGTGCTGCCACTGTGGTTACCTACTTCCATTTGGACGCAAAAATGCCAAGCGCTGTTCTGGTAAGAGAATCATCAATGTTGCGGATTTGCTCCTACCCATACTGACCAATCTTACTCTTCAGAATGCAGCCTTACGTGCCACGCGCACTGCACTCATCTTGTGCCCGATTTCTGTGGAATGACGATGGAAGCGGCGAATCAAATTCTCGAGACATTGATTCGCACCAAGAATCACAAAAAGTCTGCCTCTGTTAGTTCCGGCCTCAGCAACCGTACCCTTCGACCAAGCGGTCCGCCGCAGCCCCCTCAAGACAATGCTGCCCTCTCCTACCCCCAGAAGCCGATGGAAGGACCATATGGCTCCATTCCTAGACAACCCTCCGCAGAAGCGGTAAGCGCAGCCACTAACTCCTTCATGACCCCACAGTCACCAACTGCTGCTGCACAGGCTGCACAACGCCAACAGATGTCGCCCAAATCTCCCGCTGGGCCATCTGCCGCGGCCGCGGCCGCCGCGGCAGCCTCAGGGCTACGCAGCCCCCAGCAAACACCAAGTATGAACATCTCCAACAAACTATTTCACTGAGATTGTCGATGCTAATTGATATCCTCGCAGCCGAAATGAGTCGTCCTATGCCGCCACCTCAGGCACCCCAACAGCCTCAGCACGCTCATTACGATCCATCTGCGTACGCCAACTTCCCGCAGCAACCTCCCCCTCAGGCCATGCAGAAGCCGCAGCCGTCATACCCGATGGCACCACCTCCCCAGCCAGCACAGCCTGTTCCCCAGCAGCAGCAGCAGCAGCAGCAGCAGCAGGTTGCACCCCCTGCCAAAGACGAGGTTGCACAGGCCAAGAGTCGCATTGGATTGGACCATTTCAATTTCCTTGCTGTGCTTGGAAAGGGTAACTTCGGAAAGGTCATGCTGGCGGAGACTAAGAGCAGTCGCAAGTTGTATGCCATTAAGGTCCTGAAGAAAGAGTTCATCATTGAGAACGATGAAGTGGAAAGCACCAAGTCTGAGAAGCGTGTGTTCTTGATTGCGAACAAGGAACGCCACCCCTTCCTTCTCAATCTGCATGCTTGTTTCCAGACTGAAACTCGTGTCTATTTCGTCATGGAGTACATCAGTGGTGGTGATCTTATGCTTCACATCCAGCGTGGTCAATTCGGTCTCAAGCGGGCACAGTACGTTCCTTCCATCTTGTTTTGGCCATTATGATTGCTAACATCGATTTCCTAGATTCTATGCTGCCGAAGTCTGCCTGGCGCTCAAGTACTTCCATGAGAATGGTGTCATTTACCGTGATTTGAAGCTTGACAATATCTTGTTGACCCTGGATGGTCACATCAAAATTGCCGATTATGGTCTTTGCAAGGAGAACATGTGGTATGGCGGTACAACGAGCACCTTCTGTGGTACTCCCGAATTCATGGGTCCTGAGGTAAGCTCCCCACCCCCATCGCCGATGATTTGGAATCCGATAAACTGACCTTTGCCATAGATTCTGCTGGACAAGAAGTATGGACGAGCTGTGGATTGGTGGGCATTCGGTGTTCTCATCTACCAGATGCTTTTGCAGCAATCTCCCTTCCGTGGTGAGGACGAGGATGAAATCTATGATGCTATTCTTGCCGACGAGCCTCTATACCCCATCCACATGCCTCGCGATTCCGTATCTATTCTCCAGAAACTCTTGACCCGAGAGCCTGAGCTGCGCCTGGGCTCCGGTCCCACTGATGCCCAGGAGGTCATGTCCCACGCTTTCTTCCGCAACATCAACTGGGACGACATTTACCACAAGCGTGTCCCCCCACCCTTCATCCCCACCATCAGCAGCCCCACAGATACTAGCAATTTCGACCAGGAGTTCACCAGCGTGACCCCAGTTCTCACACCTGTGCAGTCTGGTAAGATAATCCCTTCTCTGTTATTTCTTCACATTTCAGTGGTGGATTTCGGCTAACATTACTTTTCAGTGCTTTCGCAAGCAATGCAGGAAGAGTTCCGCGGCTTCTCTTACACTGCCGACTTTGCCTGATTTCACTGATATGCAATCGGGATACTTAATGCCTGCTGGACACCTGCCACGAGTTGATGAAGGTGTCAACCCGGTTCATTGAGGGTTTCAAATACCGACACAGCCGGTCTCATGGGGGCGCCGCGGATCCCCCGCCCTTTCCAACACTTAATGCTTCCACATACCCAATCGCAGTTTCGTTTCAAGTGCCGGTGTAGACGCCGGATCTCTTCACTGCCATGCTTCGTTTGCCGGATACCATGGTCAACGAGACCTCCAGGTTGCTTTTGTTTTTCTCGATTCTTTTTGTGTTTATCTAAATTGCTTGCCCTGTTTCTTTCGTTGGTTTATTATGTTCAAGTATTCCTTCCGGATGGTCGGACTTACGATTCTATTCTATGTCGGGTGATTGATGCCCAAAAAAGGAGATGATGATGATGATACTGCTGGAGAGGTGAATGCAGTTTCGGACTTGATGAGGAATGACGCAGTTTTGAAGATCTATGAAGATGGCGTAGGACCCTCCGGGGATTCATGCGCTTTATGCCTGGCATGTTCTAGTGGTTCGTGACATGGAGAGAAATGCAAATACGAACTAATACATCCAACATGTCTATTCTATTTCTATGCATGTATTGTATCCATCGGATAGAGACAACAGGAGTCCCTTTCTGGCGCATGTTAACATCCAATTCCCTTGATCTATGAAGTTGCGCTATGCATCTAGCTTTCTCACACATGCAGGAGCCCTTTGATCTTTGTCACGCTCACTGGTTCGTTTTCTAGGGTTTTCCTTTTGATCTTCCTGTCATCCCGAGGTCCCGCATCTCGACTGCATTCAGCATCGATTCCTTGTGCTCAAAATAGACCAGGCTCTATCTCGCCAAAGCCGAGTGGAGCAGCTTTTTCATCGAGTCTGTGTCTCCAAATCACAAAGGGAACATATCTTTGAAGCAACAAAGAAGTCCCGCCTGAGCTATACAAAGAAATATAATCTCTCGCAAAGCAGACTTCGAAAGAAGAAAGCATAGAAAGATGTTCAAAGCATGTGACCTCATCTTTCGAATCAATTTTCATCGTTGGGACGCAGTTGACCATGTTGACTAACATATCGATTTTGCTGCGACTCCAGTATTGGGGGTTTTCCTGTCAACTTTCAACGAGCGCTGGAGTTAGGACCTTGGACCTAGCGTCTTTGGACTTGTAGGCGCTTTCCCGCACAATACGATTGCTCGAGCGTCGTACGGTCGGCGCACTGGTTGCCCAACGGCCTCAATCGCATCAACGATCTACACCGTTATTTCTCTCCCGGTGATACTAACCTTGGAAAGCTTTGGGTATGGGGCCAAAAAAATCAAATGTTGCAAGCCCGAAGCGCAGTCGGTCTAACGGAATTGACGCCAATGGGTATGAATCCGAGAGTGAACCGTCCAGGTCATCTTCAAACGGAAGTGGAAGTGACTATGCACCCCATGCTGCCAGCGATGATAGCGATGATAGCGACAACCCCGAGCTCTTGTCAAGGCCAGTTACCAAACGATCAAAAAAATCATCTTCCACTTCCCGCGCCAAGCGAAGTACACCAGCCAAAGTGACACCATCTCGCAGAGTCAAGCAACCGAGGAAGAAAAAGCTGAAAACAGATAAGTCTATGCCAGAGTCCGCCTCTCTCGATCAAAACGAAGGACCATATGCTATTCCCACGGGAGAACGCAACTCGCTCGTCAATAACCTCACGAGAGAAAGAGCAAGGCGAATGCTAGAGGCAATTGAACTTCCCAATGTGGACGAGCTATCGCCTGACGAATATTGCACTGCTCATCAGCTCCTCACCCGTGGCTGTATGCCAGCCATTCCCATGCACTGGGCAAAAGATTTCTCCACCCTACCAGAGTCGTTGTTCTTTTCCGTCAAGGAAAATGAGTCAATACACCGAGAAGGTGAATTCGTACTAGAGGTCGATAAAGGTACAGAGTTCTATGCAATGCGTGCCTTCCGGGATCTCTTGAACATCTGCGGCATCGTAAGAGATCACTGCAATATCCTCGAAGGCAATCCCGAGCGATCCATACAGAAATCGATCCAAAAGTATATCCGTTGGGCCCTCGATGATGCCCATGTCAGAATCCAGCCCACTACAATCCCCGTATACATGATATACAGTAAGAAACGGAACGAAGGAGCAAAAGCAACATTTTCCCGAGCCTTCAAGGATCTAGAAGATTTAGCTACTACGTGGCGAAGCCATATCCCCAGTTCTTCCGAACCCACTGTCTGGCCATCTGTGATGGGTTTCGTCATCTGTGGACCTGTCCTGTCTGTCGTAACGCTAGACTGCAATCCAAATCCTTCTACTAAAGGTCAGGGGATAAGACTGTTGGGCCAATTTGACCTTTCGGATCTTAACCACGATGTCTGGAACACATTGGCTCTGGCCATCTCTGTCATGCACATCAAACGCACTATTACTAAAATCTCTGGGGCTTACAAGCTTCCGTTTGCTGCTTCGATCGTCGAAGACGCAAGGGGGTCCGTCACGGATGTCGACATTTGATCACGCCATCCGATGTCGTCTATTTCGAGATAGTTTGATTATACAACAATTCGGTCTTGTCAAGATACCCTAAAGTTAGTCGCCAGTTCAGATGGCTCTGCGACACACTACTTGGATGATGAAGTTCTCGTTCGGCGAGAAAATCAAATTCCCCTTCATCACCCATCATCTATGTCAAACAGGGAGTGAGAACAAGAGAAAAAAATCAATGAAGGCCAAACAGATGCAACACGAGCCAACCATGGAGTGCTTGTATAGAAATCGCGAGTCCGCTAAAACCTGAAAACCACAGCCCGAAAGATATTACATGTGTGTTCTCGTATGCAAGGAAAAGCCGGATTCCAAGGTTGGATGTGCGAATTACCTGTGGTGTGTCATCTTGAGTTGCCCTGACATCTCATAGCCTTGCCCGGCCCATCATCAAAGACAAACGTTAAATATGATTTGTCTTTCCTCAATTTCGAGCTTAATTTTAAGCAGTATTAGCATTGTTTGCCTCTTTGGAAATATTGGATGGTTAGCGCCGTTTCGTTTTTCGTTTGGTGATTTTTTGGGGGTTTGGCTAGTTATGATGTATGGAGAACTCCGTAGTTTACTACAATGTAGAAGGACTCATGAAATACCTCTGTGATTGGTGTCTCCCAAGATTTCCAAGATTTTCCCCTGTAGCTGATTGCTCACACGCCAGGTAGCTATTTTCCGCGGCAAATTTTCACCTCCCGGAATCAGAGCACTTTAAGACTCGCCTCTTCCATTGAACAATAAAAACACGAGGTACGATTTATGACGAAAAGATCGAATTCACCTCTGTCGGGAGTCAGAACCCAGGATAGTATTGATTTCCCGAGCAGATGGGGTAATTTTCGCCCTAAAGACGTGTTGCGGCTGCAAGGCTTGATTTGCTGTTGCTGTTCTCCACTCGAAGGCCTCTGATCTCGTTGGATTCATTTTTTTCCCATTTCTTCTTCTCTAAACCCGTCGGAATCCGGGCCTAATCATCCTCGACCCCCGACCATTCACAATGGTCCCCGAAAGTAATGGGACCGAAACGTCTCCCCTCCTGCGCGACCCCGAAGCCGGGAACAGAGAGTCGACCAAGTCAGGATGGCGACTAGAATTCTCGATCATCTCTAATTACACTGCCCCACTCATGGTAGCCCTTCTACTCCAACATGCATTGACTGGCTCGAGTATCTTCATGGTGGGCCATCTGGGGAAGAAGGAGATCGGGGCCGTGAGCTTGGCAAACCTGACGGCCCAGATCACTGGCTATTTCGTTTTTCAAGGACTCGCGACATGTCTCGATACATTATGTCCGCAGGCTTATGGGTCCGGAAAACCCACTATGGTCGGTTTGCATGTTCAGCGACTAACGTTGTTCATGCTCCTCCTCATCATCCCCATCGGCGCGATATGGTTTAACGCGGATCGTATCTTCCTCTTCATTCTACCAGATGAGTCGAGAGAGACCGCTATTCTTGCTGGTGTGTATTTGAGAATCGCTATCCTGGGTGCGCCGGGATATGCATGCTTCGAGTCCGGAAAGCGCTTTTTCCAGGCTCAGGGTATGTTTGGAGCTAGTCTAGTTGTCCTTTTGGTTTGTTCTGCTTTGAACATTTTCATGGGCTGGCTATTTGTCTGGGTGGGTTATGCAATATCGAAATACCCGGAGAAACTGCTTACACTCGTTCTATTCACAGAAACTGCAATGGGGATTTGTCGGTGCACCTATCGCCGTCGCGATTGCAAACAGTCTTCTTCCAGTATTGCTGGCACTCTATGTCATTTTTGTCAATGGATCGGAGTGCTGGCACCCTATCTCAATGGAGGTCTGGCACGGCTGGAGTCCGATGTTGCGCCTCGCCATCCCAAGCTGGTTAATGATTGAAGCCGAGGTTCTTGCTTGGGAATTCATGACTATTATGTCTTCGCGTCTGGGTGCTACTGAATTGGCAGCCCAAGCAGCCCTCTCAACCCTCGCCGACTTTGCATTCCAAGTCTCGTTCTCAATCGCCGTTGCTGGTGGCACGCATGTCGCCTACCTGGTGGGATCGGGCTTCTTGCAGCGTGCAGCCACAGCATCCAGAGTCATGGTATTCTCTTCATTTGGTGCTGGCATTGTAAACATGGTTGTGATCTTCGCTCTCCGGGGTGTCATTCCTGGCCTGTTCAGTGATATCGGCGAAGTCTGGCACTATATTTACTTCTTACTTCCTTTGGGTGCCGTTGTTCAAATTTCCGACGCCGTGGCTACTTCCCTGAATAGCCTCCTGCGAGCTGTTGGACGACCTGACCTGGGTAGCTATGTCCAGCTCTCGGTTTACTATCTCGTGGGCTTACCCTTGGGGGTTGTGCTGGCCTTTGTGTTGGACTGGAGTATATTTGGTTTGTGGTGTGGAATCCTTGTTGGGCAGGCAATCATTGTGCTGGTCGAGGGATTCTATTTCTGGAAGATGGTGGACTGGGAGAAGGCGTCCCAGGAAGCTGTGGAGCGGATGTAATTACAAAATCATGGAAGGCTGGTCGGGCACGAACAAGCACCGCATGAATTAAGAAGCCTGTTGGAGTAAAAAGATCTGCTACTCTGATAGCGTAAAACACTAAATGGTGATAATCCAAAGTTCACGAGCTGCTGCTCAACGTTTGTGACAGCTTGGTGGCTGTTCATGCGCTCAAAAGTACCCAAACAATTCATGCCTAGGTAAGACTACTCCAAGTTCAAGCTGTTAATAATTTGGGGGGGGGATAAACTCCAAAATCTCACCCATATTTTGCATACTGGCAAGCAGAGTATCGAGCCGATTTAGACATACTCCAGTGTCACATGACTGGTCCCGCTCTTGACGCTATTCCCAACACTGCAGTCTTCACGCACCGCATCATCTGGGACTCCGCCATGGATGCCGCCGAAGATCGCGATGTGAAGCTTCAGCGAGCCTCCGGTGACCTGGTAGCTGAGTTTTCGGTCAAGCTGCCCTCGCTTCTGTGGAAATCGCAACATGGGACTTCCGTCCGCACCCCACGTATATGGGCACAGGTCACCAAAACAGAGAAACTCGTCAGCCTGGTAGGATAACATCTTTCTTGCATATGATACCTGAATAAATTGTTAACATTTGATTCAGCTTGAACCTTTCCAAGAGTGGCCTCAACTCTTAGATCCCCATTTGCAGAAGTTATTACCTCCTTTAGTGGACGCTTTTCTGGCTTATTTGGTCGAGCATCGCGCTCAGTATGGGTCTGCTTCTGCGAAAAATTCCCAAAGGGGAAAGATTTACCCTCTTCCAAGGGCCATCTGCAGACTTCTATACACTTTTTGCAAAGTCCGTGGTGTCAAGGTGATCAGCAGGTTTTTGAATAATGAACCCAAGTACCTCGAATCGATGCTTCGAGGCTTTATCGAATGGGACATGGTCCAGCAGTCGAATACCGAAGACTTGATTGACTCAGAGCCCCGACGACTTATTTGGGAAGAGCGCTATGTGATGCTAGTCTGGTTGTCTCATCTTCTCCTTGCTCCGTTTGACCTGTCTTCTTTGTCATCGGATGATATCCCAGTGCCCCATGATAATATGGAGCAACTCGGCTGGCTGCCTTCTGAAGCCCCAATGATCGCGAAATCGCTTCTTTCCTTGTCGTTGCATTACATTGTTGCCGCGGGAAAAGAGCGAGAGGCGGCAACTGCTCTTTTGGCCCGTTTGGCTCTACGGGGAGATATGCAAGCTCTGGGGATCCTGACAGGTTTGACTAAATGGGCATTTGCGAAGATGCAACCTGGAGATAATGCTGAATCACCATCTGTTCATGCCTGTATCGGTGTGCTTACTTTCATTGCTCGCCTGGGTGCGTCGGGCCAGGTCGAAGACTTTGCTCCCCTAATCCAAGGGGTCTTTCAGCAAACCCTCAGCGTGTGTCAGGGAAATTCATCCGTGTCAGCTACCATACAATCTTCAGCTTTGGCCCGAAAGATCGTGGTCAAGATTCTTCGCAACATCACGGCGATGGCCTTGTCTTTGAGCGAGCGAGGCAGCGAAAACATCAATGATGATCAGCTTTCCACCATACTGGAAGATTCTATCGATCGCTTTTTGGTCTCGTTGGCCGATAAAGATACACCTGTGCGGTTTGCTGCGAGCAAAGCACTCAGCATTATTGCCCTCAAATTGGATCCGGAGATGGCAACTGAGGTCATTGATGCCGTTATTGGCTCGTTAGGGGAGAACATCCTTTTCGAAAAAAGAGACGGTACCCTCATCACGCCATTTGAGGCGCGAAAGATTGGCACTCACACATTGAGACGAAATCTCAGCGCTGTCGACGCTCAGCAATGGCAAGGCTTAATTCTGACGTTGGCTCATTTGCTCTTCCGTCGAGCACCGCCAATCCGTCAGCTGCCTGAAATCCTTCAATCACTTGTGGCTGGTTTAGACTTTGAGCAGAGATCTTCAACTGGCAGCTCCGTGGGAACTGGTGTGCGAGATGCCGCTTGCTTTGGTATCTGGGCATTGTCTCGAAAGTACACTACAGCGGAGCTTCTGGCACTGCAAAGACAAGTCATTTCATCACCATCTGGGCAAACGGATGTTGACGTTCTGCAAAAGCTGGCCGTGGAGCTCGTTTGTGCGGCTTGTGTCGATCCATCTGGAAATATCAGACGTGGCTCTTCTGCTGCGTTGCAAGAGTTGATTGGTCGACATCCTCACACGATTGCAGAGGGCATTCCTTTGGTGCAGGTTGTTGACTACCATGCTGTCGCGCGACGTTCTCGGGCCATTATCGATGTTGCTAAATCAACAGCTTCTCTAGATCAAATTTACTGGAGCCCCCTTCTAGACGCCTTGATGGGCTGGAGGGGAATCGGGTCCCCAGACGCTGATTCCAGAAGACACGCAGCCAAATCCATTGCGAATTTGAGTACACAGGTGTCATTCACTACCATGCAACAAGTACTAGATCTCCTGCTGCGAAAATTCTTCAGCATATCTCGAAATGATGTAGAAACTCGACACGGCTGTCTGCTGGCATTTTCTGCCACTGTTGATGCAATTAATTCCGAGTGGGAAACATCATTGGAGACAAGAGAATCCCCGGAAGCCAAGGCTGTTTTTTGCCAGGTGCTCAAGGTATGGGAGATCTTTGGCTCCCAAGCCGGTCCTACCGATGATGACTTGACGTTCCAAACTTCACGTCCCGAGCTCACAGCGGAGGCATCTTCTTGCTTGATCTCTTCTCTCTCGCGCTTTATAACTACCACTGGCCTAGAAAATCCCACCGAGGCTTTACTGGACCGTGTACTGCAGGTCCTTTCTCTCTCTGCATCGCGGAGCGATGATACTTCTATCGAAACTTCCTCTAATGCCTTATCTCAATTGTTTCCACTTATATCGCCCTCGAAACAGGAGAAGACTGTGCGCGATTGGTTTTCTCACCTCCACACTTCATGGAGAATGCCGACAGGCCGCGGTCAAATCCTTGCACTCGGTGCAGTATTCAAGCAGCTTGGAGCACAGCATGACCTCCAAGGGAGCGTTGTCACTGAGTTGATCCGTTATACTGGCAAGGAAGAATTGATTGAGAAACGAGTTGCCGCCGTGAAGTGCTTGGCAACGAGCATTCTACCACATATGGGTATGTTGAGCATATCTCGGTCCTGACGGGCCTGCCTTCCAATATTGCAATCAGCTTACCCAACTGCAGCGTCCACGAATGAACTTGCATCTACCTTCCTTTCTTTCCTCAATGATTACACAACCGACAGAAGAGGTGATGTCGGATCACTCATTCGAGTGGAAGCAATCCAAGCCGTCGGAGTCCTTCTAAAAAGAGAGCCAACATCACGATCACCATTGATCCAAGAACTGGTCAGGTGTCTTTGTCGACTCGCCTGTGAGAAATTGGACAAGGTGAGACTACAGGCATGGCTCTGTCTTCAAAGCTTCTGGGAATCAGCTGCAGATCTACCTCCTATTGAACGGTAAGAAATACATCATCTAGACAGGTTCTTTGAAGTGAGTACTGACCGAAATAGAAATTTTGAGCACTTCAGCCATGTCTCATCACAGGATTATTTCATCCAGCTCTTCACTTTGCACCGCATTGATTGGCTCCGCTTGCCTTTTCTGCAAGGATTTGCAACTTCCGCTATCTCAGGGGCGGAAGGCCTTGTTCGAGCATCTCGCTCGGCATTGATTCAATTTGTCAACTCTCAATCACTAGCTCATCGCCAAGAAATTCTGATGCTATTTTTGGAGGATCTTTCTACGATACTGAGCGCTAATCTTCAAGATGACCGATTTGCCATTCCTGCCGTCGAGTTTATTGCCTTCTTGATCGATGGCTTTGTTCCGATTGTCCCCGAAGGTTCCGATACATGGTCTGTCAAGCCCCACGTCCATATATGAACGAACAATTGACTGACACTATTATCCACCCTAGTTTCCGGAAAATATTCACATTGGTTCAGAAGTCACATCTCAAATCGGCAAATATAGCTCGGTTAGAAGCTGCTGTCAAAGCGTATGGAGCGTTAACAAGAATTGATTCGCTACGCGCAGGTGTCCTAAAGAAGCTGACTGGAATGCTCTTGCATCCTTTCCCGAGGGTGCGATCTACCTCTGTTGAGTCATAAACTGTGCTGATGAATACGTTTCTATCCAGGTTCGATCGAGCGCTGCTGAATATCTTTTTGTTGTCACGGAATCAGATATCATCAAGTATGAGGACTGGTCGGCTCCACCTAAAGAACTGAAGCCTCAGGTTGATGGTTTGAAGATTGCATTTCACTTGGAACCCTGAGTAAGGAGCGACTCTATCCCGAGGTGAAGTTTAATGTGTTAGATCTCCAGGTAACCCACCATTGCATACATATGAAGCCAATTTACAGGGACTTGAATGAATAATATTATCCATGGATGTAGATTCACTTACTTGAGTAAGTAAGTATTTGGGGTCCGGACTGACTCTATGTGTGCGAAATGCATCGTAATATGTGACAGGAAATTCAATCCGACATCAGGCAAAAAAAAAAAAACAAAGAAATAAACCATAAAGAAGAAAAAACTTGAGAGAAACAACAGAGGAGACCAAACCGGGACGTCATTTGAGTCACTGGACCAGTTGGTACTTCTCGAAGAAGTCAAAGATATACTCCGTTGCGTTGTAAACATATTTAGCCAACGGACATTGGTCAGGGTGCTTAACATAGTCACTATTGCCAATAGTGCTAGGCCAGCAATGACCGTTCTCACCCTCACGATGATGCTGAACAATGCCTTCTTTTCCACCACAATTCCAAGAAGCGTGCTTTACCAGCGGATCCACATATATGGTTTCATTTGAAGCCCATTGAGACTGACCTCCACATCCGTTGCGGGCAGCCCAACCTTGCAAGATATCAATGACAGGCAGTTTGGGATCGCTCTTGGTATTTCCATCCATAGGCGCAGTAGTGTCTGTTGTGCCATGGAATTCCAGGAACGGATATCCCTCCGCTCGCTCAGCAGGCTGACAAGGACCAATTCCATCCACGTCGTCGGTGTTATAGTAGGCACCGCTGACGGAGGCAAATGCAGCAAATCGACTTCCAACTGTTGCATTACAAGCAATGACGCTTGTAAACCCGCCTCCATTGGATTTCCCTGCCGAGTAAGTTCTGGATTGGTCAACGCAGAGTTTCTCTTCAATGTGAGAGAGCAGGTCATTGGTGAAGTCCAGATCATTTGGGCGTGATGTGTCGGCGTTTGGATTGGAGAGCCAGTACCCATTCTTGCTGTCTGGGTAGACAGCAATGCCATTGGGGTTGAAAAGTGGATTGGAGAATTGAGATAGGGCTTCTTGCTTTTTCATGGTGCCGGAAGCTCCATGGAAGGAGAAGTACACCGGCGTTGGTGTGTTTTTGTCATAGTTTGCAGGAATGTATAGTCTGTACTGTCGATCTGTGCCTGGGAGGTTGAGGGATGCACTTGATCCTGCCAATGGCCACCTTGATGGTATTGTTTTACCACAGCCTGGTGTTTTGGCTGTGGTGACACTGACAAGAGCTGCAAGGGATAGTAAAAACGTGAGATTCATTCTGGATGGTTGACACTGGAAGCAACGAGTCCTTCATGTGTATTTATAAGGCAGGGAAAAACACTCTGTATACATTTGAGATTGCATATTGGAAAATATTGAACTATTTTGCCGACGAAGTATAGAACGATTTGTTGATAGGAGTAAGACCTGCAGGCCTGGACGCCTTTAGAGAGGTTCTATATTCTAGGATGTTAGGGGCTTACCCCTTGAGGCCTCCCATTTGCTTCAATTTGCTGGTGGCGACTGGCTATCATACTCACTCAACATGTAAGTGCTATCCTCTAGCGGGTTTTAGTACCAGAAATGGGTATCTATGCCCAGGATGTTGTTGTGAGTTGCATCGGCCATTTCCAAATAAAGATAGTTACGCGTCTCGAGGTGCCAGTACCCGGTCATTTCAAGCTTCATATCTATTTTTTCATGACTGGAGCAATCGATGCTGCACCAGGGAGCAACTATTGTTCGCCAATGTATCACGAGTAGCAAAGGTGCTGGGTCCAATGAGGATAAATTGAGATATTAAATAAAGTAACAGATGATACTGCAATTAGTAGATACATATCAGTTAGTTAGACAATAGAGCATAAAAGCTAAGCAAGGCGTGTTAACTAGCATGACTGTATAGGTCTCAATGTCTAGTGTACAGATGTGATAGGTCTTGGATTGGTTCATACACCAAGGGCCGCAATGAGATTCCCGAAGATATTCAAGAGCAAATTTTTATGACTGAAAACGTATTTCAATGTGATTCCAAAAGCCGTCACTCCCGACCAAAGAAAATTTCAAACTCGGTGGCGCCACGCATTAAAGGAGACAAAAGTACAGCACAAGGGTAGCGACAAAAAAACAAAAAACAAAAAAGAAATATGCATCATCCGTGAATCGAACACGGGCCTCGTCGATGGCAACGACGAATTCTACCACTAGACCAATGATGCTTGTTGGTGTAAGACTGCTCCAATAATGGATTTATGATCCACTACATCATCCAATCCAATTTCTCCCCCCAAGTCAGAAGCTCGACCTGTTACCTCCCGGAGCTCCAATTGTCGCAACAATGGCGGCCGTATCTGCAGCTGGGCTTCCTCCCAATTCGACGTGAGTAACTCCCTTGGATCGCAGATCATCCCCCATACTAACAAGTCTCTGTAGAGTATATGTGCGCACCCCTCATCACTCCCGCATGACCGATTACGCTCCCATACTGACGGCTTCACTAGGTCAAGAATCTAGATGAGCGAATCAAAATCGAACCGCTGAAAGAGGCTTTGGAGGAAATTTTCTCGGAATATGGTACTATTCTAGAGGTTGTCGCAAAGACCAACCTCAAGGCCAAGGGCCAGGCTTTCATCGTCTTCGATAACGTCGACTCTGCAACCCGCGCTATCGAGGAAATCAATGGCTTCGACATCTTCGACAAGCCCATGATCCTGGACTATGCGAAAACCAGAAGCGATGCGACAGTTCAACGGGAAGGAGGCAACGACGAGCTGGAGGCTCACAAGCGGAAACGTCTAGCTGAGAAGGGTACGTTGGATGAAGATAACGCCATCTTCCGTCAAGCCACTTACGCTAACATGTCTTTTACCAGAGCGCAAGCAAGCCCACGAGGCACTCGAAGCACAGAAGAAACTCAAGCGTCCCGCTGCCAACGCCGAACCCGCACGTCCGGCCAAGACCACCAAAGGCGCTGGCCTCAAGCCCACCTCTGGCACCACGGCTGCTGTCATTCCCGACGAGTACCTCCCACCAAACAAGATTCTGTTCTTGCGCGAGCTGCCGGACGACGCGAGCGAAGAAGGCCTCTCGGCCATCTTTGGTCGCTTCGAAGGATTCCAGGAAGTCAGATTGGTGCCTGGTCGCAAGGGAATTGCGTTCGTCGAGTACGAAGCCGAGACTGGAGCAATCAGCGCAAAGGAGGCTACATCGGGTATGCCCATGGGCGAGCAAGGCAAGGCCATTCGCGTCACCTATCAGCGACAGTAGTCGTGGATGGTCGCATCCCATAAAATATCCCGGATCTTGTTCTTTCTGGCGTTTGGAAGGTCTCGTCTCAAACATATTTGGATTAGAAACACGGAGAGCTTTATCATGCTACTCTTTCTATCGCAATACCCAGGTTGCATATCGCACATGGCTTAATATTCCCCTCAGTAAATTGGCATGAAAGAAAACGCGAGATGAGGGCTGGAATGAGTATAAGCGTACAAATGGTACATGTTATGGCTAGAAAAAAAAAAGCGCCAACAAGCAAAGAGTATCAATACGGAACACAAGGAGCAGGAAAGTCTAGAAAATGACGTCGTTGTCTTCGTTCTCACCGAGGACATCCGTCGACTCTTCCTCTTTAGGGGGTGGAGTCTTAGCAGCGGCCTCTGGGTTCGCTGCTTGCTCTTCAGCTGCCCTTTGACGGGCTGCAAGAATCTCAGCGTCCGCGGCAGCAACATCTCTCTTCTTCTTTCCCGAGACCTTCTTCAGGCGATAAAACTCCTCTCGGTCAAGCTCATCCAGTTCGGAGTTAATGTCTAGAGAAAGTCAGCTGGCGCAAAGGAGACTAATAGCATGTGACAAACATTTGATGGTGTTCTCGGTTCGAGGAATAATGACATGTTCACTGTGAAGGACATGTTAGTGTCTGGTCATATTCATTTATGAGGCCATCCTGATCTTACATGGCGTTAACTATACAACGAGTTAGTAATTTGACTCAAGATACAGTTAGGAGCAACAATAACCTACCTCTTCGGTTGACAACCTTGATGACTTCATCCAGAATCAAGAAGGCAGTCTTGCAAAACCAGTGAGTAATAAATCAAACGGGTTTGATATACGTCGGCATACCTGTAGACTTGCCAGTTCCACCAATGTCTCCACAGCTCGCGCATATGTTTCCCGACAGCGTTGAATCTGCTGTCCTCCTTTACCTAAGCCGGTGAGACCAAAATCATTGACGCCTTCCTGCAAGTAGCTTTCAAATGAGGGCAGAAGGACTCCAGAGACGTTCTCTTGTTTAGCTCGCACACGGAATCGGGCTTGCTTGGCGGACTCCTGGATCTGGTAACCAATGTCTCCTCCCACAGCGTAGCTCACTTCAGCTAATGAGAACGCTGCAATTTGCATGACACGACCCATCTTTTGTTTGGCTTCATCGATACGGCGTGTGATTTCTGTAATGTATGGTCAGTGCCAAAGGCGGGGGACTGGAATGCATCAATACAGCATACCTCGGAAGCGTCTATTGGCAAGAAGATGAAGGGTCAGTATATATCTGACAGTCGTAATGGGTATGGAGACCTACTTTGTAAGAGCCTCACTCTTCCTCTTCAGCAAGCTATGGCCAATCTCCGCCCCCTTCAGCTTGTTCTTCATCAACCCCAATGACTGGCGAGTTGGGAAGACTGCCTCTCGGCCCTAGGCAAATATCAGTTAGAGGTAAGAAAGATTTAGATATACGGAGAGAACTCACGACGGCACCAGACATGATTGAATCACAGCACGAAGTACAATAGAGACCTTGTTCAGGCGTGATGCGGCCACATTGATATGACGCCGATAAAGCTCCACCGCCCACCTGATACGGACCGGGTCACGTGCAATGATCAGCGTGCAACTTCATCCGTCAACAGGTGCTTTCAGCGCGCATGCCCAACAGCCTTCCACTTATGCGATTTTTTATGTCGACACGTTGACTGCATAATTGGATTTCGCTCGACTGAGTGGCGCTATGCCAGGGACACTCTTGCCCCCGAGATCACACCGGCAGCACGCAGAGATGGATCGATCTTCTGCGTCCAGGCCCGACCTCTACCTGATTGTCAGTACTAATGCATTGGAGCATATGGGCTCACAGCTGACTTTTAACTCTCATTCAGACCGATCAGGATGTTATCTACGAACAAGATCTGCTACGCGACGCAACCAGTGTTAGGCCATGGCTTGCGTACATCGAATTCAAGCAGCAAAATGGCACCCTCTATGAACAGGCATTCGTACGTTGCTGCCACAGGAACCTGCCAGTGGTATCTTAGCTAACCCAATATGACGATAGGTTATGGAGCGTGCCTGCAAGCAGTTGCCGCGCTCATACAAGCTCTGGAAAATGGTAAGAAATTCTCACAGACTGATAAGTTGACTTCTGACTGACCTGATTAGTATCTCGAGTTCCGTACAAAGCACCTAAATGGTCGCAACCCTACGGTATACCGCGCCGAATACCAGAAGGTTAACGCCCTCTTCGAACGAGCTTTGATTCTCCTCAACAAAATGCCGCGCATCTGGGAAATGTACCTTTCATTCCTCCTCCAGCAACCCTCAGTGACACAGACTCGACGAACATTTGATCGCTCTCTACGCGCTCTGCCAGTCACCCAGCACAACCGAATTTGGAGGCTTTACAAGGGCTTCGCCCGGTCTGCTTCCGGGCCAACCGCCGTCAAAATCTTTGCGCGGTACATGCAAATTCATCCCGAGAACATTGAGGAGTACATTGAGCTGCTCGTGGAAATGGGCGAATACACAGAGGCTGTGAAAAAATTCATGGACATTCTCGACAACTCTCGCTTCCAATCCAAGAATGGCAAAAGCCCATTCCAACTGTGGACCGAGATGGTTGATTTGCTTGTTTCGAAGGCCAAGAAGATCCAGACTGGACCACAATCCGGAATCGACGTCGATGCAATTCTCCGCAGTGGTATCCAGCGCTTTGCAGACCAGCGGGGCAAGCTCTGGGCTGGCCTGGCGACTTACTGGATCACCAAGGGTAACTTCGAGAAGGCGAGGGATGTGTTCGAGGAGGGAATCACTACTGTCATGACTGTCCGTGACTTTACCCTCATATTCGACTCCTACGTCGAGTTCGAAGAGTCCATCATTGGTAGCCTGATGGAAGGCGCAGCGGTTCGATCTGAAAAGGACAAGGTTGACGAGGAAGCCGACTTCGACCTTGATCTCCGCATGCTGCGCTTCGAGCAATTGATGGATCGCAGACCATTCCTCGTCAATGATGTTCTCCTGCGACAGAACCCTCATAATGTCATTGAATGGGAAAAGAGAGTGGCACTTTGGGGAGATAACAAGCAAGAAGCTGTTCAAACATACACAGATGCCATCTCAGCGATTAGTCCCAAGAAAGCCCATGGAAAGTTCTCCGAGCTTTGGATCAATTATGCCAAGCTTTACGAGAACGGTGGTGACTTGGGCACCGCAAGAGTCATCTTCGACAAGGCTGTCAAAGTTCCATTCAAATCTGTGGCGGAACTGGCAGAGACATGGTGTGAATGGGCCGAAATGGAGCTGCGCGCTGAAAACTTCGAAAAGGCAGTCAGCGTCATGGCCAAGGCAACACAGGCACCTAAGAAATCAACTGTGGATTACTTTGACGAGAGTCTCTCCCCACAACAGCGAATCCACAAGAGCTGGAAGCTATGGAGTTTCTATGTCGATCTTGTTGAGAGCGTCTCGTCCTTGGATGAAACTAAGGCGGTATACGAGCGAATTTTCGAGCTTCGCATCGCGACACCTCAAACTGTTGTCAATTACGCCAACCTCCTGGAAGAGAACAAGTATTTCGAAGAGTCCTTCAAGGTATACGAGCGAGGACTGGATCTTTTCACGTATCCCGTGGCGTTCGAGCTTTGGAATTTGTACTTGACCAAGGCCGTGGATCGCAAGATTGGCATAGAGCGTCTTAGAGACTTGTTTGAGCAAGCCTTGGAAGAATGTCCGCCGAAATTCGCCAAGTCTCTTTACTTGATGTACGGCAGCTTGGAGGAGGAGCGAGGTCTCGCCAGACACGCGATGCGGATATACGAACGAGCTACTCGGGCTGTGTCCGATGAGGATCGATTCGAAATGTTCGAATTCTACATCACCAAATCTGCTTCTAACTTCGGTCTTACATCAACAAGGCCGATTTACGAACGTGCCATCGCCGCTTTGCCCGACCAGGAGGCAAAGGAAATGTGTCTCAAGTTCGCCGAAATGGAACGTCGACTTGGCGAGATCGACCGTGCTCGTGCAATTTACGGTCACGGATCTCAATTCTGCGATCCTCGGACAAGTGCTCACTTCTGGAAGAGGTGGGATGAATTCGAAGTCAACCACGGAAACGAGGACACCTTCGGTGTAATGCTTACTACCAAGAGAAGCACGCAAGCTAAGTTCAAGTATGTCCTCCCTTTGAGTTTACTATCTGCAAATATTCGGCTGACCGTCATAATTAGCACCGATGTCAACTTTATTGCGTCCCAGGCCATTGCCAGGAGCCAACAGGAGCCCCAAGGAGCCGAAGGCGGTGACCAAGAAGGTGCTGATGCCATGGCTGAATTGGAGCGTCAGGCCCGGGCCCCAGTTGGCTTTGTTGCTGCTAGCAGCGGACCCGAGGGAGGCAACCGTCCTCCGGCGAACCCAGAACCAGCTGCCGCAGCCAACCCCGATGCTATCGACCTTGATATGGATGAGGATTAACAAGAGCCTGTGTCGAAGGGAAGGGGATTGCACACCCATTCCTCCTGCTCATTTGATCTGTCTTTGCTTTTGTTTTCGCCCTCACCAAACATGTATCTGTATCTGCTCCCCATAACTAGCGGGTGATCAATTGTAACTTCAGCCCTACTTTCCGCTCAACCAACACCCACTGCATTCCATCTGATGACTTCTTTCAATTTGTTCAAATCCGGGGAGGTCTTTGCCACCCGCTATGATTCTTTCGATTTTTCTTGTCTTTTTCTTCTCTTTTTTTTTTTAAGGATACCTGATCAGACGTGGAGTTCCTTGTATCTGTACGTGTAAAGAACGCTCCATGAAATGATACATCTGTCATTCAAAGGCTATCTAAACACTTGTTAGGTGGTGTATGGTAGGATTTCCTTGCATTCTTGACAGTACACATGTCATCGTTCGCGAAAGCCCATAGCCGTCACAACGGTGGCGGCGAGGCCAAACCCCCGTAGTCCCAGCGATAGATCTCCACCTTCTACCTAGCTGAGCCCTGTCAGATGAACGGTTGTCATGGGAAACATCGATACTTAAGTAAATTCCCCCAAAAAAGGGAAGAGGAAAATATATAGACAATGCTATAGGGGAAAGTATGGCAACAAATCATACAATGGTTGAATTATCAAGGATGTGGGTAAGCTAATTTTCTCTCGCGTACCTCAGTAGCGCCGTTAACAACACCAGACTATATCTACATGTGAGATTGGGACAAAGTGGAGGCCACTGTCTAAATGCAAATGCAAGGAAAGCAGAGGGACGTCAGGATATCATACTTTTTCTTTAAGTAGATCCTTCTTCAACCTCTTGCGAAGGAGCTGGTTTTTCAGTCTCGGCGACAGCAGCCTCCGTTTCTCCATTTTCTTGCGGCGTCGCCGTGTCTTCGCTCCTCTGCTCTGTCTCATTGGTCTGAACTGGAGATGAAATAGCAGCACTCTGGTGAGACTGTTCAGATTCCTTAGGAGGATCAGGGAACACCTCGGCAAAGAGATCAGGCAAAAAGCGACCAAGACGCTTGCGAGTTTCGACCCAGATTTCCTCCTTGCTTGGGTCTTGCGATGGAGGAATGAGATAGCCTCCGTCAGCCATGACTAGGAGAATGTTCTTTAAGCTTTCGGGAACTGCCTCTGCCTGCAATAGTGAAAAGAAAATAGTATTAGCAAAAGGTGACATAGCATTTATCCGGGGGTGGGAATAAATATTGACTTACCAAACTATCACCCTGGCCGCTGTTCATCATACGATCAAGGATATCCAGGATTCTGAGCCAGAGGGGCAGCATGCCCGCTCGGTTTGGAAGCTGATCAAGGAATCGCAGGAAGATCTTGCAGACCAATGTTGCAGCTTGGAATCGAGTCTCGCTCATGCCGACGGGATCAGAATGGTAGACCTCAGGCTTCAGAAGGAGCAACACAAGCGGGAATAAGACTTCATCGAAAATGCTAGTCCACTCACTATCATCGCTGGAGACTAGCTCGGCGGATAGAAGAGAGCGTTGCAGTGTGGAGATGGCGTGGTGTCTTATATCGCGACATGGGTTGATGCATTGACTGGTCAGAGATTGGAAGATAGGTGACCAGTAGGCGGCCCAGGCTGGAGAATAACATGTTAGGAATTTGCTGTGTGAAATATGTCACGGGGAGGTAATTACCTTCGTGCTCTTCGAGGTGTGATTGCTTAATGAGAGCTGGAACTCGTCCAGTCAGATGGTAGATCAGGCCAATTGCCTTGACACCACGAGTGACGACTTGGTTTTCACTATAAAAATGTGAGTCTAGGGTACTCAAGTACACGACAGTACACCATACCTTGATTTGGATTGTTTGATGCTCTTATTGCGACGGGCCTGGGCATCCCTGTGTCGTTCCTCGATGGATCCCACGCGACCAGCACTGACAAAGTCGTTGGCCAAACTGACCACAAACTCGTAGTTATCAGCGGTGATGATACCTGGCATTGAATCCACAATACTTTGCAGGAGATCGAAGACAAGGGGCGCGACTGCCTCATATTGATGAAGTCTTTGTAAGATTGACCAGAAGTCTGGAGATATGGTGATCTCATTCCTGAGACGACCGGTGTGAGTAATGCATCTGGACAGGCCCTTGACCGTGGCTGTAGCCACGGTTTCCAGTATATCCTGGTCAAATCCGGAGATAGCATGGAGCACAACTGGGACCCGCATAAATTGTTGATCCTGGGGTTTCATTAGTTTGAAGGTCTCGTGACAGACACCGTTGAGGGTGATACATACATGGCTAAGTCGCAACAAATTGAGTAGGTAAGAAACAACGCGAGATACAGCCAATGGATGGAGGTTTTTCGCATCGCGAACCAGTGTTTGGAGGGTTGTTGCGAGGTTTTCTCCAAGTACTTCCAAAGTCTTATCGTCTCGGAGGGTGAGCACGGTGGCTAACTCGAGGACAAATATCATTGATGGGTCGTATTTGGGCTGATTAGGGTCAGTCCTATTGTTTCCGATTCTTGATGTGGGTGTCGGCCGTTCGGATTTCACAACAATGACTGCTGGCGCATTTTCTTCGGGGAGCAGAGACAGTAAAGCCTCAACAAGTGTCTCCAAGGAAGACAAGGGAAGAGTTTTGATATTTTTCAGGATGTCGGGTATCGAGCACGATGTCACGCAATCGACTGTGCAGAGTGTATTGTCAAGTTCCTCGTCGGAAGGCTCCGGGGGATCATCCGCCGCATAACTGGAAAGATAAGATGTGAAGGCGGACAATATTCCGGTATCATTGCTTCGTCCATCCCGATCGACAACTTGCGATGGTGGCTGCAGCGGGATTGGGGAAATCTCAAGCTCGGACGTAAGCTGAGCGTCGAATGGCGGAATGAGAGAATTGATAAACAGATTGGACAATATGCGTACGATATGCTCCCATCCTTGTTTGACAGTGGCCTCGTTCGATGCGAGGACCCGGAAAAGTACCACGGTGGCTAATTGTGCTCTGAAGTCTCTGCCAAACTTGACCGCCAACTCGCTGACCATCACGCTCTTCTTACCCGCTTGAACTTCCGTGTTGAGGGCTGTGCTGGGGGGCTTGCCGGTAGATAGAGTGCTGATCGAAGCGAGAGAGAAGACGATGCGGTCAAACGCCTCAGTCAAGCCATAACGAGCGGCAATTTGCGCACATTGGTCGAAACCATTGACCACACGAGAGTACACAGCATCATCTGATGCGGACATGAAAACATATGAAAGGGTAGCAATCACTGGCTTCCATGTGGCCTCGAACATCTCAGCGTCAAACAAGTTAGTCTCTCCAGTAACCATTTCGCCGGTAGATGAAGACTTCAACAACAGTTCCTTCCACGCATAGTCAAAGGCATGCTTGTTTTCGTGTTCATCGGGTAAAATGATCTCGTTGGTCTTAATGGAATCAAAGATCTCTTGGAGGAATTCCTCTGCAAAGTCCCCTCCGCCATTGACACCACGCAGGTTTCTTGCGAACCCGGTAAATGTCATGCGATTTTGTGGCTTGACGTTGGGGTTATATTGATCGGTATTCAGCATGATGATGGCGTACGTCAGGATGTAGAGTGCATCCTTGTCAGCAATGCCCTCGGGCTGTACTTTGTCGACGTAATGTTCCGAGAAGATCGTAACAATTCGTTCAATGAGAGGTGACTCGCCGGGCAAACGGAACGAACTCAGCAGCTCTCGCAGTGCTTCGACCGCATTGCGGCCCGAAAAGTCAAGCAAATCCACGAAAGCGCCTAGTAATTCTTCATTGCCGCGCTTAGAGATGTACTCTCCGAGAACTTTCTTCGACAGTCTAGAAGTTCCTTTCAAGAACCGAGCGACAAGGACAGGGTTTTTCACATCCTCAATCACACCATGTCCCGAAAGGAAAGAGATTCCTTTCTTGGGATCCTCATTAAAGATCTGGGCGCCCTTGATGATAAGTTTCTTGGTCTCGCGTTGCTTCCGCAGGCGCTCTTGCGGCGGATAGTCACCCTGGACTGGCTCATCATCTAACCTGTCGTAGACAAATTGCACATAGCCCAAAAGAGCATCAAGACATAGCGGTGGAACATTAGTAGTGCTCCAAGTGGCAGAATCTGGGAATGCATTCCGAGAGAGAAGACCGATCATGTCTTCGCATAAGTCCGCTCGGTCCACCTCGCAGTCGTAGTTAACGAAAAGTTCAACCATAAAGCTAGGTATCCGTGACAAGACACCAATGCTTTCAACCATAGCTTCTCGAGCTTCGGGCCTTCTCGCTCCCCCTTCAAGTCCTAGCTTTTGTCGGTCTTTGACGGGAACAGGTGTAGATCTTCCGCTATTCGTCTGTGAAGCGGGCTGTTTGACCAATTTCGGCGATTGGGGAATGCCTTCGTAGAGCGATGGGTCGATTCCTGGCTCTCGCGGTATTTCAACGCGAGGATGTAGACATGCCACAAGGTAAGAGATATAAAGTTCTTGCTGCAGTTTCAGAACGGGTCGGCAAGTCGACAACAAGGTACCAGCAACTCTCAGCGAGCCGGTCAAGATTGCAATATGCTCCGACCTGACCAACTGGAAGAGGTAACGACAAAGGTCATCCTTGGCCAAGGCTGCCAAACTGGGGTGTCGAGAAATCGAGGGACCTGCTACCTCTAATGCAACATCGATGATACGAAGGGCCATCACCCTCATGGCATCGGTATGCTGCCGGTTATGGGGATCCAAGAGGTCGATCAAGACACGGAACAATTCCCTGATAGACGGCAGAGAATATGGCTGGACTTCTGCCTCCGGGTCGTCGGTTGGACTTGGAGGTGCAGCAGCAGCAGGAGCGCTGGAACTACCGGCCGGGTCGGGTGTTCCCTCCCGGCTAGTGCTGTTTCGGTCTGCTACTGTATCTGCACTAATAGCTGATAGGTGCTGCGACGTCACGGTGTCCCCGTTGACAGAGGGGTCCATCTTCAAACGCGACAATGGATCATTTTTTGTATCTTCGCCAGCGAAGGGGTCAGGTCCTGCGGCCATGTTCTCATCCAAATGCGACAGACGCATGAAGATCACCTGGCACATTTTCACCATTGCCATTTCCGCAGATCTTCGTAGTACCTCTGACAGACGGCCTTGGCAGCACATGCTCAGACCGGTCTCCATCATTTCACAAACACTTTCATCGCCTAGCAGCTCGCCCTCGGGCCGCGAAAGTATGCCTTCCATCAACTTGAGAATCCTCAATAAGACAATCTCGTCCGCCGAAGAATCACTCGCTTCGAACCGGCAGTGCGTGATGGCAGCCGAAAGTAGCTGCATCGCCATAGAGAGTCGCGGGGAGTTTGTGTTGACGATATTGTAGGAAAAGAACTTGGTAATCGAGACCAGGGCGATTGAGGTGATTGTGGCAGAGGTTGAGGAGGAACGGACGACCTGTAAAAACGGGTGCAGTAAAGCCGGGGTATCAAACGTCCTGATATCTTTGCATCCTTTGAGATCGCTTCTGAGTCGTGTAAATGCCGATATCAATGGATTGTCCTGCATACTCTTCCCCTTCTTCCCTCGCAGACCCCAACGATTAGCCAGGACGTGATCATCTTCGTTCCGTATCAGTGGACCGGTCTTGCGAGGATTAGGGCTTGGGGGAGCAGATGTGTCCCGTTCATAGACGCGAGATGCTCCATTGCCGCCCAAGATGGCGGAGACGGAGGAGTGTGCCCAGCGGGCATGCTTGCGCATGGACGAGGTGACGGTTATGCATTCTGTGGTCACCAAAGCCACTGGGTCGATGGCAATTGGAAGCGAAGGCAAGTCCATGGTGGAATCAGGCCTCGCAAGGACAAACTCGTTGCGACACCGTTGAGAGGGGTTCAAACAAAACAGCTGGTCTCTTGATCGTCTCGTACTGCTGCTTCCCTTGCCTCATCAGGATTAGCGTCTCCCCGCCCGGTCACCGCCTTCACCAGGGGCGCCGGGAACAGAGATTACGCTCTCCCTGGTATTTAAGGCCCTCCATTGGATTTACGGGGGTAATATTTCAGTATTCAAGTCATCTTCAGTATCCATCCGCATCCATGGGTTCAACCCATTTGTTCCCCCGGGACCATTCCTAATTTCAACGTTATCTATACATGCAGAGTCAATCTTGGAAATATCCCTACAACAACGTGATAAAGGAACCTGCAGACAATGGCCGAGGCACGGAGTACATGCGCCTATATCGGTGATCGACAAGATATATTCCGCAGTGGCTGACATATGTTCCGGGTCAACAATGGTTGTACTTGGTCTTCTTGAAGAATTTGGGGTTTAAGATCTGGTCCCCGGTCCGAGACATAATGGCATTGTTGACCAGGCCTATTTTGCTCTGTGAGGGTAACTCAAGATCTATTATTACCTAGTGTGCTACACTTTGAAACTCCAAGAAGCAACGATGTCAGCAAATCATCGGGATGTGACCTATCATATAGTAGCATGTAGCTGCAGTCCTTGCGGCGGTTGGGGATAGCATAGCAACAGGATAGCGTTGGCCGGACAAACCATCAACATTCAAAACATAAAAGTCGCTACAGGTGGAAGCCTGCAAGTTGAGAGTTGAGAGTGCAGAGTCCAGGGCCAGACGAATCTCTTGATCCACTGGGGATATTCATGGATATTAGTGTGAGGCGCTAATACCCGCTACTATCGGGGCTATCGCGATATCAACCCACCGCTTCTCTCCCCGCCTCAAAACAAACGCCTCTCTCCCCTCATTACTCCTCGTCTCGGGGCTTTTCATTTCTTTTCGTTTAGTTCATTTATTTTCTTTTTCGATCCCTCTCCAACACGTGTCTCTATCTGGACCTCTATGAATTAAGCTTCTTCACTCTCGGCTTCCATGGAGGGTAGCGCGAATGTCGCGATCGCTTCTATCATAAGCTCATGCTACATGCGATTTTGAATCGTCTTTTCCTCTGGAATACTTCCTCTCGTTTAACCTCGATCTCTGGGCAGCTGTGTTTACCTTCGTTTACCCTTGCTCTTTCCACGTCCTGAAGCGCATTTTCATTTGTTTATCGCGCCTGCTTCACCTTTCCGCATTGCGCAGCTGTCGCAAGCGCATTCAGCATGGCCTCCATCGCACCTCCCCCGGCCCCTACACTGGCAGACCTACCCCTCGAACATCTCAGCCTCTACCATGTCGTCGACTCGTGCCTATCATCGATTCTCGTCTTTTATGGAGCTGTCTCCACCGCCAATGCCACCGTCAGTAGCTCTCGCATTCAAGCCCATATATTCACACCGGCCGGCTTCCAAAGCTACCCCCGAATCACAGTCTCTCCTGCTGCACCGGTGTATGCAGCCGTCAAACATCTGCCCCGCGACAAGCAAGGTGACGAAGTGTCCCGCGGACTTGCCGTTAGCATGTTGAGATACTTTGCCGAGCTCTCTGAGCCAGTCAAGCAGCGTTTGACTGGTCTTGCCCGGATTGGGCGACCAGGGGGGAAAATACCGAAGATGTTCGATGAGATGCATGCAGCAGATGTGGCCAACCGAATGGTTAAGGTGGAGGACTCATTGGAAATAATCCACGACATTCGGACTGCATATCAAGAGCGCCGAGTACCATGGATTGACATCGATGTGGTTCTCCCTGCGGGTACCATACAAGCGCCCAATAGACGTGGCAGTGGAGGTTCGGATCTTGACACCCAAACCCCCCAGTATGGACCGTATACACCGCTCATAGAAGCACTGGGTGATCCTATGTTCTTGCCAACGTCCCGATTGAAACGCGCGCCATCTCAACCGACCAATGTCAGCAAATCGCGATTATTTGCAAGAAATCAAAAAGAAGCCTTGCGCCTGACCATGTGTGAGCTTGTGGACACGGAGGAGAGATACGTTGCAAAGTTGTATTCCCTTGTCCACGAAGTAGCCGATGACTTCCTGGAGAAAGCCCATGAGCGAGGACCTTCAAGCGATAGTCCCGATCAAGCGGCTTTGGCAGCACTGTTCCCACCATGCTTGCGTGAAATTTTGGAGGTCAACCTCGGCTTTTTGGATGTCATTCGACAAGTGCTTGACGAAACAGAGAAAGACGCCATTACAGATATCGGGCAGGATACTGAACTTCCTTCGCGGGGTTTGCCCAGGGACAGAAAGGATGCACTTGGAGCTGTGGAATTCGCGAAAGCTCTCTTTGAATGGTTGCCCCGATTTTCACAGCCATATGGGGATTATATGCGAGCGCACACAGGCTTCACTCAGACGCTGAATCTGTTCATGCGAGACAAAAATTCCAGCTTTTCGCAACGGGTCTACGAGACTGGAGAGCAAAGATTGCGGTCTTTGCTCATGGAGCCCGTTCAGCGACTTCCTCGGTATAGTTTATTGATTGACACTATGACCAGCAATCTACCTTTGGTTCACCCTGCTGTGCGAACTCTGTTGAAAGCACGGGATGTTGTAAAGGACATCTGCGCGCTCGAAAATGACTCGCCATCAAGCCATGCTCAAAGTCTGGACCGACTGAGGGAGCTTGCCAATGGATGGCCAGCCAGCAGGACGTTCCCTGAGGGTCGGCTGATTACTGCGGTTGACTTTAATGAGGTTGCTCCTCCTTTCCAGCTGGAGATTTCATCTGGACACAGTGCAGGAATCATGCTTCTCTACAAAAATTGCATGGTTCTGTTGGCAAAGTCCACCGAAAGTCGAGCCACGGCACGTGGTGTACTGGCAGATATCGACAACGCAGCCTCCTCAACATCAGACATGTCCTTGTCTCTCCAACCGTCAGATCTTCAAGTTGTGCAAGTACTGGACTTTCATAATGTTCGCTGTATGCAGTCCCAATGCGGGCGAATTATGTTCGTTCTGCCTGTATCATCCAAGCCAGGAACATCTGAGTCAAGTGCCGGGGCAGATTTGCTTGCGTTGGAATTGGCTACAACATACGAAGGGAAAGCCAGCAGGCTGATCGAAGAAATATCCAAGGCCAAGATTGAAGGTCGATTCACCGAGAGCGAAAGGGAAGGAGGGAAATGGACACTCCGAAGCCCTCCCACCGCCGCCAGTAATGTGGGAATCCTGGCTTGCGTTTGCGAAGACGGCCAAACGGCCGCATTGAATCCTACCCACCAATCTCCGATTCGAGTCATTTTCGATGCCTCAAAAGCGACTTGTAGCCAGCTATTAAAGGGCTCGAAATTGGAAGTCATAATATCGATATCCCCGCCCAACGGAGACCATCAGTACAGGTTGGACATTGACTCTGCGGTTGGCTCTGGATCGGCAGATTTGATCACGGCGGAGACTTTTATTCCCACCCTTGCAAGGCGCCGTAAGTGAGCATCCATCGGAACGCATTCTCAAGCTAACACCTGGAAAAAATAGTTCAATACTTGTTATCGCCTCTGCGTAGCACTCGAAACCCGGTCCTCACAGATCCATTGGTTCGTTCCAATTTCGAAATTCTCCGCTACGTAGCCAGCAGCTTGACTGCGCAAGTGAAATCTTCACGGGGATTCCGTCCACCTTCGCCCACCAAGCTTATTTCGAACCTTTTGGGAGGAAGTCGGGACAACATCTCTTCTTCAAAAGGCCCAGGATCAGCTACTCTGACAGGTGACTTTCCAAAAATGCTCCCACCCAGAGGCACTTTGTCAAGGTCAAATACTTTACCTTCAACTTTCCCAGGAAAAGAAAAAGACAAAGATAAGGAACGGGAAAGGGAAAAAGAGAAAGAAGAAAACAGCAGTAAGATATCAGTCGTCGGAGCATCAACCTCCAAGGGATTGGACACCCAGTTTGGATTACTGGAGCAGACATTCGCAGCTTTTGTGCTTTCTCTGCAGTCTCGAAGTGGCAATATCCTCGGCCGTATGCTTCGTGTCAGAGACCATGTCGACCGAGCCCCAGTCAACGAGCTCTACAATATTCTGTTGGAGGACCCAAGCAAGATCCAAGCTGCTGCAGAAGTGCCGGTTGATACGCTCTTCGTTGCATTTGAAACCTTTTTGGCGAACGCTTGGAGCCAGGCCATGGGCCCTATCTTAAGCTCATCTTCACTGAAGTGGGTTCAGAGCCAGTTCGATACTATGATACCGCGCGATTTCGACGATCAGTTCCGAAAGTTCCTAGCAGATATGACCCCACAGAATAGACGTGCTCTTGGCGCGATCATTCGGTTACTCGCAGAGCTGCTTGATGCATCGGGGAATGACGGTGATCGGGGTGCTCTGACCATGGCGTTCGCTGAGGTGCTCACCGAAGATGGTGACCCTAGTCACCATGTCTCCTTGTTAGACCGCCTGGTTGAAGACTTTGATAATCTCTTTGAAGACTTCATCCCTGGTGGTACCTCAGTGGAGGGAACACTAACATGTGGTCAATCCAAAATCCACAACACGGGGTCAGTAGGCTCTAACTCATCGTCTTTCCGGAAGCGCTTTGGCTTTGGGTCGCACAAGGAAAGCTCGAAAAACGAAGGCGAAGGAAAGGTAGCATCTATCCTAAGAACATTGAGCAAGAAGCAAAGCCCGGCAGGATCAGAGCCCAACACGCCCAAGGGTACCCTAACTCGCTCCAAGTCAACTGATGTGGATGCTCGCCTCGGGTTCCTTCGTCCCACTTCCAGCGATCGTACATACGGTTTTGCGTCAGAGGAAACAATCTCGAGGCCAGGTACAGGCCACGAACAGCCTCCTTCATTGTCATCTTTCCGAGGTTTCTCTGAGGATCGCGTACCTAGGACTCGCAGGAAGCGAAGGAGTTCATTGTCAGACCTACGTCCTCCCACGGCATCCTCAGATGCCTCAAGCATTTCCCCAACCCAACAACTACGCCCGACAACCCCGTCAAGCCACACACGCGGTGAGGTGGTAACACCCACCAAACAATCCAGGCCTCAAAGCAGTTACATTCCCATCACGCCTATGCGCGGCCAGTCCCCAATGCGCTCCCAATCACCAGCAAAATCGAGCTCCCCCTCAAGACTGGGGTCACCAATCCGTCGGTTATCGCCACCCCGCCCGTCTACGCCAAGCAAAAAGGAAAACATTGACCCTAGAACGCCATATACGGAGCGGGCAACCAAGTCAAGGAGGGATATCTCTGAATCGCCGGGCGAAGAAGCAAAGAGAGGACCTCGTGCATCCAGTATTCCCCAGCGAACCCCAGGTCTACGAGAGCGGCCAAGCAGTAATGTATCCGAGAACAAGAGGCCACAATCTTCATCCTCTTCGCAGAAGCCGCAGAGAGCACGGATGCAAAGTCCACAGAAGGTTCGTGAAACTGCTCGTTATTGTGGGTCGTTTACTAACATCTAAGTAGCTACGCGAGCGTGTTCAATCGGAAAAGAAAACTCAGTACTCTAATCAACTAGGCTTGAGAGATGAGATTGCTGCAATCAGCGACGAACTGCGGTCTTTCAAGCTAACACCCCCAAGAGAACTCAGCCCAATGGATTTGAGCTTCAGCTTTGATCGCGAAGACAGGCACACATCTTCCGCTACTACTGCGTCGCTCGAAGCTCGCATGCGCAACCTTGAAGCAAGATTTGACACGCTGACCGCAGAATGTAATGGCCGCACATCGGCCATTGAAAAGGACTTGGAATCCTCCTTGGTCCTCAGTGAGAGGCGCGTGAGGAAGTTAGACGAGCTTTATCGCGAGGCAAGTGCCGAAAACGAGGCTCTTTATGATCGATTCAACACCGAGCTCAGCAAGATTGCCAAGGATGTCAGATCAGGACATGCTGAAGACGCTTTGAAGTCCCAACTGGCGAGTGCTTTGGACGAGATTGGTCGTGTCAAGAAAGAGAACTTCCGCTTGAAGCGCGAAGTCGGAGGCCTTCGAGCCCAATCGGCCGCCCACGCGCTGCTCAAGGCGAGCGAGCAATAAAAGAGCTTGCCACTCCTTAGGGCTTCTGTTCCCATTCCCATTCATTCTCTCCTCTTTCATTTCACACATCATCTCAACACTTCTACACAAAGTTTTCCTTTCTTCTTGTACACTGATACAGCGCCATCCTCCTGCGCCTGACTGACTACCCACTCATTTGCATACATGTCCGTGAGCCTTTCTTTACTGTAATCATTGCTATTTCTTGTCACTCTCATACTGGCGCATCCGCACAGACAGCCATTGATTTTTCTACATACATGGCTCGGGAGATTACATCCCTATAGGGATTATTTTATTATGTTTAAGTATTGTCGTCATGTACACTAAGCGTCTTTCGCATATCCACCAACTGGCCAGCCCATCAGACGCAGTGCCTCAGTGTCAATCATTTTGTACATCCATTGCCATTTCAGTTTCCAACGCCATTGTAAATGTACCAGCTCTACCTCACTTTGAGAGGCATATGCAGCCGAGTGGGCAGATAAGCGATAATCCAAAGTAGGCAATGCCAATTGCTGCCTGACTTTCTGGTGTAAGGGCTTCCCAGGTTTAAAGTTGATGCCCTCTCTCGCCACAACAGGAAGGGTAAAGCGTATTTGAGAAGGCGCCTCGGCAGAAAGAAAGGCTTTCATATTGTCGAATGTCCCAGGAATTCCCTGCTCGATAAATGAGTTCTTCTTGGCGCCCTGCGGTCTTGAGTTGACCGTATCTCTACGCACCCGCTCCACATCCAATTTATGGAATGGGCGTATGGTGATAGGTAATTGGGCCAGCCTCGCCCCCAACTCACTAGGGTCGCGATCTGAATCACTTGGAACTAGACGCAGTCGCATCCAAAAACGGTTATCCCATAAGAACCATTGGGTGAAGCTTCCCGTGGGTGAGACGTTGACCTGCGTCACGGGATCCCGATCCTTCATAAACGGCTGTCGGGATAGCAGCCATATATTGTCACCGCGAGGCCGTGGGTCTTTTGCATCGGTATCTGATACTGATGTGGGTGTTTGGTCTGTGAGACGTTGGAACATGACCCCGGCTAATGTAAATGATTGACGGTGGTGAGCTTTTTCTTCTCGGCTTTCTTTCGTCATTTCAGTATGGCCATCTTCTGAACCAGAGAACATATTTGATACAAAGGGTTCATAGCTGCGTAGCGAAAAATGACTGTCAGGGAAGGGAGAGACCAATTCGGTGATGCGGCGGAGCACCAGAGTCTGGATCTGCGTGATTTGGGAGTCTGACAAAGAAGCAAGCTGAGGGTCCATGGATGCAGGAGTTGGATCTAGGAATTGAATCACAACAGATCCTGCCTTTGGGTTGAAGTCAATGATTCGACATTGGGAGGAAAGTAGAGAGTCAGAAAGCTCATTTGACCTATGCAGGAGATCATGGTTTGAGCGAATTAGCGATAGGATGGATTGCGATTCCAGTGCGCGAGGTAATAATTTTGAAGAGCGGAAGCTGCGGATAGCATTTCGAGGAGTGAGGGTAGGGTCGAAGTTTGTTGGGTCAGAGACGTAGGGAATTTGATGTTTGTGGCAAGTCTCCAGAATACTTGCTTTGGTAAAATGCAGCAGTGGTCGGCAAATGAATATGCCTGGGCTGGCAATTTTCACAAGAGATGCGTGATCAGGGTTATTTCCACCCGAGATCTTGATCAATCCGTGATTGCGGTCATTGAACCTAACTCGGGATTGAGGCATAGTATCTGGTTTGATGGGGACTGAAGTAGTTGACCAGCTTTCAGATGCCCCGAAGAGACCATGGCACTCGGGAATCCGAGCAACCTCGGGGATTCCCCCGAGACCTAACCCCTTGGCTCCAGAAGAAAGTCGCCAAATGGTAGTCTCGATGTTATCATCCTGATGATGGCCTAACAGAAGCGTTTCCAGCTTAAAATCATGACAGGCCAAGCCAAGAGCTTGGAAACGGAGCCGCCGCGCATGAGTCTCGAATGCAGATAACTTAGATAAATCTGTCGGTGAATTGGTTTGAGCCGAAGTGAGCTCAGACCAATCTAACTTGAGAATCTGAGTTTTGATATCTGGTTGTAATCGTTTAGAGGGGGGTTCGAAACTTTGATGTGGACTGCACTTACCCATATCACGAAGCCAACCAGCGACTTTTTGGGCCTCGAGGGTACTTTCTTGGCGAGCACGGTGATCTACCACGAATGCAGTGAAAGAGATAGCCCCAGATATTTCTGATGACCGTTCCAGCTGCCTGCATAGATATGCCATTGCCATTGAATCGGCACCGCCACTGACGGCGATTCCTAGGAATCCACGCGTTAGCATTGCTTATGTTCAATAGAAAGAAATATTCCCACTGCTGTTCAACTCTTAAAACATACCAAATCTTCGCGGCAGCTGCAAAACGTCATAATCGTTTAGTTTGTTTCCATGCTTGGCGTCTCCGTAATTGACGCGAGCTCGTCGCGATCCGGACCATGCTTGTTGAAAGCATCGCTGGAAGATGAAGGGCGAGATGGATATATTCCCTGCCATCTCGAACCCTCCCTAGACCTATAATTCTCAAACCCGCATTTGTTCAGGTGAAGCCTGGGTCGTCTCGCAGGTGATATTCGCCGGCCCGGCAAATTAATTTTCCGGGCCTACACTCTGCATCAGCGTGGAAAGCCCCACAGCCCAGCCCACTAATGAGCAAGGCTTTGGCCCAACCCATAGCCCATCGATAGGGCTCTCGTGCCCACTTGAGCACTGAGCTCAAATTCACACAAAACAGTACCAATATGCCAATTATTAGCAGATGCATAAACAATAGTACACATGTGATATAGTCCAATTTGTTCCATGTATCCAAGATTTAATTTTCGGAGCAGCTAGGAAAAGCAGCCTGATAGGCGCCCTCAATTTCACGGCCCATGTCCCCTACGCCCTCGAATATCACGTCTGATTTCAAAGACTTCGCCAAAGTTTCCACGCCATGGCGTAGCTCTTCCGTTAATCGCTCAGCATCAGCAATCTCGGATTCCGGACTCGGTCCATTGAGCAGGTGATAGCAGTTGGCGAGTCGGTCTGTTGCCAAAGAAGCACGGACTCGATGCAGGAGCATGAGAAGAGCGTAACTGCTTTGCATGGCCGAGCATGCGAAATAAGGGACAGTCTTTGGATACCTGATTGAACTAGAAGAAGTATGACCCGGTATTGAGGGGAAAGGCAAGGTGCGAAAGATCGTGGATACCACTAGAGAAGATTTGAGACAAATCATGGAAGATTCTTGCTCGGTGAATGGAAATGCGACCTCACATTCCGTAACCCATTTAGACTTTGACATATCATGGGAAACGCCCTGGCTGTTTATTGATGCAAGATCACAGTATTGGTCCAGGAACAGAGGGATATCCATAAACGCTCGGAAGCGGTGCAGTCGGGTGCGAGAACTAAGATGATCAGCATGATAACTTTGGAAAGGCAGAAAAATGTTGAAGATGCTCACGCATGAATTAACATCCGGCTGATCATCCACATGATCTGAGCTACGGATGCCTCGGGCTCTTCATTGAACGTTATGAGAGTATGGCGATCGGTTTCCCTCATTACTGTCACAAGAAGAGAGTCAAGCTTGCGTATTTGAGCGCCAAATTCAGATGGAACGACTTCGACATTGGCACGTTCAATGCTTTGAACCATTTTGTTGGTCTGAAACATAACCTCTTGTGATTTCATGACCATGGGCCATGGCTTCAGTGCGTCAGTGGTATATCAAGGATTCTTTGAGGTGAAAAAAACGATACCTCCAAGAACACGTTAAACTTCGGATATGGGGTAGTGATTCGTGGATCATCTGATGAGATGATAGGTGGCTAAAGCCAAATCAGCTATGCTCCTATCGATTTTGGGATATGATCTTACCGCCAAATGGATGTTAGAGGACATATAAGTCACCCACATCTGCAAGTATATTGAGCTAAGGATCTTTCCAATCGCTGATATCCAGTACGTACCGTCATCCACCAAGCTCGTCTCTGGGCCTCAGAGAAAGTTGTTTCCGAGGCGTCAAGATTATGGATCGATATATCCATAGCAGTTGTCATCGCCTGGTTTCCCCGGGCCCGCATCCGGGACACATTACCTCGCTGGCAGTACTCATAGACACTCAAAGCCACAAGAGCAAGCACGGGGTAAATGCGCGCGGGGACTCGTGGATGTAGAGCTTCTGGGCCTCGGCAGCGCTCTGATTCGGGTATGTTGGAAGCCAGCGGAGGCGACAAATCGTCAATCTCAGTTTCCACTGCTGTCAGTGCTGCTTGCGCAAATATCTGAGCGTAAGAACGCCTATAAGTCAGACATAAGTCTGCTGTTGGGAACTGGTCTTCAGGGACAGGAATGAGAACCAGCATTGCAGATATAGCCAAGCTCAAAGACGATGCTGGCCAGTACGGCAGATTTGACTTCGCGGGCTCTGAAGATTCTCCAAATGCCCTGATCACTTTTGGTCGGTCTTCATACTGTGGTTCGGTCGGCGGTGGTAGCAAAGGTAAGTATGGATGAATGTAGAGGTAGTACGCATTAGCGCTATATACCTGGTCAGCACTTTGTTTGGCGATATTTTTGGAATTTGATCCATACATATCTGCTTCAGATTGATATGATCGTATCAATGGGATACCTGTGTATGATAAAGATGTTGAATCATAGGGACTGTCACTGTGTGGGGTAAGCTGGCCCCATATTTGGTGGGCTTCATCTGCGGACAGAGAATCGGGGGATAGATCGAGATTGTGGATGCCGGCGAATGGCGTTACCAGGCTCATCTCGGGGAAAGGCTCTGGCTTGACGTTAGAAATGTGAGAATGAGCTTGGAATTATTCTAGGTACCAATCCCATCGGTGACATCTGACAACGAGGAAGGGGGCAGTGAGTTGCCTGCTGACCGACGCATCTGTTCGTACTGGACCCCTCTACGAGCTCCACCCCGGCGACTTGGCTGATAATTGCAATTTCTGTTTCTTCCGGAGCACTGAAAGGTGGATTAATAGACCGCTTCTCGGACCAATTGGGTTACATACGCTTCCACATGGCTGTTGACCATCACATCGTGTCTTCGATGTTCGGCTACAGGCAATGTTAGCATATGTAGAATCGAGGTTTCAATGACATGCAATTGACATACCATGCTAAGCAAGCAGCTTTTATTGGAGGTTTCGCAGAACGAGGCATTCTGTGACTCAAATTTGTAACTCGTTGCCCAGGTGGTACGGAGTAGGTGCCGAACGCATACAACGTCACCATACACGTGACGAATATATACCCTGGTCGACGGAGTATTTCAGCCTCAATCAAGTCAATCGACTAAAATATACCTGGCGCGTATGTTGTTGGCCGGTTGGAGTCCACAATGGCCGATCCAAAGGACGTTTGTTAATTGTAGAAGAAAAAGGATTCACTTCGGCATTTGATCTCCATCAAACACCGAGTCCCCGTTGGTGCTGGCAGATCATCGGCGATTGACTAACCCTACATAGTATCATTTGACTTCGTCCAAGAGGCTCGATTTCTCTCCGAATTCGCCTGTGAGAAATAGCTCTCACAATTGATCACTATCTGCAGAAAACGCGTTGGTCCTCTCGGCCACTTTAGACCCTACATTCCAGGTGCCAAAGTAGCATTTCGCGTTAGGTACAGCAGAATTAAACGTGATGAATGGGGCGAATGCATGTGCCGAAAGACACCGAGACACTGAATCCGAGACACTGAATTACACAAACGAAAAGGTATCTACAATATCAACTTATTTACAACAACCATTGCTGACGTTCGGCGCCTTCGAAGTATCCAGTCGACAAAAACAAGAAGAAGTCACGGGCACATCGGCCACCGCAACTGCTATTGCCAACTGAGGCTCGATAACTCGAGCCATTTCAGTCTTTCCAAGTCGTACCAGACATTCATGATAGCCTTGCAAAGCCCACACATTATTCGGGTGCTGACGCGCCCGAATAAGGGTACCATCAAGACCCAAGTCAGCACGGTAAACAGCCGCTGCATCCTCAACATGCCCTTGCTCCAGCAGGAGAGCAGCATAGGCATGGCGCGTGGGCTGCATCCAGCTCCAAGGCTCGGCGTAGCCCAGACCATCATCCAATTCGATTGAGCGACGCAGATGCTCGAAAGCCTCTGTGTAGTTGCCACGGCGGTATTCAATCTCACCATCTAGCATCTCTGAAGCCACGCCAAGAATGTCAACACATTTGTTAGGCCAGTCCAGACGCGTGTCAGGAACCCGTTTTTGCGCCTCTCTGAACAGCGCTCGCTGCTCTTCTGCCTCGGGGACTTTGCCCGTGGCTGCAAATGCCACACCTTTGGCATAGTGCCAGGTTGCTATTGTCATGCAATATATTTCTGGTTCTGATGGGATCGGGATTTCAATGATTTCTTCCCACATGCCAAATCGGACCATAATGTGCACACGCACGGACATGAAAATTTCGATGTAATCTGCCATCGCCGTGAGCAGTTTCTTTGGCAAAGTCGCCTCCATGCGATCCACGGCCTCGAAAGCAGTCTGTTTCTGGCCTGCAAACATGGCCGCATAGATGAGGGAGTGATATGTGTGCATTCGGTAGACGGAATAGAAGTTGTAGGGGCCTTCTCGTCCCAGATACTTCTCGTCTGCAATTGCTGCGCGCTGGTTCGCACGAACAGCGCTTCGGTAGTCACCAACCAGGACATCCAGGTGAGAAGGCATGTGAGTGATATGACCGGCATCCGGCACTAGGTCCCGGAGGTGATCAGCGGGTCGCAGCCCCAGTTCTGGAAATGGCGACATTTCAATTAAATGGATATACATGTGCAAGAGACCTGGGTGCTTGATGGATTCTTTGTTCTCGAGCGCTTTCTCGAGTACTGTTTTAGCCTCCACGGTGCGGGCCGCCGGATCTGGCTCTCCAGTAACCAGATCCCACAACTTCCAGGGAGTGAGGCTAATCATAGCATCGGCATAAATGGTGACCACGTCCAAATCATCACTGAATTGTTGATAAATCTCCTTCATTACATCAGCATATGCGATATTTTGAGCTGCCAGCTGCTCCATACTGGCAGGCTTGTCGCTTTGATAGCGCGTTGTCAAAGCTCTGGCGAGTGCTTGCTCCACCGGGGATGCATTGGCAGCGAGAGCCACGGCTTTTTGAGCGGCCCAATAGGTTTTTTCAACCACCGATGCCAGCTCATTGCCGAAGAAGTCCCAGGGTTTATTGTAGTTGGGGCCGAGAGAGTAGGCCAACCCCCAATAGGCCATCGCACAAGACGAATCATGCACCAGCGCCTGCTGGAAGCACACGATAGACTCTTTATGGTTGAAGGAATAGGCCCATGTGAGACCCCGATTGAACCATAGCTGTGCCTCCGGACTGCTGGTTGTGATGGTCTTCCCAAATGACCCCAGGTTATAGGGGTAGACACCTCTGGTTGGCATGATCAACACGAGTGGTGGTGTGTGGTATGATGTTGGGAGGATGAAGAGGGAAGTCGGGTTTAAGCGGGGTTTCCTCCCGCCACCTTGTACCCAACAGGCGTGCTTTGATTTATATATCTTTGACCCTTTTCAGGACCATTCGGGATTTGAGTGCCCAGTTGGGATGTCTCATTACTTCGGGATCTCTCTGACACTTAGATATGCGAACGCGTCCAGGGATGGGAAGATCCAAACCTTTTTTCCCCCCCACTAAACCCTCTCTATAGACTATACCAACCCACCAAAAACAGCTAAATCCAAACAAAATATACAGCTTCTGCCTAATTTTTTTTTTAGATGAGTGACATTACAATAATCCGAGCATGAAACAGGAACTGTACAAGGAATTGTGATGCATGTCAGCCTCAAAGAACACACCCTATTTCCCCCGCTGAAACATCATGCCACACGCGACTCCGGCTCCACTAAAATGTCATCGACATGTTTTCAATATGTACCATCTTCTTAAGTTCAACACACAGTCCTCGTTGTTAATTTCTTCTGTCAGACTATCTCACGCTTGAGCATTTTGTTTCACTCACAACTCGAGATATGCAATTTTTACTCGGACTAAACCCCCCAATGATACTATTTGGATGGAATCTTCAACATAAATCCAACTGAAAGCTACGATATGTGAGGATTAAGCTGCCATCAAACTTTAGAACGAGTCCGCGAAATAATCTTGGAATAATAACACATAAACTACTTTTTGTACACTCGGATATCAGTCATTGCAGCATGACAATCCAGCCTCCTGAAGTCATTGGTCGGCGCTGCTGTTCTAAAGTTCTAAAGTTGGCCTGCAAACCTCAGGTGGATATGACCGCGTCAGTAAGGACAACGCCAACGTGCGTAAATACCGAGCCGAGTATTCTCTGTGGCTCAAGGACTATATGGGTGACATTCCCGGGAGCTCAAATTTTGCATCACCTAAGTTCTCTTGTTTCCAGATAGAGGCCCTTGTCTCTACCATGATACTTCTATCTCCGAAATGAGATATTGGAGATGGCCGTTGGGGCGCAGCACAGTCAGAGCTTCTACCATAGAAGCATAGAGGTAACATCAAATGAAACAGCAGTAAATGAGCCCTGAAGAGAGAGGGAGAGAGAGAGAGAGAGATACGACACAGAGGGAAAGAACACAGTACGATCAGCTGACACGCACAGGGGCTCTCATCTCTTGCTTTTCGTCCTACTCTTTCAAACCTTGTCCACTTTGACAGATCTTCGCCTCTTGACTCAAGCTCAAGATCTCCTGCAGCCTACTCTAGGATCCAGTTGTTGATCCACAATATTAGCTCCACGAGACCATCTGCTGTCATGCATTCTGCCTTAGACGACTGACTGACCAAGAACCTCCCGCAGCTAGTCGACACGATGACTTTGTTTTCGCTTGAGCTCTTCTCGCGGAATTGGGAGACATCCCTCATCTGCCGACTCGAAGCTGCACCTCTCTAGAGTTTCCTCGAGCGGGCATTCCTCTGGTGCTTTGTGATGACCATTTTTGGGAGCTGTATATTGTACCCCTTGAACTGGGACTTCCCAGTTACCTCACTCGGGGGTCCTCTACAATGCCGGTCATGCGGAAGCACTGATATCGCCGAGCGTCCCGGAATCTTCTGGACCTCCTATCCACGCGAAAATTCCGATGGAAATCTGGGTGAGAAGCACCAAGAAGCGACTGACCACCAAGCCGACTCGGCATAAACACCGGGGCATAAGTTGATGGTGTTTGTCTCGAGTTTACTGAATAGAGGCGTTCTTTTTCTTCTTCTCGAAACTTTACGGTTCATCCTTCTCATACAGAAAGTGGAGGGATTTGAGGTTTCTGCTGCACCACACTTCGATTACAGACACTTTGAATCACCCACTTGTATCGCACAGGGTTAGCCGAATGTCCCGGGGTTTAATTGATGGCTACCAATAACCAAGCATGCCATTTTCCTTGGGCCGGACTTTTGCATGCGAGTGAATCTCTTGTCCAGCATCAACATATAGTCAACAAACAATCATTCACAGTAGTTATGCACCATTGGCATGGGGTATAACCTAGACAATGACCCAGGTAACTACCACCCAAAGGATTGGTACAACTAGTGACGCTTCCTACTGAGTGCTCCTGCGGTTGTCCAATGTCAGCCGTAACGAACCAGTTGCTGATTTCGGAAGTCGGACTAATTAATGCCCCAACAATGCTGGGCTTCCCTTCCCACAATGTGACCCTGAGATAGTCAACCTTGAGCAAAAAGCACTTTGATCAAGTTATATCCTCCGTATACGACCCTGAACTTCTATTTGGTTCAGACTAGGGTCACACGCATGAATTGAGGGCCAAAAAGCAGATGCTAGGACTATAAGAGCCCGCAGAATCCGACATAAAACTGACCAAACAAACAGGTCAAGCAAACTTCCAACTCCCAAGTCTTCTATTTAAGCATGCATTTCATCAATATGCCTCTCACCATCATCATCGGTCTCATCTTGGGCCTCGCCCAACGAATCATCGGCGCAGCACTCCCGATAGCTGAGATCAACAAAACCGACTTTATCGTCACCCACAAGGCATCAGACTACTTTCCACACTCAGAGAGCGATCTATCCGATTTCGATATCGATGTCGAATTCGTCGGGTACCCCGAAGCCACGGCGAGCTGGCTCATCTCCCTGGACCCGCACACCGGCGCCACCGACGAAGACAAAGCACGCATTCTGACGGAGATAATGTACGCCAAAAAGTACGATGAGAAAGACATCGACATGTCAGAAGAGGTAGAGTCGCTTCTAGCGCACATTGCCGGTTACACCGACCCCAAAGTTCTAGCGACGCGCGTGGACTTCCGGACAGATTCTCACAATGCAGTCAGATGGGCTTCGTGCAGCCCATACTTTACCTGTATCTCCGGTACTACTTGCAATTTCATGCTGAATGTGAGAAAGGCACCTCGAAGTCGCTGCGAGTCGCATGGTGGTCAGAACTGCTGTATCAGTTGGTCGACCTACCATGTACGCCCCGGGTTTTTCCCGTTTACCTTCTCGGTTTGTGACCGGAAGATCAAGCAGCAAAGAATGGCTTATGCCTCTTGTGTGGGAATGGGAGGTGGTGATCATGGTGGTGATGTTTGCTTCAGCAACCGTGCCCGTCATTGCACCTAGACGATCCTGTTGAGGCTAATGAATTGGCCTTGAGGGCGGCTGAGCGAGGAACAATATGGATTTGGGACAATACTGAGAAACTGCGCGAAGGCTCTCATCTCTACCCTAGGAAATATTGTTGCAACAGCTCTAGCGTGGAATATGACATGTTACGGCTCATCAGAAAATACATGTAGCCAGTGCGTTGCGGTCTTGCTCGCAGATCATCTCTTTCTGAAACGCCTATAGTGCCTGAAAGAGGGGCCAAGTCACTAGCACATACATTTAAAAGGTATCTCAGGTGTACATACAACTCAAGCTGCGAGTCACAGAATAAAAGCTTGAAAAAAAGAGAAGCTATTGAGCAAGCCAGCTCTATCAATCGAGAGATAAATAGGGGCAGTATCATGGAAAAGGCGCATATCGAAAGCAAAGAAAGCAACATCACTGTATATGTACCATAAAAGAAGAATAGCAGGAAACATGAGACAGGAAATACCCGACAAGCTCCGACTAGGTGGCAACAGATCCAGCAACAGATCCAGAATTCGCCATGGAGTGGATGCTTCCAGGTGGAGCAGGGACATGACCATCACCGTTCGGGACATGAGGCTCACTCAAAGAAACACTGTTCTCATCGATACCAAGTAAGGATGGGGGCGGGTGAATCTCTTTCTTGCCATTCGTCTTGTAGTAAAGAACCATGTCTCCCGAGGTGCGCCAGAGATGCGTCCGAATTGTTGCTAGCGTCATGTTGGGTGGACAGAGCTAGTGTACGCGGATTAGTTGAGATATGTTGAGATTGAAATTTGATACTTACCGTCTTTTGGCAGTAAAGCTCCAGATACTCTTCCGGTGGCATGAGAGATTCCGCCGGTTCGTTTGGATCAGCGGGATCAATCCGTTCCGCAACGTAAGCAAGCACCTTCTTCGCTCGAAGCATGCGGTTGGCATTCAGACGCGAGCCATTGTTATTGTTGTTGGCTAAGTTACCTGGTGGTGCGCCGTTAGGAGGTGTACTAGCAGGAGAGGTCAGGTGTTAGCTTGATTGTCATTTTGGGGGGAAAGCTCTTATTGATCGCAGCGAGTCTGTTGGCCTATTAATGGGGATACATACGGTTCGGGCTTGACTACAGGAGGCAAAGAATCATCAAAAGGTTTCAGAACGAAAGCGATCTTGACCTGGTCCTTGAAAGGAATTTGGTTCTGGGAAGAATTATCAGTCAGTGCACCCAATCATCGTTATTCCAGTCACAAAACTTACCTTCAACAAAAGTTCACCAAGCCAATGTGGGATCGATTTCTTTAACCTGTCGAGATCTTCGCTGATGTGGCCCACACTGCCCCTGTAGAGGTCAGATGCAACAGCAGTGTCCCCAGTTTCTTCCTGGATAAACACTGCAGTCCGAGGGGGAATATTCAGTCGAGGTGTTTCACTTTCGTCGCTAGGGAGTATGGAAGTTTCCAAATCTCGCTCTGCATTAGAAGCCAAGAAGTCTTCGTAGTCATGGCGGATCCGGTCTACTACGCCACAAAGATTCGGTTCATACACCTTCTCTTCCTTAATAGAAGACACTTCAGTATCTTCAGCCTTCTCTTCCAATATTTGAGGCTTGGTGTCAGTAGAGGTCCGAGTGAGCTTCTTCGGGAAGTCCATTCGGAACTTCTTCCCGAATAAAGACTTCTTCCGCTCTTCTTTGTCAGGCTCTGCCGGGGACTGGGGAACAGCTGAGTTTGTAGTTGTATCAACCGGTGACAGAGGGTTCTTATCATTCTCATTCTGTTGAGCCTGTGTGGGTGTAGGCCGGTTTGAGAAATAGTCGCTTCTATCCGAGAAGGAAGATGGACCACCATCAAGATGAGAATTTCCTGGACCAGAGGCATCGGGCGTATCCGGCTCGAACATGGGAAACGGGGAGTTGCTCTGCATGGATGTGCTCAAATAGTTTGATGAAGGTGTGCCGATGTTAATCCCAAACCCAGTGCTTGGACTTCCAGGGAAGTCGGATCCCGGACGCAAGGATGTCCCACGGGGATTGGAGATAGGAATACCAACGCTGCGAGGAATGTCATCATTGGGCACAGACGTACTTTGTTGGCTGGAGCGAGCGAGTTCTTCTGCTTTTGCCATGGCGGCTTGACGGAACTCAATGTCTTGTCGGACTTCCTCGTCCACAACCGGAGCAAACAACCAACGCAGGATCCATTTGCCGAGATTGACTTGTTTTCGTTAGCACGCAGGCTCATTTGAGTGTGCGCTCGAAAGAGGACTTTGAAACTTTGAGGAAACCTGAACTTACTTCTTTGGTCATCTCTAAACTCGGGTATGTCAGATGGGGATAGATCGGTTTCGTCCGCATAGACTTCCGCATCGAAGCAACGGTTAGGCTCCAGAATAATGGATAATCTACCTGTGCGCACATCGATCGCACACCAGTGCGCGATGCTATCGATGGTGTTTATTTCAGATGCAACGTCGTCTATATGACGTTTGCCGAAGGTTTGAACAGGGAGACACTAAGGCAAGGTTAGTTAAAGACTCAATGTGTGCTATCACGGCGCCGTTATAATCACCTTGAGCAAATCCCAGAGAACAACTTCCCCGGCCGAGTCCTGAGTAAGTGTGCGCCTCCGATCATTCAACATCAAACACTTGATCAAGCCGTGCTGGCCTTCAATAGATTCCTCAGGCAATGACTGAACCGGAATCGTCAAGCCAAGGGTCTCCAAGTTAGGCTCCGAGGTGTTTGCTTTGCGCGAGCCCCCAAGGATCGATGTTGCCGACAGCTGCAAAACTGCATTGAAGGGGATCTTCCTCGGTTGCTCGTTGGGCGGATCTGCCGGTGCGGCAGCAGAGTCTATCGTGCGGGCTGGGTCAGGTGGCGCCTCGATTTCAAGAGTAGTATCTGCGTCTCGCCAGCGGTTGATGCTGGATTTTGGAGTTGCGGTCCAAATGTAGTCTCCGGCCGCCACGACCTTAACGACACCCTCGTGCTCTTGTAGTGCGGCAATAGAAGTGCCCTGCTCCAGGTCTGGCGATCCTCGTGTATCAGTCTTAGCAACCAAGCCGGATCGATCACTGGAATAGAAAACAGATAGATCAGGGTGGTCGGAATAAAGCGACCACACGCTGTCATTGTGCATCGTCAGTGTATTCATACACCGGCCCGCTGTGAGCGACCAGATCTTGATAGTCTGGTCAGAGGACCCAGTCATAATAGTATCGCCCGTCTGATTGATTAAGATGTCACGAATGTTGTCGGTATGGCCCACGAATTTGGTCACCAGCTTCCCAGACCTGGGATCCCAGACCCGCACGACATTCTCAGGCCCGCCGCTGGCAAGCACCGACGAGACGGCACCTAGCGCGTAGACAGACCCCTTATCTGTGGAATCATCGCCACCGGCATTGATGCTTAGTGTTTCACCTCCACCGTTGAGATCCCACAAGTAAACCTTTTGGTCGAGACCACCTGAGGCCACCCAACTGGCGTGGCTGCCTGGACTAGCCAGGGCCTTGACATAATCCGTGTGTTTGCCGATACGTTCGGGTACCTCGATTGACTCAGAATGCGGGCGCCAGAGTCGCACAGTCGTGTCGGACGAGGCGGAGACGAGTGCGGAGTTATCCTGTGCCAAGACGATATCGTTGATCCAATGACTGTGGGCTTGAACCTGAGTTTTGAAGCCGGTTGGACCGGGCTTGTTAGCTGTAGACGGACCGTTGGACGGTGCGAACGAGGGAGCGAGAGGGAAGTCTAGGTCCCAGGAACAGATGACACCGTCGCGGCCCGCGGAGTATCTAGAGACGTCATATTAGAATCGGCGCCCACGTGCGATCATAGATGTGTCTCTGGCAGAGATTGCGAATTTGACTGGTTCTCAACGGCCCAAGGGCTCGACCACTCAACTGTTCGCTGGAAGAGCTCATGCAAGGCTTACAGGATGGAGTTCTGATGGTCAACGGTGAGACCATTGACCCCTAGCCGGTGCCCACCAGGGGCATCAGGCAAGGGCAGGACTGATGCAGTCAGTATCTTCCCGCTGCGACCCTCGGCGCGGCGACTTACCATAGGTGACCCTTTGGTGGCTTAGTTTGCGTGCCATACATGCAGTGGGTGAAGGAGTGATGCCAATTGCGGAGAGAAAATGCGGAGCTTATCTGCCGATCGCACGTTCCGATTAGAACGTCACATTCGAGGGGAAAACAGAAAAGAGGAGGTGGTTTTTTTGTGAGGGGAAGAGGTTAAGCCTAAGTTGGAGACGCCTCTATACTTTGCGCTTATGGTCTCTTCCGTTGCTTGATCCTTTTGGACTCCCTGGCTATTCCATATACGGTATACCTACTGTTGCTGGAAGCTCACTGAAGTGACCTTCGCAACCCTAGGAATGTCCTTATAGAGTTGGCTGGATATGCTTAGGTGTAATTAACACTGGCCCCTTAGTATCGGGTGATGATCAAGTATAGTGTGCAGTCTTGCGCGCTACCATAGCGCCAGCCGCTGACCCCGGCGCTGACCCCGGCGCTAGTTCAGATTCTATACGGAATATTACAATATGGGTTGAATTCGTTTGGCAATAATATTTTCGAAATAGAGCCTTCGTCTTTCTCCAAATTCATGACTACTTTTCTAACCTTACACGTACCCCGGCTGCTCCATTGCTGCTCCATTGCTGCTCCATGTCTGGTAAAAGCAGTCAAGTACCAACCAATACGTATTTTTGTTGTCCGAGGGTATAGTCTATTCCACTCTATACATAATATACCAGGCCAAAAGCCAATTAACCCTTTAAATACCCCTCTCAGCCTTCTCCCTCCTCCCCTCGAGCGTATTCGAAGCCTTCTGGTAACTTCCCAAGAAGACAGCCCCACCGATTCCAATCCATGTCACACGCGGCGTAATTCCACGCCAGAAAGCACCAGGCCCCTCACGCGCAATCCCGCGCACAATCTCACGGACACGAACGGGGGCATCAGAGCCCCCATCGCCACGGCGCGCGAGCATAACCCGCGTCTTAATCACGTCCAACGGTGTCGTCAGACCTGCCGCGATAGCACCGGCCACGCTGCCGAACATGGCGCTCGTAGAGGCCGGGATCTGGGTCTCGATAACGGAACTGGCGGCTTCCGCAGAGCGCAGGTACCGCTTACCGTAGGCCTCTTTCATGGACTCCCACATGGTGAATTGGAGGACGGTGAAGGGGATTTCGCGGGCGATGGTGATTCCGGCGCCACGGTAGAGTTCGCGGAAGACTTGGCTGTAGCCGCGCTTTGCGGTGGGGTTGGATGGAGTGGCATGGCGGAGGGAAAGGATGTCCTTGAGGGCGAGGAGACTGGAGCCGCCGAAGAGACCTGCTTGGGCACGCTGTTTTATGACTTCTGTTGGGACGCGGACGGCGCAAGCTGCAATTTCACCGAGGGAGGAGGCAAGGGAATGTGTGAGGATGATGCGAGCTCGCGGTTGGGGCTCGGAGCTGGAGGCAGGGAGTAGAGTACGCTTGACGCCATCATAAACAATGAAGAAAGAGGCGGCTGAGGGGGCGGAGCCGAAGAGGACGGAGGGGAGACCGGCGTAGATGCCGCGGAAGGTTTGACGCAGAGAGACTCGGACTTGAGGAGTGGTGTGGTCGCGTGCTTTTTGAAGTCGAGTTTTGATTGTGTCGAGAGGGTAAAGCGAGCAGTCAACTGTCAGACCTGCAATCGCTCCTGACTATGCGAAGAGAGCTGTTAGCCGGGGTTTGACGTCGAAAGGATAGCTTCGGAGAAGTTCGTACAATCAGTGACCTCGTCCACAGAGAGGACACCAATGGCTGTCCTTCAGGTTGTTGAGACATATTGTGAAGACGGTCAAATAAAATGCTGTACAATTCTACTGAAGCATGGCCACAGGGAATTCAAGCGCTATGCGGAGTCAGGCTACGGGAAGAGCTCCGCAGCTCAGTTTTGCTCCGCGGTCAGGCCATTCCGATATCGCCGATCTTCGCCGTTAGGGTTACTTTCAGACTACGGTGTACGGAGAACATCTAGCAAATTTAAGGGAAATATGTCTGTGTTTATGTGTATCTAACAATTAAAAAGAGCCCGCCCGAGCAATTGATCCCAAGAAACAATCAAGGATTCGAAAAAGAGAAAAATAAGGATCGACACACATACAAAACGGTGATCCAACAACTTGGTTCCACAAGGATGAAAGGTAAGGTAATGTGTGCAACCCATTGACACTTGAGTGTATTCGCGAATACCAACTCAACTCAAACAAAAGGACACAAAACAGGGTGAGGCCGCCAAATTCATCTACAATACTCGGAGGGAATCACAAAGGGAACTTGGAAGGATGGCTCAAGAAGGACATCCAGGTTCAGCAACGGAAAGGGAGTATAGACACATGAGAAGTTGGTACAAAGAAAGAAGATTACTTGGCTTTGGCGCCCTTGCTGGCAACGGCAGGGCTTTGAGATGGGGGTTCGAGAACGTGAGTGTGGCCGGGGTCGTTAATGACTTCTCCAGTTCCATCCTGCTGACAAGTGTGAATGCCTCTGACCCACTCATCCGACAGAACCTCATCGAGAGTCGCTCGATCCTTTGGATTGACCTTGAGCATACGGCCAATGATGTAACGACTTTCCCGCGGCAAGATCCGGAGAAGACGCCAGGGCCCTTTGATGACTTCCGGGCGCTGACCGGAGGATTGAGAAGAACCTGGGGGGAGAGGAGGTGCTTCTTTGCTGGTCGTGCGAGTGGGCCTATTAGTATGGGCACTGGTCTGGCTGATCTGCTTCTGAGCGGTGGGGGTGTCGGGGGACCGATCACCATCACCCTGGGGTTCCGACTTGTTGCCGTTCCCGTTCTGCTCAGAACCAGACTGATCAGAGGGTCCACTTGAGCGGGGAGTCAATCGCTTGTTTTCGTTGCCGCTGGAGGGAAGATCAGGAGTCGACTTGGGCCGACGGCGAGGGTCGGACTCAGCAAGTGGGGTTCCCGGAGAAGGGTTGGAGACAAACAACTTGTAAGAGTTGTCGGTCATGCGTGGCTGCTTCCATGGGAATCGGCGCAAAGTCATGCAGCAGAAGATGATCGCCAGCGACCAAACATCCGTGGGGCGAGGATCATATTTCTTCTCGTCGTAGACCTCTGGGGCAAGATAGGGATCCGAGCCAACGATACCTTTTATTGCGGTCAGTAACGATCAATCAGGTTCAGCGGAAAACAAGACATACCTGAAGCAGGAACAATGTCGTTTTCAAAAGGATAGCGGAATACGACAGCACTGCCAAAGTCAATAAGCTTCATGATACCGCGATCATTGACCACGACGTTATCCAACTTCAAATCCCGATGGGCGAGGCCCATGCCATGCAGATACGCCACACCACTCAGAATTTGCTTGAAAGAGCAGGCAATTTCATCTTTTCCCATCTTGCCAGTCATGACAATGGCGAAAAGATCGAATGGGGCATACTCCATGACTTCGTACCAGTGAGTTCCTTCTTGGATGATATCGAGCGTCTCAATGATATTGCCATGATGCAGAGTGGAGCCAATACAGAATTCCGCAGTGACTTTCTTAGAGTACTCCTTCAGGCTCTCCCAATTGTGCCGATCACGGAATTGTTTGACTGCAAAGGTTACACCGTCACTGTTCCGTTTCAAAAGACGGACGGAGCCTCCAGCACCAGACCCAAGGACCCTGCCCATTTTTCCATACTTGGAGTTCAGTCCATGATCATCCGCGAAGGGAACGTTGTCAGGGGCCATTTGATACGGGGTGTTCTTTCCAGATCCCCGACTTGACTTCTTTGGCATGGACGATGGGGATTCGGATCGCTTGTTGCGATGACCCATCTTGAAAAATCGTTTCAGTTCAGACATGGACCCGTGGTGGCCATGACCATGGGGCTTCTCGTTTCCAGAATCCTTCTTGTTTCCACCAAATATGCTTCGCTTATCGCCAGTCTTGCTGAGATCATTCGCGCTGGCTGATCGGGGTGTTCCCGGACGAAATGATCGCTTCGCATCTCGGCTGCTGAAGATGAACCGAGGATCCAGCTGAGCAAGATTTTTGGACTGAGGAGGACGTTTGTGACGCGCATATGGATCATTAGGTTCGCCTACCGGGGTCATAGCCCCCGGCGGTGTATGAGAATCTCTCGGGGTGGCGGGAGGGCTTTCGTCTTGCGCGCCTCCGTCATTTCCAATGAAGAATTGTGCCCGATGCCGTGGGAGCTGAGCGACATGATCTGCGCGGTCCGACCCCTCACTTTGACGAATAGGCAGCTGATCGGTAGATGGAGGCCGAGAAGAATTCGAAGTAGGCCGAGAGGTCCCATTCTTATCGACTGAGCCAACTGGGGGTGATGCTTCGGGGGTGAAATTTGTCTGCACGTGAGGTCGGGTTGCGGATGTTAGGGAGGCGCCGTCGCTGGTTCTGCCTTCGCGGGAATGGGTCGCGGCGGGAGTAAGAGGGGGTGATTGTACAGCAGAAACGGGGGGAGAAGCATGCGGGGAGGCGAAGGAACCAGTGCCTAATCCACTGCGACTCGACTCTCGAGAAGCGACCTGTGTCCAGACTCAGTCAGCATGGCCCAACGTTCTGGATTAAGATGTCCAGGAGAGCCCCCAGTGCAGATTCAAATCCGCATGCATTGATGCGTAGAATGATGTAATTGGAAGAAATATGGGGCATTCCCCCAATTGCCGGATTTTAGGGAAGATTACATACCCTTGAGGAAGGTAGAGACATAGGGTCAAACGAGAAGTTCCGAGCCCGTGACTCCTGGAGCTGTGTGCCCTGGAGACTCATGGCAAGCGACCGTAGCTGTTCCTCTTCGGTGGGAGGCTTTTGCTGAGGCTGCTGAACTTCGGGAACAGGAGACAATTCGGATCGAGAGGGCGCGATCTCCTCTGTGATGGATGAGAAGCGGACCTGGGAAGGCTGAGCTTTCGACTTGGCGTCGGCGTCGGGCTCCGAGGCCTGGCCGGGGTTCTTGGCGGGAATCATTGGGGATGCTGGAGAGCGCGGTATGCGTCAGTAGGAATTTGAGATACTCGGATCAACATGGCAGCCAAGACATACCGGAGTCCGTTAAAGTGGAGGTCGATTCAGTCCGTTCAGACGTCATAGTCGGCTCGGAACGTGGGACACATGCCCCTCACGATTGAAATTGAGAATACGATGATTTGCGAACAGAGTCCGTCCTGCAAAGCGATTGAGAGGATGCTTGATGTCACCACGGGGTTTAATGCGGGAGAAAGAGGCAAATCTCTTTTAACTTTTCGCCGAATGCGATAAGCAGAACTCCCGCGTCTAGAAAATTTGCCGAGCTTTTAGGGCACCGAAGGGAATAAAAAAGGAAGTGCGAAGGATATCAAGAGAGGGAGTGACAAGAGACAGAGGGAAATGCGTAAAGGTAAAAGAAAGAGAAGAGAGGGGTCTGGGCCTAAGGCAAACTTGCTTTTCGGAGGGGTAGTAGTTTCGCCGATCTGATTCTTCTATTCTGACGAGAGATGTTCGGAGATGGTTTCATAGTCATAGGTTCATGTTCTCAGAGTCAAAAAGCCGGATGGCCGCGGAGGGGGGGGGGGAGAACGTGCCGACTTCCCGTGACGCTTGATGCAGGCCCTTTTCGATCTGATCTGGAAGACTACCTGAACGGGATTAGTGGCTGACTCCACTGACGATGATTCGAAGATGTCCTTTTTCATATGCCAAGCCCCATGTACGACTCTGCCAAGGTCTCCGCCCCGCGAGTTACCTCTCTTCGACGGACACCTGGAGTAACTAGCCCCGTGTGTTTGTATGACTGTCGTCTTGCCCGTGGTCACATCACTCAGGCATAATATATTGCACAGCCACGCCGATTGGCAGTTATAAATACATGTAATATCCATGGTACCTGTAGACTTACCCGAGTAGAGATACGGAGTAAGTAGTACGGTAATATATAAGCCAGGTACCAAACCCCGTGGCTGATTGCTAGATCTACATGTATAACGTAGTACATGCTCAGATGCAAAAAAAATGTCTTCGGGTTTGCTGTCAACAACTCGCTATGGCATGCATACCATCTGGAAAGAACAATCGGTATCGTACAGTAGGGGAGAACCCCCGATATTCCCCAGAGAACGCCAAATCGAAATATATAGAAAAAACAAATATGAAACCCCTTGAGGTAAACTGTCATGGCAAAATGCGGCTCGATAATTATACAACATGCCTGGTGAGGTTCTCACGCGACAACCTGGATTCCAATGGACTTGGCCTGGGCCATGACACTCTTGCAGAGTCCTTCCAGAGACAGGCCGGATAACCGTGTCTCGGTGTGCTTGATCTTGGCAATCTCGTAGATGTGCTTCAGAGAGACTGTGCCACAGAACTCATGGCCGGGCTTCATGGCACCGCGCACACGGTTCTTCCGGGGCTCGACACCTGCGGCGTTGAGGAGGAGGTAGGTGACAGTCGGGGTGCGGAGGTCGAAGGCGAAGGACCGGTCGGGACGGACAGTTACACGGGCAGGGATGGGAACACCGGTGTTGATGTGAGCTGTGCGAGCGTTGAATTCCTGAAAACCAGTCAGTATCTTCAAGAGTAAATAACGGACAGAAATAATGACCTTGCAGAAATCCATGGACTTGACACCTTTACTTCCCAGGGCTGGACCGACGGGTGGACTGGGACTGGCCTGTCCAGCGCCGACGATGAGCTTGACGAACTGTTCTTTGGCGAGTGCGTTGCGAGCCATGATTGTGTACCTGGGTGATATGAAGGGGATCGGAGAGATGAAGTTACGAAGATTTTCGACCGGATCTCTGATTGGCCGAAGCGCCAAGCGAGCAAGCTGCGCCCAACGTCATTACTGAACTGCGAAAGGCCTCTCTGTTCTCTGGTGTTCGACGTATTTCAGTATTCTTTTGAATCTTTTACTCTTCTAAAAGATAAACTTATCATCTGTTTCGATCTCGATCTGGGTTCAATCGTCCGATCAGACCATTTGCATATATCTCCCCAGTTCGGAGGGTCCTCCCATTTGCTTCCGAACTAGACTCGGGCCCCGCGTCGATCTGCCCTTCACCTCCCTTTTTCTTTTTCCTCTTGAACGTCCATATAATTTCCCATCGAAATCATGAACTGGCTCAAGTCGACGTACGTTGCATGTTATTCGGCCCCTTCCCACTCTTACTGATTCGATGCGGACAGTCTCTCCGCCGTCGTGGGCACTGAGGAGCCTATCTATGGCCCAGAGGCTATCCAGTCTGTGGCCAAGCAGACCGAGACTACTCCCTTCACCAATGTTAACAAGGAGATTCTGCGCTGGCGCGCGCACTCCTACACCAATGTCGAGACCCAGACCTTCTACATCATGGCCGACAATGGAACAGTGGTTTTCGTCCAAGTGATCTACAGCAACATTGTGTAAGCATCAACCGCCCGAGCCTGAAGCTCGTATCTTGAAACCGGGGTACATAAGAAACTGACAATGAGCTCTGATCCTAGTGGAATCCACACCACCGCTCAGTTCAACGTGAAGATTTTCGACCTCAGCGGAAAGGGCGACAACAAATGGTACTCGGACCCACTCTCTAACTTCATGTTTGATGAGCACATGCTCTCATTCGGTGCCGACAACCTGTCCCTGACTCTCAACGAAGAGGGCAACTCCTACACAATCAAGTCTACCGTCAACGACGGTAGCATTGTGGACCTCAAATTCTCCCAGACCGCGCCTGGCTTCGTTGTCGGCAAGGACGGAACCTCATACTTCGGCACTGACCCCAAGAACCCATGGGGATCTATGCGCCATGCCTTCTGGCCCCGTTGCTCCGTCGAGGGTAACATTGCCACCAAGGACAAGACTTACGACCTGGCCGGTCGTGGTGTTTTCATCATGGCTTTGCAGGGCATGAAGCCTCACCACGCAGGTAAGCATATTGATGCAGCATTTCTCGCACTATAAACAGCATTTAACTAAGAAGCAAATAGCTGCCCGCTGGAACTTCATCAACTTCCAGACCCCCACTTACTCCGCCATCATGATGGAATACACCACTCCTCCCTCTTACGGTTCCACCAAGGTCAACGTTGGCGGTATTGTCAAGGACGGTGAGGTGGTCTACGCCGGAGCCACCAACAGTGTCGAGCACACAGAAACCGCCCAAGATGAGGGAAGTGAATGGCCCGCGCCCAAGTCCATCAAGTGGGACTGGACCGGCCAGACCACCGATGGCAAGGAACTCACCGCCGAGGTCAACGGTGCTCTTGGCCCACGACTTGATCGCATCGACGTGATGGCCGAGGTGCCAGGCTTTATCAAGAGCATTGCTGGCAGTGTCGCCGGTACCAGGCCCTACATCTTCCAGTACTCCCCCCAGGACAAGCTTTCTTTGAAGCTTAACATCGGCGGTGAGGAGGTCACCGAAGAGGGAACCATGTTCTCCGAGTCTACCTTCATCTCCTAGAGGGTTGACTTTTTACTCGCGTACATAGGACATCATTCTCCCCCGTGGGGCTTGTTGGCGTTCATTGTTGATGATTTTCGTGATGCTACATTTATGTCTAGAGGATCGGCTTGACTGTTTTCCTCGTGTGAACCAGATAACCACAGACTGTATACAGGATACTTAATGCTATTGACTATATTTTGACATTGCTGTGAAGTAGATACGATGGCTGAGTCTTAGGGACGACTAGGTAGTAAAGAGGTGTAATACGCTGTGTCTCAAGAAACGAGGCGATGACTTATAAGTCCTCTTTCACCCCGTACAAGCTCTCTTTCTACATCGCTTGGACGAATTTGCCTCCTGTCCAGCATTCCGGCGACCCTACCATGTGGGTGTGGTAAAATATTTGGAGAATAATTGTTGAGAATGCTTAAATTCACAAAATTGAAAAGTCACAATGAGAACATGTTGGATATAGTACAAAATTTGAACAAATGAATTAGTTATCCACCATCAACTGTTCACCTTCATCAAGGAGGGTAGTGACTCGAGACAGATCAGAGATCATCTTGCGGCCATGGCCGACCAACAACAGCTTTTCGGCATTCGCAGGGAGACCGAGGTAAGTAGGAGGCTCACGCTCGGGCAGTTTGTTGACCCAGGTTACAAAGTCACGCATGCTGGTTGTACCGGGGAGGGTGAGTAGATCGTCGTTCTCGACATCCGAGACGAGCTTGTAGTCATCTTCGAATGCGGCAGGGGTGAGGAAGCTGTGGACAAGGCTTTCAAGCTGCCGGTAGTCATCCGCATCATCAATCTTGCCTCCGTACATTTCTGCGACCAGGGTGCGAATCATTTCCCATGGAATCTTCTGTGGTGCGACGTTGGAGCGACCTTGAGCCACACCATCGACCCAATGATCAATAATGAAGGCTGAGCATTCGTACTATAAAGAAACCATTTGTTAGCGGATGTTTTAAGAGTGAAGAGTTCAAGATATGCTTACATCACTGTCGTTGAATTCCCAGAAGCCCTTCCATCCAAGACTGGGTGCGTAGCGAAGCCGCTCCTGGACCACAGCATGGAAGAAGCAGAGCAGAAGATAGACACGGGCCTTTTCAACAGGAGATTTGCTTGCTCTGGCATTCAGCGAGGAGAGCGAATCTTTCATGTTGGCACGTACACCCGCAGGTTGCTCGTACATCAATACACGCGAGGCTCGGATCAAATTGACAGGAATCTTAGGGCTAGACTCCATCGACAGGAAAAGGCGGAATTGAGGGTGTGGTTTGAGCGAATCCAGTCGCTTCTCCAAGCTCTGAAGCCAAGCAGGTGCCAGATGGACGTTCTTGACCAAGACCCAATTGCCAACTGCGGCAGCGTTGCTGATGGCCTTGTCTGCACTCTCGAGACCTTCGTTCGAACCCATAGCGATGTTGGCACAGGTTGCACGGGTAGACTCAACCAAGGCATCGACCTTGTAACTGGCATCGAAACCGGGGCTTGAGCTAAGGGCAATAGGTCGAGTTGCAGTAACTTGCTCCACAACATGTTTGAGATCGGCACCACCTTCGTAAAGCTCGCGACCGAATACGGCGACAATGAACCGCTCTGCAGCCGGCACAAATCTATCCATGCGACAGACCTTGACAAGCAACAACGACCGGAGGAGCTGGTCAAGTTCCGAGGCATGCTCGTCCCACATGGGCGGGATAACGTTCTCTGCTAGCTCCTCGCTGAAGAAACGATCCCATTGATCTTGATTGATGCCCGGAAGATACTCCTTGAAGATGGACATATTTGCGAGTCTTGCCATCACTTCATCCCGGCAATCGATGTCAGTAGACAGATCTGAACCCTTCAATGCCTCGTCCAAGACACGGTCGAGAAGAGTCCTGTCCATCGGGAAAGGCGTAGCCTGGGCAAGCAAAACGGCGAGTGTGACTCGATCTTTCTGAATAAGACCCAGTGAGGTTCGCTGGTAGGTATTAATGAACAGATCCCGAATAATGATTTGGACTCGTGCCGAGTGATCCTTTTCTTGTGCAAGGCGTTTGTTCTGGTATAGGACAGAGTTGAAGATATCAACGAAGTACTGGAGAGAGAATTGATAGAAGTGGTTGATATGGTGCAGTTGCTCCAGCACCGCAAACACCGCACTGCATGATCGGGCAATGATGCTGTACTTTTGCGTGACGTTGTCCACTTCAGCCATAACACCTTCCGTTTCGTCCATCTTCTTGGAGATATCGGCAGCTTCCTTCTTGAGCGTCTCAAGGGTTTCAATGACATTGTCATCGTCAAGGATATTGCCACGAGACTCGTTTAGAGCCTGCAGAAGACGCTTCTCGAGCTGCCTGAGATGGACCTTGAACTCGCCTTGCATTTTGACGAGGTTGTTGCGACGCTCGTCAACATCGGGGCGTTCGAATTTCAAGACATCATTCAATGACTGTGTCTGCAAACTGCTCTGCGTGACCGTAAAGTTGACAAATGTGGTACGACTGCAGATGTCTGGCGGGAACGAGGCAGATGGATCACGAGTTGAAAGGAAGAGCTTGAAGGATGGCGAGAAGTCAATCTCTTGTCTACCCAATTGGATGAGAACACGGCCACCGGTTTTCTGATATTCCTTGTTGAGAACGTGGTTGAGAATGGGGTCCAAGTGCTCAGCATCCTGAATGAGGATGGGGTTTCCGAAACGCAAGGCACTCTCCAATTGCTTGACAAAGGAATCGTCCAAGAAACTTGTGACAGTAAGCTTGCGTTCCTTGCTTTCTTTCTGCAGGAATTCTGTTGTCCGACCTGATGGGTCGACGATAAGTGGGTATCGGTTGAACTTCTTTAAGATGATAGCATTCTCGGTGCAAAGGTCGTCGACAGGGAGAGAATGTTCTTGCCAGGTCAAACGCTCATCGGCGTTGGAAAGGTATTCCGTTATGGGATTGTGAGGCTTGAAGTCGATCCCAGAGGCTCCCAGCTGGTGGATCCAGTCCTCCGTCATGGCTTTACGGAATTGTTGATCATAGAGACCAGCATACGCGAGGAATGCTGCTGCAATCAGAACGTCACCAACAAGGGTGCTGATTTGGGTCTCGAATGACTTGCTGCCCTCCTCCCAGCGCTGACGCTCTGATGCCAGACTATCAAGCAAACGAACACTGCGGTCGACCTTGAATTGCACCCGAGTCATCTCAGACTTGATTGCTTGCGTCTCACTGATCAGGGTGGCATATTCAGCTTTGTAGGTAGCTATGCTGCTTTCTAGGTCATTGATGGTGTTATCAATAGCCTGTGCCTCCGCCTTAGTTTGCAAGGCCTTTGCCTCGAGCTCATCAACCTCTTCACGAAGCGGGCCAATGCGATCAAGAATCGTAGAATAGTTAACCTGGGCTTCTACCCATTGAACGAGAGGTCCGCAAGCCTTGCTAGCACGGAAAACTCGTTCATATGTGAAGTCTTCCTTCGAAAGGAACTCATTCTGCATCTTAACACGGTGTTTGCGTGTCATCTGGGACGCATTATCGTAATTCACAATGCTGGCAATGAAATCATCGCGACGAATGAGACCTTGAATGGTCTTCCAACTATCAACAGTGTGGCCAAGGAGGGTGCACACTGCTTCAAGGGCAAGCCGCACACTGGCCGGGGGATTACCCATAGATCGAACTTCGGTGAGATGTTGACGCTTGATGTTGCTGACACTCTTCATGGCTTCTTCGACTGCGGGTTCTGCACGGGCCAGATCGTTCAAAACAACCTCTCTCCGGGTTGCCACTTCCTCGTTCTGTATCTTCAATGCGGCCTGCACTTCCAGAGAAACTTGTTTCCGCTGTTCTGCCTCTTGTTGATCAGCGACCATGCGCTGCAGCTTCTCATTCGCCTCCGTGTCTTTCTTCTCCAGCTGTGTTTTCTTCTGAGCAAGGCTGCCACGAAGGTCGCTAACTTTGTCGACGGTATCATGAAGTTTTTCGAGACCAATGTTCAAGTGGCGCTGTTGCTCCTCCAGATCCTCTCGCTTCTCATTGAAAAGACTAACGTATTGTGCAACGAAGTCGAGATAATGGCGAGGAGTGAGGAAAGTTGCACGGCCTTGTTGCTTCTGGAGGCGCCCGTTGAAGCGATGCAACGAGTGGTGGATATAGACCATGGAATTGATGACAGTGTCCCTATGCGACGCGGGGAGAGAGAGCTCACGGTAGGCCACTGGAATACTATCAGGAGAAACAAAGTTTGGTTTGTCCAAATCAACCGATTGAGTGAGCTCGGAGCCAACCTGGAAGAGGGCTTGGTCGGACCAGTCACCCATCCAATTAAGCACACAACGATTGAACAAGGCGGGACTGGTGGCGGCCTTTGAAGAGAGACCTTCCTCTGGGGGATTCATGGTGAACACAACGTGCAGATTCTTGACAATCTGCTGGGTGAACCACTTGTAAAGCTCCTCTTGCGAATCAAGGAGTAGTCCTTGACGCTGAGCACCTTCTTTACAAGCAGTCATCAGTGAAGAGAATTCATCACCCTCGAAGAGACCGGGAACTTCGGCGTTTGCAAGCAGGGTGTTCATACGTTCCAGGAATCCAGAATCAAGGACGTTAGATTCGTCCATGACGAAGCAAATCTTTTCACCCTTACACCCTGCGCGGCGGAGGACGCTCCGAAGGTCGTCATCAAAGTCCTCCGAAGAGTACTTTCCGTGCACCTTGATTTGGAAGACCTTCAGACCATTCATCCAAGCGACAAAGCGAGACAGGGTTGTCTTTCCACTTCCGCTCACACCGATAAGAATGAGATGGCCCTGAGGCTGGCGGAAGACCCGATCAATGCGCAGGGCATGTTCCAAGACATCATTAAACAGCACAAGAGGAACATCCACCTCTTCCTCACAGAAGGTTCTGAGACGTGCCTTGACAAAGTCACGAAGACTCTCCTGCTCGACTGGTACATAGTTCTTGGATAGCCAGTTCGAGAATAGGATAGGGCCCTTCAGGGCTTCTTGGTCATCGATCGTAGGGAAATGTTCCAAAGCGATCCGGCGAACGGCGTCCGCGGTCCAAGCTCTCTCATCTTCGGCTACCAATCTGTCTTGGAATAGACGCAAAGCCTCATGTGCCCAGATGCGGATAAGGCCCTCGATAGAAAGTGTTTCAAGAGGCTTGATAGCTTCGTAAAGACCACGAACCCACCGAGTGAGCTCACGGGGTGAGTACACGTAATGTGGCTGAATCTGAGGCGTGAATCGAGCTTGGGATTCAAGATAGAACTGCACCATAGCCTTGGTGAGAGCGTCGGAATATCCGCGCAACAAGGGAAGGATTTTGAGAACAGCCGAATTGAACGTGCCATAGATTTGGTTGAGAGAGATCTCTCCAGGATAGTCCACCATGACAAGGGGCGCATGACGCAGGAATCTTTCGGCCATGGGTGTACGACCGGCATCCGTAGGAGGGTTGCAAGCCCCAACAAACTGAATGCGATCCAGAGTAACCCACGTCTTATCTGTAGTTCTCCAAAAGCCATTTTGTTCAACAAGCTGTCGCAAGAAAGAAATAGCACGTTGGGTGCCGTATTTATCAGGGGCAGGAAGGTTGATTTCATCACAGAAAATAACAAGCCAGCGGCCAATCTGGTTCGGAGACATCACCACACCATTGAGAGTCTTCTTGTACTCGCAGTATTGTTCGAAGGTCTTGATCAACAGATCAGGGGTGGTAGCACTCGAGAAATTGAGGCCAACAACCTCCATATTGGGAAGTTTTCTGAGCGCAGCAAACAAAGTCATGGTCTTACCAGATCCAGGAGGACCGCAAAGCAGCAAGGGCTTGTGCTCAGCGAGCCAAGAGTACAGCACATCCTCGTGGCGAACAGTGTCAACTGTGGGGATGATCACGTCTGTTTGAGTAACGGAATGGGTGTTGATATCAATTGTGGGAACCTGGGACTGCCAGCTGGTCCATTCAGATTTAGGCAAAGTGACATCGTAATCGATGAGGGAGGAGTCACCATCTGGCGGCAGATCAATTGTAGACATTCCAGTAACGTATTGTCCAAATGCCTTGCGGTCATTGAGCGGACAATCACCAGTCAAAGACCAGACCAAGGTCAGAAGAAGCTTTTTGGACATGTACGACTCAATTTGTTCAGGGTCAAGAGGGAAGTCCGGATGCTGGGCATTGTATTCGAGAACATTGCGGCAGGCCTTGTTCAACAAGCTGAAGAGGGTGTTGAGGGCGCGAATGTCGGTGAATTCCATGATGTGGTTATATTTCTTGGCTTCACCCAGGGCCTTGAGAACGAGATCGTCAACCTCCAAGAACTGCTTGAGGATAGTTGCAACAGTATCTTGGGCATCCTGCGCCCTGATTACCCCGGTTCCCACGGGCGCACTGTCCTCATCCAAGTCCTCGAATACCTTGGTTCTGAGGCTTTCGACATAGTTGGAAATCATCATGGTTGGGGTGACAGTGTCGGCGTTGAACCATACCATGCCACAACGACTGACTGTGGCGAGCGTAGCGTACTTTAAACTTTCAACCTCAAACATGATGCGCACGTTTGGAGGTAGGTTGAGACGCTCTCCATTGGGAAGAGTGAGGAGTTTGTTGTCATCCAAAACACTGTTCAGGTTTTCAACCCATTCGGGATCCACGTCTCCATCAAAGACAATCCAATGACGCTTGCCATCCTCGCCTCTGAGGTTATCCACGATCTTCCTCAGAATTCCGGTGAAGAGACCGTCGGTCCATTCGCGGGTGGTGCTGTCAAGGTTACCGTAAAGTGCCTCTTTCGACATGACCTTGGAGTCGATAATGTGAGAGACACCCTCAACACCTTCAACGCGTTGCATTGCCTGTAGAAGAATCTTCCAGGCTGCAGATTTACCAGCTCCAGACTTTCCAACCATCATCACACCATGGTGGATGCTTTGAATCTGATAGAGCTGGAGTGCCTTGTTGATCCACATCTCACTGTCTACAAGATGTTGCTCCTTGGTAGCGATATCGCGAATTGCCTGAGTCAGTGCTTCGAAGTTGGCGGGCACGTAGTCAACACCCGGGAAGTCTTCCACTTGAATGTCAAGCATGATTTCAACATCTTCGCGGACAAGCTTGGGTGCGATTGTTTCCCGCAGACTCTGGACAATGATTTGGGGCTCAATGATTTCATCAGGCCCAAGGTCCCCCTCAGAGTTCGCAAGACGAGTACGCTTGAGGCCACCTGAGCTGACGAGAACACTCTTCAACGCACGTAGACCGAAGTCATAGTGGGCTTGTTTGGACAATCGAGAGGCACAGTGGTCGAAAAAGGGAACGGTCTGCTTAGAAAGAGGTTTGGCCTGCTTGAAGCCCTGCGAAAAGAGCATGACTTCAGCAATGAGCTCCTTGTCTGGCTTGGACATAGCAACACTACGGAACAACTTCTTTAAGTTGTCCGGCAGGTTGGAACGGCCTGCATAACCAGGGTTCATGGTGATGAAGATTCCAGTGTTGGCGTTGACAGCAAGTCGTCTGCCGACAAGGTCAATTTGGGATTTGTCACCATCACTGCTGTTCTTCAGACCAATCTGAATGTTCTGAATTTGCTGGGAAACAGCAGACAAGATGCGCTCTTCCAGACGATTGAACTCATCGAAACAACCCCAGGCACCCACCTGGCAAATACCAAGGAAGATACGACCCATCGCTTGGAAATCGAACGTATCGTCACAACAGAACACAAGAGTGAAGCGACCAAGTTGTAGACCCAATGCCTTGACAGATTCGGTCTTACCAGTACCCGCAGGACCGTAAGGAGAACCACCCAGCCGTTGGCAGAGAGCTTGGGTGAGGGTAAGGAAACAACGATCAGTAAGTGGTGTGCGAACAAGACGCTCAGGGACACCCAAGTACTCAAATCCGTAATTGAGCTTGGCGTTTGCCATGTGAACATAGAGACGCTGCAAGAAGTCGCCCTCTGTCTCGTAGACATAACGCATCTGAAGCAACCAATGATAGTGCGTAGGCGAGGTAGCGTTCAGACTGATCAACTTGGAGATGCAATCTCTCTGGTGAACAAATTCTGTGATCATATGCTCGCACTTCTTGCGGGTAATGGGGTCGAGCTCGCCAAGAACCGTGGCAGCGAGAAGCTCCAGAATCCGAACTTCAGCCCCATGCAATGCAGGGAGACTGTCTCCGCCTTCCTCCAGGGACTTTTGTACTGAATTGGTCCAGACAACCTGGCTAGCAAGGACAACGATCTGGGCAGGGTAATTTGCGAGGAAATCGTTGAAGGCGGTTCGATCAACATCAGTTGCGTTGTATAGGGTGTCGAACTGCTCAACGGCTTCACCAAGAAGCTCCGCTAAAGTCAACTTCATGTTGTTTTCTAGGGCCGAAAGCCAGTCGTTGATTCGAGGGGTCTTGAGAAGGTTGACCTCCTTTTTCAGACGGACTTCCTCCCCTTCCTTCGACGTAAAGGCAACAATGTTGTTATCATCATCCATAACGAGTCCTGACATACCGGCAAACATCTTCTTGAAATGCTTGGCGACACGGAAGATGTCATTGCTGTTACCGATGATCTCCAACAGGTCCTCGTCACCAACGAAATAGAATCGAGGGAACGAGACACGCTCCCGCTCCAGGTATTCACCAAGAGCCTTTTGGATCTTGTTCAGCAAATCGGCCAATCTTTCCAGGGACTTTTGGACATCAACAATAGCGAGTACATCCAGAACGAATGGGGATTTGTACACCTTCTTCATCACAGCAAAGAATTCAGAGTTGATGTTCTGGAAACGGCCTGATTCCAAAGGAAGCAGATGCTTGATATCGGCATTTCCGGTGAAAACGCCTTCCAGGTATACCCATTGACGCTGAACATCAATCCAAACGTCGAACAGGACATGAACACGGTTCAGCTTATCTTCCCAGGCTGTGGCTTCCTCTTCGAACTCCTTGTAATAAGGGGAATGTCTCATGGCCTGAAGTGAGTTCAAGTTCTCGCTGCACTTGGCAAATAAGTCGTCGAAGCCCTTGATGAGGCGACATTTGTTCTGATAGTGCACCAAATCAAGAGAGTAGTTTTGCCAAGTCTCGCGGACAGATTTCAGGAACTCTTCCAGTGCCATTTCGCCCTGAGCCTGTGCGATAATGGCGCGAATGATAGCATCACTTGATGCGAGTTGCAAGTCCCAAACATCACCAAGAGTCAAAGACACCAAGGAGAACCGCTTGTCGGGTTTAAGACTCTTGTATATCTTATGCCAATGTCGCTCCTTCACGGCTTCAGACTTCATATCCGAGAGAAGGGTGTTGACCTTCAGCAACTGGCGAAGGACATTTTGAATATGCTCAAAGGCAGCATATTGTCTCATTCGACTGGGCATCTCCTTGGTCATCTTGATCAAATTGTCAAGAGCCTGTCGGAGTTTTCTGGGCTGTACGCTGGTCCAAAGACCATCGCGGAGATCATTGAGACTGTTCCAAATAGTCGCAAGAGCAGCCCAGACTGACATGAAGTCCTGGACTTCTTCAAGAATGGGAGGAAGCGAGGATTCGGCACTTGCGGTGAGATCAAGCGCTTCTTTAGCCTTAGAAACCATTTCAAACTCGGACTGAAGAGACTCGAGGCGAGACTGGAATGAGCTGAGAGTACGAGAGGCTTCCTCCGGTGGAATGGTACCAGAGACAGGCTTCTCATCGTTCCACTGAACAATGACCTCCGCGATCTTGTCAGCGATGACTCGGTCCTCTGCAGTGATCTTCGCGCGCAAGCCTTCAGTCTGTTCGTGGACAATTTTGCTCTTGCGGCTAAGGAGTTCGTTGAGAGCGGTCCATTCGCCATCAACATTTTCAACGTGGAGCCAGTCATAGGGGAACTGGTAGCGCTGGCGAGCCAGGGTAGTTTGTCCTTGGCGGAAAAGGTCAACCTCGGGTTCCCAGACTCGAGTCTTTCGTTTGCACTGCTGGACGATGGTGATGAAAGATACGGCATGAGCAGTAGAAGACGCTTCCAAGGTCTGACCTTCCAGGTCGCGGCGAGCAGCAGCGATTTCCGAATGAACCTCTCTCATGCGTCCACCAAGCTTAGAGCCGAATTTCACGAGGATTTCATGCTGCCACTGGTCGTACTTGGCATTGACCTTGGTTTGAACTTGCTCGTAATCAATTCTGATGTTGCCAAACCCGCGGCTGACTTCAGAAGTGTCGAATGTAGCCCGACTTTTCCTAATCTCTTGGAGAAGCTGAAGCCATTGAGAAAGGTCATCGCCTAAGATGTCGTAGACTTGCTCAGACCGCAGGTCCCAAAGCGATTGGAACTGCAGCCACTTGTCGACATACTCCGAAACCCCTTTCAGTCTTGATTCAACAACATTGTAGACCTCATTAAGCTCATCCGTACAATGTTGCGGGAGATCAGAGAAACAAACTTCAGACTGGCGAACATTTTGAACACCGATGGAGATCTGGTAACGCGATGGCTTGATTTTTTCAAGGTTACAGATCACACCAAGCCAAGTATCGAAATGAGAGAACCAACTCGCACGCGCGAATTGCAAGGGGGGGTCCAAGTGCAGAACTTGATTCTTCATCAAAATTTCGTGGAGAAGTTCTGGGAACTGAATTCTGTAGTTCAAGGCTTCCGCCTCAGCTGCGCCGTAGTGAGATGTGGTGGTGTTTTCGTTAGTTGAATCTTGAAAGACTGCGATCCACTCTCGAACGGCACGATGGAGTCGATCGCGGAGAATCGTCTGGATTGTTGTGTTAAGCTGAGCGACCCAATATCCCAAATTGACGTAGTTCTCGAGGTTAAGTTTATCGACGGCAACCTGGATGCTGTCCAAGCGTTGCTTAAATGCGGATGCATCGTATGGGCAGGTCTTCAGTTCGTGGATGGACTTCTGGATATTTTCGTTGATAGAATCAAGGACAGTGGTTTTACTCTGGAGCGTAGATGCAGAGAATGCAAATTCGCGGACAAATTGCACATGCTTACTTTCAGACCGACCAGGCAAGGATGACTCAATGGCTCCGTTCGCCAATGCCGATTGCTTGACATGTAGCTCATAGGAATGAACGAAGGATTCCCATCGGAGAGGAATGCCTTTAGCAACCATAATCTGTACATCGTTCATGTAACCATTGAGCAGCATGTTGGCATCTGCCATGGACGCAATCTGACGGCTCGTCTGTAACATAGTGCGAACACTCTCCATCAGGCTGATGGCGTAGGGATAGACTCGTTTGGCCTCCTTGGAGATGTTGCTGACTGCGTGCGGAACCTGGAAGTTGAGCCAGATAAGATTGCGGACCTCCTTGAAGAGAGCGATTATTTGGGCGTCAAAGTTGACTGCTAGCTCCAATGTGTTTCCAGCTGAGCGATTGCGCACGACGTTGAACAACCGTCCGGCGATTGTGATGTGGCGTCGCTGAACATCCCAAAGCCAGGATTCGAAAACAGGTCGAGTGTCAAGCTTCTTGCGGAACAAATTTCCTTCAGCCTGCAGCTTCTGTCCCTCAGCGTGCAAATGCCAGTTTTCACCGAGAACATTCTCAACCTTTCGCATGTAACCATCAAGTTGGTGCTCGATCTGACGAGTCCAGATGATAGCACCTGATACAGGTGGCAGGTCACGCAATTGGGCCATGGCATGAGCCTCAGAATTGCCATACTGCTGTTTGAAGCGTTCGTGCAAAGAGCTGATGTCGCGCTTCACATTGTCAATGAGTTGAGTTTGATACTCGCCAATCGCACCACGGATCTTGGGGCGGACAAGAAGAGCGTTGAATTTTGAGAACACACGGAACATCTCATTAGCGTTTTTAGCTGTCGCTAAACGGTCACGTAGACGGGCAATGATAGAATTCTCAACACGGGAAGTACGCTCGCTGTAAGCAATCTCAGCTTGCTCCCAGGTAAGGGACCCCTCTGGGGAAACGTCCAGGACGTCGACGTTCTTCAGCGCGGCGTAAGCATGCGCAACTTCCTCCACAGCATCAACATCACCGATTTCCTCGACAATTACAGCACCATCGGCGTCAACGCCAGCGCCCGTCTCCGCAGATGAAGAACTGTTGGGTCCAAGTACATTGATAATGGTTTTCTGGAGCTGCTCGTGATTGATTCTGAATGTGTCCACATACTTCACACGCTCCCGAGTCTTGTCGTGCCTGGCATTGATCTTGATTGGAATGAACTTCTCGTTACGACGCCTTGTTGACTCACGCGCAACATTAGTAAATTCCTTCAGGTTTTCGTCCCAAGTACGCCAGATTGCTTGCGTGATCTTCATCAGTGACCTAAACTCGCGGTAATCCAAGTGCAATATAGCGCGTCCAGCAATGAGCTCATGAATTTTCTTGTCAAGATCACCAGAGATAGCCTCGACAAGTGAAAGAGCGCGCTTGATGGGATAAGGGCAGATTTTCAACTTCTTATTCAGGTGGTTGAAAATGAGGTTCAGAGAGTCTTGAACCTTTTGGAGGGAGGTAGCAGACAACAGCTCATCTAGAGGGAAGTCTCGCATAAGCTGGTTGTATTTCTGGACCAGTTCGGTGGCATCTTTCAGTCCAGTATCCGCCACGAAACTAAGAGTCGGTTGGTAACGCTTAGCGTGACGAAGAATGTCCATTGTCAGCCTGACACCTTCACTTTGCAACTGGGCATCAATTCCCTCTAGAGCAGATTCCATCGACAGCCAGAAATTCACCTCCGGTGATGCAGATTCGCTGTCCGGGTCACGGGACATCTTCGTGATTGTCTGGATCGACCGAATCCAACCGTTCACAACGTTTTGGATACTGTTCGTGAAAGCGCTGCTCTCGAGGACGGTGGACGGAATCAATTCAACTGAGGCTTTGATACCACGTGTTTCGGCGTCCTTCAGCGCGGCCTGTACCACCTCGTGAAGAGGGAGATTCAAAGCCGGGATCTCCACATTCTGCTGGAGGTGCATCAATCCCAACTCAAGGTCCGCCATCTTCTTCCTGGTGCCGGGAATACCAGTCTTAGCCTCCGTGTCCGTTTTCGATTTCGTGCCGACGGCCGTGTCCTGAGTGCGGGTATGGGCTTCAAAGTAAGGACTAAGGCCATGATGTAACAGCAGGTGTAGGATCTGGTAGTGCATAGAATTCCCCTGCTGAGTGGGGGTATTATTGAGAGAAGCCGGGCCCGGGAGATTCATGACTTGGACTTGCGACGCCATCGGTAGAGTCGGGTCGATTGGAACAGGTCGTTTGATGATGGCTACCGAGGCCACCGTGGTGGGAGCAGACGAGATGTCAGCGCAAAGGTTGTAAGCATGTTGCACTACCGCTTCTGTCCCAATAAAGTCAGCATTGGTATTACGGTCTCGAATGTCGGGTCGAGCCCACCTTGGCCTTGTGTTTCACCGTTGGGTTCTTCCGCAGCCACAATATCCTTCTGCACGTAGAGCGCGACTTGCGACTCGGAGGCGAATCGCGTACACCGTTGCAGAGTCTCGTTGTATTTTGATTCAGAAAGTAAGCTCCCATCGCTTTCCAGCTCGGACCTTTGGGCACCCAGCATTACCTGGAGCACCTCCGTCAAGTACTGAATGACAGCATCGGAGTCGACCAGAGCCGTCGTCTCTGGCGCTGAAACGCCATTTGGCACGCCTGATGAGGCGACCTCCATATTTCTGAGATTATTATGACGAATTCGAGACGTTCATCGGAGAAAGGCAGGAAAGGAGCACGGATCGGTTTGTTTGAATTGTGAGAGGGCGGTCGCGTCGAGCGGAGGTCGATAGAGAGAAAAGGGATGGAGATACTAGCGTAACAAAGAAGAAAAGAAATCTAATAGATTAAAGAAATGTGGAAGCAAAGATAAATTCCAGGCCGTCCTTCTGTTGAAGATCGAAAGATACGCGGCGTGTTTGCTTTACTTCAGGGGATGCACCCTAGTCCTTATCGGGTTAAGCGTGACACGACCACTATAGTACGAAGTACTCTAGGTCAAGGATCCATGCTTCATCACATTAAGAACGTATCTGGACAGCTTATTAGGTACTAGACAGAACAGTCACTTAGCATCATTCGCTCTTGTGTGAGCCATCCATATCCCTCCCTCACTTATGCACTTGTTGGCGAATTTCATCTCCAGTACAACTATCAAAAGCCACCCCATGCCATCAAATTGCTGTTCCGAACTCCATGTCTTGTATCCGATCCCCTCGACAGTCACACTTGTATTTCTTGCGAAATTCTGCGCGACTCATTCCCTCGAGGACAGTCAACGCTTGGGAACTCGCTTTGACTTTAGCATATCGACCCGAGGATGCGACTGCCTTTGCAACCGTCGTGCCGTGAACAATGACTGCGGAAAGTACTTTAGGGGTCTCTCCATCGACGGCCGTTATTGTACCCGATTTCAGGCAGTAGTCGCTGCACAGGAATTCCGAGGTCAATTGACTGTGAAGGAATGTCTGCGTGGTATTAGCAGAAGAAATCGGGGATGTGAAATGAAGCATAATGAGTAGCGACACGTACCGTGGGGTGTCTGTTCGCAAAGGTGTCATAGATAGACATATCCTGGAAGCAAGCCATCATGTGTGATTCGAAGAAGGCTTCAATCACAGCGAAGTCAAAGCCAGAATCCACGAAGATGGCTCCAAGATAGGCTTCTAGCATATCAGGAAGACACTGCAGAGTCAAACATTAGCCAGCGAATCACATCAACACAGAACTCACTTACTTTGGGAGAGTCTGTAGTCGATAACCAGTAATCTACCTCTCCGTTGAGCTCTTGTTCTGCCAGTAACGTCTCTTCTGCATAGTTTGTGATTTGGGCCATCAGAGCATTGCTGAAATGTTGGAGATGTTTGTGAAAACCCAGCTTCACTGCTAACGCACCAAGGAACTTGTTGGACACCATAGCCATCTATTCGTAGTCAGCCAAATCCAGCATTCTTGACAAAACATATGCACGTACTTTATGCTCTGTGAGCCATTGGGGATCTCGATCAGGGAAACGGTGAAAAAGATATTCAACACAGACCATATCCAGGAGCGCATCTCCCAAGAACTCGAGGCGTTGATAGCAAGGCACCTTCGACCATGCCAGTGGATATGATGGGTGAGTAAATGCTGACCGAAGAAGACGGGGATACTTGAATTTGTGCCCCAACTCAGCAACCTGCTCACTCAGATTTTCTTCGAATGCATCGGCCGTGTGAGTCTGATATGAAGGAAGAGAGTACATAGAGATGTAATCTTTCCACGAAGTGGCTGTATGGGTTGGGCTATTCACTAACACTGTCACAGCTTTGATTGACCTGTCAAAGCGATTTTCATCACTTCCAGACAGCAATGAAGCCCCTATCAAGGCCTCACAAACATCTGCAATGGTTTTCTCGGCCAGAGCATGTTGACTCTCGTTGATAACAAACTTGGCATGGTCTCGACCGACTTCGAGGGAAAGGCCCGGGGGGTACCACATGTGCCTGTTTTTGGAGATTAGTTGAAGGCCTTTTAATTTGATGAGAATATTCAATAAACCAGACATACCGAGAGAATCCACGACTTCGCACGTATTCGTATAGTCTCCGTTTTTTGGCATTGATAAACAAGTTCTTGTTGCAGATCAAACACATTCTGTTGACATGATAGTCGTATTCATCATCTTCCGGGTTCTGGACAAACAGTGATATTGTTGTTGCAAGCTTGAGAACAGAGTCACCCAGAAGTTCAAGCCGCTCATAGTTCTTTCCCATTCCACGCTGAACGTGAACTTGTAGACCCCGATGCTCCTCGGTATTGTCAGAATCTTTGGTGAACGCCTCAAGGGCATATTCAAGATTGACATCAAGGCCCAGTATCTCACATCCCTCTTGAGCGATCAAGTAGGACTCCAAGCGGGATATAATTGATGGGAAGGCTAGACATGCCGTGACTATTGGAACAGAGAGCTGCACTTATCAGTGGGATGAAAAATACACAGACACCTGAATATTAGACTTACCGGTGAGATATTCACAGCTTGGGGACAGAGAACACACCTGAAGTTTGCCAATTTCTCCTCGTCCGATGCTTTGTCAAGGAAGTTTCGGCGAGAAGAGATCAACTCCGCCTGCAAGACTGGCTGACTCCAGTCGCAGCGATTGAAAAATTTCGAACGGGAATTCTTGCTCAGGCTCAATGACCAGCTCAATATATTCGTATTCCACTTCCGCAATGGTGCATAATAAGGGGGCGGGTCGGAAGGGCGCAGATGGTGGTCTATGGCAGTCGTGAAGTAACGATACTTTCCATTCCAGTCATCGTACATGAATTGATTGAGCAGTGACTCGGGCTCCATGTCTGCAGACCATCTGATTTCAGGGTTGTCTTGAACGTAATGCAGAGTTTCCCAGTCAATCATGTCAAAGATACTGGTTGATCTTTCAGACACTGGCTTTGTTGAGATTTCATGTAGGGGAGCAAGCCAGTAAGGGAAGGCTTCTGCGACAGGAGAATATGTTTTCTTGAAGATATCGTGAAACACAGTGAGCGTGAAATCAGTGAATAGTCCCAATGTGAAAGGAGTGACCTCCAAATACCCATCCAAGGACGAGCAATGCACTGTAGTTTTGATGTCGTTATCCAAGTAAACCGGGAAAGTTGGGAACTCTGGAAGTCTGTCTCTGGTGAAAATAATCATGTTTGCAGGCTCCGGATTGAGAGGCTCCGTAGGAACCAAACATATCACCGTCGCATAGAGGCGTGTTGGTGTAATTCCTTGTCCTCTGAGCCAAATCGTAGGCTTATTTCGCATTTTGTACTGATCCGTCTTCTTGGATGTGATGGCAAGCTTGGCATTGCGCATTGCGGGTAGGCGTTTGTGGTATATGGAATTGAAGTGATCATCCAGTAGGTTGTTTTTTCGCAGTAGTAGGCAGGCGTCAAAAGCAGCGGACTGCTTTGCAACTGACTTCTTTACCTCGGGGCATCCGATGATTCCTCGAATGGGCGACTTCTCTGGTAAGATGATCTCACAGCTGAACGAATCATTCTGGGCGATGACGATGTAGGTAGCCCGGGCTGCATTCTCATTCTCATATTGCTGGAGTAAGTTCATCGTCAGATTCAACATTTAGTCTGTATTGATTTAGAAATCTCACCAGTGAGCTTGCAAACCGCCCAAGCACATCGATTGCGTGTCGATAGGTCAATTTAGCCCCGGTTGCGGCAACAGTATATGATCTCTTCCGACGTTCCCCGTGCATGATGTCCTCCAAGTCATGTTCGGTTCCGTAAAGCCTTCTGTCTGCTGGCAGCATCTTGCAGAAGTTCCTCATGAGAAGCTCGAAGAGCCAAGTCAGTTCGATTGACCACTCCAAAGGACTCGGATACCCTTTGCATACCTCTGCTTTCTTGACTTCCTGTATTTTCATTTGGTGTTGCCGATTTCGTCTTTCAACCATTGTTGCATACTAATAATTGTAAGCATATCAAGAAGTACTGCATACGGAGTACCTATGAAGTCCTTACCACAGAGTCGGAATGCCTAGCACGACCTCGACTTTGAACATATTGAATGACGGTCTCATAAATATTGAACCTAGAGCATTCAGCTTATGAGGCTCCAGAAATTGACATGGGCTTTTAGCATACCGCACAACGAGATTGCAATCTGGTATGTCTAGGCCTTCTTCGGCCACCGAAGTTGCGAACTGGAATGGTTAGAAAGATATTGCGTAATTCCAATCACCGTGAAGACTTACTAGACAGTTGACTTCCCCTTTTCGGAACTTCAGCAATGCAAGAAACTGCTGCCGAAATGTCACATTCATTCCCATGGTATCGCCCCTGCGTACACCGACCAACAGATCAGGCCGCAGGTTCAAGATTTCCTTGTTTTTGCACAGCTGTAACAGAACCTTAGCGGTATTCCTGCGCTTTGTAAATACAATGCACTTGGTATCAGGATGCCTGATGAATTGATCGCCTAGCTTTCTCAGTAAAAGCTCAACCTTGGAGCTCAAACCATTGGGCCTAGAAGAGTTCTCGAGGACATATTTCCTGGCAAATTCACTCGCTTCACGGGCTCGTTCGATTTCATTTTCAACCCTTTCGAGAATCTGAGGATCGGACTGTGCATCTTTAAGAATGACAGCTTGAAGTTTGGGGACAACTTCATCCGCAAGCGCGAGCACCCAGACCTGGTCTGCGCACCAAGGGCCTAGCTCGGAGCTTGCATTCAATGAGAATTGAAATATGCCGCTGAGGTGCTGTAGATCCCCATATCTGGCTTTCAAGATCCCATGCAGCTCGGTCTCAAATGGTGCAGGGGGCTTTTCGTACACCCATTCTTCTTCTGTTGGTTTGCTTACGAACTGGCGCAAGAGAGAGATATTCGATGTTGTTGCAATATGACAGTCCATAAGGTTTTCCAGCTGTCTTTTGATGGTCAGTCAGATCCTAGTAAGCCGCGTGTCTCGCTATCTTGATAGGTTACTCACATTGCTGCTTCTGCTATGTCACACTTGGCATCAACTGGAGAAGCTGTCATACCGAAAACTCTCGGCCGCTTGGTCGGATCTGTGGTCAGGTAGGTCTCTCTAATGATTCTACTAGAATGTAAGCCTCGAACCTCGATTTGATTCAAACATTTTCATCTTACCGGGCATATGGGTGCTCCTTTTTCGCATGGTGTGCCTCGTCAAATATCAAAAGATTGATCTGATCGATCTTGACGTGCCCATTTAGTAGAGCCTGATTCAAGATGTCGGCAGTGCAGACGATGACCATGTAGTTCTCAAGATGCTTCTTCCAAATCTCTTTATCCCACAGATCGGACCCCAGTGCACCATAGAATTGAGCCACCTTCTGGTTGATGTTGTTGCGTAATACAGTGGATTGTTGAAAGACCAGGGTCACGCTATCCACAAGGAAGAAAGAAATTCGTGGCTTTGCGCCTTCTGCACGAGCCAGCAGTTCACGCTCAAGTATGTACTTGAGCAAAAGCACCGCAACCAGTGTCTTCCCAGAGCCTGTATCTAGAACAGCGATTGTGTTTTGAATTTTGGCCTTCTCAAAGAGCTGGATTTGGTATTCACGAGGATCCAGTGCTCCTGTTTCCACGCCCTGGTCTGCAATTAAACGAGCAACAGAAACCTCAGCCTTCGGGGTGCAGGTGTCTTCTTCAGGTCCGTTATTTGACTCGTCGATGACGTGTTGCTCGAGTCTGCGGATTTCATAGTTAGCAACAGTAATCTTCAAAATCCAAAGGGACTAAACCAACAGCTCTGTGAAGACAGCATTCTGCAATCGGCGTTGCTGGGACTTTTCCAGGGGTAGCGCCACTGGCTCATCAATATCTGAATCAGAGTCAACTGGGTCACCAGACATAGTATATGCCATGATCTTTTGGATGATCTTTTGGATGGTCGTGATTGTCGATCACCAGCTGCACGTGTGAGTTTGTGAATATGTGTGTATGTCAAACGAAAGAGAGAGAGAGAGAGAGAGAGAGAGAGAGAGAGAGAGATAGCTCTGGTCCAGAGCCCTAGGATATTGAAAGTAGAGTGAAGTGTGTGGTAGAGAGGCAGTCACAGCCAGAGGCAAGAACGATGAAGTATCAAGCTCAGATCAAATTTCAGCCTCCCGGCTCTGGAAATTGTAATACCGCTGATGTTTCTTCTTTCTCCCGAGACTTGTGATTCTGATTCAGGAGAAAGATCTTTATTACAATGTGAATGTTTTCACAGAGAGTTGGGATTTGCCTTGAATCAATATGATGTACAACAGCCTTGGAAATTACATACTGTCATTTGTTTTGTTGATATTTCTAAGCAATGAGAACAGCACAGCCTGATGTTTTGGATCTTTAGATTGGTATATATGAACTGCCCAAGTGGTGATTGTTTTACAACATCGACCGTAAACAAGATAGAATATACTGTTTCTGTTTCTAGATTGGGGTAAGCACCTGCGCATTGCACACCAAGGCATCACATTAGGGGTTAAAAAAAGGGTTAAGAGTGAGCCAATACCAAGAGCAGATTCAGGCCCCATTACGAGGGCCAATATGCAAACACTTAATAAAGTCCTGTTAGGCAATGTTGAAGTGATGTTAATTGACAGATTCTTCAAAGAAGATGAAGCATATCAAAGCATATATGTCCGGTAAGTTTAGACGTCCACCTAGGTAGACTAAGCTCATTTATTCAGTTGACCAAAGCTAATCTCAAATAAGTATCATATCCATGGATAGAAATATACAGAAAGAAGAAGTGAACCTTGGAAGAGCCACTCTGTACTCCATCCTCCATCCTAGAGATAAGATGAAGCTCCTTATCGCGCTTATCGGCATCCCAAAACTCAGATCCCAATCGCGGGGGGTCACAGAAGCACTGAGAATCCCACCGAGTTTCACAATGGAGGAACCACAGACCCTAAGATCTCTTTTTGCCTCTGCTAAGGCGCAAAAGAGTAGTCTCGGGTCACGGGCTGACACCAATACCGAGGCCTACCGAGACGAGGTGAATGCAGCCATCTCCAAGTTCCAAGAATGCCAGCGACAAGTGAGCATTCTGTCACTTTTCAGCAACAATGAGTTGCTAGAGGATGTATCCACTGGTGATCTCCAGTAAGGCAATAATGTTCTCCTAATGTGACTTGCCCCCAACTGATCTTGTCATGCAGGTACATGTCGCTGGAATACCATCTCGCCGAATTGATGCAGCGAGGCGCAACCTCAGACCGTGAAGCAGTTCTTCGACGTGCCATGGAACAATATGAAAAATATTTGATGCGCTTGGATGAATATTTGTTACTCCCTGCTGGTGATAAGAAGCTCTTTGAGCAGTACATGACAAATCCAACTTCGTTCACACTGGCACCTTCCAACGATGCAGCCGCGCGTCGGGAGATTAAAGTCAATCGGTTTAGGGAAGAGAAGGAACTAAAGCAAAAGTTGGAGGCATGTGGGACTCTGAGAGGATTGATATGATTTTGGCTTACACTTTCAACAGTACTTTTCTCGCAACGAAGCTCGACTGCAAAGCGACGATGACGACACCCGATCACTCTACCTGGCAGAACTCCAGCTCTATACTCACCAGACATTCCAAGCATTGGATCTCCTGATCCAAGAATTGTCGATACTATCAGCTATGCGCAATGCTCCACCTCGGCCCCCACCGACCGATGACCCCAGACAGCGAAGTAATATTGGAGGACTAAATTATTCCGACCGCTTGGATCCTTCCATGTCGCAGCTTCTGGGCCGAGGCCGAGGCGGCCCTATCTTGAACAGCAAAGGAAAGCCGATGCAGCCATTTACATTGCTGGGCCGACGCGCTGAAATGCAACAGGGAGTCTTCCGTCCCGGTCATAACCTGCCTACAATGACCATCGAGGATTATCTTGATGAGGAACATAGAAGAGGCAATGTCATCGAAGGAGGAGGCGAAAAGTCCGGCATCAAACCTGAAGTTGATGAGGATGATCATAACATTGCCGACCAGGAAACGCTGAAAGCTCGAGCTTGGGATGAATACACGGAAGCCAACCAGAAGGGCGCTGGTAACACGCTCAACCGGGGTTAATTGAAAAGTTGCTGTGAAGAAAATAGCCTCACTACCACTCACAAGCCCATGGAAGGCACCTCGGGACCCATGGCGGGTATACAAAATAAAAAAAATCGTTCACTTCATTCTTTCCACAGGGTATATCTGCCTATTCATAATCAAACTTTTCCAACTCAAGCAGCGGTGTTCTCCTTGACTTTGTTCTGTTGAATAGCTTCAAGAATGGCGCCGGCACCATCAGCCACAAGGGCCTTGGCCACGGTGATACCGAAGGCCTCCGCAGTCTCAACAGAGTCGACAGTGGCATCCAGTTCAACTTGAGCACATTCCTTGCCATCGACACTAACAACAACAGAGCGCATGCGCAGCTTCTTGCCCTCGGAGCTTTGGACCCATTCGGTCTCAACTCCCAGAGGGGCACTGCAGCCACCCTCCAGAGTACGTAGAAGGCTCCGCTCAGCCAAAACGGAGAAGGTGGTATCCTGATCCCCGATAGTATCTAGCATCTTTTGCAGTGTTGTATCTTCCTTTCGGATCTCAATGCCGAGGGCACCCTGACCAACGGCATAGAGCATACCGCTACTCTTGGAGTCGAGGTATTGTGTAATACGATCTGCTAGGTCCAAGCGAAGCAGGCCGGCGGCGGCAAGGATGATGCAGGTGTAAGGGCTATCTTCAGCGTCCAACTTGGAAAGACGGGTACCAATGTTTCCACGGACATCCTGGACCTTCAGATGGGGGTATTTCCGGGCCAATTGGGCGGTGCGACGGATAGATGAAGTGCCAACTACGGAGCCGGCGGGGATCTCGGACAGGCTCCTGTAGGACAAGCCTTGTTTCACCACGAGGACATCCCTGCTGTCTTCGCGGGGCATGCTCGGACCCAACTTGCAGGATGACGGAAGGGTAGTGGGGACATCTGATAAGACAAACACACGTCAGAATATGGAGTCTCAAACCAGCTAGCTTGATTTGGTGGGAGGGGTGAGCTGAGGCAATTAACGGACCTTTGAGTGAGTGCACGATGAGATCAACCTGGCCGCCGATCATCAATTCCTCCAATTCCTCTGTCCACAAGTTCTTGGTGGTGAATTCCCGCAAGGCGATGGTGGTGTTCAAATCACCGGCCGTTTCCTTAGAGAAGATTTTATATTCATATTGGGGGAATGCGCTCTTCAACGCGGCCAGAACCAGATCGGTTTGGAGCAGAGCCAGTTTAGATTTGCGGGTGCCAATGGTGAAGGTCTTCTGGGCGGGGGCGGGGGCAGCCATTTTGAATGGAGAAGCGGCTAGAAATACTCCTGTAAACGTAAATGTACAACACAGAGAGACACAGCCGAGGAAAGTCGCGAGGCGAAAAAAGTGGGCTCCGATCACGGGACGCAGATCAGGCAATAGATTGCCCCCCAGAAATTACAGTTCTTGCACTTGCAGGATTGCTCAATATAACTATAAGTATACGGGGCACGGAGTACTCCGTACATCCATACTAAATTAAATATACAAAATAGCCACAAAAATAAAACAGTATCGATTCCGTATATGAAGATTAAAAACAAAGCAAACATAGAAAGCATAGGTCACTATGTACTAGTAACCTCGGCTTCGGGACGTGGAGATTACGAGACATGCGACTCGCTCTTATCTCCCCCGGACTTCCCATCTGCGCGCTTCTGGGACTTCTCCTATAACTCTTCCCCTCATCCCCTCTCCACATTCCCCATCTTTCCTCATTCTCTCTCTCTCTCTGCTTGATTTTCCTTTCCATCTTAAACCCATCTTCGAAATTTCCTTCGCATTCACCATCCTCATTTCCACCCCCATCCATCAGGGTACAAGATGGGATCCAACAACCGAAAGATCCCTCTCGTTCCCCTCGCCAAGGGCTCGGTACTCCTCCCCGGCGTGACTTTACGAATCCCTGTCTCTAACCGCCCGGATCTCGCCAATCTCCTTTCATCACTGGTCGACAAGCCTTCGAGGCGAGATGCCAACCATATAACCTTCGGATGTGTTCCGCTGAGCTCACCGTTCCTCAGCCGTGATGGCCAACAGCTTCTGGAAGGAGCAGACTCCGACCAGGAGCGGAAAGGGGACTATGATACGATTGATGCCGGTCAGGCGCGCAAAGATGATCTTTTCCGCTATGGAACCGTAGGAAAAGTCATCGGAGTTCAGCGCCGGGCCTACTCCGAGCCGTTCTTGCTAGTCCAAGGCCAGCAGAGATTCTCAATTAAGAAGGTTCTACGTGACCGCCCATACTTCGAAGCCGAAGTATGTCTCCACGAAGAAAGTAGTGAGTACCCACGATCGAAAGTCAAGAGGAGCGTGGCTAACCAGACTGGTTGCGATACCAGACTCCGGTCAAAATGACGAAGACGTAGCTGATCTCTTCCAACAATTGAGACAGCTCTCCCGAGAGCTTCTGACCCTCCTTCGTCTTTCCTCGCTACTGTCGGCGGCGTCTTCTCGTCTTTCGCCACTCGTTGCTCGGAAGTTCGAGCTATATATTTCCAAGACAGAGTTGGCACAGGCAGGCAAGCTAGCGGATTTCATGGCGGATGTCTCTGACGCCAGCTTTGAAGAGAAGCTACGCATCCTTGCTTCCCTGGATGTCAAAGAACGTCTGACCAGGGTTGTTGAGATCCTCAGTCGACAGGCGCAACACATTAAGAGTAGCGTTAAGGTGACCTCTGTTGGCTCAACATCCTTCCCGTCTTCCGGGATGGATATCAGCCAGATTGATCCCCGCGAACGCGAGATTCTTGCAAAGCGCGCGATGTCAGGATTGACTGGCATGACACCCCCTGGGATGTCTGGGCGCGGTAACGATGACGATAAAGAGCCAAATGAGGTGGATGAGCTTCAACAGAAGTTGCAAGATGCACAGCTCAGCCCCGAAGCCCGAAAGGTTGCGGACAAGGAACTGAAGCGTCTACGCAAGATGAACCCGGCCAATGCCGAATACGGTGTCTGTCGGACCTACCTGGAAAATCTGTCGGAGATTCCTTGGACCAAGGTGACCGAGGATCAGCTTGGCCCTGACACATTGAAGCGAGCGAGGAAGCAGCTAGACGAGGACCACTATGGCCTGGATCGTATCAAGAAGAGACTTTTGGAATATTTAGCTGTTCTGCGTTTGAAGCAGACGACCAATTTCGATGTCGAGCGTCAAATTGGAGGACTCTCCCGGGATCTGGACTCTTCTGCAGTTGGTGACGTTGAAAAGGATGTGCCCCTGTTATCCGAGTCTGATCGAGTCGCATTGGAGACTAAGCTTGAGCTTCTGAAATCCAAGCGCATGACTGACAAGTCACCCATCTTGCTTCTTGTTGGACCACCCGGAACTGGAAAAACCAGTCTGGCCAGGTCAGTCGCTGCTTCGCTGGGCCGCAAGTTCCACCGCATCTCTCTTGGTGGTGTTAGAGATGAGGCAGAAATCCGCGGTCACCGACGTACCTATGTTGCCGCCATGCCTGGTCTAGTCGTGAATGGCTTGAAGAAGGTTGGTGTCGCTAACCCTGTCATCTTGCTTGATGAGATTGACAAGGTTGGTGGTGCCAACTTCCAGGGTGACCCATCTGCTGCTATGCTGGAGGTCCTGGACCCCGAGCAGAACCACACCTTTACCGACCACTACATCAACATTCCCATTGATCTGAGCAAAGTACTTTTCCTCGCCACCGCCAATTCCTTGGAGACTATCCCCGCACCTCTCCTTGATCGCATGGAGACAATTTCCCTGTCTGGATACACGACCGTGGAGAAGCGTCACATCGCCAAGCAACACTTGATTCCTAAGCAGATCAGGTCTAACGGACTGAGCGAGGGACAGGTCAACTTGTCTGACGAGGTGATTGACAAGACAATTACCTCGTACACCCGTGAATCTGGTGTCCGTAACCTCGAACGGGAGCTTGGTTCTATCTGTCGTCACAAGGCTGTTCAGTATGCTGATGCTGGTGATGCCGATCGTCTAGATGAATACAACCCCGTTGTGTCGGTTGATGACCTGGAGGACATTCTGGGCATTGAGCGATTCGAGGAAGAGATTGCTGAAAAGCACGGTCGTCCTGGCGTAGTGACTGGACTCGTCGCCTACTCCACTGGTGGTCAGGGCAGTATCTTGTTCATTGAAGTAGCAGACATGCCGGGCAACGGACGCGTCCAGCTGACTGGAAAGCTCGGTGACGTGCTGAAGGAGTCTGTCGAAGTAGCTCTCACATGGGTGAAGGCGCACTCCTTTGAGCTCGGTCTCACCCATGACCCGAATGAGGATATCATGAAGAGCCGAAGTCTCCACGTCCACTGTCCGTCCGGTGCTATCCCTAAGGATGGGCCCTCTGCCGGTCTTGCGCACACTGTCGCATTGATCTCCTTGTTCAGCAACAAGCCTGTCCCACCACAGATTGCCATGACTGGCGAGGTCTCGCTCCGTGGCCGAGTCATGCCCGTTGGTGGTATCAAGGAGAAGCTGATCGGTGCTCACCGCGCAGGCGTCAAGACAGTTTTGCTGCCTGATCACAACCGCAAGGATGTCAAAGAAGTCCCGCAGGAAGTGCAGCAAGGTCTGGAAATCATATATGTCAAGTGAGTCAAACATCCAGGAAGCCAGCTCAATACCACAACTAACAAGCAAACCACAGGCACATTTGGGAAGGCCTTCGTCAAATCTGGCCCGATGCCCAATGGCCGGGTCAGCAACAGATGAACTTCGTCGAGAGTCGCCTGTAGACAATTTTTTGTCGGAGTTTTAACACGTCCCCTTCCTCTCGTTCTAGCATTTTGATATTCCTTGCCCTCGCTTCTTTTTGCATAGCGTGATTGGTCTTTCCCGACCTCAGTGAATTGTATCTAATCTTGTCTCCGATATGCTTGTGCTGGTCAATAGTTTGTTTTTGTTTATATCTCTACTCAATAAACCATATTACAATGTCAATCACTGATGTACCTTCACAACCCTTTCCCAAGTTCCCCATCGGGGATCGTTATATCAACACCCACTCGGGTAATCTGACACCTTTCTGGATAATATCTATGGATGACATCCTTGATGCCTAGTTTTGGACAAATTGCATTGCCTTCCTCTCCACTCTTCTTCAACTTAGAAGTTACAGACCCCACGGAATTGTCTGGCGATGGTCGATTGCCAACTCCAACTTTAGAAGCCCCGAAAGGCTCACTGTAGTGGTTTTAGAAAGAACAGCTTTGTGCCAGCTTTTCTGGCCAATATAGGAGTGTGGGTAGAATTGCTTGTAGAAATATTGATGCCTACTATATAGGGCATCGATGTTAAAATCAAAGCCAAAATCAGGCATCAGGGGTGTCATATTATCCAACGGGGTGTCGATATAACAATTCCCTCCCCATATGAGATGATCCATCCGATCATAAACCAAAATAGAAATGACAAGACGCCGGATGAAGATGTATACAGTCTACCCAAGAGTATAATACACAAGTTCGGCTCAAACGAGCCAGAACAGAAAGAGAAACACCAATATTCCAATTAGGAAAACCCAACAATGCACAGTCCATCAGAGCGACATGTGTACTTATTTCGACCCGGCCTTCCGCTGCCGAGCATACCAAGCGGGCTGGGTTGCAGGAACAGTGCGACTGGCCTTAGCAGCTTCATGGGGCTCAAGGCCCAAGGCCTTCCAAGTCGGTCTCCAAGTCTCTTTGTTTCCACGCAAAGCCTGAGCTTGCTCCTTGAAAGCAGCCCGAAGCTTGTGATCAGGCTCTTCGCCAGAGTTGCGCTTCGGGTTCTCACGATCTTGCTGCTCCTTCTGCCAGAGCTCGGCCTTCTTCCAGCTTTCGAATTCGAAGCTATTGAAAACAAGTTAGTACATGGGCATCGAGGCTTGTCGAAGAGGGGACAATTGAAAAGGCTGAACGGCCAGAAAGGGAAGGGGATTTCATACGGAGCCATATCCTTGGGTGCTTCGGGCCAGGCGAAAGGCTCCTTCAATTCGACGGTCATGCGCTTCTGCGACTTAGGCCGGCGCCATGGGCCGTAACCCTTGCCGTCGCGCGTGATTCGTGTGATTCCCTGTGCCTGGACGTAACTGCGGATACCGAGGACACCGACGCCATAGAGGTTCCATAGGTAGCTTCGGAGATCGAACTTGTTGAAGCTGAGAGGAACGCGGAATTGGGCGTATTTCGGGGAGTTGTTGGGGTTGTGAACGAGGGCGATGCGGAATTGGGGCCTGGTGAGAAAATTAATCAGCTACTTCCATTTGTTCGAAAGATATTCCGGGGTCTTTAATTGCAATGGTATAGCGTTGCAGATGGCGTGGGCTGGATCGATATGACATTCTGGGAATTTTTGGATAACGTACATGTAAACCGGCTTGCCGACAACACCTGTGGGGTAGTGGTTGGTGACTGGCTGCACGCTGGCTTGCTCTTTCACGCGGCGAAGGACCCTGCCTCCTAGGCTGCTGAGACGGACCATTGTGTTGTTGGGTTGAGGTATCTGGGGGTTAGAGGCGTTCGGGTCTTGCATTCAAATTGCATCCACCGGTCTCGTCACGTGATGAACTATACGCCAACCACCGCAGTCCTTCTACACAACGCTCATAAGCTAGAGAGTAATTCGATCATGGTTTGAATTACATCTAATACTATGTTGCCCATTCAAATTTGATATTCAAATGCTCAATTGAGTGTTTTTGGAAGAGACTCATTGATTTGATAGCAAGTTTGGAAACCTGCATATGCATACTATTACATGCTTGATTCGTCGTAACTGGTCATTAAGCAGGGCCGCAAATCATGGGCCTTCATTGTGCCGATGATTCTGAGACTCGAAGTTCTTCTAGTCGCTTGGTGCTTTCATCGAAATCTTCAGAAGTCTGGTTCTCATCGGCGTCACTGTGGTCTTCTTCTTCAGATCCAGATTCTTCCTCCTCATCATCATCCTCGTTCTCGTCGTCAGTGTTCTTGGAGCCTTCGCCATCTCCAGTAGCCCCAACTTCTTGCATATAAGCCTCTAGCTCCTTAGCCATCTTGCGTGAGAACCCTGACGCTTCGACCTCAACGTCCAGGCGTTTGCCAGGGTTCTTGATGAGCAACTTTCTAGCTTCGGCGAATGTGGGTCCCTTCTTATCACTCACGAACTTGAACTTGCGTCTGAAGTATCGCTTGATACATTCGACATCGCGGTCAAAGTACATTTCAGCATTAGCGTGGTCAACAGAAACCATCTGGGGGAAATCAATGAGAACAGGAGTCAACAAAAGGTTCTCATCTTCCTCTTCCTCAGAGACTGGAGCTTTTCCCTTCGCATCGGGATCTTCTTCTTCTTTGATAAGGATGTTGAACTCGTTGAAGTCACCGTGAATCAGACCAAATCGCGCAAGCTCCAAGATCATATTCATAAGTTCTGAATAGAGCTTGGCGGGATCAGCAACCTTGGCGATCTGGCGTAGAGGGAAAGCATCGATTAAACCCATCACGATGGTGTGTCGGTTCTGGGCGATGGGTTCGGGAACGGAGAATCCGTTCTCACGCAGTGCCTTCATAAAGGCAAACTCTTTCATGGCTGCCAATCGTGACATGTACATCCAAGAAGCTGAGCTGCGGTGTCGTAGGTAATCGCGGTTGGTTTTGATGGTTCGGAAAGAGATACGACCGAGACGGTGAATCTTCATGATGCGCTGCGATCCACTGCTGTGTGCTACCACGATAATATCTGATTCCTTGCCGACACCGATCTGGTTGCCAACCGAGTAGATGACCTTTGCTTTCTGATGCGCGTTGAGCGCAAGATAATCCAGTCCTCCATATGCAAGTCGATAGCCGTCATCTGCAGATGCCATATTAGCGTCGTTGAGAGCAAGCAAGCGTGGAATTCCCTAGGAACTCACATTTGGCATTCTTGACCTTAGCAATCAAATTGATCTTCGCCAGGTTGGAGATTGCGCGGTTCACTCCACTGCCACCGCGGAGGCCCGAAAGGTTCGAGATCAACGGCGTTGGGACGACCTCATGGTTCCGGCTTCCGGCTTCAACCTATTGAAGTTCTAGTATTAGCATATGATCGACATGCGACATATTACAACTGAATGTCGCGGGGCAGAATCAGAGAGGGGCCGATAAGTACCCCGGCAAGAACACGGAAATCCTCAGAGGTGAGGTAGCGAATAGCCTTGGCGTCGAGCTTCATGGCTGCTGAGACAACGAGAGGAATGCTTTCCTATCTTTCTAAGCACCGAAATCGATTGGGTGAGGACTATAACTTCTAGGCAAATTGTACCAGCTCCCATGCGGCGGAGGAAAAAAGTTGATAAGAGCTTGCCCTAAGCCCTATTTCCTATTGCGGATGAGAACCTTGATAGCAGCCTCAGTCTACTAATGTAAGGAGTATATCGCACGCAATGAACTACGTGGTCATTGACAATCCAGTGTAGGGACTTTGTCCTAAATGAAAAAGAGAAGTATACAGTCAAACCAAGCCACATGTCTCTACTCGTAGCCAAAGTTCCCACGACGCCGTGTAAGATCGTTCATCCGAATAATCTCTGTAGTCCAGACTATATAAATGTAAAACAAATCCATGCTATTCCTCAATTCGTTCTGAATACATTAGATCCAACGATAACTCATCCACTATACGAGTTTCGCCGGTCGCGAGCAATGGATGAAAATCGGGGAATATCTCGATCGCTTATTCGGGGCTTTCATAGTCCGGGTTCTGAAGGATGGGTTAGCACTGGCTGGTAAAGGGTTCAATAGGAATACATACCTTGCGCAAAATAACCAGGCCTTCAAGAATGCCGCTCAGAGGAATATACTGCTCATCCTCGAGCTCGGCTCTCTCGCCGTGAGCCAGAAGGACTGGCGTGCTCTGGGTCTGCCATCCAGTGATGGTCTTGGGGCGACCCGCCTGGCCGACCACATCCACAGCCTGGCCAACACGGACGTTGACAGTGAGAGGCTGGAGATCCTCGTCGAGAGTAATAAGGAAGCGGGGGAACATGGCGGTAATGAGGAAGTAAAGCAGGTAGTGGTGTTCAGCGAGGATGAATTGCTTGGCGTCGATCAGAGACACAAGCACGGTGAGCAATCCCGCTGCTGAGACGCGGGATAGGACCTGACGGTCGGTGTGGAAGGGGTTGAGAGTCATAGTACCCTTGCCCATGTGGAGGAGACCTTGGGCAATGCGAACCATGAACAGTGAGTGCTGGTCGCGGTGGTAATAGCTTGCCAATTGCCGAAGGAGCTGTGCAAGACGGGCGTTGTTGGTGCCCGCGCCGCAGAGACCCATGGCGAAGATGGCGTTGATGGCGACTTCGTTGTCATTGTCGTGGCTGTATCGGGACAATGTATCGTAAACCTTCATCTGGGGGTTGCTAGGGCTGATAAGTCCCATGGCCAGGGGAACTGCCCGACGGATGTTGCTAGAGCCATAGTGCATCAGATGACCGAATTGGCGGAGGATCATATCCTGGCCAACATCCTCACCCATGGCAATGAGTGAAAGACCGAGAACGGCATATGACTGGACAAGCTCATCGCCCTTATTCTCCTCCTTCTCTTCAATAATGTCATTGCAGATGTGGAGAAGTTCCTGCAACTTCAGCACTGTTCCAGTGCCTGCCCAGGCGCATACCGAGGCAAGAACGGAAGTGGGCTTGGCCATGGGGTGGTCAACAGCCTTGAGAATATCAAGAATAACGTCAACCTCCTCTTGGCGGCCAAAGTATAGAAGAGCCAGACCAAGAGCCATGAACCTCGTCCACTTGTCCTTGAGCTGTTTTTGACGTTCTTCATCCATCAGTGTAGTTGCAATCGCCTCACTGACCTGGTGGTTTGATGAACCAACAAAGATGAGACCAAGTGAGACAGCTGCCATAGCTGACAGCTGCATGTCTAGTGAAGCGTCTTCCACGATGGGCAAAAGAACCTCAAGAAGTTCCTCCTTGTTGGAGCCAGCATATGCTAGACCAAGACCCATGATAGATGCGACTCTCATTGGAACATTCTTAGCCTCGAGATTATCGGGGTCACTTAGGAGGGCAAGAGCGGGGTCAGATTCAACACGAACACCGGAGTTCAGGATACCAATGGCAAGCAATGCACCTGCCTTGACCTGGTCCTCGTGAGCGTAGGTGAACTTGTCGATCTTATCGAGGCCTTCTTCCACATCACGGTGCAACAGCATACCAAGTGACGCTGTTGTAGAAAGCATACCATCATCCTTCGTCTTCCAGACCCATGGGCCCTTGTCGCCTTCGATCAGCATCATCTTATCGTTACCGAAGCCTGCGTTGGCGAATGAGTTCACAAAAGCGCTAGCCAAGTTGTGTCGTGCCGAATCAAGGTTTGTGAGACCGGCCCCACGGCTGCTCTCAAGGTGTGTCTTGTAAATATCCTCCGGCATCTTGGGGTCAAGAATGTTGAGTTCCTTGCCGAGAGATTTGAAGTGGTTGGGGATGGCGGTGTTGTTGAGACACTCAGCCAGAGCCTCTCCTTCCTCATCTTCGGCCGGGAGGTCGAGCCAGATCTGTTGCCGGGCGACAAGGAAGGCCATCTGCTTCTTCAGAGACACGTCTGTCGTCGCATTGATGTCATTCTTGATCAGTTCAGTGTCGTTGAGGCGGATGGCGAGCACAATCGCCTGTGAGAGTTTGTTGTAGCGGACGTAAATCTCGTGGGCGGTTCGAAGGAATTGCTGGTCTTCGGGGTAGGTGAGGAGGTTGACCATGCTGACCATATACAAGCAAACGCGAGCATATGTGTTTTCGTCAACAAATTGGGGGATGTCCTCGATGATTTCCAGCTCGCTCATAAGATCAACGGCATCGGCTTCAGCATTGTGGCTCAGGAAGTACGGCACAAGTGACAAAGCAAGGTCTACTAGATCTTGAGTATCCTGGTCTGCGTTCAACCGATTCTGATATTCCTGGCCAATTTCCAAAGCCAGATGGCGAATGTATTCATGACCCCATGAGCCGAGGTCCTCAGACTTGGCCAGGAGGCGGTATCTGATGGTCTCCAGCTTCTCCTCGTCGCCATAGGTCATTCCGAGTACCGACATCATATCGGCCAAAGAGTTCTGGAACCGGTCTGTTAGTTCATCACCAAAAAAGAGTTCATATTGCAGGACCAACCTTCACGGGACCTGCAGCCCATTTTTCGTATAGCGCGGACAGGTCATCGTAATGCGGTCGGAGGAACTTGAGGGGCTTGGGAACAGCGGTCATGGAGGACGTAGAGGTCTTGATAAATGTCTTGATCGCATCCAGTGCAGCACTGTAGAGCGATGTATCCGGCTCCTGTTGTGAATAAAACGAAAGGTTAACGTCATTGTGCTATGCGCATGAGACCGGAGTCATTATACCTTTAAACGCTCAACAAGCATCTCAAGTTCACTCTTCAATTGCTGGTCTTCTTCACTGAGTTCCTCTAAGCAACATCTCGAGTCAATAAACTGTTTCCAGAGGCCGATGCACAGACACGGATGCTCGGTTTCGAGATTGCTGGGTAGAGTGTTATCGCAACGTACCATCTTCGGGCTCTCCATCCTTCTTGTTTGCATCAGCCGATGGCTTCTCGCCCTTCTCGGCGTTCTTGTCGGTCTGTTCACGAACATCATCAACCTTGCCCTTGCCCTTGTCGGCGGAGGTTGGCCGTTCGCCCTCGTTGGCCATTTCTGCTGGGGACCAGGTCGGGGGGTAGATTGAGTGATCGGGGCAGAGAAAGATATCAAGCAGGCAAAGAGAAGAGACTTTTACAATGCAGAAGTAGATGGAATTCTGCAAGTAATGAGTGATACAAGTGGATTGTAAGCTGGTGATGGAGAAGCAGAGCTCGGTCTGGTGCAGCTCCGGAATCGCATTACCTAATCTGCCAAGCCCTCCGTCATTGTTTTTACCTTCGAACGCTTCCACTTCCACTTGTTTCTAATGCGTCTTGTTCTGTTGATGATTCAACTATTACCGCAGTTCATCTGGAGCATAAGGACAGAACCTCATATGACAGAAATATATATCCATTCGCGTTGATGCCCTAACTACAGACCACCAATGTCAACATACATTTGCCTTCTCTCTTTTCCTCTTTTCATTTTCTTTTCTTTCAATATGTGTCATTCGCCGTCCTTCTAAAGTTGTTCCCCGAGGTCCATTCTAATACTTCAGCGGCGTTCTGGTGTAGGCGGTTAGGATTCTGGTTGGGGTTCTGTCCTCCTGCTCCAGATAACCTGCCTTAAACTATTCACTAATTTTGAGACAAATATCTGCTTTCTATTGAAAACCTACCCAAACACTGGGATTTTGGTGGACTGTGCTAAGATACTGTAGATACTACCCAAAGTTCATTTTTGCTGGCAAAACAAGTCTGGCGAAGGAGTGTCCATCTTACTATCTCCAACACATCCTCCATAATCAGTGCGGAACGATTGCAGGTACTCTCTTGTTCGCGCTTCGTAATCATCAGCATTTAATCGCTCTCCGTCAAATCCAAGCAGAGACAGGGCATCAAGATCCGGTAGCCCTGAGGGGAATAGGTCAAACAGAGGCATGATAGTAGTTATGTGGCTGGGTGATTTCTCAACAGACCCTGAGGCGGTAGCTGAATCACCTTCATTATCAGGGCTAGAGGCGATTCTGTCTCCAAATTCTTCGGGGGGCTGATATAGCTCTTCGTGGATTGTTGCAATCGAGTGATATTCCTTGCCCGGGAAAGATGGATACAGAAGATAATAACCTTTTGCGCGGATCAACTCGAGCAAATATTCCATGAACGCGGGATATTGTTCGGATATCAATTTAGTATGAGACACAGGTGCGGATTCAGGTGTCGATAGGCGGTTGGACAGGAACGAGTGGAATTCCGTCCAAAGATCACCAAAGTAAAGAGCTGCATTGCTATTTGGGGCTTGCCAAATAAACGAAGGAACAACATGTTCTTTATCCTTGGCAAACATTTCCGGTGGGGCGAATATCTCTCTATCCACGGTGGGTTTGGTGGATGGCAGTTCGAGGGAGACACCGACCAATTTGGGGAATATGTGTTTGGCACGGGCAGAGTGTTTGTAATTCAAAACACTGTACTTTAGGTAATGATAGAACGATGGTGCCAATTCTGCCTGAGGGGACAGCATGAGCAAGTGTGTCATCTCTGGTTCTAATGGATAGAATGATTCCAGAGTCCGGAGCGAGGCTTCTGCTGGGTCCATGCGGTGTGGCTGGATCCGACGTCGTAGGGTTATACGGTCTGCAAGCTGGCTCAGTCCCTCTGGTCGCCGCAAGAATTCAAGCAACTGCGGGTCTACCACCGGAGGAAGCTCTATAGTCAAGCGCGGAACAGATCCTAGATAATCAGCTGCATCCAAGGATTTCACAAGCCGGATCAAAGACCCAGAAAATTCAGGCGCATTGATCACCATTTCAATGCGAACTTTATTCCATGCTGGTATGGCCATATTAGTATTGAGCACTGACCAGTCCAGGGATAATAGGAAATGACTTACATTGGAGAGCTGCGCTGTCCAAATAGGCCATCCACATGAGATCTTTTGAAGCGGCTGGGAGGGCTATGTGGGGAGTACGACTGTCTCGGCAATGTGCTTCCACTCCCTCCCAGAAGAAGGAATCTTCCCAACTTTTGCCTTGTGAAATGATAACTTCGGGCCTGATGTATGCCCATAAAATCTGCAGTCCATCTCTAACGGAACGCTTCATACGGGCGTCGGTAGACATGGCCGCAGCATCGGGTCGACCAACTGTCATTCATTACCATGTCAGCATGGGATGGGATACCAGAGTGAAGTGAGTATTTACCATGCCATTTGATTGGACATTCGTTCTCTTTGATCCCATTCACGGCCTTGATATCTGGGACAGATATTTCATCCTTTCCCATCAAGATAAAATGCACGTAGCTTAGCGGCTGGTTGGCCATGTGACAGGCTAGCGGTAGCATGTCTGACATGCTACGCAAACTTGATGCAGCAAATAATACTGCGCGGCTGCTTGTCTTGCTCGAATATTTGTAACGAGGAAGAGAGTGCTCCAGCTCGGGGAACATGACCTTCCCTTCATAGCCTTTTCCCTTCTGCTCCCATACTGGCGCCGGGGCCAGCGGTAATCCATCTGGTTTGGTACTGGTAGACACTTGCTCTGGCCCGGTCCATTTGGCCAGCGTTTCCGCTCGTAACTTTGCCATCCCGGGATCGTATCGTTCGACGGCGGGTGCTAGGTCCGTCGGCATGTTCTTGAAGAACTCGTAGAGTATGATGAGTATGATCAAGATGATGAAAATGCGACGAGGACGAGGAATTGCTTTGTGCCGTAAAGATCGAAAGCGCGCATCGATTGGTCGGTGATCATCATCCTTCTTGCCCATCTCTTCATCGGCCTGAAGCGGCATTTTTGTGGGTGCCATACTGTACACGCGCAGGCGAAGCTAGCACCGTGAAATTCAAGATTCTTTATGGCATTGAGACAGCGAGTAAACACAGAGGCAGGATTCGTTTCTGTGACATTTTCGGGGGAGAAGATGAAGCGGAGAAGACAATCCCCACAAGCGATGACGCCCAGTGCCCAGGCGTTCTTATCGCCTTATCGGAGCTTCGCCTTTTCTCCAGCTGCGCGTACGGCTCCCAGTCCGACAAATATCTCTGAAACCGAAGATATTGACCATGGAAAACGAAATGGACCTTGAGCCAGTGGATGAACGTGGCACCAAGCGGGCGGCAGACGAGAGTCAGATTGAGGAGCCCCGCAAACCAAAGAAGATCAAGGTGAGCAAACGCGTCCGGTCAATGCCATCTATACTATCGCAACCATCACTAAGTCACGAACAGGCTTTGGATCCCGATGTCGTCAACAAAATTGCTGCTGGGGAGATCATCGTCGCTCCAATGCATGCGCTAAAAGAGCTTATCGAGAATGCCGTTGATGCTGGCTCCACCACAATTGAAGTCCTGATCAAGGAAGGAGGCCTGAAACTATTACAGATCACTGACAATGGCCATGGGATCGATGTAAGATTTAAAAAAATGTCCTTGTATTACATGTCGCTAACACAAACTAGCGAGATGATCTTCCCATCCTCTGTGAAAGATTTACTACATCGAAACTTAAAGAATTCGAGGACCTGACTTCCATTGGAACGTATGGATTTCGAGGTGAAGCTTTGGCAAGTATTAGCCACATTGCACATCTGACAGTCACGACAAAGACTGCCGGGTCTAGTTGTGCCTGGCGAGCGCATTATGGAGATGGAATATTGATTCCAGCGAAGCCAGGTCAGAGCTCCGCGCCGAAGGCAACGGCTGGTCGAGGAGGTACTCAGATCACTGTGAGTCGAACAACACTGTGTTGAAGCTGGTTGGAATCTAACACGTTCTGAAGGTCGAGGACCTATTTTATAATGTCCCGACCCGACGCAGGGCGTTCCGATCGGCGAGTGAGGAGTATGCCAAAATTCTTGATGTCGTGGGTCGGTATGCAGTGCATTGTTCGGGGGTCGCCTTTTCGTGTCGCAAGCATGGTGACTCTGGGGTGAGCATCTCCACTCCAGCTGCTGCAAACACCGTCGACCGGATTCGTCAGATTCATGGCAGTGCCGTGGCGAACGAGGTTGTTGAATTTGAATCCAATGATACTAAGCTTGGATTCCGTGCATGCGGCCTTGCTACTAATGCCAATTATCATGTCAAGAAAACCACAATCTTGCTTTTCATCAACCACCGGGCAGTCGAGTCAACAGCTCTCAAACGAGCCATTGAACAGACATATTCTGCATTCTTACCCAAAGGTGGACATCCTTTCGTATACCTTGATCTCGAGATTGAACCTCACCGTGTCGACGTCAATGTACATCCAACAAAGCGTGAAGTGAACTTCCTGAACGAAGATGAAATCATTGAGCTTGTCTGCACAGATATCCGATCCAAACTCGCGGAGGTCGACTCCAGTCGCACATTCCTGACGCAGAGTCTACTGCCTGGTGTGCCTACTATCGAGTCCCTTCAGTCCAATCAAAGCGAATCAGCCAGCGAAACAACAGGAGAGGAACCACGAGCCACAGCTGTTCCAAAAACACCAGCGACTGCGAAAAGGCCATACGAAAACAATCTCATTCGAACAGATTCCAAGGTCCGCAAAATCACAGCAATGCTAAGTCCAGCAGTAGCCTCTCCCCGAGACCCAGCCAACCCAAACGCACCCGCCGAAGCCACCAACCCAACAGCATCAATACTAGACGACGGCCTCCAGTATGAAACAACAGATCGAAAACCCCTCAAAATCGCACTCCAATCCATCAAAGGTCTTCGCGCCTCCGTCCGCTCCGACATGCACAACTCATTGACTGAAATGTTCGCCTCACACACTTACGTGGGCCTGGTGGATGAGCGCCGCCGGCTAGCAGCAATACAATCCGGTGTGAAACTCTACTTAATCGACTACGGCCTTGCTTGCAACGAATTTTTCTACCAAGTCGGTCTGACCGACTTTGGAAACTTTGGGATAATCCGTCTCGAACCAGCGCCGAGGTTGGTAGATTTGTTGAAGATCGGCGCGGAGTCAGAACGGCAGGAGCACCCTAATGCAGATGCAAACGAAGCCGATTCTGTATTCGGCAATGCACCAGCCATGATAGCTGAGACTCTTGTTGAACGTCGGGAGATGCTGAACGAGTATTTTTCCATGCAGATCAGTGCCGAAGGCGAGCTGCTTACTATCCCTCTCTTGCTGAAGGGGTATTTGCCCGCGTTAGCCAAACTGCCTCGATTCCTACTTCGATTGGGTCCGTATGTGAATTGGGCCAACGAGGAAGAGTGCTTCCGCACGTTTTTGCGTGAGCTTGCCATGTTCTATACGCCTGAGCAACTTCCTGTTCTCCAGTCTGCTCAGGCTGACCCCGATTCTGCGGAGCCGGTGGTAGCCGGTGGCTTGGGGGCGGAGGATGCATTCGTGAGGGACCGGAGGGCGCAGATGATCCGCATGTTGGAGTATGCTGTTTTCCCGGCTCTCCGTGCGCGCTTGGTTGCCACGTCACGGTTGCTGCGGGGCGTGGTGGAGGTTGCAGATTTAAAGGGACTGTATCGGGTATTCGAGCGTTGTTGAGTGAGGACCATATTACCATACCACATTACACTGTATCATGATGCTCGTGATTGATGATTTAATGAACCTTGGAATGGCCATAGACTTCTGTCGGTGCTAGGGAGTATGCAAGGGGATCAAAAAGCGCATACATACATTAGGCACGAGAGGTCTTACGAACTGGTATCCACAAGCCTCACAATGTCAACTCTGCTATGACACTCTGTATGCTCTAGGCTCTCTTTTTCGTATTTCACCGAGTCTTAAAGGAAAGGTATCATCTGTATTACTGAAAACTGAATGCCAAATTGGGATATACGGGCTTGTGGTATGGTTGGATTTTGGCTTTGGGGGAGCGACAGACTACTAGAGGTTCTATTTTTCATACATGATAAGGAGTACAAGTCATAGGTCCGTGGATCGAGATCAACCCTGCAGGCTTTTGCGTAGTATCAAAAGGGAAAAAACAGAGGAATATGATTCAAAAATACAGCGGCTACGCCTGCAAACCAAGTTTTAACCGCGCCAGCCCTCTATGAAATATGGACGCAGAGTGCGGAAAGGGAAACGTAAAGGAAATAGCGGAAAATAATGAGCGAAAATAGAGATAAAGGTATGTTGTAACATGAGGTCAAGGACAAGTCGGCTAAAAGGATATGTGATATAGAACACAATCAGGATTTCTTGTAAGAACATATTAACTTGCATGATAGCACAAGACATGCTCACTTCAAAGCTGGAGGTAATAAATTGGCTCAAAGATAGAAGGATGAGAAAGTAAGCAGTGGTAAAAGTGCGCCGTCGAGGCGAATAAAGAAGAATAAGAAGAAGCTAGTGGTAGAAACAATTCAAGAAGACAGGAGACCCATTAAAACGGAAAGGGTGTAAAGATAGGAGAAGGTAAGAGGAAGAATTTGGCAAAATAAAAGAAAAAGAAGAACATATCGTGTCAAACAGAACAAGATATCAGCATTGCGTCGGCATGATGGCAATTTATCCCATTTCCTGAGATCTTCAGTACGCCATGCGCCACAGATCGGTCAGAAAGTCGTTCGTTGGTCATAAAAGTCATGCAAATTCGTTGTATCATGTCTGGTATGTGCTGTCAAAACACATGTAAGAAATAGAACAGGCCTTGTATCCTGTTGCTGAGAGTAGTCAAGGCAGTGACTAATTTCTCGAGTAGGGCTTGTTGAGAAGGGCGATCTCTCGTGTGACATGTTGCCATTCGAGTTCACGTTTGATCGGTTGGCCTCGCTTTTTCATTTGATGTTCCTCCCACTGCAGGAGTTCATAACTGTCGATGATTGTTAGCGATTTTCAATTTCACCAAGGATTCACCAATAGTTGCTTACACAAAGCGCAGATGAGGCTGAATTATGACATTTAGTCGTCGTGCGCGGACAAAACAGCTTTTAACCTGTTAGCACGGCGAGTTCAGGTCTCAAAGAGGGTGGGAAACATACTATGCTCTTGAGAAAGAAAGTTGCTTGGACGCCATGACTTCGGCAATGCAAATACTTGCGGATCTAGAAACTCCGACTCGACAATGTACCAATGTAGCTGTTCCATCACGCTTTCCTTTTTCTGTATCATCATTAGCAATGGAAAGTGCGATATTGTCCCGTGAGCCCTAGACTTACCGATGAACTCCAAGCAGCGATCGAACTCCTGACACAGAGGATCAATGCCGTTATCCTGAACGTTGTCGATGTACATCATATTCTCAGCACCCCAGCTGGCGCGGTCTGTCTCTGTCCAGTTGACAGCCTCTCCGATACTGAGGACACGCTTGATGCCAAGTTCCCACAGAAGCTCTGGATTATTCGCATGAGTCAGATTACCCAAATACAGATAGGGCAGAATACGGCTAGGGAAGGAGCCATCGATTGCATGGAACCAAGCAGGATCCAACGCCTTTGAAAGGTCCGGGGACTGTACTGCCGGGCTTTCTTGTAGGAGACGGCCCTGGATGTGACACAGGAATGCGACATCCGTCGGATAGGCAAAGAAGTTTCGTTTCTTCTCGCGATGCAGTCGTAGCCAAGCCTCGTGAGCAGGTACACCTTCCGCAAACATGAAGTATGCCACTGCCAACAATGAACTTTCGGTATAACCGTCAGCGCAGTGGATGAGGACCTTTCGGGAATTCCCCCTTTGGGTGATCATTGGGGTGTCCCCGTCACCATCTAGCTCTTCGGTCTGAGGTTCTGGATGGGCAAGATAGTAGATCCATCGAATGGTGTTAACTATGTCTTCGGCCTCGCGGGTGTTACCCGATGGGAGCAAAAGAGAGCCTGATGAGGGAAACTCCATTCGCTGGGGGCCATTTTCGAGTTGCTTGTCGAGCATGGCAAGGTACCGGGGTCCGGGAATGTTGGCCATATCACTTGCCTCGATAAGAAGATCATAAGTCTCCTCTCTTGAGGTTCTTGACAAGTGGAAGTAATCGGGGGTGTTTCCAAGCCAGACGTTGGACGATATTTCGGATGCTCGAGACATAGTCGCCATTTCCAAACGTTCCCATTGAACTTTGAGATCTCAGTCAGGAGCCTTAACTTTGAAGATAGGACAAAGACCAACTTACCGAAATCCATGGTTCGTCCCGTTAATTGGCCTTTTGCATCAATGGCAATAAGCTCGGGCTGATTTGCCGCAACATCGGAAAATTGATCTTAGGTTTTGATTTAGCGGGAAAATGCCACGCGGCAGGGGAATAGGTCACGAACCGGCAAGTATAAACGTGTTGTAAGTTGGTCGCTCCTGCAGAGGATCCATCTTGAGTCTCCATGCCTGCTGCGCCATCGCAAACTGGTTGGCCAAGTCTACAAGTTCTTTTTGACAACCATCATCTTCGGCATAGATCACTATATCGGACATCGCAGCGAGCTTGGCCGTTTGGATTTGGAAGTTGCGGACAGAGAACCCCTCTGGAGGATCCGCAAGCAAGAACCGAGATGAAGGGGCTAGCACCTCATTCACAGCAACTGCGCCCTTGATGCGCGCCTTGGACAAGTCGCCCCCAAGTTTCACCACGGTGATTCCTCGCCAGCATTTTGGTGTGCGGCGCGCATGGCGCTTGCGACTTGAGAAGAATCCTAACTGCAGGTGGTTGTCTTGATGAAGGCCGTGTAGCCATGGGAACATGAGGTTCGCGTCGGGCAAGGGTTGCGACGCGGCATGGGCTATCGCAGCTGCAAGTCGAACGCCGTCGATTGCATAAACGGCGGGTGATGTCGGACGACCAATGCGCATGGACTCGTCTGGCGGTGATAGTAATGATGAGGTTCCGTCATTTGGAGCGATTATTGACTGCAGGGAGGGGCTTGGTGGAGATGGACCGGTGGGGCATATTGGAATATGCTTATTCGGGATGGGACTTGATCGTCGGTTGACTGTCAAGGCGGAAGGAATAGGGGAAGGAGGAGGGGTCGAGTGGTGCAGCGCTTGCTGCTGGACGAGAACAGTCGCCATGTCGTGGGCACAGGTAGACGAAAACTATGGTGTGATACTGAGTGCAATCAACCGGAACAGACTGTTACATCGTTTGTATGTGAGAATCGAGTGACAGTGAACCAAATTGGTCAACAGGAAGGGTGGACAAAAGAGACAAGACAGGAGGGTATCCGAAAGATATGAAGGTAAGGAGGGCCAAGCAAGAATGTTCGAAGCGATAAAATGCAGAATGAAGGGTGAGGAGAGAAGCAGAGGGGGAAGATGTGGGACATGATCTCCCTATGTACCCACAATGTGATTATCTCTCACATACAGCGTACAGCGTACAAGCGTATCGTACTCCGTATTGCCCTGCCAATTATTGTATTGATATTCTGATCTGTCCGTAATAACGAATACCAACTCAATTGCGTGTCTACTTGTCCGTCACTTTCTCGTCATCGGTTCCCCCGTCACCCACTTTGCCCTTATCTACAGCTGTTGGGAGCACAGTATAGTATACGGAGTACATTCGCAGGGATTGTGACAACTTTCCCGTACCGTGCCCCATAGTCTTAAAACAAAAGCGGAATTTATAGAGCGTCCGGCCAATCATCCGGTGGGGGCAGCCTTGATGACGCCGAGATTCCTTGATATCTCGTTCTCGGCCCAGAGCCCGTCTGTGCGCCTCTCCACAAAGAAGTTATTGACCCCGCTCTCTTGGGCTCCACTTGTGTGTGAGAATCAATTACGTTGGTAATCTCTAGTAAGTTTGGGTAATCTGTGGTTTTCTACAAGGTAATATTATGATACACTACTAGGTATGTACCACTTGTACCTCGAAACTCTCATATCTCTGACTATCAACATTATAACATCATAATATCATGGACATCATGGACATCGATCCACTAACTTTGAACCTCAAAATGGCCAGTCAAGGTACTTACATGCAGGGAACTAACCCCGGATCGCCACTGCGATCCACTCCTAGGTGGGGGGAGAAGTATCAAACCGTGTTAGGATACTACGTACGAGACTCCGCTCAGAGCCAGACAACCCTCCCTGGAGCATGTTTCACGGCCCAAACATCATGGAGACTTGTCCACGTACCTATATGTAGGCAGGTATACCCAGGTAGCAAAAGGTGGCACGACCGGAAGTTAGTCTTCTTTCTGCCCTCGCGTCTCGCTTGCCATTTCCCACACGGAAACCCCTTCCCTTGGCCATTGTGATTGGCTACCATCCCCCCAATATTCTTAACCGTTGCGAGACCGTGTCAGGCGGATGAAACGGACCGTCCGTCAAGTTGATGCCGATCTTGCCTTTTTTTACCTGGCCTGCAGATTGCAGACATCCGGAGATTGGGATTCTAAGTGGTATACTCGTAACTATGTACGAGTATATTGTGTCTGTACATTTCCAGTTTGTCTCCCGGGAGATGCCCTGTGTTACCAGGGTCGACAAGGGTCGTGCCGGGATGCTTCCAAGGGCCTCGCTTGGGGTAGTGTGCCTGAGATGAAACGCGAATCAGCGTCGGTACGAGAGATTTTCTGAAACCCCCACTAGCCGGAAGGCGCAGGAACTGCATATCGGGAACAGAACGCTGCGTTTGTTGATCTCGGACACGTTAGCTGTCACCTGTCTAGTCAGCATCTCAGACTTGCCTAGTCTGCTACCCAACCAGCGGGTTCGTTCGAGTGGGACCACATGGTAGTGATTCCAGGTGGAAACCCGTGCATACAATCGACCTGCAGGCGTTTGGGGTCATTCTGCACGTTGTGCTGTCCCATCTAGATGCTTACTATCCGGCTCGATCGCTCCTTATCTGATGTTCACATGGCCACGGACCTGCGAGCGGGTGTTAACCCAAATCCCGATTCTCCAATTGGGCTACATGAAGGACGACCTAATGAGGATTGTCTCGGTCTCTGCATGAGGGATTATGCCGTGCGAGGCGGGTAGCTGCCGTACCTTGTTTCCATCGCGGTTGCGAGTGATTTGGTACATCGGCGTCGATACACAGGCCAATATCAAACCTTCGAGAATTGTCTGGTTTTGGGTCGTGACGCGCGGCAGATTTTATACATACCCAAGGGGCCTGGATTTTCTGGTTTCCGAGGCGCTGATTGCGGGTATCGAAATATCTTATCGACGTGGCCAGTGCAGGAGCTCGGGCTCAGTCGTCGCATAGGAGCCCAAGGACACCAGAACTTCAGGGCTGGATCACAGCATCTTGCTAGCGTATGCTGGAGAGACCCGTTTCAGTATATCCCTCAGTGACCTGGCAATTACTCTGACATCCATGGATCGTTTTGTCTTTTGCCGTTCGCTGACCTCGCCCGCTGTTGGGCACAAATGATCGGGTGTTGAGCTACTCGGGTGCTACATGTGGGTATAGAGTAGATCTTTTGGGTGGTGACAATACGCAAACACACCCGTGAACCTATGCCTGATATTTAGACCGACGTCTGTTGGTGCCTGAAAAATATGCCTCAACTTACCTCCAGAGCTTGATACGGATATATATCGCCAAGGCGGGTGCTGGGGATTCCATCACATACGTACTTAGACACAGAATATCTTCCTGGTCCCGGGTTTGTTCTCAGACGGATTCTTCCCAAAGTCCACGAGTTCAGTCAGGTACTTAAGTAGATTCTACACGGCGCAATGGTCACTAAAGAGATGGACAACCAGATCTGAGACCTCGGGACCCTCGAGACTATTCATTGTGCACAGGAGTTGGTCACCTGGGCACCATTTCTCCCATGCTGAGGCTAGATGGATCTTAAGTGCCAAAGTATAGGCACTGGCTCAGTATCAAAACTCATCTCTGAGAGCCTTAGAACGCCCATCATGTTTTGGATAGGGTGGGTTGGCTCGAGGTCTCCAGCTCTCCCGCGTGAATTTTAAGATGACATTAGAGATAACTTCCCGGTAAACCACAGGCATAGACCAGAGGACCAATTTTCGCAATCGTGCGATATTGGTTGAGTAGTGAAGTTGGCGTGGTTCGAGATATCAGTCGATCACTACGTCATTGTTTTGATTTCAAAATGAAAGTTGAGGATCTCACTACTGAGCGCAAAGGGTCAGCAGTCGATGCTCACGGAGAGAACGCAGCCCGGCAGAGAATCATGCAACAAAAATAAAGCCAAATGAGAATCTTGATCACCGACGGCGCAAGTTTCAAGACAAAGAAGAAAAGGAACAAGAGAAAGCGTAGGCGGTGGGCAATCAAGGTGTGGCCCAAGCGCGCTCTCGCTTGTGACGAGTTTCTCCAGGACCTTGCGGATATCAAATCCTCTCTTCTCCACATCCATCGCCTCGGAATCATCTCGGTTTGTTCTCAGCGCAAGACATGTTAGGGAGTGGCCAGTGACGGGCATAGAGTCGTTGCTTCGGCCCCCTCTCGCGATCGCCCCAAGCGGGGTATCTCCGACATTCCGAAGGTTGCCTGGTATCAATCTTATTGAATTCCGACCTAGAAAGATCCGTCAAAATGGCCATGAATTTCGTGACTTTTAATCAGGATTACAGCTATCTGGCTGTGGGTGAGTGTCTCCCCTGTTCCTCTTGCTGGTTATTGCAGATTGTTTGACTGACCGCATTTGTAGCAACATCGAAAGGATTTCAGATATTCACCACTGAACCCTTCGCCAAAAGCTATGAAGCCAAAGAAGGAAATATAGCAGTCATCGAGATGCTGTTTTCAACTTCCCTGGTGGCTTTGATCTTGTCGCCCAGGCGCTTGCAGATCCAAAACACCAAGGTGGGACCACTGGCCTATAATTCGTTCTCTATGGCTACTTTATACATGGATGGGGCTAACATTTTGAGAAAAGCGACAATGCACAATCTGCGAGTTGACATTTCCAACAACAGTCTTGGCCGTCAAGCTAAATCGCAAGCGTCTGGTCATCGTTCTCGAGGACCAAATTTATCTTTATGATATCCAAACCATGAAGCTTTTGTCCACCATTGATACCTCGCCGAACCCAAATGGTATTTGCCTTTCTGTTTATCCTTGGAGACATAAGTCACGCTGACAAGCAATAGCCATTTGTGCACTGGCTCCTTCATCGGAGAATTGTTATATGGCTTATCCTCTTCCGCAAAAGGTCCCTGCTGCTGCAAATACACCAGCGCATGCCCCGCCCGGAACGACCCATGTCTCTCCCACCACTGGAGATGTTCTGATTTTCGATGCCGTGAAACTAGAAGCCATAAATGTCATCGAAGCCCATCGTTCCCCCCTCGCACTCATTGCGCTTAACAGCGACGGGACGTTGTTGGCAACCGCCTCAGACAAAGGGACTATCATACGTATATTCTCTGTTCCGGATGGCCACAAGCTGTACCAGTTCCGACGTGGCTCTATGCCATCCCGCATTTACAGCATGTCCTTCAACACGACCTCAACACTTTTGTGTGTTTCTTCGTCTACAGAGACTGTCCACATCTTCAAATTGAGTCACCAAGGACCTTTCTCCGATGGTTCAGCATCGCAGTCTTCAGGTACCCGGGAGCAAATCTCTCCCTCGGGTGGATATGGACATTCAGCCGATGACGATGAAGCGGGAGACGCAGGCTCGGATTCTTCAGCAAGGAAACACAACGGAACACTAATGGGCATACTGCGACGGACTTCTCAGAATGTTGGCGGTGCAGTCGCAGCTAGAGTGGGTGGGTATCTTCCAAAAGGAGTCAGTGAGATGTGGGAGCCAGCTCGAGACTTTGCTTGGATCAAATTGCCACGATCAAGCCAGGGCCCTGCCGGAAGCCCTGGTGCCGGGCCGACGAGGAGTGTTGTTGCCATGAGTAGCAACACACCTCAGGTCATGGTTGTGACCAGCGATGGCGGCTTCTACGTATTCAACATTGATCTCTCCAAAGGCGGGGAAGGAACTCTGACCAAGCAGTACTCGTGAGTTTGAATTTCTACCACACGCGTGGACTTGGGGTTTCGATGCTAACACTGATGCAGTGTTGTGGATTCAAACGACAGGCTGGGATACACTGCAGAGTACTGATGCTCGTCTGTCCAGCATTGCTAGCTGTTGTCTTGATTTTCCCCCCATCCATTGCGCGCGCGCAAGGTATTCGTGATGAACAAATTCTTCTCTTCATCTTTTAGCGTCTCAATACTCCCTCCAGCGTCTAGTCAGAAGGCCGAATGCGGACATTTTCTTTTGGCAGGCTTGCGTCTATTTCAAGACCCTTGCCGCTTAGCTACCTATCCTTATATCAATACTGTACTCGGATTTTACCTCTTACCTCTGATGTTGCATGGTAGAAATTTGGCACATATCATCTAGAAACAATCCTACCTAGACTGGTGACAAGTCAGGTATGAGCAAGCATGAATAGGTTACGCCATTCAAAAGAAGAAGAGCCAATAGTGAAAAAGGAATATTGAAATAGATCCTGATGTTTGAATCGTGGCCCATTCAGCACGATCAATCTGGGCGTTATTAGCACCACTCTGCAGAGCAATCCGTAACCAGTTTGTTGAATGCCACGGTGAGAACAGAACATGAACATAGATACAGCCAGCTGAGTGGGAATCGTAGAATGTTTTATGTATTATTGACTATGTACACTGGAAGAGGTATTGAATCAAAACATTTACATGTTTCGCCGGAACTTCTGAGGGATATTGCCCACCACGACCTGCATTTGCTCCAGTTTCTCGAGCCGCAGAGCTGCATCCTCCTCTTCATCGTGCTGCTTGAAATGCTCAATGTCTTCGGGGTGAGTCAAGTCCGCTTCAGTGGTATCATCTCCATGGTACTTTTCAAAGTGGTGGATCTCGTATTCATACTCAATGTCGCCATGATGTCCGGGACCGAAGCCCAGGTCGGGCAACCGCTTACCCGCAGCGATTCCCTGCAGCCAATCGTCCCTGGTGATAAATCCCGTATTGCCAGGATCGAAGAGTGCAAATACTGTGCGCACAGCGTCTTGTTTCTTGTCCTCACTGACAGCTGCATTGGATTGGTCATTTAGGCCGTATGTCTTGCGCACTTCGTCGTGGGTCCATGTGCCCGAGGAGTCATAGTCGTGCAAGATGAAGAACGAAGGGGGGTCAAAGGCTTCAATGTGATGTTCCTCTGTAGAAAAAAAGCGTTAGCGTTGCGACTAGGCATAAGAATTTATGGTCATTCTACCTATCATGTGGCGCGTGGCCCAATCGTCGGAGGGAGGTTGGTCGCTTGAATGCGAGCCATGGGCATTTGCAATCCCGCCCAGCACGAGGAGTCCGGCAGCGAGGCCAAAGAGTTTAGCGACCATCGTCAATTGTAGCGTTAAAAAAAAGAAGATTCGTTCAAAACAAAGAAGATAGACATACCAAGCCTTGGCCAAACAGTTGTCCAGATGCTCGCGGGTGTAAGCTCGTTTGCAGTGTTTGCACCGATCGGGGCCCATCGGCGGAATTGCAAGATTATTTTGCTGCATCGCATGTTCCCCAACGAGTTCTATATCCCTACCTGCGACGGGCTCCGAGAGGAGTCCCATTGATTTTTCACCTCAGTGACCATTTTTGAAAAACCAAATTGATAGAAATGTCCTGAGAATGCAGGGTTTGTGGTCCCGCGCTGTTTCAACGCAGTCCTCCTGCCGTTGCGTCGGGTGTCTGAGCACTACCGCCAATGGGGTTACTTCACGGGCAGCAACTGCTGCTAGACAGAGACGACTTCGAATTGGAAACTCCGTTACCGCGCTGTATACTAGCATTTTCGCCGCCGCCGCCCTTGCCGATGCGAGCGTGAAGGATCGACGCCGAAATGACTGGGACGAAAAGATTGCTGCCGTAAAGGCTGAAGTGAATGAGTTGGTGGATGAAGAGCAACGGATTTTGGCATCATTACAATCACGAAGGGAGCGTCGGGGTCTCGATCGCTTAATACAAGCGAGGGGATTCGGCACCGTTCCACGCTTCCCCCTCGGTCCTCAATCACTACCCGGATTCAACCAATCAATGAGGACTTTCCACACTGAAAGAGGGAGGTTCAATGCGGCTGCCGCTCGCATGGCAGAGATCCAAACAACGGAGAATGAACACGAGATCGACGAAGCGGACGAGAGTGAAATCTTCCTGCCCCAGGAGACATTACCCAGCTGGGTTCTGGACGACGACCTTCGCCTCAAAGCCATACAGAAACTCGCTCTCAGGCAATTTGCGATCCGAATGCTATTAAGACCTGCTATCGCCCATCGCTACTCAGGCATTTCAATGAACTACGCGGCGGATTTCGAAACCCCCCAGGTCGATGTTTCGCAGCTCCTTGAGGAGTTGAACCATATTAGAATTCGCTTGAACACACTTAAGACCGATCGAAGAGCTGTCTTCAGTGACGTGACAGCGGAATATGCTGCCAGTCAATTGGGTGACATGCAACGAGAGCGCGCGGCCCTCGATTCCGAGCTCACCGACGACATCCGCGCATACACCAGTCAACACATGTCTCTACAGGAGCTGATTCTGCGTATTTCAAACAACATTTTGAGCTCACGGGATCCAGATCGACCAACGGCTTTCAGACACATGATCATTGCATTTGGTCAAACACGTCAAAATGATCTCGTTGAGATGCTTCTGCGAACATTGTTGCCCAATCGGTTTTATCTGAACCCCTCGCTTGTGATAACCATAGTCACGTTCTTCAGAAAATCGAAAAACCTCAAGGACTTCGATTTGTTCCTGAAGATGTTGGGCGGAGAAGGTTACTCCGTAAACCTGGGGAGCAGGGGTGTTTACAAGCACAGAACGGTAAATGGGTTGGACATCATTGTGCCGCCGCTGAACAGTACCAACCCGGTGATCTACGCCGCTTTGATCGGCGCTGCATTGCGATTTGACCAACCTGAGCGAGCTGACGCTTGGCTCCAAGCAGCTAGGAGTGGAGGCTTCTTTGATAGCTGGGAAACGCTTTTCACATATCTTCGCTTTTATAGTCTTCGCCGAGACTGGGAGAAAGGCGCGAATGTCTTGAAAAGAGCCATCACTTACCTGGTGTCGTCAACTGATCACCGCGTCGACTCCGTGGAGAGATTGCTGTCGCGAATGGTCGGTCTTTGTGATTCCTGTGACAAAGTTGATGCATCCGAGGCACTGGTAAAAGCGGCTGTACACAGCGGCTTCGACCCAAAGCTTCTGTCAAGACAGGCAGACTCAGCACCATTTGTTCACCCCGACCCCAACCGGTGGTTGAGAGCCGCGAAAACCACACCGAAGGAGAATGTTGACCGCCCATTATGGCAAAAGTGCTACGACTTCTCCAACACTTTTGGCGAGTATCTGAGTGAAGCAGAAATACCGGCGGAGAGCAAATTCACCCACAAGAATGCTCAACTAGCCAACCAACATGCGGATAATGCCATGTTTGCTGCCATTGGCCACGGCCGAACATCCAAAGGCACTGGACAAAGGCCTCAAGAGAACACATCAAATGAGGACATATCCAACCTAAAAAACGAAGTGGCCCACCTCCGTGAGCTGGTCTATGAACTTCGCAAACACCATATCTCAACCTCTTTAAGCACAGAGTCTCCTGATTCAGCCAATCGTCTTGCTCCTTGCCCCGAACAACCCGCACCCGTCCATCTGTCACACACCAAGAGCGCTTCTGGCATTCGGAATTTCACCACCTCATCGACAAGGATCACCCTTGATAAATCACAATCACCGTCTCCCCAGATACCCCGAAAACGCAACACGCGGCAAGCAAGCCGCGCAAACCAAGCATCCGTGAACAGCACGACTCCCATTGCCTCTCAGATGTGAGTAATCGTTATTGTGGAGACGATTCTCATTCGCAATGTTGGCTTCCCAATGAATAGACCATGGGAGAGATAGATATTCTTGTATATTAAATCATTCTGTTTTGACTAGAGCACATGTGAAATATTGATAAACAAGCCCTAGGTGTACTTGTCCAGCGCAAGGCGTTGGTGGCTTATAATGTCCTTCTACAGCAGTTCTTCAATTTTCTTGAGACTGACCATCGACTCCGGTCGGCTCAAGATTTCAAAAACCTCTAGCGCATAAATACCCGACTCAGCTCTTCTTGTAGTTCTTTCTGCTGGACCGTCCTCTGAATTCAAGACTGTTGGACTCGTGCTCGCTTTGCGACATCATAGCTGTTTCCCTTCATGCTTTGTCTCCTGATATTCTGTTTAATAAATATACATGATAGTTTTCATACCAGCCTTGGAATATGCAGTAGATAAAATTCAAGGAAAGCCGCCTGATGTGAGGGCGAGGCAGAAACGGGCCGTGTTGGAGATGTGTCATATCGGATAAAGTACAAGGAGCAAGTGGTCTATCCAACATATAGGGATCACAATTGATAGAAAGTAGTCAAAAAGGAAGCGTATCATGCGTGAATTTTAGGCTGAATGAAGAAAAATGATCTATCGGCGCTTCTCTGCGCGCATCTTCTCCTTCCGGGAGAGGCGTTCGGCAGCCCGAACGAGGGCCGAGCGCATGTCTCCCTTGGGGAAACTTTGAATATCGTAGTAGGTAGGGGCGATATCCTGCAAAATGGTTAGAGAATGTGAAGCGAAGAGAATAGATTGGAATGGAACATACCAAGAGCCACTCAGGCTTAATCGCAGTTACGGTACGAATATAGTTCTTTGATGTAAGAACGAATTCGTTATACAAGACCCATTCAGCCTCATGGGCCAGCATGGTAGAGGGATGCACAAGAACGTTCTGGTTGTCCTTGATGGTCAGGTACTGGCTCTTGCCACCGGTGTCCTTCTTGGCGACCTGCATAAAGAATCCTGCGCAGAGAGCACGGCGAATATTCTCGTAGTACTTCTTGTCCTCGAAGGGAGTGGAGATCATCTCAAGGTCCTCACGCTCCATGATACGCAACAGCTGGGAGCGCACATTGTCGGCGGACTGCAATGACCGCAGAGAGAGGAAGTGGTCATGACACCACTGCTTAGCGTTTGCTTGTGCGTCGTTTCCGCGGTATGCGTGGTAAACGTTGAGCATCGTGAGATGGTCTCCATCGGGATGCTTGAAGAGTTCCTTCATTTCGTCGGCGCGCTTCCGCTGAGCAGCGGGACGAGTGAACACCTGTGGCACAGACAGGAGAGCAGTGATAGACAGGATCTCGTTGGAACAGTAGAATTCCGGAGAGGAGATAAGCATGACCGCAAGCGCTGGATCAAGAGGGAACTCAGATGCCAGGCGACCCAACTGAGTGAGATTTCCATCGTCGTCTAAGCAAGCCAGGTAGTTCAGCTCTTCCAAAGCTCGCATTAAAGTCTCTGGCGCAGGAGGGTCCATCAAATCGAAGTGAACAAGATCATCAATACCAAGCTTCTTCAATTCCAGCACAGTTGACGACAAGTTGGATCGAAGAATTTCGGGGTAAGTTGACTCAATCAACTCCTTCTTGAACGCCCCTTCGGTGTAAAGACGGAAGCACTTTCCGGGGCGTGTACGACCAGCACGACCAGCACGCTGCTGGGCAGAAGCCTTGGAGATAGGGGAGACCAGGAGGGATTCGACACGAATGCGAGGGTTGTAGATCTTTTGCTTAGAGAAACCGGGATCCACCACGTAAACAATACCATCAATGGTCAAAGAAGTTTCCGCAATGTTGGTAGAGACGATGACCTTGCGACCGGGGCGGCCGCCAGGACGGCGAGGAGGCGGCGCAGGGTCGAAAATGCGCTGCTGCATGTGTGGTGGCAAACTACCGTACAATGGGTAGACTTTGATGGGGCCGGCGTCGGCCTCTCTAGTCATCTCGTCTCCTTCAAGTGCAATCTTTCGCGAAGCATCCTCAATCTCTTCCTCACCAGTCAAGAACAGAAGAATATCTCCCTCGCCTTCCGTGGCGTGAATTTGCAAGACTGTGCGCACCGCAGCTTCGACATAGTCCTGTTCCGGCTCGGGGGTGTAGAAGATCTCGACAGGGTGGGTACGACCGGGGACTGCGAGAAGAGGGGCCTCGGTATCGCCAACCGTAAAGTAGCGCTGGAACTTTTGCGCATCCAGAGTGGCAGACATGATAATAATCTTCAAGTCAGGACGACGCAAGACAACCTCTTTCAGAAGACCCATCAAGATATCGGTGGCCATGGTTCTCTCGTGAGCCTCGTCAAGCATAATTGTACTGTAGCGCGACAAGTTGTGATCGTTCATAGCCTCACGCAAGAGCATACCATCGGTCATGTACTTCATGATGGTCTTCGGGCCGGTCATATCCTCGAAACGAATGCTGTAACCAACTTCCTCGCCAAGCTTGACATCCATCTCAGCCGCAACACGCTGAGCGACGGACATGGCAGCCACACGGCGAGGCTGGGTACATGCGACCATCTTGCCCTGAGTTTGGGGGAGGTCATCGTAGAGGACAAATTGGGGAATCTGGGTGGTCTTTCCGGAACCGGTCTCACCGACAAAGACGAGAATTTGAGATTGCTGATAGAGTCGCAGGAATTCGTCACTGGAAAGAATTAGTACATCGTTCCAACCCAATGACCATTGGGGACGACTCACCGTTGCTGGTGGACTGGCAGATCCCGACGGCCTTTCAGGATTGAGAAGTATTTGCTGGAGAAGGGGCGGCCACTGAAAGGGTTGATCTCGCCATCCTCGGCCTTCTTTGCCAGCGCCGCGGTTGTCTGGTGTCGCTGGAAATTGGCCAGGGCCGACTTGTCGGAACTGCCCTCATTCTCATACATGTGGGCGAGGTAAGGGTTGTTCTTTGGGTCAGCGTCCATCTTCTGACGCTTGGCGCGTGAAGCACCCTCGGAGTCGGAGCGGTTATCGGCCATGGTGATGTATGGTCGAAAGGTGAAGAGCAAACTCGGCGAACAAGAAGTTCAGATAGCGAAGAAAAAAAATATCAGATAGGAAGGTCGGGCGAACGCCACAGCTGCCTATCAAGCTCACCGCCAGTCTATTCTGCCGCGCTCCACAAAGGGATCGAGAATCTTTGGACAAGCTTGTTTACAACTGAGACGGGATTTCTTCTTACGTGAGAACTCCTGGCCTGTGAGACGATCACCGCGCTTTCACTGATATACACCCTAACAGCAAGTCTGCTGCTATCAACGAGCTATAATTCGTGTGTCTCTTGTCGCGGACAACCCCCACCACTGCGCCGAGCTTCAGCTTTACTATGGAGAACTACAATCCGTCGGAGGACCCAGGGCCAACCTTCTGCGTTGGGCATCATGAACATAACAGACTGGTTACAGTCACCCCGAGGGTGATTCAAAATGTGCACGAAAGCAATGTTCGTCAACATACAATCTAATACCATGAGTCCCGAAAATCCTAACCTGATGTGATAGTATGACATGATGACCGTCCCAATCACCACTGCGCATTTCCATTCACGTGTCTTGGGCCTATTGTCCTCTTATTTGACCAACCTGCAGCCTCCGACTTATGATGCTGTTGGGACCAGAGCGACTACAGCGAACACTCGCCCGCTGGTCGTTCCATCGCTTTCTAAGGCAGACTCATACCTCACCCCCAATGATGCAACTAGTCAATTAGTTGGAGTGACTAGCAGCTGGATTGATTTATGCTCGCCTGACCCGTTGATTGCGGACTTGTCACGGCAAGTTCTGATGTTGGAGGTCGCATATGCTGCCTTCTGTGGAATTGGATATCTCCTGATTCCTGGACCGAAGCTGCATCACGGCGCCTTGCACTCCGAAGGTGTCATCTATTATGCACGTGCGGTTCAAGATGCATTGAACCTCGGCCCCTACATCCAATTCCATATTTGGTTGCAGATGGTCGACAATCCAGAGACTGAGGTTGACACAATGGGCGATCTGGCGCCTCTTGCGCGTGCAGATTTCCTGGAACCAGGAGACGGCACCCCCCTCGAAGTGGATCTCTTTGGAACATGGGATGCCTGGGATGCGATTAGAAAAACCTGCAAATACCACACTCGATTGTTTGTTGGTACGTATAAACCTTCCTCTTCACCACCGCTGACTGTGACATAAAGCTCACTGGGAATATAGCGCTTTCCATGCCGAAGCAACTCCCTTCGCTATTCGTGCAATCACGATGGCACTCTGAACCCGTGCATTTGCTCACAATCGATGGATCTGCGTTCCTCAAAAACCAAAAAGGGTACCCTGTTTTGTCCAAGTCACACCAAGCCCTAATCGCGAAGATGATGCGCCTCCGTACCGCGCCTTGGATCCTCCTTTGTGGTGTTGGACCCATCCCCGGACTCGAGAATTCGGAGGACCCTGATAGCAACCAAGCCGGCTCTGACTATCCGAGTCTGTCACAGGTCAGCAAAAAGCACCATGACCCAACCCCACATCTCTCGTATATCCGCAATTTACAGCAGCGCCAACCATCACGCACTGCAATCGAGAGATTTGGCACAGGGTATCAGGATTATCTACAAGCACCCCTTCAGCCACTGACCGTCAACCTGGAGAGTATCACATATGAAGTCTTTGAGAAAGACCCTATCAAGTACGAGTGGTACGAGAAGGCTATTTACAAGGCACTGAAAGACTGGGCCGATCAGAAGAAGCCCACGTCGCACCCGGACGGAAAGGTAATCCTTGCCGTTGTGGGTGCAGGCCGCGGCCCACTTGTCACTCGTGCACTCAAAGCTAGTGCTGAAGCTGGGGTTGAAATTGATATGTGGGCGGTGGAAAAGAACCCAAATGCGTTTGTGTTGCTGCAGCGACACAACGAAACTATTTGGGATGGCAAGGTTACCCTCGTCCAGTCGGACATGCGTGCTTGGAAAGGTCCCCGTGTGCGAAAGCAAGCTACCCCCGGAGCGAAAGAGTCTGTGGGCGAATCTCTCGGCATTGAAGAGTCATTGCTCCTCAAGAAGGGAGAAAATGACCAAGGCCACGCATCTGCATTTGCACAATCCCATGACGCTGACTTGTGCTACACTCATGCCGATATCATCGTGTCGGAGCTCTTGGGCTCCTTCGCGGACAATGAGCTCTCTCCGGAATGCTTAGATGGTGTGAATGATCTGATTAACCCTGTGCACGGAATCTCTATCCCAGCCTCTTACTCCGCTCACTTCACACCAGTCTCTGCCCCCAAGTTACACTCCGATATCGTGCACCAGACTGTGTCTAACCCGGCGGCCCCAGAGACCCCATATGTCGTGATGTTGCACGCAATTGATTTCCTCTCCACCGCCAGTACTCAAGCAACGAACGAGACCCCCAATCCTAGCGATGGTACCCGATCGTCCACATCAGGATCTTTCAGTGCTACCGAGTTCCCGACTCCCTTTGTTCAAACTGCTTGGTCCTTCTCTCACCCAAACCGTCATATTCCTGCCCAGTCACCTATGCAGTCTACCATCTCGAACGCACACAATGTGCGCCAGACTCGCCTGACATTCCCGGCTCAGAATCGAGGTGCCTGTCACGGTCTTGCCGGCTACTTTGAGACTGTGCTCTATGGAGATGTGGAACTGTCTACTAACCCTGTGACCATGGATGCTAAGAGTGCCAGTATGATCAGCTGGTTTCCCATCTACTTTCCTTTGAAGGTCAGTTCTCCCTCGGATCTACGTCTCAATCATTCGCGTACCATGCTAACGATCTTTATCTTTCTCCCTAGACTCCACTCAATGTCCCTGAAAATGGCGAGATTGTGGCCACGATGTACCGCCAAACCGACGACCGTAAGGTCTGGTACGAATGGATGGTTGAGGTTTATGCGCTGGAGCGCACAAGCTCCTCATCCAAGTCGATTCCCAACGGTGGCTCGCGGACTGGTTCTCCCAGCCAGGAGAACTTGAAGACCAAGGCTAATGCTGCTACGCCATCTCGTGCTGGCTATCGCCGTGTGCGGGTGGGAATTAGTGACCTGCACTCTAGCATCAAGGATGGATGCTTAATGTGAAAAAAATGCTATATGCCGTGATTTAAGAGAAATATTCAGGTAGCAATCTTCCATCTTATTGGGATATAATATGAAACATGTCTCTGTCGCGTACACCTTGGATTAGTTGTCTATTGAACAAGACTGCCATATGTGGTAAGTAGACCCGATGAGCGTACTTGTGACCTCTCATTCCAATACTGAGCGACTGTACGGAGTATCTGAGACCGAGTGTCGGCGACCAAACCCTGGAATGTGGCGCCCCGGTTTGCTGGTACTCATCTACGCCCGTGGACACGAGTACTTACCCTAAGAATAAGGGCGAGTAGTTCCCAGAGGAATGTGAGAATGACAAATTGAGGTCCTTGCTGGCCATCGGGGTCAGATCAATTGTTACCATGGTCAAGCTGAGAAACTTATCAGCCCTCCCAAGGTTGCTAGGAACGATAAATTAAACCGTTATATCGAAGACATACCTATGTTTGAGCCTTGTAGTTGATAAGAAACATAGTGATTTACATATTTTTTAGGCTAATATAGTACGGTTTAGTTACCCAGGTGTTTACAACGTTGATATTGATGACTTTTCGGCTTTATTATGGGGACGAATCTGAAATCAGCCATGTTGACCCGAGGTAACTGATTCTTCAGGTATCAGATATCAGAATCCTCCGTTACACGTGAGATTCGGATATGTCCGTCTCCACCGGAAAAATGCGACTCAATTATCAGCCATTCCACGTGGTTGTTGAGTCTGATGTTTGAAATCTCTGAGCGTTGTTCACTTCTGTTCACTTTGATACTCTGTAGGTTCAGGTCCAACTCGAAGCGAGAAGACAGACTCCGATATTCGGACTGCTCATGAGCACATGTGATCGCAGCATTCTTGCAGAGCATATACAACTTCGGCAATGTCTCACTCGCGTGCCGAACTGACGGGGGAGCGCCCGAATTGAGTTAAGCCACCGGGCGATCTGCACCGATAACGCCTTAGATGATCGTCCAGGCGAGATCGATTGGCCCGTGGTTCATCGTCAGCGGTTCTGGGTGACAACCTTATGTGAATGTGATCGGCATTCCGTCAGTCAAAGGATCCGGCAATTTCTCCGCAAGGCCGCGGCCGAACCAGGAACAAGTGGGCACTTTGTCAATGATCGTCTCTGAGGGCATCAGATATCGCAGTTGGCCCGGGGTCAACCAATGAACCATTGGTACTGCCGGTGATATTGTGGGACTCGTACCCGTGTGCGGCGATCTGCTTGGTATAAAGCCGCACTCTCCCGGGCTGCAGTGGAATTTGAACAGAAGTCAGTATCTTTTTGTCGCCATGCGGTTCTCCCTTTTCACTGCCTTGTCCACAGCGGCTTCTTTGGGTCTTGCCCTCCCTAGCACCCTGCACACTCGGGGTATGTCCATTGCCCTTCACGGGCTTATATAGTCCAATCATGACGTCGCTGACCCATACTCAGATATCTCGCCCGACCAGTTCACCGATTTTGACTTTTGGGTCCAGTATGCTGGTGCGGCGTACTACTTGAACGATTACACCGCCAAGACTGGCTACAAGATCAGCTGTGATAAGGGCAATTGCCCCGATGTGGAGAAGAATGGCGGAACGATCTTCTATGACTTCTCCAAGTAAGCAAATACAAAAAAAACAGCCCTGAGCTAGAGGGATACTAACACATTTCAAGCGACACGATCACCGACACTGCGGGTTTCATCGCAGTAGACGACGTCAAGAAGGCCATCGTCCTCTCCTTCCGCGGTTCCTACTCTGTGCGCAACTGGATTGCTGATGCCTCATTCCCCTATACCAGCACCGGTATCTGTACTGGCTGTGAAGCCGAGCTTGGTTTCTGGGGCTCGTGGAAGGCTGTCCGTGAAAACATCCAGTCTCAATTGCACGACGCCTTCTCCCAACATTCCGATTACGAACTGGTCGTCACAGGCCACAGCCTCGGTGCCGCCATTGCCAGTCTTGCGGCCGCGGACCTCCGAGGCAAGGGATACCCGGAAGCGAAGATGTACGCGTATGCTGCACCCCGCGTGGCTAACCCAAAGCTGGCCAAGTATATCACAGCTCAGGGTAACAACTTCCGCTTCACTCATATCAATGACCCAGTTCCGAAGCTGCCATTGCTGGCTATGGGCTATGTACACATCAGCCCTGAGTACTATATCACCGCCCCTAATAATGCGACTGTCAAGCCCTCTGAAGTCGAGGTGATCGAAGGCGACGTCTCTTTCAAAGGAAATACTGGCACTGGTGTTCCATCAATTTCTGCTTTTCCTGCACACCACTGGTACTTCCGACAGGCTGATGCTGGCCTGGGTGCTGGTATTCCACTCAAGTGATCCCTGGGTTCTGAGGACGCTGGTGACTCCAAGGACTGTATTTGACTGAATTTAACATAAGCTATGTACCAAAGTCCCCTGGAGGGGTTCTGTCATTATGGTGCGTAAATATCTGAGATTTGTTTTGATATGTGGAGATGGAGAAGCACACTATGCATTAATGTATATCATAAAGAATGAGAATAGTATGTCATTGCTCTGTCAAGAAAATGATACTACGTCTTTACCAAGGCCGATTAGGATTTGTCCTCGGTTGCTGCGGAGCTGTTTGTTCTGCTTTTAAAGTTCTACGTAAGCTCTCACTCCGGCCTTGGAACAGAGGGCATGTCTCCTGACATTAGGATGAAAGTGTTTGCAATTCAGGTTATGATTTGGGGTTTAATATAGCACAGCGGGTGTAGTGGTGTATGAGGAAGCAATGTTTCAACAGGTCTGTTTAATTTTATCAGCACATGCTAATTAAAGCAAACCAAGACGAGCAAAGACGAACAAAGACGAACGGAGAGCGAAGTGAACGTTGCGTGTGATCACCCGTATATCAACACGCAGTCAATCAAACCCAACGTGCCTTTACATGCCATTGCTCACACGCTCTGCTCAACTACACATCCACCGTGATCTTCTTCATTGGACCACGATCTCTCACTTTGTTTACACTCCGCATCAACCAACTCCATTACATATTCCACTTTATCCCAAACAAAGGTCACGATGTCTAGCCCTACTAAGACTCCCAGAGCTACCAAGGCTACCAAGGCTCCCGGTGCCCCCGGCAGCCCTATCACGAGTGAGGCAGTCAGCAAACTATCTGAGTTAACGCCTGCCGATACCAAGCTTATCCTCCTTGGGAGCGTGTGTCTCGACGGCTCTTGCAAGGCAAGTTCCCCAGAAGAATTTCCTTGAAATACGGTTTAACATGTTTGGCCTTTTAGATCGACTACAAGAAGTTGGCTCTTCTGGCTGGAGTGCAGAACCACTCCGCTGCCTCCAACTATAACCGAGCCAAGCGACGCCTCGCTCCTATCATTGGCGAGGAGATTACCGCTAACACCGCGGAAGCCAAGCATTCTCTCCAAGACGAAACCCCTACCAAGCCCCGTGCCACAAAGCGGCGCAAGGCCACACCCAAATCCGCCATCAAGAAAGATGTTGAGGCTGAGGATGCCGAGATCGTTGAGTGCGAGGAGATCCCTGAGGTTGATATTGTCGCCGTTAAGGGTGAGCCTACCGACTAGGTACTCGCAAGTATTGTTGTCACCCTGGAGAAACGGGAGTGACACGATGAGATAGGGGGTCGTCGAGCAAGACAGCCCTGAAGAATTCGAGGCATGGTTGATCTAAGCAATGATCAGGAAAAGTTCCGACGATTATTTGTCTTGTTTTTCGTTGTCTGTGGAAAATACTGGAAACCAAAAATGTTTCGAGTGTGTGCAGTACCTTATTGAAGGCCTACCAAGGAAAATGTCGAAAAGAACAAAAAAAAATGGCATCGGTGTTAGGACTCGCTTTCGTCCAGCTTGCAATCCCAATAATGACGAGCTCGTAATATTCCAAGGTTGTGCCTCCGGTTGCAGTGCATTACCAACTCGCCAGCTAAACTTTGGAAGCAGGAACAAGCCGTCTTCTGATAATCTGCTTTAGTACAAATTAAACCCTGCCAATAATCATTTGCTCAGATGGTCGCATTGTCTACGAGTACATAACTCTCAACGTCGAACAAGCGAACATGTTGCACTTCGGTCGAGACTCCACAATATGTGTTTGTGAACTCGTACACATTCCCTTTTCGAGCTAAATTAAGTTAACGGGGTGTCCGCTCTACGAGTACGAGTAGCTCAAGTCAAGCCGATCCTATCATTGCAGCTAACACTCCCCAACTAATTGACGATGTTGATGGGGCCTGGGAAACCCGTCAATAAGGAGGTCGGGTACACGGGCCCACCCGTGGACGGTGGATCAACTCCAACGCTTGGAGAGCCCTGGGGATTTTGGTCTTTTTCTTGAGGAGAAACACAGAAAAAAGAACAATTTTCCGCCAGGAGATATTTTTAAAAGGCATAGAAGCCACTGTTTCAATTTTCCAATCGTACTTAAGTACAGTAGAATTGAGAATGTCTCACGTCGGGGCTTTGCGGCTAATAAATGTTGCATGACACCAAAAAAGTGACTAAATCTTTCAGGAAACGGAGCCTACTTAATTAATACTACATTAAAGAGCCAAATCAAAAACAAACACCCAATAAGAACAGAAACTGGCCCCCAACTCTTACTAAGTGGCAGAGATCCACATAGGTGCGTCTGGCTAGCAGGGATATATACAAGGGCTGATGGAATCAATAAAACCAATTGGTGCCCCATCGCAACTTGTCCTGCGATCTGGCCCCCGGTGGATATCTAGCTTCGAGAGAAAAAATTCGCAGGACAAACAAAGTTTTTGCCCCTGGAACGCGATCCTTTGCATATTGAAGTGGCACCTTGGTGCCGCTGGCGAATGGCGTTTGAAAACATGGCGTCTCGGTTTGACCACCCGCTCTGGGTGCTTCAAACTAATTGATTCTGGGGCTGGGGCAAACAATCTGCTGAGGGAATCTTGCATACAATATGCGTTGACCACGCACGATCCCGCTAACTCCGTCTTGCAGTCAACACGATGCATCCAGAACTGAAGAACACATGGACGCCCGCAATCAATATCTTGACCTGGTTCATGCTGGTGACATCTACACTGAGTGTTTTGACTCGCCTGGGGACAAAATTCTTCATATTTCGCAAATTGACCATTGATGATGGCTTTGCGGCGGCCTCTATGGCCCTCTGTATTGGGCAGTCTATCGCCGTTTCACTCGCGACAGCCAACGGACTCGGGCAGCATAAAAACATGTTGTCTGAGCTCAGAATCGATAACATGATGAAGGTATATACAGATTGGGACTTCGAGAAACTTGCTCAAGTATAACTTAGGCTAATTTGCGGGATGAACATAGGCCGAATATGCTGCCACAATTCTTTTCATTGCCAGCATCTCTTGTTCAAAGCTCTCGCTGTTGGTGTTCATCCGCAATTTGACCCCTGCCTCCTTGGATCGTCGGGTCGCACTGGTATTGGGGACTTTCATCGGATTATGGGCTATCGTCAGCATATTAACAGCCTCTTTCCAATGCCATCTACCGCAAACATGGAACTACATGGGCAGCACTTGCTTTGACCGAGTATGCGATCATACCCTTATTGTGACTAAAGTCCACTGACAACTCGCTAGACTGCATGGTGGAATTATCTCGGTGTCACGAATATACTATCTGAAGGCGGCATTATAGCCCAAGCCTTGCTGGTCATTATCCGCATCCAGACAGACGTGAGCCGAAAAGCCAGTCTGTCTAGTGTATTCTTGATCAGAATTGTGTATGTGATCCACTGGTCCCTGATGCCATGAGTGTACTGACAACCTTCTGATGTACAGGGTCATCATTGCGATCATCTGCCAACTTGCAAACGGTAGTCAAACCCTCTCATCTTCCGATTCCACATTTGATACTTGGAAAACCGCCGTGTCTACCCAAATGGCCCAGGCCTTGAGTATTGTGACCGCATGCTCCCCCCAGTTTAAGCCAGTCTTGGACAATCTCCGATCGTCTGGAATGAGTCTGGAAATGTCGAGCTCCAATGGATACGGCAGCAAACACAAGACGTATGGCGCGAGCACGTTCAAGGCCTCTCGGCGCACCCACGACACTAGAAGCGACACACACGAGCTGGTGACCTTGCCCGGGACCCACCAAACTATGGTGACTTCGACTCGGGAAGACGACTCCGAAAGCCAATCTAGTCGGTCGAACATAATTGTGGAAACTCGGACTTGGACCGTGACCGAGGTACTGCGAGATTGAATAATTAAGAACAGGAGTATCGAGAGCAAGTGGAACCTAATTTCCCTGATCTGCCGGACCTATAGAATGTCAGGCCTTTGAGCTCCGTAGTTCTTGTGTACAGTAAAAGTCCGGAGCTAAAGCACGGTGTTTATTAGGGCTCCGTAGCCCCCACCAAAGATGAATTAGCGTCAGCCCCCCGAGGGTCCTTCGGTCTGGCCGCGCCCCGCAATAAAGACTTTAGCTGCGGCCGAAGCATAATCACATTGTGTACGAGTATTCCTTTCATGTTCTATGACAGGGTTTATTGGTTATTGTTAGTTAATTATGTTATTAGGTTGCATCGTGTCGGGGCACCGTGGCGAAACTAGCAGTCCATCCGACCAGCCACGCCACCAAATACCTTGCTGGGCTTTAGGCCCCCTGCCCATACCCGCATTAGCGCACGAGGATACTTCCAACCACATGCAACTATGTTCAGAATTGATTGCACTAGTTTCAAAAAGAAAAAAAAAATTCCCCAGCGTTAAACAAAAGCCTGCAGTGGTACTTGCATCGTAGCTGGTTTTGCTTTTTTCACTTCGGCAGTCACTCATTATGCCGTCTCAATACTCGAAGCAGATGTCGACTGGAATGCAAGAAATTGGCCATGTATCAACCAAGGAGCTTGATGATGCCAATCTGGCACGTATGGGAAAACGTCCCGTATTGAAGGTGATTATCTATGAAGGTACCCATACATCGCGGCCTGGGTTGACAGGAAACAGAGAAACTTCGGTTTGATGTCGATTCTCGGCTTTAGTTGTACGATTTTGATTACATGGGAGGGAATTGTGGTGTGAGTGAAGCTCAATGATTTGACAATTGAATACCTCGAGCTTTGCTAATCCCGTTGACAGGCTCTTCTTACAGGCATACCAGAAGTAAGATCAGCGGTCCGTCCAGCGGTTGATGAAATAGCACTGACCAGGTGGCGATTTAGTGGAGGACCAGCTGGTGCCGTTTATGGCTTCCTTTTTGTTTGGGCGGGTGTCGCAGCGACATTCGTGGTTTTATCTGAATTGGCATCAATGTATGAAAAGCTCCATTCTTCTCTGGAAACAACTTGAAGACTAACTTACTATCAGGGCACCGACCTCGGGAGGACAGTATCATTGGTGCTCTATGTTAGCCCCGCGCTCATGCATGAAACTTCTTAGTTACCTCACGGGTGAGTGTTAAGAGACTGAGATTATTCTAGATTATTCTAACGTATGACCAGACTGGCTCACGGTCATTGGGTGGCAGGCCACCTTCGCAACCTCCTGTTATCTTGTCGGTACCTTGATCCAGGGATTGGTCGTCCTTACACACAGCAACTACGAGCCAAAGGATTGGCACGGAACACTTCTATTCTGGGCGGTTGTTGCCTTTTCCGTCGTTATCAACAGCGTGGGAGGAAAAGTTCTCCCTCGATTTGAGGGAATGATCCTGGTGTTGCACATTCTGGGATTCTTTGCGATTCTGATCCCCTTGACCTATATGGCCGACCACGGAAGTGCCAAAGAAGTGTTTACAGAGTTCTTGAACCTTGGAGAATTTCCTTCTCAAGGATTGTCTTTCTTCGTCGGTACTGTTGGATGCATCTTTGCATTTGCTGGCGGTGATGCAGCCGTTCACGTATGTCTCCTCGATCCTCATCTTAGATTTGGACTCACAAGTGATCTCGATTTTAGATGTCCGAAGAAATCACGAATGCCTCGACCGCAGTCCCGACTTCAATCATGCTCAGTGTCTTGATCAATGGATCAATGGGCTTCGGCATGCTGCTTGCCATGCTATTTTGCAGCGGTGACCTCGAGAAAGCGTTGGAATCCTCGACCGGTTACCCCTTTATGTCGATTTTCTACCAGGCAACTGGATCGATTGCAGGAACTGCCGTTATGGCCTCGATTGTTACAACCATGGGTGCCACAACTTCGGTCGGTATGTTGGCGTCAACTTCCCGTCAGTTCTGGTCCTTTGCCAGGGACAGAGGTATCCCCGGCTGGCGAGTGTGGAGCAAGGTATGAGATGAGATTCCATGAAGACTACTCCAGAATATCAAGCTCACAAATCAAAAGGTCACCAAAAGCAATGCAGTCCCTCTCTATTCGGTACTTGTGACCTCGGTCATTGCATGTCTGCTTGCCCTGATCAACATCGGCTCACCTGTGGCTTTCAACGACCTTTGCTCCATGTCGATCTCCGGTCTCTATCTATCATACATGGTCGTCGGAGGTCTTCTTCTCTGGCGTCGCTGCACGGGTGGAATCAGCTCTACTCGAAGCAGTGACTCAGCTGTTGTCAACACCGCCGGCGCGAGACTGGTGTGGGGACCGTTCCATCTTCCTGGTATTTGGGGAATTATCGTAAACGCCTGGGCTTTGATTTACATGACCATTGCCGTCTTCTTTACGTTTTGGCCTACTTCGTGGGTGGTGGATGTTCAAACAATGAACTTCAGCGTGGTCGGGACTGTCGGTACAATTATCCTCAGTCTCTTCTACTACATTTTCCGCGCGAGCAAGGTTTACGAGGGACCTATCATGGAGCAAACCTAGTGACATACTACGTACCAAGGGATGTTGGCCCTTGTACTTTGAGATTGGGTGTACATAATTCCAGCAGGGCATAAAGCCACGTTTGTTCATAATAGAAAAAATTCCACGTATAATATTTTATAAACAATGATTTGGTATCGATTAGAATTAGTTGAGATTGATCGGAGAAGAGTAAGCGGACTTTGACTGTTGATTTATGTTCTGATTGAGAGATTGTGAGGAACTCAGTGTCTGACCAAAACTCAAGGCCCCTACAGCGAGCTTTAAACGACATTCTAACAATACTCGTATCTTGATATTCGCCCCCAACAGACGCTAAACCCCACCAAAACTAGTACGAGTAGTACAAGGCTCGAGCCAGCATCGAATGAAGATCTACAGTCATTTTTCGGACGTTGACCGAAACTTTGTATTTGGAGTAAGCACTCAAATCTAGCTCCCGCGGCTAACGAGAAGATCGATCAGACTACCGCACGTTGACGGGTGAGAAGCTAAATTGATGTCTAGCATGGAGTATATCTTCAACGGTCGTTCGGATATTGGTAGTTTGCAGTTGACGCAGCATAAATTTGCCTTTGTCAATCTAGAGACGGCCAAGTGTGGAATCTTACTTGCCATGTCAAAGGTAAACCATGGAACATCCAGGGTGACTAGGAGAGGGATCCATCGAGATGAGTTCGCATTATGAATTTCCTCCTGAAGTCAGCAGCAATCTACGTATTTCATACTCTGTGTGTTTTCGTACAATCTTCCCGAAGAAGTACCCTCGCAGAACAGTCTAAGGGGCAATTGGGGTAGTATACTCTATAAAGAGGAGGAGGCTTGGAACAGCGGTGAAATATTTTTCACGCTAGAGAACATGTAAAATATGATGAACCATGTGCTGAACAAGAATGCGCAGAAATGCACCTGGGCGTTGAATTTAGCCGCATCCCTCATTCGGTTGCCTTATTTGTGCATATGCATACCACCAGATGCATAGCAGCGCCTTGTAAAGTCCACATGGACAATCCCAGTCAAGTGACGTGTTAGTCTACTTAGTCAACAATCATCGGTCGCACAAGGACGCCGCAGACGTTAGATTGTTGATGTTGTCAACTGATAAGATCCACCCGCAAGGAGATATGAGCTTGCAGACAACATCGCCGGGATCTTCCGGTGGTGTTTCACGTTTCAGGAAAGAAAAGTTAAAGTGATAAGATTTTGTTACTTGAGATAGGTTCAATATGTCCAATTTGTATTGGTGGGTATCGTAAAAGTAGTGTGGTATAAACAAAGCAGTGAGACATGCGAGAGCATGTTGTGAAACTCACCAGGTGCAGATCGCGGAATGTCGTAAATAAAATCGCAACAGGGGTAAGGTAAGATCTTGCCCGGATATCAAAGAATGCGACCCCTAATGATGTCGCATGGAGCAAAGTTTCGGCGAAACATAACAAAATAGAACGCTCAAATCAGAATCAAAATCAAAATCACAATGAGTCAACGGGAGTCGAGATGGGGCTGATTCATCTGAGTCGCATGGCCCTCATACTGAAGGCTCTCAGCCGGAGGCCAAGAGTACAGTGGTAGCTGATCCTGCTATAAAATCCCGATTAGCAATCAATCCAATGTCTCGAATAGTTGCTTAGAGATGACTCACCTGAGGTTCCATCTTCATCAAGGTTGGGTCGATTTCAAGATCTGGGCTCCAGATCGTAGGATCCATTTGTTGCTCGGGGACCGAAAAAGCCTCGGGCTTCAGAATGCTCCGAAGATATTGGTCAATGACTGTCACCATCTCAACGGGCATGCCCGATGAAGGGTACTGAGGGTTTGTGAATGTGTCGCTTGGGAGAGGTGAGCTGCATGTTTCACCGGTGTAGGAATATGGAGACGGGTACTCGTCGACGGAGACTGGCGACTGACTTGGGCCCCTGGAACACTGCGAGCATGAGATGAAAGAGTCGATGCTCCCCCACGCTCGTGTGCAGCTAGGATCTTGGGCTATAGGTACGGAAGTCGGAGTGGGAGTGGTGGACTGCCTCGCTAGTTGTGGCGTTTGTGGCTGCTGAAGCTGAAGCGGTTGTTGATGCTGTTGTGGGTGCGGCTCACTCGATCGACGAGATTTCGTTTCGCTGCGCGCATGCGGCTTCTTTGCTTTGGGTGTTGAAGGTGCGCTGGTCCAAGGTTAGCATCCTAGTACTAGTTTTTTTCACCTTTCACGGTGCCAATAGATAAAACTCACTGTCGGGAAAGATGCTGATTCAAGTAATCTGCGCGATGGAATGCCTTTCCGCATCCCTCGTATGTGCACGTATATTGCTTTTTTGGTTCATGGCTGAGTTCATGGCGTCTCCGGTGTTCGGCTCTGGTGAATACCTACGCGCATTCCGATTAATGATTTGCTGATTGCTTGTTTTTTTCAATCGAGACATACCTTGAAGCATCCCGGATGCTCGCATGCATGTACGCGCTTCCCTTTCATTGCTTTACTCACCCGAGCAGAGCTTGTAAGTGGCGGGGAAGACGACTTCATCTGGGAGCGCAGATAACTTCCTGATCTGCTTGGGGTATTGTTGCCAAGTGACGCGGATCTAGTGGGATCGTAGAGCGTCGGCGCTGGAGCGGGATAGGGCGTATTGTATGAAGCCATGATGTGAGCGAGAAAGCTGATTGTACTTTGAAGTCCTCGATGAACGTTCAAGAGGCCATGCAAAATGGGCAAGAAACTCAAGCGACGTGACGATGTGAAGAAGAGGGACGCACGAGCGATTGCTGAAGAAATGCAGATAAAGTTACAAAAAACAAAAGGGAAATGGACCTTAATAAAAGATCAGAAGAAGCAAGAGTGGATAGGGCGGAAAGACTCGTCGGTCTAAGCTATCAATCCCCGCCGATCCACGAGTGTGCCTAATTTATCACAGAAAGATGGGAGAATCCAGAAGCGGGCTAAGACCGAACGGTAAATCGGAAAACGCCTGAAACGATCCCAAGAACGCCTAATGGTTATGGAGGTCAGGGATGTACAAAATGGACCAGGGACGAATAGACCCGCGTTCGGTGAATTTACGGGGGACGATCATCTCCTCCAACAGTCGATTAGAGCCTCAGCCTGGATCTCTCGCTCAAGCTCGGCTGCACGTCCCTGACCAAAAGTTTATCCCATTGGGTCCCTCGTGTGCCCCACTGTTGATGGGTCGCAGGCATTTTGGAGTCCTCCATTAGGGCGCAGGGGAGATTGGAGATCCAATCTCCCAGGTCGAAACCACTCATAACTATTCGTACGAGTAGTACTCGGATCGGGTGACTCTAAAGACCGACCCTCCAAAGCCCTCATTCTCTTTTGTGTTTGAATGAGTAGTCCAGTTTCGACTGTGGGGCGATCTTTCGCCCTGGAGGTTTGATGTCGATCATGACCCCATGTCACTCCTGTAGATTGTACGAGTACATATTCAAACTCTTCATAGTTTTCATTCCTTGAAGGCTGTGCTTTTATTTTTGGTAAATTCATATGTATGACTTCCCGTCTGCGTAGGGTTAAGTGGTATGATTCACTGGGCTGAGTGCCAGCAGAAACCAACACAAGTCCAAGTTTATGATTGGAGCAAGTGCCGCACCCTTGAGCAGTATAGACAGGGGGGGTCACTTTTCCTTTTTGACGATCTACACCCGAATGGTTTGTTGATCTCAAGCGGGTTTTTACCGTCAGGTTGCGAGCCGCCCAAGAGGCTCAATACACCTTGGCTGGACCCGCTTGGTCTCGACGTGCATATACGCGAGACCCACTCACAATTTTCTGTTCAATGGCAGCCCATATCCTAGCCGGTGCACCTGGGCATCCACTTTGACTTCCTATCCGCCCCACTCCGGCCCCACTCCCGTGCAGTTGACCTTGGGCCCGGGTGCTTCCACAATCCAACCCGGTACTTATCTCATTACCGTTACATCATGTACTATACGGAACATCACTGGAATTTTGCATTTACGGTATTACTATGGGTATTCGTCTGCACACTTAGTCCAACACGCTTCGGTGCTGTCCGTTCCGTACGAGTACTCGTACAGAGTACGGCTACCTCGGAAGGACGGTCCATCTTGTCCTGCTCTGTTTCTTCGGTCTTCAAGTCTTCGTTGGAGCATGTTTCAGAATTCCACTTGATCACAAGCTTGCATCCGAGATTTCCTAACGGTCCGTGGGGGCCAAATGGAGTGCCTGTCAATTGCAACAGTACAATGCATTACTGCATAGACAGTGCCGGCAATTTAGGCACAGCCGATGCGCTGCCTTGCCAGGAATACTTCCGCCCATTTACGGAATTAGAGGGCGGTAATCGATACGGGGTGACTAGAGATTTGGAATTGTTCGATTTTGGTTCTGACAGACTCCTCTTTGGGGCCTTAGCGGCCGCAGTTGTTTCCCTATTTGGTAAACGGTTCAAAACGGCGGCCCAGCGTATTTACCCAAACCGATTTGGCCTGCGTGAAAAAGTCAACCTTGGATGTCCTCAAACAGTACGGAGATCTAGGCTGATTTGTGCAGGGATCATATTCCTGTTCTCCTGGATTTTGGGATTAATTTTGCTCAAAGAGAGCCATCTCATGAATATCAGCCGGCTAAATACCAGCTATCATGACTCGCGCAGTGCACGGCCAGTCTATATTATGGGATCGTGAAGGGCAGTCACTACTCCGTACAGAGCACCCCCTTATTTTTAGAAAAGACTCACGGCTGACATCGACAGCCCTACGGACTGAATAAATGATGTCAACTCAAAATCCCCCTCTTTCTTCCCTTGGCAGGGGATCATGATGTACAGCCACATTGCTTCGCCCATGCTAAGTTTGGAACTCGGGGCCAGGGTCAGATCGTCATTCACGGTCGCAGCCCGGGCCCGGAGTGGGGTGGGAGGTGCTGTCTTCCTGAACATGGAGAATGAGGAGTAGATCTGAAGGCGAAGACATCCAAATATCTCCACAAGTGTGGTCCGTTACAATTTAACTCGCTCTTCAGGTCAGATTACATTTACGCTGTAGATCAAGAATGAGTTGCGCATCCCAAGCAAACTTCGGCTTTTTACGCGATTCTTCCCGCTCAGATCGGCTTTCTACCAAGCATCTCGCTTCCCTCTTTAGGTAAAGTCTGAGCACTCTCTATTGGTTCATCAGAGCAATCATGCTTCCGGCCTCCTACTTTATGATCATGATTTGATATTGATAGCATGGCACAGAGGTTTGTATTGATAAGTTAGTAACTGTTACAGAATAGTTAGTCCCCGGATTCCCCCCTAGCAACTGGCTGCAGAACTTTACGGCTGTGGACATTTCTAGGATCTAGGCCTGTTTTTTGTCATTTTCTTTCCTTTTTTTTTTCGGCAAAGGGCATTTGTCTTCATTGAGCCCCTTGCCTTGATTCTTCTCTTTTTCTTCGTCTATCTCTCTTGTGGGAGTTCGCTATACCTGCTCGACCATTTATCGAATTCCTTCATTCTTTTCGTTTCTTGATCTTCTCCTTCTTCAGTCAATTTCCAAGGCCCCACGAGGAGAGAAATTGACACCTCAGAACCCCGAAAAGAGGCTCATGTAGTTTTAGCTAGCTACTAATATGGTATGGCTCCCGAGATCCCGCAGAAGCCCACAGGCGAGGTCAAATACTCTGCCCCGAGTGCGTCTGTGTCCATAATCAAAGTTCGAGATTATGACTTCCCAATCGCTTTGTGGTGGTACTTGATCGAGGAAAATTGAAACACGTCCATTCATCATCAATTCTCAACATTTACGCCTTCAACCTGCTTCGTGAAATGTGCAAGGAGTCTTTGTTGCCATCTTCTCGGTATGTCATTCGGTTCCGGATCAAGAAGAATGTCTGGGCCTACACGTCAATAGCCACAGGAGTCCTTCAGTCACACATTGGAAGCACCATGAGAAAATGGGATGATTTCCAAGACCAAAGAGAAGGCGAGATTGAGTGCCTCGAAGTTCCACCTGCAGAAACCTGGACTTTTGTTGCGTCGACGGAAGCGACGAGGTCTTCTCCGTTGCCATTCTTCCACCCGAACGTGGAAGACACAGATGATCAATCAGAGGAACCAAATTTTGATGACTTTCTTGACGAAGATTTTATCGGGGGAATCTCCCAAGCTGATAAATCAGTTGTCTTCAATTTTGCTTTCGGTGAGCACAGTCTTGCGGCCGTCTACAAAAGGAGCACCTCGATCGAAACCTTGGCACAGAAGAAAGAATTCCCATCGGAGGCTCCACTGCAACTGGTTCAAAAGTTACTGAATCAAAATCTTCCGCAACTTGACCTCGTCGCGCAGCATTTGTTGCATCATTTCAGTACGGTACAATCGTCACACGGAACCTCTCTGATGGCTCTTGGACGAATCATAGACTACTACAAGAGCCACTTGCCCTATGCGACTGTGTCAATGAATGTGATAAGGGAGCCCGTCAGATTGTGGGGCTGGACTCAGTCACTGGCTAAAGAACTTGACCTCCTCAGTCCCCTTGCGGAACAAGAAGCGCGCGAAAATCGAATTCCAACAACGATATACCCAAGCCAATTATCTCGTGAATATGCATTCGCGGCGATTCTTCAATTCGAGTCCGGTGATATCAGCGTTGATACTACCAAGCTAACAGAAGTCCTGGCGATATCTAGCGGCAATTCCCTTTTCATTGCTGATCAACTGCTGCATGATCCGATTGCCGCGGAGGATAACTCAGCAGGGCACGTTTCACACGTCATAGGAAATGTTGGTAAACCAGGGGTCACGCTTTTGATCTCTCCGCCGGAGTTGAACATTCGCGAGCACGAGCTTGAGCGGTGGCAATTTGTCAATCACAGACCATTTGACGGGGAGTCAAGAGGTGGGATGTTCGACGGTACATCCCTTCATTTATATTTCACTGGTTGGGAAGGGGCCATCAGTCCGCAGCCAACCAACTCTCGAGGACTTGAGGCATATTATGTCGAGACCACAATCTCAGTGAACGATGCGGGGGAGTGGGTGGGCGATGTAGACATATTGAAAGGACTCCGCAATTTGGAATTGGGAGTGGGGGATCTGACTGAAAAGTGCTTGCATGATCAGTCTTTCACATCGGCTGGTCTCAAGATGATTTCCATCGACTGCTGGGAAGAGATTTTGGATCCGCCAGACGGTGTACTTTTGTTGCGTTCGACACCTGCAGCATTGGATCAAGGTAGGCAATGGCAATGGATGGTCAGACTTGCTGCGGCAAGTATCGCGTTTTCGCGACAATATCGATGTATTTGTTTGCCACTGGACAGGAGTTTTTGTTGGACCTGTGTGGTTGGCAAAATCAGCACCCAGAGCAAGAAGAATGTCTTGCTTATTTATTGAGACCTCACACGTTTCGGTGGCCAACTGCTAGAACAGCCCGTTCAATCCAAATAGAAAGAAATAGACACAGAACTGATGAGCAACGAGAAAGAAATCCTTGACACAGATTTGGATCTTTGATGAATCTGGCTTTGGGGCTGCATCAGCTGCATTTCCCCGTGTCAATACGCGGAGTAAACTTCAATCTGGTATGTTTTACGGATTTTTCGAATTCAAGCAATCTTAATACGCTGCGTTTGCTGCCAGTTTCTGCGTAGCTTGGCGGCATGTACCATCTGGGCACCAATCTCGCCAATGTACACATCGTGGCGTAAACTCTCGTGTACAAATACTTAAGTACTTTTTCTACAGAACATCAGTATACTTTGAATTGGTGTTAAGTCAAGTGCGGCTTTCTGCTGGTGTGAGTCTCAACCTGAATATATCTGCTTCTTCGAATTTGTGTCAATTTTCTTTTTTGAAGTAAGGGAAGAAGCGATGTAACCAGACATTGCAATACCAACTGGCCCTCTTCCGTACACAACCTACTAATATTGACCATTGCACCTGGGTTTACCTGCACGCTCACGTGTAGATCGGGATCCCTAGGCCCCAGTGGCCCTGGAGCCTCACTCTATTCACTTGTCTTTCTAAAGTTTCACTTTGAATACTTACACTACACAGTCAGGTCTTCGGAACATGTCATTACAAGGGTATGCAATTCGACGGAACGGCTTTTGCCTACCCTCAGAAACCCTTTGTGGTTCTGCGTGGGACTGGAATCCATGCTGTCCTGGAGATACAAAATGCAAGATGTTGCATGACAACACACAGTGCAATCCAGCGAACACAGATGGTCCAGCATTTAGCCGATGCTCAAACTCGACCTGGGAACTCTACCAGTCCAATGGATTCTTTTGTTGTGAACCTGGTCAAATAGCGTTCACAAGTACCGAAGTCGACTATCGAGAATGGTACGGGTGTGCTGAGGAAGACACCTTTGATGACAAGACCATGCGCTCACTGAGTGCCTTACTTCGTAAGTGTTCTAGAAGACGAGGGAGCCCAGGACAACTCCCGAACACATTCTGATGACATGGAAATCGATAGAATCAGCTTCAACTCCAACTTCAACTCCATCGGTGTCTTCCCAAACCTCCACAACAGTGTATTCTACACCAGCCTTCTCTACGACCGCCTCTACGACAAGTATTCTATCGACCATTGACTCACAAATAGATGCAAAAAGCACTTCAAATACAGGCGCAATAGCCAGTGGCGTGGTGGGCGGAATCTGTGCACTGGCTGCTATTGCAGGCCTAGTCTGGCTACTAGTCCGCCGCCAATCTCAAGCAACCACAGAAGCGCTCGCAAACTCTCATCCCGGAAAAGGGGAATACAAGAATCCTCAAAGCCCATCTTTGTCATACGGCGACAGCTCGGTTGTCGAGCTATCTGCACATGGCCAAGCGCGATCCGAGCTTGCTTGATGCTTCGTCGGACCCTGGACTGAATATTATTCGACCTGCAAACCTTCTTATCGATGAAATCTATCCATGGATAAATGCCATGAGGGAGTTAATTGTCTGACAAAGGGTGAATTTGGTGCTTACTCCCGAGGTCACGACTATACTCACTAATGTCGGCTGTTCTGCTCCTGTTCATTATGCTTGATGTTCTAAAGTTCTGTAGATCTACAACTGGGTTAAAGAGCGATGAGGGGCCACCCTGCGTGGACAAATCGGAGATTATTCATTTCATGACCGGAGGACCCCTGTGGTACTGCTCCTATCGCGTGCTAGATCTATAGCTGAGCAATCAGGGATCAAAAAAACCGAGATCCGAAGCAAAATGGCTCTCTTGCGAGATAACGGAGTTCTCTTAGCTCCGTAAGTTGCGCAACATCCGTTGTATATTGTTCAATCGCGCGGTAGGTCCCGACAATCTCCCACAATTTGCGGGGGAAATTGCGAATATCAACAGCGGCACATCTTGCACGCTTATCGACTCGACATACAAGAAATGCATCAAATGGTGTGACAGTCCAGATCTGCGGGGGCCTCAGTCTGGCGAGCGGACATTCGGCACGAGATGAAGTATAAAGCCTCTCGTGGGTCAGCTTCTTGTGCTTCGTAGACTCCCACTTGATCAACTACTCTCAAGTACATCTTATCCAAATGGCTGCAGTGACTGAAACCTCCACCCCGGTGGTCCCCGTCGATGAAAAAATCACCTTGAAAGGTCTCGCACGGGAACCTCTCAAGTCGAATGGAAGTCTCGATGCCTTTGAGTCTTTCGATGTGACTCCAGTCATTGGACGAGAGTTCCCCAATGCTAGTTTGAAGGACTTCTTGCGCGCACCGAACTCCGACGATCTACTTCGGGAGCTTTCTCTGACCAGTTCGTCTCGTTCCATTCCTGAACCAAATCACCGGATTTAACAATCTTGAATAGTCTCGCAGCGTGGAGTTGTTTTCTTCCGAAAGCAAGATGGTCTAGATGATGATCTGCAGAAAGAACTGGTCCAGCGTCTCGGAGAACTCTCAGGCAAGCCCAGCACTTTAGGGCTACACATTCATCCGGTAGTCAACTCTGGACGTGAGCACAGTGTCAAAGACGACGAAATCAGCGTTATTAGTTCGGCGCAACGAAAGAAGCTCTACACATATCGCAATGAGCGCAGCCAAAGCTCCCGTAGAGAGTGGCACAGCGACATCACCTTCGAGCCTATTCCCAGCGATTACACTCTCTTGCGACTGACGGAACTTCCCAAGACCGGCGGCGGTAAGAGATGAACACATGAACGCTCTCCGAAATCAGACTAACAGCCACAGATACCCTCTGGGCATCAGGGTACGAAGTTTATGACCGGATTTCCAAGCCGTACCAACAATTCCTGGAGACTTTAACAGCAACATATGCTCAACCCAGATTCAACGAGATTGCCAAGAACAACGATTTCAAAGTCCACCCTGGTCCACGCGGTGCGCCTGAAAATGTCGGCGAAGATCTGAGCGCCGAACACCCTGTCATTCGCACCAACCCCGTCACCGGGTGGAAGAGTGTTTTTGCCGTTGGGTCGCACGTACAGAAGATCAATGATCTCTCTGAAGAAGAGAGTCGCCATTTGCTCCAATGGTTCGTCACTTTGATTGTAGAGAATCATGATCTGCAGGTACGCCTTCGCTGGCAGAACCCCAATGATCTCGGTATGTGCCCTTCTCCCTTACCATGATACTTGTCACTGACCATGTCGTAGCCATCTGGGATCACAGATCGGTCTATCATGCGGCGACTTGGGATTATGACGGTCTTGGTCCTCGTACGGGACACCGTGCTGTCGGTCTTGGCGAGAGGCCTTATTTGGACCCTGAAAGCATTGGGCGTCAGGAAGCACTGGCTGCTCAGGAATAGGTAATGTGAGTCCATTCTTGGGGTCAATTGTCACAGAACTTCAGGACCAGTGTCGCAATTTTCATCCAAATATTTCAAATAGGCAGTATAAACAATTTTGGAAGAAATATTTAACAAACGCTAAGCATCACTGGTGACACTGGGGGCCCTTATTTCTTGGATTAACTCGCAAGGGGGTTCTTTCCAAAGTTCTTCTTGTTCGCAGGATCTTTGTGCTGTAATTCGAGTGCATGATTTCTTCAGCAAAAGTCTGTGTAAGATCGTTACGCTCCCGGAAAAGATATTGGAAAGAAAATGAAAACTCATATTAGCTGTTGAAGCCATGCACTATTGACGAAGAATGCAAATAGATCACAATTCCAAAGAAAAGCATGCACCTATGATATGACAATGTGCCCAGGGATCGACAGGAATTTACATTTAGATGTCATTTTGTTTCACCGGCTCCAACACCGGAACTCGAATGGCACCCTTGCTGGAATCAGCGGCCTGGTCGCTGATAGCAGAGGGGATAGGCGACGGGCCTGGCGTGAGGCCCCTGTTCTGCCGTTGGATAAGACCGTTCGTGATTCCCAGTACAGAATCGACGATCACGGCATCAATGCCCTCTGCGACTTGATGCTGTTTTGGGAAAATGGTTAGAATGCTGGTCGAGATAGGTCTCGGTTTCGAAGATAGCGAACTTACCTCGACATGCTCACTGTTATTGTTCATTGCTCCGTACGAAACACAAACAAGACCGGATTCCTTGACAATACGAACGAGTCGGGGACAGAGGACGAGAGGCTCGGCCTGAGTGACGATTCCGAGAAGGTTCCACCGTGACGCAAATCTGACAGCCTCCTGCAAGCTGCTGGCGCGGATATCACCGACCGGGGAGGCACCGGCATCGGTCAGGAAGAGGACTGGGATAGAGGGCTGCTTGAAAGAGAGCAGTAGACAAACATCAGGGTTGAAGCTTGAGAACAGCATGTCACGAGTACCGCCCAAGTCGTAGACCATTGTTAAGATGGTATCGACGAATGAGTTTAGCTCGACGGCATATGTGTCCATTTCCTCTTCCTCGCTCTCGTGAAGCATGGGGTATTCTGGCGACCTAGGTTAGATCGACGACATAGCTGTTCTTTTGGATGCAGGATTAACTCACTGAGTTCAATATTGAAACCGACAGGTTCGGGAATCTTTTTGAAAAGCTCCTCCAATGTGGCGAATGGGGCCTGGATGTGCTCTCCGCGGGTATTACCCTTGAATCCCTTCTTTTTGAAGTCACGGGTGTGCTTGATCTTCTCCGTAAGATCGGCGGGGTTGTATTCCGAGCCACCGACGGACATTGAACGCTGGCGTGGGCCAAGCTCCGGTGGTTCGCCGTTGGTCTTTGGCTGACCGGTTTGGCCACCATGCCCACGTCCCATACCCAACTCCAGGAATTGATCTAGTGTCATGGTGTGGACAGGTGCATCAATGCCAGTCTCACTGACCAGGAAGTCATGGTAAATGACGGGGACGTGGTCTTTGGTGAGCTGCACGTCGAATTCAACATAGGAGGCGCCCAGATTGGCCGCGGCGATAAAAGATTGGATGGTGTTCTCGCCCAATTGTAGAGAATTGCGGCTAGCCATATTCTTTCCCAGGCCACGGTGACCGATAACCATCGTGGAGCTCATTGAACGCCAGTAGGTCTGGTTGCCGGTGATTGACATGTTGGGGTGTGTGAATGGAGTGATGACAAGGAAGTTGAAAGTCACGGACCCGATTACCTCCAAGGTATTCGCAGCAACAATTGGAACAGTGGAATCACCCTTCAGGTTGATTCGATGGGATCCGATAGTAGGCTTGATGCTAGAAAGCAGCGCGACACCGCGACCAACTACCTTCTCCTTCGATCCAGCATAGGTGGGGACAAGGTCGAAAAGCAGACGTACTTTGCTGGGATCGCTGGTGTGGAAGACAATGGGCTCAGTGGATATATTGTCCTGTACAGGCAGGTCAATCACCTCTGGCTCACCGTGCGCACCGCTGGCTGTAACCACCATGGACAGAGATGTGTCCAATTGGGTAGCATGGGCGTTCTCCATCGGGATACGGTCAAGGCTGACTGTTTCAAGTGGTTTGCGCATGTCCATTGTTCCAAGGCTAACCAGAATCATGGTCTCATTGGTGAGATACCGATGTCCAAATGTCTTGATAGGCTCAGCATTGCGTGGGCCAGAGCTCCCGGAGGTGGGACCAGGCGCATTCGATCGGCGATCAAAAAGAGATGATTGGGCAGGAGGGGATGAAGACTCGGAGCCGGTAAGATTTGGGGTAGAGGCGCTGGGGGTGGAGATATTAGGGGTGGGAATCGAAAGTTCAAGCTCAGTGGCGGGAGGACCAGGGCTGACTTCTGCTAGACACCGAGCTATGTCAAGATGACCACGCAGAGCGGCGTGCTCCTTCGCTGTCCAGCCCGAAGAATCAAAGCGTTCAAGGTCTGCGCCAGCGGCAACCAGCTGTTTAGCTACCTCTAAAGCCCCGTCCACACAGGCAATGAAGAGCGGAGTCCAACCGTATGTAACCTCAGCCAACTCAGTGTCGGCCTTTTGGTGATTGGTGCCCTCGAGTAGAATCTGCGCACACTCATCATGGCCAAAGCGGGCAGCAACGTGAAGCGCAGTCTCTCCCTGCTCGTCTTGGTAGTTGATATCCACCCCGGCATCAACGAGGAGCCGCACAATATCGATGAAGTTGGCCTTGGTCGCCAGGGCCAACACAGCACTGGATTTGGAAATTTGTTTTCTGATCTTGCCAATTTCTTGCGAAGCCTCGTTGCGTTTTTCCGAATCCAAAAGGCAGCGGGTAGTCTTAGGGTGGCCACCTACAACACTCAGATGAAGCGGGGCCCAACCGTCGTCATCCTGCCACAAGGGGCCGTCGATGCCGTCGCTGACGTCGAACATTTCCCATTCCGAAAGGTGTTCAATGATTACCTCACACACGACCTTGAAACCGTACTGAGCGGCGTAGTGCAGAGGGGTACGTCCTGCGTTGTCCTTCGCCATCAATGACTCACGCTGATCAGGGCGCAGTGAGTCCAACAAAAAGGAAAGCAGAGTAACAGTCAAGTCATCCCGTCCTAGCTGTTGGGACATGTGCTCTTCCTTTACTATAGCTCGGGGAGGCTGAAGTGTCGGGGGCGCTGCGGGAGTAATGTAACGGGTTGTTTCCGGTGGGAAGTTGAGGACCATGGACGCCGCAGGCTCGGAATCACTCGTAGGCTGCTCACGGCCAATGGAGATAACCAGACGGTGGAGGCAATTGCGCTTGTTGATATCATCATCTTCCTCCAGTGTATCAACTCGTTTCAATAGGAGAGCCAACACAGCCCGGGAGCGGTGGAGAATGGAGCGCTGGATCAGGGTTCTGAGGACTCTGGGGTAAACCGTGTCACCAGCCTCATCGGCAGTGACCTTCAGCGTTTCGAGCAATTCCAGCAAGACATGAGTATCGTCATTGCGCAGCGAATCATCAACCGCAGTAACCACGCTAGTGGGCAGATTGAGATAAGGGCGAGTGGCACCCCGCTTCAGTGACAGGGAAGAATGCGTCGAGCTGGCGTCGTCGGCAATCTTATCGTCCGCCTTGGACTGGTCGGTAATAATGGCCATCCAGGCATTGATACGATCCTGGGATTGGAACACCCGCGAATTGGAAGCAAACGGAGTGGGATCGACCTTGGTCTCCAGATACCGTTTTTGGGCCTGTGCGCCAACCTTCTTATCCAATTTCTTGGTAATCTTGATGAACCCTCGGCGATTGACTTCGCCATACCATTGTAAGCGGCGGAAATGATACCGCAAATCCAACAGGGCCTCGCGGAGGTCATGGCGGTCCTCGGGTTCTAGAGGGTGGCGACCTTCCATCGAATATCCATATCGTTCCTCGAGGAGTTTTAATCGGCGGGCGAACTCGGCATACTTCTTGTTGTAAAAGTAATCGACATCTTCAACATTTCGGTCGAGAGAATAAAAGAAGCCTGGTGGTCACGAATAGATATCAGTCAGGGCTCAATGGCCAAACGCAGGTGTGGTTCTCACCAGCCAGATCAGCTTCCTGTCCCGCTTTGATTTGCTCGGCGGCGGACTTGATCAGCTGCTTCAGGGACTTGTATTTGATGTATGAGGTGCTCCACTCGGGAACGGTGAATTGTGACAGATTGCGGCCGAACTTCATGTTGACGGTACCACCAGGTGATTTGTGCCACCGCTTTTCCAAATTCCAAAAGATGTAATTCAACCTGAGTATCACGACAAAGTGATCAGGTGAGCGCTCGAACGCAGAAAGATGTGAGAGACGCCATTGAAGGAGAGAAAGGGGGGAATAGGATCAAAGGTAGAAGGTAGAAGGGTGTAGAGGAACAAAGAGACCAAGCTCCTCGCCTGACTGTACCTGAGTTGAGTCCACGAAAGTGCGTTCAAAGAGCGTGTGGTCGATGTCGAAGATGTGAGTGGGTGAGAGTCAAGAGGAAGAACCAGGGAAGGGTGTGCGCAGTCAATCCACAATGATTCGCCGAACCAGAGGGCAGTACTGCTTATATATCACACTCTCTTCTCCAGGACTCTCCCGAGGTAAACAGCTTCAATTTTCACTTTTGCGGTGTGTGTGGATTGCCCTAACTCCATCCTGTCCCACGTCATGCGGAATGATGAGAGGAGCCTCTGCACGAACGGGAACAATGAATTGGACCGTCCTGACTCCACTTGCTGCACGACCTGCCTCCAGGGTCGGGATCGGCGTCGGTCTAGTCGCAATGTCCGACCCCAGATCCTCCGTGTTTCGCTATTCCCGTTCAGAATGTTCTGATTCTACTCCGTACGATTTCTCTTGGCTTGTGCAAAGGAAGACGCGGGCTCACCCTTGGAAGCACGGTGAGTTCGAGGTAAAAAGCACGTCGGGTGACTTGGACCACAGCTATACAGCGCCACAATTTTATGGTGACACTAGTTGGATTCGCATGTTGGAGAGTCAGGTGGTCAGGGGCACTGGACTAGAAACCCGCCCTGGTATTCTACCGTGTTGGGGGTCTAGGAAATAGAGGGCCAATCAAAGGCAACTATACAGGGGGTACGAAGCACGAGTAGAACAAAAAGACTTTGGATGCAGGACATACGAGGTAGTACCTAGCAGAAGGTTCAGCTGGTCAGATCTATGGCCGCGAAATTGCACGATGCCTTCACCAAAGAAAATAAAATAAAATCAGAATCAATCGCTAAAGCCGCTGTGCTCATGGTCAGGTCGTATCAGAGGATAAAAAAGCAAAATAGACCCCTCCCCTCAAACTCCAGTACAGCAATCCATCCCATAGCCCCATGCAAAATTGAGGTGCCGATGATTGGCCCCCAAGGATCCGAAGTAGTCATGCTCATCACTGAACCAGGGGTTTCAAAGCCTCCACCGCAATTTGTAGCACCGCTTGCGTCTTCGTTTTCTTGATACAAGCAGTAAGGGTTGCGATTCCTCCCGCAGTCCGAACGGCCTCTCGTGCGCGAGATCCAATATCCCCTGTTGCGATACAGGTAAGGTTGCGCACGCAGACCACTCCGCGATGCACGAGAGCATCGTCGTCCTCCTGGCATAGCCCCAGGAGCAGTTCCACGCCCCGGGGTCGGTCCAAGACAGCCGCGATGGCGGCGTCGAAGTCTGTCAGCATGGCAAGAGCGCCGCCGGCAGCTCGGCGAGTGGGAAAGTCGTCGGTATCGGTTAGAGCGAGGAGGATGTGGAGACGCTGAGAGGCTTGTTTGGAGCCGTCGGCAAACTTGATTACGCCAGACTCGCAGGTCATCAGATTACAGACCAGCTCACAGGCGGCGCGCTGGACCCGGGCATTGCTCGACAGAAGGAGATCTTCCACTGCAGACCAGCCCTCTCGGACTGTGAGCTCAGCGGCGGAATCATCGTGGGGATAAGAGGCGAGGTTCGTCAAAGCCAGAAGACTTTCGAATACGGGAAGAAGGTCGCGAGGTTGGTCGGCGGAGAACGAGAGAGTATCCGGGGATGAGATAAGGGAAAGAAGAGGGCGAACGGCGGATGTGACTTGAGGGAATCCAGACGATGGGAAGACGTGCGAGGGGTCGACAGAAATAAGAATGCGGGCCAGCGCATGGGAGGCAATGCGTGTCGTTTCGTTTGAGACAGGACCAGAGCCACTCTGCTTTGGAGCTGCAAGGCCAAGTAGCAGCTTTACTGCGCCTTGTTGGGCAAGTGCACCGCGGGACTTTTGAGGCCTCGTCAAAGCTTGCAGAATCTTGGCTGAAAGTTCGTTGGTGGAGGGAAGTGCGATTCGACCACACTCAACCAAGAGAGACATAATGCCTGCATCGACGACCGCGGCACATCGTGCCAAGACAGCCTCTTCTTCGTCTCTACTATCTGGGGCTGCTGCTGCTTTGGTCTTTCCGGCAGATGCATCCGCGTAATCCTTTAACTGTGACATTTTTTTCTGCTCTTCAGAGAGATTAGGCAGGAATTTGGTGAGGTTAACCACAATCATCAGACCGCCGTAGAGTACTGAAGAATCGGTGCTGTTTTGTTTCATGGTCGCAATCAAATTTCGAAGAAAGACAGGATCGTGGGCGAGTTCTTCCTTGACGGCAGGCTTGACTGATGTGTAGGCTAAGCCTTCGATTGCGTGGGAACTAGTCTCAATCTTGCTTTCAGACATCAGTCCCTTGAAACGGTGAACGAGCTCAGACTCGCTATCATCCTCCAAGACCTTACCGTTGCCAGTGGAGGGCTTCTCAGGCTCAGATGCCCGGATCTTCGCCAGAGCAACTGCTGCCAGTTCCGAACAAGCATCGCTGCCATTGGTCAGGTTATGCGATAACCACTCCCCAAACTTCTTGGAGACAGCCTCCCGGCAGGGGCGGTTGATGCACGCCGCATTGAGCAGCTCCAGCACCGGAATATCAACCTTCTTGCTTTTGGCTTCACGATTTGCTAACGGAGTGAGGTGTGCCAAGAACTCGTCGGACAAGAATAAGTTTGCTGCTGCCGAGGGAGCAACGGGGAAAATGGCGGCAAGTGCGGAGAAAGCAACGATCAAGTCGTCGACGCGACCTTTGCCAATGATGGACATCACCAGTGTCTGGAACTTTTTCTCCCCATCTTCCTTGGCGACCTCCAAAAATTTGGCAGTAGCTAGCGTTGCCTGGCTTCGCACCTCCAGTGGTAGTCGGTAATCCAAGGAGGACAGAATGACTTCAAATCCTTCGTCGTCGATTAAGTGCTGAAGTTCATCGGCATGAACGGCGAGGAGTCTCGTAATTCCCTTCAGAGAACGTCCATCAAGGTCATGGCCAGATTCCATCAGCTTGGCAATGAACAATTGAAACAATTCGCTCTCGCAATGGGATCGCGTCTCTTCCGAGGTCCACACCGTGGGATCTAGGACCACCGTGTCCAGACACACCGCCGCTCCATCCCCGCGGTCATATATTTCGTCGAAAAATGCGGTGACCGAGGTTTGAAGCTGGGTGGAGAAGTATTGCCTCACGCTAGCATTTTGTCGCACCAGCCCGGAAATGATTTCATCCTGTGTGGGCGAAAGGGATTGCGGTCGCTGCGCAAGCAATAATTTGAGTGATTCTAAGGCGACACCCTCAGGCGACTTCAATCCGTCCGTCCGGAGGTATGCAGCGGCTTCCTTCCCTGCATTCTCCTCATTCTGTGTGTATCGGCGGCAAAGGTCCAGCAGCTGGTGACCATCCTGGTCCTCTTGCTGGACTTTCAGGAATGCAGTTTTGACTTGTGCATTATCGGGGGCAATGGACAGGGCTTCTCGGAGGTTGCGGGATGCGGCCTGGCTGAATTAGCGTGTGGATTCAATGGGGGGTGGAGGGGTTACTGACCTCCCGATGGCCCGCGTCAACGAGTTCAACAGCCTCTCGGGCCAAGTGTACAGCGCGTTCTTCTCCTGTGGGGTGGACCATTGCATAAATATCTGGAGAAAGTGAATTACCCCAGAGTGTTGAAAAGGGGAAGCGGAAGAGACCCGTTATTTTTTTTTCTGGAGGGGGGGAAGTGCGGAGCGGAGGGAAGATAAAGAGCTCCGATACGGGAGTACGGAGTTGGTGCTAATATACTTCAGCAAAAGCAAAGGGAGATCCAATGATGATCTGGTCTCTCTGTCTACGGAGTACAGTAATCTGACAATCGTACTGTCGCCGTATATCTGAGCACTTCATCTCGCATCGTTTCGCCATTATCAATCAGCCCGATAAGGCCAACCACATCCACTGGCTTCATCACGTTTCTCGTCAGCATTCTCCTGTGCGACTACCCCATTGTACGGAATACACCTCCAATGTATTACCTAGGTACTATCTCTCCCCTACCCGGTCTGCTACAATATAGAGCTCATGAAAATGATCTTCCGGATGATCTCACTACGAAACGCAATAGTTGTCTCTTGGCGCGTCCAAGGGATACACCGCCAAGGACTCTTTCTTCTCAAATCGACCGAAGCGGATTCTCAACAAAAAGGTGCTCAAATCTTCCGTGTAGTTTCAGTCAGATCATCACGATCCCCGCCTCCGATTGGGGATGGGTTCCGGATCACCTGAGTCAGAGCAAACAGACTCAGTAGACAGGTGTCCAAAGTACGGAGTACGTGGAGTACAGAATGTATTGGAACAGCCAACATCCGCGAGTAAGAATTCACTAAATTCTTTAATATTAAAGATAGAATAAAGGATGTGTACGAGGTAGATATCATCTAAACAGAACCAAGAAGGACGGGTGGGAAGACACAATTAAAGTAAAAAGATAGGAATGCTCCGGTTTGAGCGATGTACGCAGCAGCAAAGGGCGTCGCGTCATATCTGGACTATCGCCAGTCGTTATCACCTCGTGACCTTATCAAAGATCGTCGGGTCAAAGCTATTCAAATGTCCCATATTCATGGTCTCTACTACGAAGTGCACCACATTGAAGTTGATGTGAAGTTGAAGCTAACAAGCTTGATGCCCTTTTCAATATTCGGTTCTATGCAGTCTGCCAGCATCCCTAGAAGTTCCCATCTTATAAATGCGCTTCGACTGCGCAATCTAGCACAATGAACACTGTCGATGCCTCCGAGCATTACGAGCTAGGCGCCACCGGTCAGTCCAGTCATTTCCATACATAATCAGAAACCCAGCTAACAAAACTCAGACCTTTCTCCCTCTCTCCTCACAATCGTCATTGACACAAACCCACACGCCTGGGACATCCTCGAAGACTCTCTCCCACTCTCCAAGGCGATAGCCAACATCTTGGTCTTCATCAACGCCCACCTAGCTTGCAACTACGCCAACGAAATTGCCGTTGTTGCCTCTCACACCCAAAAAGCAGCATGGCTCTACCCATCTCAAACCCCACCCGCCTCGACAGATCAGGACGGCGACGTCTCAATGAGCACAGAGACAACCCCCCAACCAAATAAATACCGACCCTTCCGCATAGTCGAAGACCAAGTCACACGCAATCTCAAGGAGCTCATGGACTCAACGACCGCCACCCACCTCCACGGCAACACATCCACCATGCTAGCCGGGGCTCTTACTCTCGCTCTCAGCCACATCAACCGCCGAACAATTGCCTGGGCCGAAGAGCACGGTGGCGCAAACCCAGATGACACAGCTGCCGAAGGCACCGCCCCATCAAATCGCTATTCCGCCTCTAACGAAGATGAGAAACTCCAGAGTCGCATTCTAATCGTCTCTGTCAGCGGATCCAGTGATTCAGCCCACCAATATATACCCGTGATGAATAGTATTTTTGCGTGCCAGCGCCTGCACATTCCAATCGATGTGTGCAAACTCAGTGGTGATGCCGTGTTCTTACAGCAGGCCTCCGATGCCACAAAGGGTATTTACATGTCACTGACAGAGCCACGCGGGTTGCTGCAGTACTTGATGATGGCATTTCTGCCGGATCAGAGATCACGGCGACATCTTGTGCTACCCACGCGTGTGGACGTGGATTTCCGTGCTGCGTGCTTTTGTCATCGTCGTGTTGTGGATGTTGGCTTTGTGTGCTCAATTTGCCTTAGTATCTTCTGTGAACCACCGCCTGAGAATGAATGCTTGACTTGTGGAACGCATTTGGACGTTGGGGATCACAATGCAAAGCCTGCCTTGTTACCAAGGAGGAAAAAGAAGAAGAAGAAGGCCAATGGGGCGTCTGGGGCTGGGACGCCAATGTCTGTTTCGACACCAGGCTCCTGATAGCTTTTTTCATGGCCCAACATGGAATACCTATCTACCTTCAAAATAGCTTAGTGATTCAGTACTTGTAGCCATTTACAACATAATAATCTGAGACAACTCCCATGCATTACTTAGGGTGGAGCTCGATGAGTAGGTACACAAAAGATCCCCCAGGCTTGGGACTACTCTGTCACAGGGTTAATGCCCGATAGCAAATGATTGTGTGTTCCAACAAACATAACAAGAGTGCAAGGAGCTCATCTCATGAGTATGCAAGCACGCTCCAGGCTGCATCAGCAACACGGTTAGTAAGCATAACATAACCAAGTCTATTGACGCCAATGAAAAGTGAAGAAGGGCAAATCATGCCCATGACGGATAGGAAAGGCATTATCACAGCTGGGGATATTCGAACAGGAGGTTGGCGACATGTGCCCTTCTTGGCAGCATGCTCGCTGTTTATTGCAGATGGTTTTGACTTGTGGCTCTAAGTGGAACCCTTGTCAATATTCCAATTTGACCAAGCCAGTTGGAACTATGCTTTTAAGAAGTATCAAACTTGATCCTGCAACCACCTTGGGCGATGGTTCCACGTTTGCCGCGGGACATCAAACAGCTTGGTCTGGCTGCGTTGCTGGAAAAGGATGCAAGAGCCTACCAGATGTGATTAGTATCCAGTTTGTGCCCAAATAAGTACACAGCACTCACAAAAGAATCGGTGTTATGGGCAAAATACAGTTCCACACCACTGTTGGTCTTCTTTACAACCATGACTCCAATGGCCCCAAAGAGAAAACTATTGGCCACAACAGGGTGCTCTAGCAGAGTCACTAGATGTCAGAAAGAGGATCAACAGATCGTGGTTAGTGGTGGAACTTACCCATGAACTCCTTCTTCATCCATGACTTGATTGCATCCTCCTCCAAAACATGAGTAAACGTGCCATTGGGGCCCATCTTTTGGCTGTAGTACATTCGCTGAGCGCAAGTACTGGCTGCAAGAGTTCCCGCGATTAGTTCTCCAGTTCCAGATGTGACAACAGCACACGTGGTTCCCTCCGGGTCAGTCATGTCTTCCGGAATGACATGTGATCCAATACCAATCAGAGCCGCAGGCCCGATACGGCCGCGGTGTTTCATGCCTATGCCACCAGAGGAAGACCCAGCCGCAATGTTTCCATATCTATCAATTGCGATTGCACCAATGGTGTCGGTAATCAAATCTTCATCTTCGTCTTCATCTTCATCTTCTTCGTTCTCCCAATTCGTGTCATTTGCCGGGCTGTCTTCCTTGTCGTCTGTGGAGCTGTCTTCTCTGTCTTCTCTGTCGTCTGTGGAGCTATCTTCTTTGTCGCTTGCAGGGCTCCTCTCGGGGCTTCCATCAGGAGACAAGCTAGAGGAAGGAGACAAGTCTGAGGAATAGGGAGACTGTCTGACACTTGATTCATGGCTCAACTTGACCTTTTTCCTTCTCGGTGGGTAACTCGGAGAGCTTGTATGACGGCCCTTCCCACCCACGGGTGGAGTTCGGTTGTTCAGGGATTTGAGTTCCTGCTCTGGGTCTGGAGTTACCACGCTGTTTTGATCGTGTCGTTCAGGGTACTCGATGAGATCTTGTTTTTCAAGGCGCTGAATGCGTTCATCTAGAGGGGTCAGAGGTGGACGGCACCAGTACCCTGGATCCTCGTGGAATTCGTTGTCGCGCTCGTAATCTTCGACTTCTGCTGCCCACGTCTTGTATCGCTGTTCAGCCACAGGTGCGATCAGCCCTTCATCTGGTATCGTTATGACTCCATGGTCCCATGCAAAGTCTTGAGCTCCTTTGCCAACGAGGAAATTCGGGGGCACCCTTGACATGCCCATTTTCAGGTTAGCCCTATCATAGATCTTCCGGGCTAGCATGATCGGGTTCTTAACACCTATTTCACTGTTAGGATGGACATAGACTGAGTGCACAAGAAACCCACATTGCACCGCTCCAGCCGCTCCACTATGTCCATGATGATCCACAATCACGGCATCACACTCAACAGCTCCCCTTTCATTGAGGTTGCTTCCATACCCTGCATTTGTGATTGGATTGTCCTCAAGTATCATGAGGGCAACTTCAACGGCGTCAATGGCTGTGGCCCCGTTACGCAAGAATGCCATGGCCTTGGTAGCAGCCCTGGATGATACAATGTTAGATTATGGCAAGTCATTGTTATGACACCGCTGATCAGGGAGATTCTTACTTATCACAAGCTTCAAGGTGCTTTCTTTCGTTTTCCAGGCTGTGAAAACCTGCCCCGGCATGGATGAAAATTGCACATTTACCATCATGTCGGAAAGGTTGTGCCATGATGATGTTTGGGATCAAGACCCAGTAAATATGCGTTTACTGGCCCTGTCCAGTTCGGTAGTGTATGGCCGAACCTGATATCAGATCGCGTCGGGCTGATGAGACTGAGGTGCAAGCTAGCACGATCGAATCTTCGGACGTGATACTTCGAAGTTGCAAGCGACCAAGTCACCGTGAGTCTATGAAAGTCCCTGGATGTTTTGGGACCTCTAGGCACGCGCCGAGCAAAGTGATCCCAACCCGTCAACTGGCTCCAGCACGATGTAAGACCAAATGCCCAGGTCCACTGATGAGAAAAATGTCAACGGATTCGGCTTCAGTCTCTCACTCTTTGTATTGACTTACCAATGTTATTTGGGATCACAGGGAACCAGTGTTTTAATGCTATGGCGGTTTTGGGCAAGGGAAATGAGACGCGAGTAGAGCACCAGTGATGGGATCACACAAATGTTGGAAGGAAGATAACAATAGACCAAACAGTCATGAGCTCTGCAAGGTACTTCTCATAGATAAAGATGCAGTTCAGAAGAATAAAGAGAGAATGCCTTAGGGATGGAGGTGATGAAGAAACCAAAACAGTTTCAAGCAGAATTTATCGGAGCTCGACAGGGTCGTTCTTGCCATTTTCGAAGTGCTGCCACTTTGGATGAGGAATAAGTGAGAGTTCATAACATTGGAAAGCAAATGATTCAATTGACACAATTCTAACGTGAGTGTCTAACAACCTGGAGAATGTTGGTTTAGTTCTTTAAATAGCGGCACATGATGTTGACGTGCCCCCTTAGTAATCTCAACCTCCGGATACCTGGGCATCCTCCCCCCGCCTTGTCTGCCTGTCCTCTTGCTCCCTCAGAAATAGAGCGATTTCGGCGACAATTGAGATACGAGGAATTGACTCTTCTCTGCCTGGAAATCTTGTCTCCTTAGACCTCATTTCACCCTTGATCGTGTTTGGGTTGTGTCCAGACCCAACCACCCGCCATGGCGAACCAAACACCAGCCGTTGTCATGGACAAGTAAGCTTTCACTGTGGCTGCTCATGCCGAGGATTTTGATACTGACATTGTGTTTCTACGTAGCGGTACTGGCTATTCCAAGCTTGGTAGGTGTTCTCCAGTTTGATCTAGGAGACTCGCGATCATGGATTAGGCTGACATGCTCCGTCCACTCCTACAGGTTTCGCCGGTAACGATTCTCCCTCGTTCGTCTTTCCCACCGCAATTGCAACCAAGGCAGCGGGAAGTGCTGGAAGCTCCGCCGGGCGTCCTCCAGTTGCAAACAAACCCTCGTTCCTCGGCGGTGGAGGTGGGGCTAGCTCCAACCTCTCCGCGAAGCGTGGCACCGAGGATTTGGACTTCTTCATTGGCGATGAGGCTCTAGCTGCTGGTCAAGGTCCCGGGTATGGCGTCAACTATCCGATTCGGCACGGACAGATCGAGAACTGGGACCATATGGAACGATTTTGGTCAAACTCTATCTTCAAATACCTACGCGTCGAACCCGAGGACCACTACTTCCTACTCACCGAACCCGTGAGTCGACTACACTCGCCAATGGATTATACTGCGCCGCGCATGAAAGCTGACATGATGGAATATAGCCCCTGAACCCTCCCGAGAACCGCGAGAACACCGCCGAAATCATGTTCGAATCGTTCAACTGCGCCGGTCTCTATATTGCCGTTCAAGCTGTTCTTGCTCTCGCCGCATCTTGGACATCCTCAAAGGTCACGGATCGCTCGCTGACTGGAACTGTCATCGATTCGGGTGACGGTGTCACCCACGTTATCCCCGTCGCTGAGGGCTACGTCATCGGGTCCTCCATCAAGAGTATCCCCATCGCCGGACGCGACATCACATATTTCGTGCAGAACCTACTACGTGACCGCGCAGAACCAGACAGCAGCCTGAAGACTGCAGAGAAGGTCAAGGAAGAGTACTGCTACGTCAGCCCGGATATTGTCAAAGAGTTCGCACGCTACGACCGCGAGCCCGACCGCTTCCTTAAGCACACCGTTACTGCGCCCAATGGGCGGAGTATTAACATCGACATCGGATACGAACGTTTCCTCGCTCCGGAAATCTTCTTCAACCCCGAAATTTACTCGTCCGACTTCCTCACTCCGCTCCCCAACGTCGTCGACGGTGTCATCCAATCCTCCCCCATTGATGTCCGGAGAGGTCTCTATAAGAATATTGTCCTGTCTGGTGGATCGACTCTGTACAAGGACTTCGGTCGTCGCCTACAACGTGACATCCGTCACTTGGTAGATGACCGAATTCGTGCCTCCGAGGCTCGTAGCGGTGGCGCGCGGAGTGGTGGTCTGGACGTTGCAGTCGTTACCCACAAGCGCCAGCGTCACGGTCCCTGGTTCGGAGGTAGTCTGCTGGGTCAGACACCCGAGTTCCGAAGCTACTGCCACACCAAGGCCGAGTACGACGAGATAGGTCCCAGCATTGTGCGGCGTTTCGCCCTGCTTGGTGGTCCTGGAAGCTCCTAAGCCACAAGCAGTGGAACGGATCATTAGACAGTTGTCAGTTGATGTAGCTCAGCCTTTTGTTCATAGTCGGTAGTTTATCTCTTTTCTTTTTATTTTCTGGTGGCCCTATTTATTCTCATCAAAACGGGTTGGCGCCGATTTTCATCATTACATTATTTGCATCTGATGTATACCAACTCCGATATGGAGGGTCTGCTCGCACAGAGGCTACAGGTAGTCCCCTCCTGGTGTCGAAAGTAATGGAAGGTAGGTTGATATTATAACATACATATACGCCATCACCATCACACCTTTTGTTTTTTGCCTATCCCATAACGCCACAGTATGCAAGATCAGATATACATATACCATACACCAACGGAGATATTAGACATTTTCAACCTGAGGGAAAACAGTCCGGTTGAGGATGGCCACACCTTCCACGTGGCCAGTCTGGGGGAAGAAGTCAAAGCCACGAATGCTCTCAATTTCATAGCGAACATTCTGCTTCTCGTCACCCTGGACCATGACAGCAACGTCGCGAGCCTGGGTGTGAACATTGCAGCTCACATAGACAACACGACGGGGCTTGAATTCAAGCATCTGGCGCAGGAAGTCCTCAGAACATCCCTTGCGAGGAGGGTCAATGACCAGCAAGGTCTGGTCAGGTGGGTAAGGGACATCCTTGAACAAGGTAGCGGCATCAGCAGCAGCAAAACCGGTGTTGGGAAGCTTGTTTGCGCGCGCGTTCTCGCGTGCAGAAATGATGGAGTCGCCGCCAATATCGACGCCCAGGCTAGACTTGAACAGTGGGGAGAGAGTGATAGTGAAAAGGCCTGAGCCAGAATAAGCGTCGAGCAAATACTTGATCGGCTTTGGGTCCTGGTCGTTTCCAGGAGGAATGGCTCGTGAGCGGATGTACTCTGTGAAGCCGGACAGAATAGAGTTGTTGTTTTGGAAGAAGGCGCCTGCTTTGTTGCTGAAGACGTAATCGTCAATGTATTCGAAAGAGGTGGCATTGTTGTCTGTAATGCAACGCTTTTCTTCAACGTAGTTCTCACGATCGAGACGAATGACATCACCAGTGTCTGCGTTTACAGAGGCAGGAATGCCCTCAACATTTGGTGTCTCTGATTCGGTGGCTGTTGAAGGTTCCTTGGGAATGCGTGCGGTTGTCTCTCGCATCAAAAGGGTAGCACCTCTCTTGTAGGAGCGGATATTTTCCGCAACGCGCTTGCGCTCGGTGGTGAGGCCGCGGCGAACAATATCCGTTCCTAGAGGACAATCTTCGATGTCCATATCCAGGCGTCGGTTCTTGTATGTGAATCCAATTGGGGGAACGGGCGCCTCCTCGTCTGCCTTTTTGCTGGCGCCGCCATGTGCGAAATGGGGCGTGAGCTTTGTGCGATATCCAAACTGCATTGGCGAGGCAAATGTTTCGCCAATTGTAGGTACAAGCTCTGGAATCAATCCAGAGAAATTGGCATATGCCTTCTCCACGATGCGACGCTTGTGTGCAAGCTGGTCGTCGTAGGACATCATCTGGAGTTGACATCCTGAGCACTCCCCGAAGTATTTGCAATTGATCAACGAATCATTTCTTTGGGGACCTGGCTCGATGACTTTGACGAAATCGGTCAAACTGTACGACAATGGCTCGAAGTGTTTAACGACCTTGACCTTGACGGTGTCGCCGGGGACTGTGAATGGAACAACATATACATATTTCTTGTTCTCGGATAGCGCTAGACCATCACCAGTGGATGAAAGTTCGAGAATCTTTACATCGATCTCAGTGAACTTCTCCGGGACGGTGTGGGGGGCGCTTTCGCCATTGGTCTCATCCTGTTCGGGTGCGTTGCGCTTCAGAAGGTTAATGATATCGCACAAAAGAACTTCATCGTGTCCACTGCTCTTGTTCTTGTCGACCTTGGCCTTCTTGAACTTCTTCTTGCCGTCGAATTGTTTCCTGGGATTGTTTTCCATTATCGCGGGGAATGGCGTATACGCAGAACGGCGTTGGAAAGAGTTTTGGGAGGCTGATCGTAATTGAAAAGCTTGCACGGGACCCAAGGCCACAGAAGAAGTCAATCGCCAAGCGGATGACCGTATCGCAAACATATAAGGTGCAAAGCGACAGCAAAATAATTTTTGGATTTGAGAATCGCCAGATGGGAAAATTATTAGAAACGCATCTACGGCGTTACTGATTGGATGGGGGCTGACCGCCCGCCAGAGAGAAATTCCTCCCGATGTTCACCTCCGACAGGCTCTGTTGCCTTTGCGTCCCTTGTCTCCGCATTTCGCCTGTCCCTTCGTTTCCCGAGCTCTCAATTGGCCTATTCTTGGCTAGGGAGTTTACTTCATTATCACCATGAACGTCACACGGCCAGCTCGATGCCTCTTGTGCAGCTTCTCCCGTGCTGCCACGCCCGGCACGCGAGTCCCTCGTCGCCAATTCCATCCCACACCTGCATCTCTTACGAACCGGAAGCCCAAATTTCCCAATGTCAAAGCATCCCCTGGAGAGAACTTCAAACCTTACACCGAGGAGCAGAAGGCCGAACTGGCTAAGCAGTACACCGAAGCACAAATGGCTGCCATCAACGCCGGTGAAGCTGCAATCGATCCTAAGGATCTGGCCGACCAGTTGCACGAACGCAGCGATCCTATGAGCTTCAAATATGTCGATGATTTCTCAGTGATTGAGCCCGGCATCGACCGACACCAGCGCGCCCCGTTGCAGAACTCGGACTTTAACTTCGAATTCAAGAATGACGACGATTTCGCGGAGGACTTTGGCCGTTTCATCGCTGAGATGCCCGAGGATGCCACGGGCGCTGACTTTGTTCGGTTCGCAGACAACCTGCGCGTCACAAAGGGCAAGGCGGAGAACGAGCTGAACCCACACAGCGCACTGGTTCCAGACTTCTTCGGTCCCGGCGAAACCATTGACGAACCTAGTGTGAAGGAGCAGAAGACAGCCGCCGAGCTGGGCGTGAAGGAGCGTTCGGCTGAGGCTGAGGAAATGACGGATGCTCTCAAGAGCCTCCTCCTGGCCACAGGATACACGGAGCGACAGGTCAAGGACCTCCGCACCAAGACTCTTGTCATGCACAGTGTTACAAACCAGACTCGACTAGGAAAGGTCCGCCGTGCGTACCGTCTCTCCATTGCTGGTAATGGAAATGGTCTCCTGGGCATCGGTGAGGCCAAGTCCGACGAGGCCGCCGACGCAAAGATTCAATCTCAATACCGTGCCATCCGCAACATGCAGCCCATCCCCCGTTACGAGAACCGGACAATTTATGGTGATGTTAAGGGCAAAGTTGGCGCTACATCGTTGCAGCTGATGCACCGTCCACCTGGTATGTTTATCATCTCCCATGGTGCATTTCTTTTACTGACCGCAACCTAGGCTTTGGTCTCCGTGTTCAGCACCTCATCTACGAAATGTGCCGCGCTGGCGGTATCCACGACCTGTCGGCCCGGACTGGCCGCTCAAGGAACCCAATGAATACCGTCAAGGCCGCCTACGAGGCTCTCATGAGCCAGCGCAACCCGGATCAGATTGCCCACGCACTCGGCAGAAAGCTTGTTGATGTGCGCAAGGTTTACTACGCGGGTAAGGTTTAAGGTCTTCCAGGGACCAAACTGGCTGTTTCGCACCAGCGTGTATATAATGCTTCTCCTTACCATTTTCTCGTGTCTCTTTGCATGTACAAGTATCACTCAATTTTTCAACATGAATGTATCATCCTCATTCCAGCTTTCTGGGCTATTCACAGCATATTTTGAATTAACAAAAACCATATATCAACAGGATTCTCTCCTCCAGACACCAGAAACTAGAACTCCAAAAACGAAAAAAAAAAACACCCCGGGTATAATACGCGAGTAATCAAGATAATCATCAAGTTCATGCACCCTCATTGGAATGTCACGTCTTCCTCGTATCCATGCTCGTACTGCTGGTCTTGGAAATGGGCCTCGCTCTGCTGCTGCTCTTCATTCTCATTCCAGATCTGCTGCTGTAGAACAATGCTGTAGACACTAGCCTTGAGCAACGTGCATACAGTAGCAGTCTTGCGCTCTAGCAGACGCAAGCCGTCGAGGGGCATGGATGCGGGCGAGCCCGCAAGGTCGGCGACTTTATCGGAGAGCTGCACACAAAGTTCGAGTCAGTAAATCAATCTCCTCGGTGTACGTTTTGTAAACGGTTCAATTCCAGCAGGCCGTGACAGCACCTGCACAGGTCTTGACGTACCTGGTTCACATTGCGCAACAATCGAGTGTATTCGTCCAGCACCTCCTGCTCCAAATCGGAAACATGGGGGTTTTCAGATCCAAGAAGGGGGTTGTTTGAGTGGCCGTGGCCAAGCGACGGCTCATCGCCCGCTTGATCTGGGATTGGAGGGGTGGACGTCTCCGCGGGGTCCTCGGCGTAGGAGTAATCGTCTGGGTCTTCAGGTGCGAATGCGGACATTTTGAACAAAGGGCTGTGTTACGCCGATGCTTCAACAGTAGTTGGATGTTGTGTGTGTTGCGGTGAGTGCCCGGGTTGTGTTTTCGTGGTTCCGCTGGGACGCGTTATCCAAGTCTCCGAATCTACTCGTTTTGCGAGGTAGCGTTCTGAAGCAATCATTTCACAATCATTGTTAGGGTATAGATACTTAAGTACAACTACAGAAATGCTTGATTGTTAGCAAATTACATTGAAACCATTGAAACCCTCTCTTGCTCGGCCTTGCCAATATATTTCTCCCCGAAATTCATCTCTCTTATTGCATGGGCTTGATCTCAACGTTGCCCAGATACAGAATCAAAACACTAACAAAAGGATCATAGCCCCCAGATTCTAAAGTTAGTCCATGATACAATCCATCACGTTGTCTGCGATGAGGTATGGGACATTCGCAAAAGCTCAAAGTCATTTGCCCACCCTAATCGCCATGGAAGCACGCGAGCAAGGATCATCAACTTCTTTCGCCATTCGTCAACTCGAATAGAAATCTCGCCTGAGAGATACTATCAGTGTCAAATATTTAAGGACGGAGATTGAGGTGTTCTACGGCGTCCAGAGGAGACATCGGGCCTTTCTTGAAACTCCGCGGACTTTCGGCGCCAATCCCCCAACTGCATATCTCCATGGCCTCAATGGGGAGAGCAAAGATCAAATCTCCTACGAGCCCTGGAGCTCTATTTAAACTCACCATGTGAAATCGATTCTGACAGGCAGTTTTCACCTGTCCCAACTCTGATAAATCTCCTGCAGCCATGTTATCTACCGGATCGACCCTTCCCGCATTACAGGGCGAGCTTCGCGAAGAGGAGTTGATCTCGGACCCAGAGGTTACCAACAAGACCGACTCCGAGATTGAGTCGACCAGTTTCTTCTCCACCTTTCAAGAAGTCGTCTTCATCTTGATCATTGGCCTGTCGCAACTATTCTCTGTCGATGGGCTAGGCAATACTGCCTACTCAATGGAACAAATTGGCACTCCCCTAGGTACAAACAGCAATGCGCAACTATCATGGCTTCTAGCGTCCTACTCCTTATCTGGTGGTGTTTTCGTCCTAGTCACTGGCCGTCTGGGTGACCATTCTGGCCACAAATACGTGTTCCTCTTCGGCTGGGTTTGGATGGCCATTTGGTCACTGGTCTACAGCTTCGCCCGCAACATCATCGTGTTCGACATCGCCCGTGGTATGATGGGTGTTGGAAATGGCGCCTTGGTATCCAATTCATTCGCGCTGCTGGCGCGCAACATGGCGGACCCTCGCTGTGCGTTGTCTTCAGGGAGGTATTCCACTCTTTTGTGGCTCTGTCTTCAGCTTACAGGCAGCTATTCTGCTTCTACTCGAGGCAAAAGAGACATCCCTGGAGCTTTATGCTGTCTTGGCCACTGCTATTGTGGGTGCGCGGAGACTCAAAATGGATCGATTGGGCAATCCAGGTTTGACCCCCTCGGCCTTTTCAGCACATGTTCCTGAAGCAGCCGAGCTACATCATATCCGCACTGAGATTGCAATTCGCATTTGGTAAGGCTTTTCCAATGCCCCATTTCTCCCTCTTTCTGTAATTGCGGGTGACCCAAGAACAATCCCCATGCGCCGTCAGCAGCTAGATGAGAGGTATGAGAGATATGTGGCAAGCTTACCGTCCCACTTTACACTAGGAAGATTTCACGAAAGGACTACTGTCACGGGACTAATAGATGCCATTATAGTCCAGCGATGCATGCTACATCTATAGATCAATAGCTGTGGAGTCTACTCCTCCGCCTTCATCGATCTACTCTCCTTGCACCCACTGGAAGGTCATTTTGCCAGCATCTGGCTCATCATATCATTACTATACAAGCCCAGATTCAATCTCGTTGCACGGTTTGTGGCTCATTGACTACCAATGACTCGCAACTGTTCAATGCTGCCGTTCTGCTGGTGGTCGGTTTGATGTTTGATGTTTCATTTTCCTTCCGGCGAGCAAGGTCTCTTTAGAGACAAACTCACACAAGACATGACGCGAGTCAGGGTCCAAGACAAGAGGCTAATGATTTACTGCGATGTAAAATCCCACCCATCACAAATTCCAGCAATGTCAGGCCTCAGGATCCGCTTCAAAACTTGTCCGCACGTGGTGTCATGGTACTCGAGGCACTGATAAAGCTGGAAGAAGATTCACACCATGCTTCAGAACGCCATGCGAGTTCGAATCCAAAGCGTAATCTCTATCGCCAGGCTGTGGAATTTCTTTGAGGATTGGGTTGTCTGATTGGGTCGGCAGTTTCTCCTGGCCAAATACTATCATCCCTCGTGATACCTCTTTCACTCTGTCAATGCCGGCCACGGATGACTTGCACAATCTAAATGTCATGCCCATTCTATCGAGCAGCCTGAGCCCCAGTGGTATGTGGGATTTCTTGGACTTCCAGCTTTCGGAAGACGTAGCACATGGAAGATACTTGCTATTTACTGGGAATGAATACGGGGCTCTGGACTCCATCGAAAAATCGGGAGCAAGTTGAAAGCAGTGGTCTCTCGGTTCATTCAATGTCTTATCCGTCCTATCAAACCCTGTTCAAATGAGGAGAAAATCATATGGCCAGACGCCCTAGCCGCTATTCCCCACAGCAGATCATAGCTATTCGTAGCCTGACAGAGATCTCCATTTCTTTCTTCTGAACGGTTCCGGTACTTCCGGGGCTTCCGAGGGTTGAAAACCATGTGGATGGGATCCATTGCGGAGGCTAACCCCAATACGGAGAAATCTCGATCTAGCCACAAATGGGCTAGTACGGCCAAATCGCCTTAGTTTACTTCTACCTGTCCATCAGCTCGACATGGGAAATTGGCTTGAAACTGCTATGACAACGCGTTCATTGATATGGATCTTATATTAAAGTAACATGTTCGAAACACACTCAAGAACAAGAAGCCCAATCAAAGTGTGATCAACAAGATTCTCCGCAACTTGACAAGATCCAGCAGACGGCTGGATATCGAGGTTGGGCAATCTTTCCATTTCTAGGTGCAGATGACGCTTTTACCGTCCTGATATCTGTCAGCAATCTCTTCCTCGGTAGTAGTTTGATGGTTACACGAATACTGACCTTGATCTGGCCACCGTCGCAGCAAAGGTACGTCTTCTTAGGTCCACATGGATAACTGCCAGGCACACAGTCCTGTCCAGCTGCTTTGATGAACCAAAGATTCAACGGTTTGATTGCGGACTTGCAGCAGTAACTATGACCTGGCGAACAGGTGCCTCTAGCTTCGAGTTCGTCTTCAAACTCCTCGGTTGGTATAGCAGTGGCGAGACCAGCCAGGGCGAAGGCGGTGATGATGCTTCTCACAAGCATGTTGGATGTGGTTGTCAAAGTTGTTGTTGTCAAAGATGTTCTGAGTTGATTGATGAGAAGAAAATCAAAGGGACTTTCGACATTTAAATAGATTATCTGTTGCCTGCCAATAACTACAACTTCTAGTGTGAATTGCCGAAAGAAGATCTACTCTCGAGTCGATGAATCATTTAGTTGGGACGATGCATCTAGATCGAAGATGAAGCTCAACTAGATGACACGAGGATATTGAGGGTGAGTGGCACAGGACATCAAAACCTTGATTTCATGGACAATGAATCCAAATGGGCTGGATCTGGTCGGGGGATTCAGCGGATCATTCCATTTCAAGCCCAGTAAAGCATACTTGATCTACGGTTCCTCTCGATAATGGGCTGTAGTGATCAACATGGACTTGGCCTTGGCGCGAACCATCTAGTCAGAGATGATAGTGGGATGGCAACTTTCGGACTATAGGGGCTAGATCTCTTGCAATCCAAGCTCTAAGATAAAGCTACACGCTTAAATACACTTAATGAATACATACTAGGTAGGTGCTCGCCTAAGTATATGGACAGATACAGAACGTGAACACAGTACATTGATCAATAGCCTAGAATTTGGTAGGACCTCATTAGGTTGCTGCTCGACTGTCTGGAGTGATCTTCAGATATCTTGTAATTATCTTGATAGTAACCCCCAACCACGAAGTTCTGTAGCCAATCGTCTAGAACAATTGTTTCTAAATAGTTCAACGTCATGTATCTGTCGGGCCACCATGGTAATCGGGACTTGGGATATTGTCTGAAGAAAGACATGGCAAGCGAGAACCAATTGAGAGCCCCTTGGGACTAACCGGGCCCCCAAACCTTCTTTAGCCTTTACCCCAGATCTGCCACGCCATAGAATCAAAAGATTTGATGAGCCCCATACAGATGATAGAGCTCCAAGAGAAACTAAGACGTACTATTTCTACCATGTACGCTAATTTATCGCTGGGATGAAATGTTCTCGGGGCAAGATAAGATTTAGAGGAGATTGTTTTAGCCTGCTAGAGACTCGATGTTAGTCCCGATGCAGGCCGGAAGTGACTAGCGCAAATACCGTGAATATGCAGTTTCCGGCATCAAATCAGACTACATCTCAAGAATGTGGCGTGTGGCGGAGCTAGCCGGACCTAACTTCAAAGCTTGAAAGGTAATCGGGTGACCGTACCTAGGTAAACCTCTAACGGTTACTCTAAGAGGTTCGTAGACTGAAAGCTGTAGGCTCTAGATGCATGGGTATCCATTCTTGATAGGATACATTACGAGGTTCGTGAACTGCGGGTAATATCTCCAGAAACCATCCATGGATCCATGGATGACTCCAGCCTGCAATTGATCGAGAACCAGTCGGTAGTCTGTTCTAACTTCCTTATATGTTCGTATTAATGGTATCCACTACGCCGATACGCCAATTTTCATGGTAAAGAGTTTCTGTCAGTCACGAACACTCGATTTGCTTTGGACTCCAGGGATTTGAGGAGTTTGTGCAAAAGCCGACCACTGGTTCACTTGAGGAAACTAGGATGTCCATGAACGTCGAACGCGATTTCTACCGCAGATCTAAGCCAAGTAGATGAATATTATAGGCATAGCGGATTTTCCACCCACCGAACGAGCAGCGGATTAGGACAGGGTGACATCAAAGGCTAGTGTCCGGGTGTTCTGCCTTGGAGTTCAGGCACTCAATAAATTAGGGCGGCAAATTGTTTATCCGATCACCCTTACCTTTGTGGCCTGAGGCTCCAATGCCTTGGACCCATACGGGGCACGGAGTATGGATAACTCCGTACTCCGTATCTTTTTCCTCTTGACTCTTCCTTTTCCCAGTGGATTAATGCACTCGTTCAATATTTGCCCCTTTCTACTCCGTACATAGGAGCATCTCCATCTTCAATTCTTTTTTTAGGTCTTGTTCATGAAATGGATCCCTTCTCAGGAGGTTCCAAGAGAGTGGCGCATAATGAGCAAACCAATTGTAGACAATTGTTTCGTACAAAACAACGACAACTCAATTATCTGTTTCAAATGCATGAATTCTAGATGAGCCCCGAAGAGCGATAACTGGCATGTCCGGAGTACTCCACGTAAGTGTCGTTGTGGCGCAGCTTGCAGGCAACTATTATTGATTGTCGCACATCGCACATGCAGGAGAAACATCGTCGAGTGCCGGCTGAAACACTTAATGACTAAACGTGCCTCTCACAGTTGAGTCTCATGTTACACTCAGCAACTTTATGATCATTACGGAGTACAAACTCTGCATTGCAGGCTCCGCCACAGAGTGAGTACGGCTGATATGCGAACCTGCGCCCTCTTCTGAGCATCCTTTTGTTCAATGGCCTTGGGAACTGGTACAGCGTTATTTCGATATTGAAGGATCTTGTTGGACTCAATAATGATACATGACCCCCGCGCATGAACCAAAAAGGGAATCAGACAGTACTCCGTACTCTGTAGCCTCTCAGGCTACTCGTATTTTATCTGGGTCCAGGTCTTGTGTCAAATGATATACAAGCCTTTGCAACCAACAAATCCACAGGGGAGAATGTAATTATTTGAGTGGTTTAAAATTGAACTTCAGCTGCAATCTCCTTTATCTAGTCACTCCGTACCTTCTTCAATACTCCGTGTCATCACTTCAACCATATCTCGTTGTGATGATCACTACCCACAAAGACGCAGGGGAATGTCTGCCTTTGCGGGTCTTTTTTTTTGTCTGCGCAATGATACAAACACCTAATATATCCTCATACGAATACGCGCGAGGGGTATCTCTGTCCCATCTCGTACGGTTAAATTTCTAGCCCCGATGTGGAAACCACCAGGGAGTGGATATCCGTACTCGTATCCCGCGTGAGCGATAAAGATAGTATTTTTGAAAATTAGGGAGACGTATGCCACACGGCGTTAAATGGGGCCTAACTTTCTAAATTGTCTCGCACATCGTACTCGTACAGCTCTAGAGGCAGAGTGTCTGCGAACGGTCACATGTCCGTGTTGTTTATCTGGAAGCCTAATTCTATTTTTCTCACTAAGTCTCGCGGCTAACGCGAGGCCATCGCCCCAAATAACTCATTCGAAAATGCCAATTCTGCTAAGGAAAAAATTGGGGACAGTGGATTCGCTGGCCCTAAGACTTAATTAACTTTAGTGTAAGAGATAGTCTTGGCCGTACCTGCATGCTCAAGTGCAACATCGATATGCTTCCCATCGAGATTGCCTTGCCGCTGCTAAACGATTTTACCCAGCCCAGTGGACCATGACAACATGGCCGGAGCAAAGATGGACATGGGAGGTGGCGACTGCGGTCGAGAAGCAAAGCCACCACGTAAGTGTGGACTCATTCGACGTGAGCCATTCTCAGATGCGGGGCACAAGCCGCATGAGCGGGGCCAAAAAGGAGTCAATCTTGACGGTTCTCAGACGTTTCTCTAATTTCTCGAAAGTGATCTGGTCCCTGACCCGAAATGATAAAGTTGCATTTCTAGGGTTTGGGGTGGACACGTGTCAATGTTTTTCCGCTTTAGGTCCATGGTTAGTGCCGCCAAGGGTATGCAGATGGAGACATCAAGACGAATACGGCTCGCCACTGACTATCTTTGTCGAATATTTGGCGACATTACGTATCGTTGGGTGCGCGGGACTTTTTCTGTTCTTTTTTCTCAAATGGGATGTTCTGTGAGTTATCAATGCTTATGCAATGTTTTGTGGGATTCATTGAGAAAGGGGGATATCCCAACGATCTATCTCAATTTGCGCCAGGGGCAAGGTTTAAGCTTAGTTTAGCTCACGTTGTCGATATTTGGCACATGGTTGACGGATGCGCGTACTATCCACTACTTAGTACTAGCACGGAAAAGCCATACTCGTACTCTCTCTCTCGTCACCCCAGTTGCCACACCCAGTGTCCACAATAACACCCACCTCCACTTCCTTCCCCCAAGTTCTCCCGTGTCCACCATCGGTTGGACAGACCAATTCTCACTGCCCCCTTTGTGTCCCTTGGGTCTTCTCCGTACGCACAGGAACGGGGGATGTTTCGCGCTATGACCCCGAAATATGGACCAGGTAACCACATAGATAAATGTGTAGAGTAGAAATGTTTCGGCGTGACTATCAGTGTGGTTAGTCTTAAAGCCTCTTGCTCCTTTCTCTGAAGATAGCATCCGAAAATCAATCGACTTTCGGTTTCTGATCATTATACAATGGCCAAAACTTTTACTCCGACGAGGAGTAAGGACAATGTCTTCTCAAGACGTGAGATAGAAGGCATGATTGCCGAAGGAAAGCTCATCATTATTGTCGACGACAAAGTACTCCGACTAGATGGCTGGATTAAATTCCACCCTGGCGGTGATATGGCTATCAAACACATGATAGGCAAAGATGCTACAGATGAAGTCAATGCGTGAGTGTTCAATAACTTGCTCCATCTGAATGTGACTGGGCTATGCTGACATCAACGGCAAGACTACATTCACAGGAAGCCCGTTTGCGCATGAGCAAATTCCAGATTGGCCGTATCGAAGGCCAGTGGACCAACTTCCTTCCTCCGATCCAAGGAGGCGAATTTGAACGCTATGATCCAAACGAAGAAGACACACCCTACTCCGAATCTTCAAGCGATGATCTTTCCGCACCGCCATCCCCTATTTTCGACCACCAAGAAGATTCCCTAGGCCTCAGGCGCAGACTTTCTGTATCGACCATCTCTTCAGCAATCAGCGCTGTTCCTCCCACAGAAGCCAAGCCACGAGCATACGTGATTGATGCTCGAACACAAGACGAAATCGAGATGGATTTAGCCAAATACCCTCCTCTCGACTTCGACCACCAAGAAAACATCAAGCGGAAATATCGCCAACTCAACGAACGCATCCGAGCAGCTGGTCTGTACAAATGCAACTACTTCGCCTATGCCATTGAAATCGCCCGTTATTCCCTCTTCTTTGGACTCTTCCTCCTCTTCTTAAGAAAGTCCTGGTTCTGCACTTCGGGACTCTTCCTCGGATTCTTCTGGCATCAGCTTGTCTTCTCTGCCCATGATGCTGGTCACATGGGTATAACCCACAACTACCAAGTCGACACCGTCATCGGCATGATTATTGCGGATTATCTTGGCGGATTAAGTCTAGGCTGGTGGAAACGCAGCCACAACGTCCACCATATTGTAACAAATGCACCGGAGCACGACCCAGACATCGAGCTGATGCCTTTCTTTGCGCTCTCACACCGATTTTTCAGCTCACTCCGAAGCACCTACTACGACCGTATCATGGAGTTTGACGCAGTCGCCAAGGTCACGGTCAAATACCAGCATTTGCTGTACTATCCCATTCTTCTTTTCGGGCGCTTCAACCTCTACTTCCTGAGCTGGGAACATATCATCGTTGGACGGGGCCCGAAGCAAGGAGCCGGCTGGTGGCATCGGTGGTTCGAGCTTGCGGGCCACGCCTTCTTCTGGGCCTGGTTCGGGTACGGCGTTGTCTGGAGCAGTATCCCAGATTGGTGGAACCGAGTGGCTTTCGTGCTTATTTCCCACATTGTCACATCACCACTCCATGTGCAGATCACTCTATCTCATTATGCAATGTCGACTGCTGATCTTGGTCCTATGGAGTCTTTCCCGCAGAAGATGTTGCGGACAACAATGGATGTTGACTGTCCCCCCTGGTTGGACTTTTTCCACGGTGGTCTGCAGTTCCAGGCTATTCATCATCTCTATCCTCGAATCCCGAGACACAATTTGCGCAGGACGCAACAGTTTGTCAGAGAATTTTGCCAGGAGGTGGATATTCCTTATGCCGTTTTTACCTTCTTTGATGGCAATAAGGAGGTGATCGGTCGTCTTGGAGACGTTGCCAAGCAGGCCAGGATCCTAGAAGAATGTCGCAAAGCTTGTGCGGCTGACCCTCACCATTTGCATTGAAGCGGGCGGCGACTGAACATTTGCCCAGAACTCGACGTTATAGACAACATAGAGAGTATAGACAAAGAACTTTCAAGGCGAACCACTAGGCTGTCTGTCCATTTGCTCCAAGGTTGTAGCTGACCTCAAGCAAGAGTTAATTGTAGCTCCAAGGCTGGCTGGCCCTTGGATGAATTGCATCGACCAAAGCCTGGTCTTGGTAAACAGAGCATCTATAGATGCGACATAAAGCATTTCATTAGTGAAAGCAAAAATACTGATTGCAACCAGTAAAAAAGATCACTGTAATTCCCGAATGTCACCATGACAGTGGGTGTTTTTCCTCTTGTAGGCCGAAGTCTTGCAGCACCAAGGCTAGCCGACTCCTGAAAATGCGAGAGCGAGATAAATTCGCGAGTAATGGAAGACAAAGATCATGTGTCCTTGGAGGAGACACTCATGTATACAAACGGGCCTCATTCGGGGATCAAGATTGGATCTATGTATATGGAAGAACAACCCACCGACACGAAGGAAATGATATAGTTATCTCAAGTGCCGCAACCAAGCCCCGAAACAGCGCGAAGATGTGATATTGCGAACATAATGAGATTTAGGCGGACACTGATAGATTGAGCCGTCCATATACCGCGCGAAAGTGTGCCCGAAAAAGGAAAGAAAAAAGACAAACTAAGTCATCCCAAACGCCATTCGCTGCAAGAGAAAACAGAAAACCAAGTTTACAGCACGGCTTGCAAAACGCAAGACCAGGGGGAGGGTGACAGCAATGCCAAGGAACGCTTTGAGATCGATGCCATGTCGTGTCTGGGCCCAGGCAAATGAGCCAGTGCGATGAGAAATGCGAGATGCGGCGTGCAAAACGATGAGAGTCAGCGAGTCGATGAAAAACCCAGATAAACTTGAAAAAAGATCCGCCCAAAAAAAAAGTCCGAACACTCCATAGCCCCAATTGCGGAAGAAAGCATCTAAGTACAGTCGTTAATGCATCATGATCGTCAGGCGGATGCACAGACGACTATTTTCCCCATTTATCGGATAAAAGAAACAAGTGACGAGAATGGCGAGCATTTACTGGTCGCCTTCGTGGTGGAGGGTCACACTGTTGAACTCCTCAAAGGGATCGTTGAGCTCGCCATTAGGCGTCGCGAGCCCGGAGTCCATGGGGACACCCTTCATTTTAGTGGAATCGGTGCCGCCAATATCGACACTGCCACTCTCCTTCACGTTGCGGAAGTTTACCGTGTCGGTTCCGACACGGCCCTGATGGGGAATCATGGGCGGCTTCATGTGACGGATGAGTGCCCACTGGGTGGTTCGGAAGAATGGGTGGGTCTTGACGTCGGAGGCTCCAGCGCGAGCGCCCAGACGCTTGGTTTCGTCCTTGATCAATAATTTGCGGATCAAAGACTTGCAAAGATTTGATGTCGGCGTCGCATTGGAGTGTTCCGGGAAGTTCACTTCATCGCGCAAGATGCTCGCGAATGTTGCGTTACGGTTCTTTCCCTTGAACGGAGTGGTACCAAAGAGCATCTCGTAGATCAAAATTCCGAGTGTCCACCAATCTACAGCACTGGTGTGGCCGCAGCCCTTGATCACTTCTGGTGCAATGTATTCTTCTGTTCCAACGAAGGAGTTCGTGCGGAAATCGGCAATACATGACTTTGTGTCGATGGTGGGCAAGGCTGTGGTTGAGTTGCCACCACCGCTGCGTGCGGGGATCATTGTTGGAGCACCACCAGGTCCGGACTGCTTGGATAGATCGAAATCAGAAAGCATGATGTGTCCAGACTGGTGCAGAAGAATGTTCTCTGGTTTCAAGTCACGGTAAATGAAGCCCATGAGATGGAGATACTCCAAGGCAGCAGTGACCTCGGCGGCATAGAAACGTGCTGCATCTTCAGAGATGCTCTTTCCAGGGCGAGTTTGCAATGCTAAGGATACACGAGTCAGCGAAAATTACACTAGCCAACATCTTGGCAAGATGAGAGGGATACCTACTTCTAAAGAATTCGCCTCCGCTGCAATATTCCATGCAAAGGTAGAGATAGTCTTCGGACTGGAAGGAGTGATAGAGCGTAACGATGAACGGGTGGTTACTAGTTGCCAAAATTTCTTGTTCAGCCAAGGCACGCTTGATCTTGTTGCGCTTGATCATCTCCTTTTTGCTCAGAACTAATCGCAGGTCAGCATGAGGTCCTAGAATGAGTTCATGACTGCAAAACATACCCTTCATCGCATAGAGACGACTCGACTTTTTCTCTCGAACGAGGTAGACCTTGCCTACATCGCCCTTGCCGATAAGCTTGATCTTGTCAAAGCTTGCAGGACCAACTTCTACATTCCGAACTTTGATGGAGTTTGAACTGTAAGTGCGGCGGAAAGAAGCATTGTTGCCCAAATCAGAGCTGAGGGACGGCACCGCCAAAGCGACATCCTTATCGCTGCCAGCTTCCGCTAGACCCACTGCCCCGGATTGTTCCACCAAGGGCTCTTTACCCATCTCTGCGGTCTGCGGTCGCTCGCCCTGCCCACTTGTGAACAATCCCTGGGCATTCGGGGCTGAAGCCACACGTCGAAGCTTGCGCGCCAACTCCTCCTTGTTCGCGGTGGTGGCCTGCTCCACCGCAGAGACCCCAGTCACCTGTAACTCTGGGGTGTCGGGGGGAGAGGAGGGGACTGAACCGTCATTGCGATGTCGCAATGCGGGTTGGCCCTGGTGGGCAAAGTAGGGGTTGGCGGATGCAGTAGGAGACATGCTATCGTCGAGGGGGTTGCCCTCGCTTGCAACAGTGGTTGAGCGATTGCGGCCAATGGTTGGCATAAATCGCGATTGCCGGAAAGTGGACTTCTCGTTCTTAGTCGAGCCATGGCTGTCTCGTTCGCGTTCCCGTTCATTGCTGTTGGAGCCAGTGGCGTTGGAGGGAGACTGGCTGCTTGAACTATTGATCCGGAAAAAGTTCTTGATTCTCGTCGGGAGGTGGCCAGATTCGTTGGAGTGTTTCCGCGAAGGAAGGGAGAGAGCGGGGAAATTCCCGCGCTTCTCGTTCGTCACTGCCGACGGACTTGCGAAAAGCTGCGTCATAGTAGTTAGATCACGGTGGGTGTCAAGATGATCAAAACCACAGTCAATCACCTAGGATTGAAAAGATGATCTGAGAGGGAGGCAGGGAGGAAAAGGCGTGAGGCGGGTAAAAGGGTTTGGCGTTCCAGAGTGCCAAGTGCCGGCTGGGGGAGATAACCGCGGGCAATTCTTAAGAGGCGATCTTGCAGGGGCTGTCTACCCAAACGACTGGAAAGACAAGTACCAAGGGATCTAGAGTCATGAATCAAACGACATATCACAGGAAACCTGGGAGAGATGTGAAGGGAGGCCGATTCAAGGAGGAAGACGTGGAGAAGCCTTAGTCATCCAAAAGTGGATTGTCTCGATCGTCAAGGGTTGACGTATCTCATCGAGAGCGAAAAGACTTGGGGAAAAAAAGGAAAAGGTTGTGGATGTCCACGGGTGCTTGATCGAATATTTCTCAAATATTCCAAATCCTCGAGACTGTATCCTCAACATTCGATCTCGACCATACACACAGTACCAATCCCGGTAGGGTTCTAGAAGAAAAAACAAGGTGGCGACATAGGTGGCGTCCTGTACGGCATTTTGATGGATCACTTACAAAGCATCTCACGGGTTTATCCGACATTTACTCCGGAAAAGAAAAAGTGACAGGCAATATTCCGAACTAAAAGCCCCCATAGCTACATACCTCTCTCGATCGCAAAAATCCAAGTGACTTGAGGTCTGGGCAGGGTTAAGGTAAGGGCAAGGCTCACAGATGTCTATATGACTTATTCAATGTACCCCATACAGCGAACAATGAGATTACCTAGGTAGAGAAGTCGCTCTTTGTAATATTGTGTTATCATATACATCCAAGTGAAATTGCCTGTTGCATGACCGGTCTTAGCACATGGAAGTGATCTTCCAAAAAAGAAGACTGTCGTAAGTGGCCAAGTCCTTCCAAGACGTGCAGCCTTTCTTCCAGGGACGCTTGTGTTCTTGGTGGAAATATCCATGATAATATCCTTGGTAGTTTTTCAATCTCGCTGTTGTTCAGATACCTATCAATGTCCCATATAACAACCAGACACGAGGATTGACTGGTTCGCTTTCACTTGAGCACAGCCTGGGCTTCAGACACAGCTGCATGCCTGAGCCATGCCAAATTCTGCTCTATGGCCAGATAGATTGGCCATGTTTGTAAGACTTTAGATCGCATGTTGATTGTTCTAGGATTCTGGCATTGGTATTCTGCCATGTGTGCGTTAGAGAGTACCTGGGCAATGCCAACCCCCAGACAATTGAGGGCACAGAGGGCAGCCAGCAGATTCTACAGGTAAAGTCTGCTCTTTTTTGTTTTGACACTCCTGAACTCGAACATCTGCTCCTCTCTCCATTGCACCATACTTTTGATGTCGAGCCCTAAGTCTAGGATCTCATCACGTCTGGCTTTGACGACATCAGATCTAATTTCCCGTCAATAAATCTGCATCATCTTGCATAAAATTACCCTTCTAAATCTGCAGTCCATGAGTTTTCCAGTCCCCCCCTCTAGTATTCTCGTTGGTCCCTATGTTCTCTAATCATTTTTGTCCACTGATGCCGCCGATCTGGGTCCATCAATTCGCCCGATCACTGTAGATTCCGAAATTAGAATAAAACTTTGAGAATAGATCTGTTTCAATCCCCCTTGGTGTCATTGTGAGGGTCCTGGGAGTATAAGTAGGCTTCGACCCTAGAATAGTCTTCCCCCCTTTTCTCTCTTTCCAGAATCAATCGAACAATCCTGCATTTCTGCTTTCCTTCTCATAGAATCAACCGGATTCCCCAGACTGCAGCTTTACAAGCAAGTTCCAAGGTCATGAACTATGCCGAACATCGTTTGAACAATCAACGCAGTGACGGTGTGATCCGGAAACCCACAGCCAAAAGAGCATAGGCGTAAAAGCTCATGTACGGTAGAAACATCTGCAATAAAAAGATAGTTTTGATTCAATCAAGCCCTGGTGGCATTCCTCATGTCGTAATTCGTACAGTTTCCAGAATTCCCTCACGTCAACATAAGTCATAAGTCATAACAGTCATTTCACCTCATATTCCCCCCACCTTGCCGTTTGCACGCCGTGTGCCGTTCCATTTTCACTCACCACATTATCATCATCCTTCCCCCACGATCCTTCATCAATCTCACACTCCCCCTCAACACTGTGACGTGGTGCAGCTCTGATAATCATCAAATACATCGGTATTCGGTGCTTATCAGAGCTGCACCAACGTTGCAGCATTTCAGCTCAATGTCACACGCTTTCATATTGTCTTCACTGATGAACTCCCAAGGGCTGGTACCCGTTGATCCCTTGTTCTTTTTCCTCCCTTGCTCTCGTGTCTTGACTGGCTTTTGATGTGTTTGCCGAGTCATTGAGAGCTTCACAACGTCTGCGCAGATCCACCTCTATCCCCGTCGAGCATGAACGTTGATTCGGCTAGTGTTCACCACTGCCGGCGCAGTTAGTCGATCCCAGTGATTGAGCACCCATCCTATCACCATTGAGCGCTGGGGACGGTCAACCACAACATCCGGCTCAATCAAACCAAGGACGGTGGAAGCTTCATCTCGATCCCTCTCCGCAGCAGAAGCAACAACAGGATGCGAGATATTGTCAATGTTTCCACGAGTGCTGAAGTGCCGACGGCGGGGACCCAGGAGACTCTCAACCATTGCTCTATCCGTTCCGCTGGTCGTGCATACAGCTGACCGACAGGTTGAAAAGGCCGCAGAAGCCACGGCGGGATCTGAAGATACAACGGGCTCCGAAGCCACAACGCGCTCTGAAGATACAATGGGCTCCGAAGATACAACGGGCTCCGAAGGTCCAGGCGTGACTGTAATGCCTTGCTGTTCCACAATGGGCATCCTAGGCTATGTCAGTGCTTTTACACGCGAGGAAGCATGTATGTTGGACTTACTCTCCAGTCATACTCCAATCGGAGCGAACTCCTCCATCATGAGCGTCCCCAGTTGGCCTCTCCCGAGTGCTTGCCCGACGTGAAGCTTCGAGCATTGCCGCCTCCCTTCTGAGGTTCCTAGCGACTCTCAGGCCAATCAAACACTCCCTGGGCGCCTCTTCTAAAGGCTGCAGTCTTCCCAGGACGTCATCCCCCTCAGGTGTGCTGCTGCCGAGTGTGCTGCTGCCGAGTGCGCTGCCGACAAGTGTGCTGCCCGGCAAATTATCCTCAGTGGACTGGTTGTAGTTACCGAGGTTTCTCTGGTCCCAACGGTCCCAACTTTCAACAATCAGCATTTCTATCTCTCCATGAAGGGACATTCTACAATATACTCACTCGCTGGAACTAACACTCGAAGATCGGCTGAATACCGAAGGACTGCCCACAACTGCCCTGTCGCTTGCCGATTCGAGATCCCCATGATATCGCTCGGGCTCCGAGAAGAAAGGCAATCCAAAACTAGGCCGGGCAAAGACTTGAGGAAGAGGATCGTCCTCATTGTCCTCATTGTCCTCATTGTCCTCATTGCCCTCATTGTCCTCATTGTCCTCATTGTCCTCATTGTCCTCATTGTCCTTATTGTTCTCATTGTCCTCATTGTCCTGTTTTTTCTCATTGATCTGGGCGAGCCAGCCAGGGGGCGCCTTTTCGGTCCCATTAGCCTCGGTGAACCACTCAGAAGGCGCATTCCAGTACTCTTGCCGAGCCGAGGGGATGATTTCATCCATTGGTGCTTGCGATGGCTCTCCGACGGGATCATCGATACTTTGACCGTTTACACCGTTCGGGGGGGAACTAGCATACTCGTCATGCACCCAATCAGGGGTATCACTTGCTCCATCATAACCCAGGAGTCCACAGTCGACTGATGGGACACGGTGAAAGGCTTCACGTGTTGAATCTTGTCGAGCAAGGCTATCTGTCCAATCATCGGGGTCTTTTCCTCTGCAAGAGGTGTTATCGGATTGAACGTCTTCTCCTGTCGAGTATTGCTCTAAAGCAGTCTCGCTTGCCCCATCGTTAATCGAGGATGCCTTGCGCTCAGTGCCAGAGGTTTCTTTGCTGTGGCAAGTCCTTTCAGTATCGATCACAATCGGACGACCAGTCTCTGGATCAATAATGTCGATACTGCGGTTATTGCCAGCAGGTTCAAAGAGGGGTTGGCTATCCATGTTTGAGCCGCCGCTGGGCACTGGGGTAGGCTGAAGGTCCGCCTTGTGTCGGCTGGTTCTAAAGTCCTCCAGAAAATCGATCACAGCAAGCAAATTCGCCCGCTCCGTGATGTCCCAGACACGAAGGGAGTAGTACTCACTATCGCACTGAGGATCCATTGCAATGATCTTATTGACTTCTGCCAAGTGCCCTTCATGGGCTCGAATCTTTTCCCGTAGCCAGTGCTCGCCCCGGTCCACGGCATCCATGCTCCATGAAATCAGACCCTGTGTGAAGCGGTAATGAAACTCATACTCTGGCCAGGATTGCTCCATGGGCTTGACATAGTGCCACATGCACTGGATCGCGGAATCGATGTGCTGGATCTCATCCATTCTTGAATTCAATTGTCCGTATGGATCATCAGCGGCAACTGGATGGAGCTCTTCATAAGGTGGGAAGCCCGGAATCAACATGGGGTCATCAATGGCATCTGCACCCTGTGGCTCTTGGATGTATTTGATAAAGGACGGCTCATGTTCAACACGGCGGGAGACAAAACTATTCTCCTTCTGGTGGGACAGTTCATTCGCCATTAACGGCAACGACGCTCCATGTTCTGCGTTGTCTAGTCGCTCGGTTGAAATCCCGACTGGCTTGGTTTCTCCTGCGCCGTCGGTGTTTGCAATATTCTTTGTTGGGGATGGGCGAACAAAGACTTGGCCCATAATGGGCTCAAATCCATTCATCGCAATGATCACTGGGTTCATGGGATCCCCCAGTCGATCTTCGTACGGTGGCTGCATCGGAACGATCCTGCCTCCAGCTGTGACTCGCTGGTTTTTTGGTGAAGAATGTTGTTTCAGGAATTGAACAAATCCAGCGTTATTAGCTGCAGATGAAAGTTCTGAAGGCTTATTAGCAGATGTCGCTTGCTTTTGAGCCTGGGAATCATTATGGAACTGACTTTTTCCCGGTCGCGACAATCTGATGGAATGTCTTTTCGGTCGGTTTCGAGGATTCTCACAAAGTATCAGTCTTTTTTGTCGATTGGAAAGTGGTTTCCTGCCTGCAGTGATGGTCAGCTATGTTTGCGCGACCGAGTGAGTGTCAAAAGACACGGCTGATCAAGAGACCGATCAGAGATGTGATCTTTCTTCGGGCGCTGGCATGGAATCCAGCAAGCAGAAGATCACCAGCAATGTGGTCTTGTTGCTCAAGAAGAGCCAGATGAAAGGAATCAGGATGAAAACTCACAGTGTGTTGATTGACTTGTCCACCGGCAGGTTATGCCTGTCTCCCTGCACAAGGCTAGCAACTCTGTCAGTTCATACTTCTTCATATTTGCCATGGGTGTGAGTGTTAACTGTTCAGGTACAGACAAAGCAGGAATGTGGTCAATGGTAAGCAGAGGCCGTCTTCGAAGAGATGATAAAGCGCGTCTTCGAAAAGAAAGCACGACTCTTGTGGATCGAAGGGAAAGCAGAGAGGAGGAGGAGTTGCAAAGAAGGAACGAACCTGGGAGATATTTCGACGCGACGCGCTAAGCTTCTCAGGGTTATTGATACGTTGGACGCGTCGAAGCAGATATGATGAAAGTTGAAGTGAACTATGGAAAGGGGAAATGGTGAGGTTTTCAGTGGAAAGGAAAATCTCATTTGTGTTATGGAATATCAGTTGACCACCTGGACGAAAATCAAAATCTCCACTCTCCACGACGACGACATCATCGTCACCTGAGCTTACGGGTTCCAATTGCTTCCGGAACACTTTCTGATGAAGGAACCTTGCCTGTCCAATTCACACTCTCCTTTCTTTTCGAACTCATGCTCTATTGTCGGCAATGTCTGCGGCTGTTGAGTTATCCTTCTATACACTCTCCCGAATCTTCACTGGCTGCAAACCACTGTGAATCCGCCAATCTTCGTGTTCGTCTCCAAATGGCGAGGCTCTTACTCCATCCGATTGAATCGTCTCCGTTTCCTTCCTCCCTTGGCCCATTTCCCAACTCCCAAGACGTTCATGACCTTGCACAACAACGCCAGCTTGGATGCCATCGGATGGATGAACGGTGTCAGGCTTGGAAGTACCCCAAATGGGATTCCGGAAAGAAACGTCTGTGTCACTGGCAAGCTTTCCAGGCCCCTTGAATCCTCCCAAGCTGCTTCTTGCGCTTCCTTTGCGGGACTTTATCTGACATGCACCACAAAGGAAGGATCCAATCGCTGCGGTAATTGAGACAACAGCGAGCGTGACCACGGCACCAATCACTCCGGCCACGGCAGGAGCCATACCCTTCTTTTTCTTCGGCGTCGAATGACCCTCACCCAGCGCACCCGTACAGAACACAGACTCCGCATTGCACTGGACACACCATTCCTGAATTGAGCTCACAGCAAACGTCTCCAGCTCGGAGCGGAACTCGGAATAGGGAATTGAGGCCTGGCTAGGGCTGTGTCCAAACAGAGAGTACGGTTCAAAGGCGGTCGTGCTGTCCGTTCCATTGTGAAGCAAGAATCGAATGTGGAGGTTGTTTGTTTGTGGATACGATGGATACAGATCCCCATCTTCCTCGAGACTGTACAACTCAAATACAAACGAGCCGCCACGAACCAGACGGGAGAAAAAGCTCGGTTGGCGGTCACTTGCAAGACCAATTAGAGACGACAATGCCACGGTTGGCTCATCACCACCAAACATCAGGGTCATTTTTTGGCGGGTTCCCTTTTGCTGGATATTCAAATCGAATGCCTGCATGATACTCGATGCCAGTGTCTTTCCCGCAATCGGACTGATTGATCTGATCATGGACCCGCTGGATGATGACTGTTGGCTATTTGTGTTCCACAGGTACTGATCCGCCAGCCAGCGAGCGCGAATGATTTGGGCGTCGGTCATGCTCTGCATGAATGATTCGTTATGTAGGAGTTCATAGTCCAGGTATTCAGAAATCGGAACAGCATTCGTGTAAGTTGCGAAGGATTCGTCGTAGACTCCAGACATTCCTTGACTCCATATCATCCTGTAAAAAGCATCTGTGTCACGCGCCATTTTCTCGGCCTCGCTGCTACTTTGATAGACACTCTCGGAGGCTTGGTACATGTTGCACATGGCTTGGCCTTCGACCATGATAGACTGAGGGTCTGAATCGCCGAGCGTGATGATCCGAGGGTATTGGTATCCATTCAATGGCGCCTGTTCGAAAGAACCATTCACCTTTTGTGGACTCGATACATTCATTGCACCGAGAGGTGGATAGAGTCCCTGCATGAAGGCCTGTGCGGATCCGATAACATTTTGGTCGGTTGTTGAAAGCACATTCACGTCATTTGAGTCAAGTATAATTGGAGAGATGCCCTGGATTCCGGTCTCCGATATTCCAGACTTCGAGATGTATCGAGAACGAAAGGCTGATGCTGCCGTAACAAGTTCATTTGCTCCGTAGTCAGTCAATGGCCTTGAGCTGCTGATGACACTGGGCTTGCTGTCTCCGTTCACAGTGAATGCATAAACACCCCACACTTTTTCAGAGGTGTAGGATTCTTGGGCTGAAACAAAGACCAGTCCCTGCAGGGCCAGAAGCGCAATGTAAAGGCCGTACACTGACATTTTGCGCAAATCTTTTGGGGAACTTTTTCAAATAAACTAGGGGAGTTTATGGTGTGAAGCGTGAGACGCCATCTCTATGTAATAAAAGACCTGGGCCATGGTGGGCCAGACTCCAGGGATGTAGTTTTAGGGCTAGTTGGAAGATGGGAACCACATTCATAGTGTCGCTGCTTTCGGCCAGGGCTCCACTAATAATGGGCGAGTTGGCTCTTGATTCGTGAACTTTGAAGCTTATGGGCCATAAAGTTTCGGGTCTCTCGGGTAGTGGCAGTAAGTTGCATCTTGACGACATTGAGCACTGGTGGAACTTGAATCCGGATTTCTCACACTAGCTACACAGGGCTCGTATCTTCATCTCAATTTCTGCTCTTATGGTAAAAGACATGTATGTTAATGGTGTCCAAGTACATGACCTGTAGACATTTGAAACAACCTTGGAATTTGTAACTTTCACTGACTACATTTTACTTTATCAATGCCTAAAGGTCCGATAGCAGAGGTTTTAGAGGCCACAAGTCACCATGGAAATAACAACATTTTTAGAACCCATAAAGCAAGCCATGGCAGCTTTTTAATGAAAATGCCACAAAACAAGGGCTTGGGCATGGATAGCTACTGGACGATCAAGATCTCACAATTGAGCATGGATGTCAAACAGTGAATGTATTAATTGCAACTTACTGCTCTAGACTTCCATATTCAGATAATCTTGGAAGGTTGCACATGATATGGTGACATTGGGTCGATGACGCGCACTAAGCCCTTGCGACACAATGGTCCCTTCGCCAGTTTCGTGATCAAAGGTATACTAAGAGGAGATTTAACTTTTGATTATGCATGTCTAATTTGTTTGACGTGGAGCAATAGGTAACTTTAGGATTTTAGAAGTAGGATGTCCATCAATGAGTGTCAAAAAGATGGAGAATCTACTCCGCACCCTGCCGAGCTATTCTGGGGTGGGAGGTCGACCGCCAATCATATATCATGATTCAAGTCCCTGAGCAGACCCACAACTGTCAAATGTGGACCCTTGTTAATACTAGACGGCGTACAAGTGGCTGCTCTCCTTCGATTAGCCCTAGAAACTTGGAAGTTATCAACTCCTACAACAGCCATCTATTCCGTCTTTCTCAAAGACAAAAAAAAAAACTCATTGTAGCATCACAATCGAATTACACGCAACCCTTGAAAGGAAAGTTAGCCCTAAATTCCTGAAGACACACTATCTTGTAGCTCAATGTTGGTCGCAATACAGCCCTGGAGAACTTCAGGACAAGAGCTTTTTTCAGGGCTTTTGTGGGATTTGGCGGCTTTGGTACCAGAGGCACCAACACCTCAGGCTCCCATACCAGCAATTCTTCCAGTAGACTTCTTCCTGCCCTTCCTTCTTCTTCCCTCTCTAGCTCAGATCTCTTTTTCCAATTGGGCTGCTTTCTTCGCGTTCTGTCAGCCTGTCAGCTTTGGGGTGGTTTCTTACGGAAGAACAAGCACCTCTGAGGGTAAAAGTACAAATAATAAAGCAATGAGGTCAATTAATGTGTCCAACTAGCTAAACTCAAGTTGAGCGATGCAATGGTATAAGCCTGGCGTCCAAATATATCCAGCAAGGTACGTGATGATCAGGCAAGGCCTTAGCAAGTCGCACCTCCTTCGCAATGTCGCAACTATTTACATCGGCCAGAAAACTCTTGGCAACAGCAAAACTTCACAAATCACAAATGACAGATCTCTCGTGTACAAATTCTCTTTCGAACTCAAGCAATACTTGAGAGCATGTGCCCAGGTGCCACATGTTTTACATGCGTGCACATTCGCACTCAATGAAAGCAGCGCAAAGGTCTTCGACCTGTCCTCCCACTGAGACCCATGTCTTCTCAGCAGTCAAGGTTGCGATCAGGCCAGACTCCTCGGTAATTGTGCACACTGTGGTCTGGTCGAATGCAGTGAGTTGGGAGCTCGAGGCAAAAACGAGGCCATTCTCTCCAACCGCAGTGTTGCCCCAAAGCTCCTGGATGGGACGCTTGACGCCATCAATAGGGACGGCAACGTTGGCATAGGCGCCGGTTTGGTCGTTGGCGAGTTGGACAGTGGCTTCGGTCTTCCATCCAGCCTGGGGGGTAGGAGAGGCGAGTCCGGAGACAGAGAGGAGGGCACAGGCAAGTGCGGAGACGTTGATGAATTGCATCTTGGATGGAAGATTGAAATTTTTTGGGAGGGTAATTGGAGGAATGGTAAGAAAGACTTCGAAGTATCAAAGTTTTTATGGTTGTACAAGTATTAGGTTGACTTGATGGTTTGATGTTTGATGGCTTTCTATTTACCTGGGCCAGAAGAGATTAATATACCATTCAATGGAGGCAAGTCCAACACCGGATTAGGTTATTTAGTTGGAAACAGTCGGTTCCCATTTGGGTTGGTAGGAGCGGCTGCCGTTTTCGTCAAATACCCAAGGGTGGTTTGCCCTATCTACTTTGTACACTGCAACAGACTAGCGTCCATACTCTGTGCCGAGAAAACATGGCTTGCTAGGAATTGACAACAGTGGATCTTGATTCAACGTTTGAACTAGACCATGAATACAGTGTATTTATTGCTAGCATGAGAACATAGGCTGGTGGGAACCTGGGTAGTAAGTTGTGTTCACATCTTCCCCGACGGGAGACTTGATCTAACAAGCTCTGTATCCTACTAATACATTATGCAACGAACATCATATATCTATAGATCCAATCGCTCGCAATTTCAGACTATTAAGTTAGTTTTCACATTGATCACATCTGTAAGGAAGTTCTTAGACTTTGGGTTGAGAAGATTCTTGACAGGGCCGGATCACCCTTTCTCCAATGTATGTATGGATGCGGAAGTGCTGTGTTGAAAACATGATCGGCATTCCAGCCACCGGGTGGATTACGGGTATGGCACCCGGCCCTACTGTATAAAGCCATTTAGCGTTGGCGCGTGGATAACAAGAATGCCATATGGATCACCGGGAATGTAGATAGTGTAGGGAACCCGGAAAAATCTCCGAAAAGAGCATAGACTGTCCCCCTTGACAGGTCTCTCTCGCATTCTTGCACGGGGTTGAACCGAACGATGATCTATTTGCGTTATACTTAGTGAAGGAGGACAAGGATTGTCTGGTACCACGGAGTACACAATGCAAGTCGCAAATCAGTAATCTTCAACTTCAGAACTCACTTGATTTGATATTATATATTCAATATGTATAGATGGCTGGTGTTTCTTTTATTTTTACTTAAGTATTTGTAACCTTTACACGGCCTTGGGAAACTTTAGGAGAGCCTGCAGTAATTGCCACTGGACTTGAATTCTCAAGTTTGTTGTGCGTATCTTGCACCGTAGTGCATTTGACTATACACCGTCGTTCACTTTTTCTAATGTCAAAAAAACTGCAATGTTCTAAATTTGCCAAGGGTCCATGCTTGTCCAGCTTTTCCGCAATCCTCAAAACCACCTGTGCCTTGTGTCAACTATGCCAAGTCTATCAAGCCATTGTCGTGTTGATTTTCTCCTGGGGTCCGTTCACTTCGACCGTATATATCTGGCTGTGGGTTTGCACACAGCCACATGGGCTTGCAGTGATGTAGATTCATGAACCCCAAACCATCCAAGTTAATGTCACTCCTCCAGGGCTGTCAGTGAACTACGATCTCAACCCTGGTCTCAGCACCAGGCTTCTAAGACATCAAACAATCTAGCGACTATCGATTGAAAACTGGTATAATCCATAAAACTTGTCAATAGAACTTGTCAGACTTTCAGTTTATTACTGGGCCCCAGTCTTGGGTATGCGCATTGGCCTGATATCCTTGGCCTTTTTGGACCTCAGGTCAAAGTCGGTGAAAAGCTTCCAAGGTTTCTACGGTCCAAGCAGCTGGATTTGGCCCCCAATATCACGGTGTGTTAGGTATTGAGCATCTACGGTATTAATAGACGCAGCGCATCGAAAGTCTGGATCCAGTTAGTGATCAGGTCGAAAGCTAAGGCAAATGGAAACGGGATGACCGTAGGTATTGTGGCAAAGCGAAAATCTGGAAAGGATCGACTGTCCTTATACGAGAAAGCCCCACTGCTTTCGTTGATGTGCTCATCACCTTCTCGTGGCAGTGTGAAATCCACACCGTTGCTGACAAGGCTGAGCAGTGGTTGTGCTTGGCGAAGGGTTCCGCCCCAGCGGGAAGGGCCGCTCAGTGGAGGGCGCAAGATCGAACCCGATCGGGTTAGCCAATTTTGGCCTCTGGGTCAATTTTGTATAGACACTAACTTTTAGAATATTGATGCAGGGTCTTGAGAGCCGCAATATATAAGATGTCTAATTCTTCCAGGGTATCTATCAACAACATCTTCAATTCCACACTCTTGCCACTGGCTCACTACAGAACTATACACTACCTTGATATATATACCTGGGAACATTCGCACCATTACCCAGTCATCCATAACTTTAGAACATCTCAAAATGCGCACTTCCACATATTTCGCGGCTCTGCTCCTCGCACCACTATCTGTCCTAGCCGGACCAACGCCGGTCTCCGAGACAAATACCAACATACTCCGTCGTGGACCCGCCATGAAGCCACTGGTGGGACGCACCGGTCCCGTCCATGTTCTTGCTCGCTCTCCTCGCCCGGCCGACGACAAAGATGAAGTGTGTACGAGCGACGAGAAGAGGTGCGGGGATGCTTGTGTTCCCGACACATATACCTGCTGTCCTAAGGATGTCTCTGGGGGCTGTCCCAAGGATGAAGAGTGCAAGAAACATGATGGGAAATACGGCTGTTGTCCCGACGGGGAGAGTTGCCACTGGGACAACGACGACGATGATGACGACGACGACGGAAATGTCTTTTCAAGAATTGGAGACTTTGGGGATGACGTGAAGGATGGTTGGGATGACCTCTGGGATAACGCTGGTCCGAGCCTGAAGCCGGAGTTGATTACACTTGTGGTTTTGGGAGCTGTAGCTGCGGCTATGGGGCTATGAGGCTGTTGCTATGAGTCTACAAATGGTTATTCGAGCCCTGAGATACTCAACTTTGATAAGACGTCATTGTTTTTTTGTTTTTGGATAGATCGGTGCTTGCGTGTGTTTTGGATTTTGAGCCAGTACTAAGCTTTTTGAACAATGATATACTTACACATTCACTGAAGAGTTTCTCCATTAATGATACGTACTAATTGAGTCACTATAGGTATACTATAAGGACTAGAATGACTTTGGAATGACCTCGGGACTAGCCTTGACTTAGGTAACCTGGAGAGATGAGATGCGAACTCTCGAGGTCGCTGTAGACATTGAGAGTATTTGCAAATAAGCTGGGCCCAGGGTGGGATACATTATTTTCCTCCAAACTCTTTCTGTTCACACTTCCTTTCATCCATGGATCTCACTCATCTCATCAATTGCCCAGGTGATGGCACTTCGAGTCTAAATCCACGCATTACACCACTTCTCCTTGTTTCCACGTCTCTCTTCACTGTAGTTCCAGGGCTTGTTGTATTTCCACGCATCCACTCAAGATGCTCTCCATACTTCCCGCCCGGCAGAAAAATCATCCAGTCTCCTCCAGATCTCCCTCGCAAGCCCTACAAATGCGCCCTACCCCTAAGCCCTCATTTCTCCTCTCGGAAGTTGATACCCCGACTCAGCAGCGCGTCCAAATGGCCGATACTCAAGGGTCGCCATCTTTCAATGGGGAAGCGGCTGCATTTCCCCCCTTCCCTCCCCAAGAGACCGACCTTGGTAAGTCCTCTGCGCTTCCGACCGTCCCGTCGCGGAGCTTCGAGCTAGCCATCACCACCGCCCATGAACGTCAATACGATCAACTGTCACCCTTATTGACGAGTTATCTCTCAGACCAAAAGCCTTCCCACATTATCGATCATGAGGAACATGGGTCGCCTCCAGCCAAAAAGCGCCGTACAGACGGGGGGCCCGACGGCGAGGTTCACTTGCCACCTGATTCCATGTTGATGGCCGATCAGCATGGTCCGGGGCACAAGATTGAAGAGGAACTGGCATCGGCACTCGGCGAAGGTGTCATTGATACAGTGGAACCCACTGACAATGTGATCAACCAACCTCTGCAACCTGAGTCGCTTGACACACCTGTAGGAGTTTCGTCAACTCAGCAAGGTGATGCGGAGATAAACCCCGATGTAGCTACCATCATCTCGGAAATAATGGACCATACTGAGCGTCAGGAACAGACCGTTGCATTAGGTCCGCAAGAGATTCAGCCTGCCACCGACTTCCCCGGAAGTAGAGGCTTCGCGTTCCTAAAGGCCAACTCGCACCTGAAGATCCAGAGCCTTCCGATCCTGGACAATTTAGTTAGTGAAACCATCTTGCTGCGACTGTTTGCTTTTCCTCCACTAACCTTCTATACCCAGTCCACTCAAATTTTGTCCTTCCTCTCAAAGAACACCTACCAAGACCTCACCGCTATGGTATCTGAACCAGAATCGGAGAACGGCCAGGCATATGCCACTATGCGCTCCTTGTTTGATCACACAAAGAGGGTGTACACTGTGAAGCACTCTTTCTTGCAGCCAACTGATCTCGAAATCACCGATCCCTCGCAGATTGACGTTATCCGCAAGGCCAATTTGGCATCCTTCGTTTCCAGTATCTTCGGTTCTCAGGAAATAGGATTTGCGGACTTAAACGAGCATTTCCTGGACGTCTTTGTTCCCGAGGGTGGCCGTCTGCTCAAGGTTCAAGGTGCTCTATACCTTGAGCTCAAGACTCAAGCCTTCATCGCCGCCATGCACAACAAGTCTATCACCCGCACGCAGCTACTCTGCAACCTTTTCCCAGAAGATATGGAGCTTCGGCTGCTTGCGAGACGTCCTGGCACTAGACAGCTGGCACCTTCAGAGACGGACTTTGTTAACCGACTTACATCCCGTCGTGACATTCTTCTGAATGAACTCAACAACGAGGAGGCGTTGACTGGGTTGCCGAACAAGTACCACTGGGAAGATTTCCTGCGCGACCTCAGTTCCTACATCTCAAAGAATTTCGATGCTATCAATACCCAACAGGTTCGTTTGTCCCCACTACTGATTATCATAAGCTCACATTGTCCAGGGGAAGAAACCCATCAAGGGCCGTCAGCCTTCAAGCTCCAACGGCGATGCACATGAATCACCCAACACCACCCACCAGGGCCAATTTTCTCTGAATCAACAAGTTGAGGTCCCTGTCGACCGAAACATGCATGGTGACCTTGTCGCACGTGCTGCTCGAGCCGCACAGATTGCTCTCCAGGGCCATGGTCTTCGACGCTCCCAGCAGCAGTCACAGAACCAACAGACGCAATCCCAGGCTAGCCCATCTCCCAGACCCCAGCAGCAGCAACAGCAGCAGCCTCAACAACCTCAACCTCAGTCACAGCCCCCTCCACAGCAACCCCCACAGCAACCCCCACAGCAACCCCCACAGCAACCTCCCCAACAGCCGGTTCAGCAGCCGCCCCCACCACCACCACAGCCCCAGCATGAAAGCCCCTATCTGCATGGTTATACTGCCGCGCAGCAACCCCAATCCACCCACCAATACCACCATAGCCCCACTCCACCGGGGGGATACCAGCCTCAGCAGACATCTCCCATGAATTTCCAACAGTCTCCGCTTCAAACCAACTTCCAGCAATACAACCCCAATGCTGCACAAGCTATGCAGGCGAGAGCAAACGGAATGTCCTCCAACCATGGATATATGCCGGGGATCCCTCATTACTCTCAGTCGCAGCCAACTCAGGTTCTGTATGAGCGCGCGCGCATGGCTGCCTCCGCCAAATCCTCCCCCACCAGCCGTAAATCCGGTCTCCCCAGCCAACGCCGACCATGGACCACTGAGGAAGAGAACGCGCTGATGGCCGGCCTCGACCGCGTCAAAGGTCCCCACTGGAGTCAGATTCTTGCCATGTTCGGACCCGGAGGAACGATCAGCGAAGCCCTGAAAGACCGCAACCAGGTGCAACTCAAGGACAAGGCCCGCAATCTGAAACTTTTCTTTCTGAAGAGCGGTATCGAGGTCCCGTACTATTTGAAGTTCGTGACCGGTGAATTGAAGACCCGTGCGCCTGCGCAGGCAGCAAAGCGTGAGGCTCGCGAGCGCCAGAAGAAACAGGGCGAAGAAGACAAGGCTCACGTGGAGGGAATCAAGGGCATGATGGCTCTTGCAGGTGCTCATGGGACCCCTGTCTCGGGCCATGAAATGTCCGCCTCGCCAAGCCTGCCCCCGGATGCCAACAGCCAGTCTGTGTTTGATCAAACCGCGGAACACAATCTGATGCAGACTCTCAGTCAGGAGGTGCATGGAAGTCAGTACCCTCAGCAGCATACTCAACAGCCTCAGGACCATATCGATCCTCACATGCAGATGGGGCAGTGAGGGATTACACTTATCCTTTACTCCCGTTTTTGATCTTTTTGATTCTTCGATCTTTCTTCAATCTCTGTTATTTGATTTCACTTGTTCTGCAATTTAGCTCTTTGTCATTTTTCTTCATCAACTTCGGTTGCACCGATGTTTCGGAGTTGGTTAGGTTTGAGGTTTTGTGATTTGTTCTCTTCGGGGGACCCTTTGTTTTACTACGCGGATTCAGCAATGCGCTGCCCAAATGTATGATTACATAGCGAATACTTTTTTTTATTTATTGAGAATGATATGATATGATATGAGAATGGAGAATGCTGTACGGAGTACGGAGTACGAAGTGTAGTACGGTAGACGAAAGTGGACCGTGCGCGACCCGTGTGACCTCCAACCTCCCTATAAACGGACAGTATATCGACGTATAGCCATTGGCCTTGTTACCTGCAGCCCAGTTTCGCGAAGACTTACAGGGGGGTTTCCGCCGATAATTGCCCACCATGGCCGACTCTCAGCCTCCCCAAAACGGACCAGAGCAACCTCCTCCGTCCGAAGATAATATCAAAACCGAACCCGATCTTGACACATCCATCGAACAAGATATCGAGATGAATCCGAATCCCGATCAACCAGATGAAGCGCCTGCTGTCGACCCTATGGCCCCTGCGCCCACCCCATCTAAAAAAGAAACCAGTCTTCGCGAGTTCCTTGGCAAAATGGACGACTATGCTCCCATCGTATGCTTCCTCTATCCTCCAACCCCTCTCATAGAAGCTAACCTCCTTCTCAGATCCCAGATGCCGTCACTGCACACTACCTTACACTCGCCGGTCTCCCTCCACCAGGCACAGGGCCCGGCCAAACGCCCCCGCACCTGGCGCGCCTCCTTGCACTCGCCGCCCAAAAATTCGTCTCAGATATCGCCGCAGACTCGTACCAGTTTGCGCGAATCCGCGCCTCAAATAGCTCATCTGCCAACAATGCCATTGGTAGCTTGGCCGCGGCTTCGGGTCTGGGTGCGCCAGCTGGTGCCGCCCCCGCTCCCGGTGGTGATAAGGGCAAGGCCGGTACACACCTAGGTATCCAGCGACCTGGGTTTGGTGGTGGAGGCTCTGGGGGTTCGGGACAGGGTCGAACTGTTCTGACGATGGAGGACCTTGGCATGGCGGTTTCCGAGTACGGGGTTAGTGTGAAGCGCGGCGAGTTCTACAGGTAGCCTGATCTGACTGCTTGCTCAATCGTGCTTTACCTTGCGTCGCTTGTCTGTACCTTCACTTTGCAACGTCTTGTGTTTTCTTTTTCTTGGGTGGCGCATGGGTACATGGTTTGGTCTTTATGGACCTGGACTGCATTCGGTGGTCGCGTGGGCAAATCCCTGCAAGGGTGGAGTTTTTTTTCTTTTGCTTCTTTTTATCTTACGTTTCAACGCCCATCCCCCGCCTACAGATGAGGGTGCTCATGGAAAGAGGACCCATGTCGCAGAAAATAGTCATGATAGATATGAGACCTTTTCACAATCTAGTTTACTACACATGGGACCATAGTAGCATAGTAGTAAATATGTTTCCGGCTGCACCGCATTTTGCGATTTGCTTCTGGTGTATAAATGATGCATATTGAACTCCGACCCAAAAACAGCTAATGTCACATGAAACCCAATATATCTGTACATGCAAGTAGTGCGATGCAACAGCCCAAAGTCTGGACAGTGCGGGGGAGGACAGTCGTTTATTTGTTCTTGGACTGTTTGTAGGTGAAGCGCTTGCGGGTACTGTGGCACAGGGTCAGTCAACATAATGCGTACACTTCTCCAAACGGGGTTCACATACGCAACGTATTCCCCAAGCTTGTGTCCCACCATCTCCTCTGTTACAGCAACATCAACATATGTCTTTCCATTGTGCACAGCAAAGCGCAGGCCGACAAAATTGGGGAGAATGGTTGCTGCGCGTTTCGTGGTGCGGATTGGAGGTGAGTTGGCGGAGAAGTTGGCAGGGATATCAATGCTATATTTTTTGGGATCAAGAGTCAGTTTTCAGAGTTTCGTAAGTCCAGTGGCGCTGGGTCATCAATGGGCCTGGCCCTGTTTCCTTGCGAATTGCGGATCACATACGGAACGATGTTGGGGCCTAAGATAGGTGTTAGCGCTTGAATTCTTGATGACTTCATAAACAGATCGAGACCCATGAGCAACTCACCTTTCCAGACCGAGCGGGCGAAAAGAGCCCGAGTGAAGAACATCTTGACTATGCTTGAGGTTTTTGCGGCTTCGCGAAGTTGAGATCCCGGAGTTCAAGCCTGGAAGTCTTGGCGCTATTGCTTATGTCAGGAATATGTACTTCACCTGGGCAACATTTGAACGTTTGAAGAACCTTGGAACCTTGAATGCGCAGCCCTCAGGCCCTAAAGGTGTCGATAGTCTAGTGATGGTTTTGTTGGAATCTAATTGAAAATGCAGTAGATTGGCTATGAAATATACGAAAATATTGACCCAGCACCAAAGATTGAACAGAAGCTTGGCCTGACAAACAATCCTACAGCTGCCAGCAGCTGCATTCATTCTGCCAACTCTTCGAAGACCTTGACCAAACTGCGCACCCCGAAAAGGACATTCTCATCCGGGCCCTGCCCAGGTGTCCACTTCGCATGAGCGAAGTCAATCAAGCGGAGATCATGGACTTTGGGGGCCTCGTCCTCCTCTTCGTCCTCTAAGTCCGGCATCGGCATGGTTTGTGGATCAATATTGATATTGATGGCCTGCTGAGGCATTCCTTGGCCCAGTTGGATGTCGACAAGCTCTAAAGCCTCTTCAGGAACCTCAAACTCTTGGTCGTCTTCATCGTCGTCTTCCTCTTCCGCTAGGGAGCGGGGTGGTGGAGCTTTGTTCTCCTCTGCAAGTGCATGCTCCATGGCTTCTGGATCACCTTCGTAGACTATAAGGACACTGGATGAGTACATTCGACTTTCCTCGGCCTCGATGACCTGCTGGACATTCTTAAGCTCATCCGCTAGCCGCCGGGCGACCATTTTTGATCGATCAGTCGTGCCCATTTTGGCACCAGAAAGGAACAGTTCAAACCCTTCCTTGACAGTTTTCTCACTAAACGAGCGGCCGTACCACTTGTCGTACCTTCGATAGCCATTCTTCTCGATAACCTCGCCCTTTTCGCCCTCTGCGCCCTCGTATTTTATAGCATAGGGATCTGTCCGGTCTCCCTCGTCGGTCTCACCATTCTCTCCTGTCCACACTTTCATCCCCGCGATACGGTATCCGACACTTGAGCTGGTGGTCTCGTTTGACACAGCGTCGAGTTTGCTGCGTTTCGCAAGCGGCGCATCATCTGCCCACAGTCGCGCTCCGAGCTTCACGTCCAACACGTTGGGCCGATGGAATCCAGCGGCAACATTTTCCAACACGATCGACAATCCTGTGTCGATTTTCTTGCCTTGCGAGGGCACCCACGCGGCTTCTTCTTTGTCGGCGACAGATTCCTGAGCAGCGGGACAGGTTTCGGCGGGACGGGGACTATCAGCGGAAGCACTGGGGTCGGGGAGAAAGATAGCGCCGGAATCTCGGGCAGCAGCAATTGCCAGCGGTTGCTGCTGCTCCGCAGATGAGAGGGAGCCAACATAGAGGGGCATGAATTCTTGGAAGGCCGGATGGAGAGAGCTGGATTCGTAAAACTCCACTTCTTGACGGGTACATGGTTTAGCGATCAGCGCACCCGAGAGTGTACATTGCACACCATCACTAATCGGATAAAAGGCTCATTAGTATCAGTTGAGACTGGATCGAGACCTGATCGGGTTCGGGGGTGTGTCAAACCCCGGAGATCGGGCCAAAAGGAGGGTCAAACTTACTGTCCGGCTGCAGCGTGGTCGAAAGGAATCAGATCATCGCTGCCAATTTGCGGAGTCTTTCGACTCTCGGGTTTGGAAGCCGGCATCTTCACTGCATTCCGCAAGGTGTAGTGTTGCGCGGTGACAACAGATAGCGCAGGGGCCACTTCGGCCTTACTTCGGCCCCGCATCTATATTCCGCTGTCACACTCTATAGTTATAGCTGCCCAGCTTTAGAAGTGTGCACTCTATATATTTTCTGTTTTGGGTAAACCTGAGTACCTAGGTATTCTCGCTGGATGATCTTCAACATTAAGGATATTTATCTAAAAAGTGAATGGTTCTACACACTGCTCGGGTGCTATCTTGCTGTTGCTACTATTAACAATGTCTTTGTTAGAACAACTTTGGAAGAGTAGAGTGAGTAGGCCAGGTCTTTAAAGGTGGACTTCAGAAGGAGAGATATTCTTTCAAATGTATGCTTTGATCTAATCAATATTGGGGTCGAACACAGCAACTGACTTAGCACTTGCCCTCTTCTTGTTCCTCCTCTTCCTCCTCTTCCTCCTTTCCCCCCTCTCCCCCATCTCATCACTTTTTTCTTTCTCAATACTCGGACTCTGTCCAAGCTTTCATAATGAGTGACCCACCTAGATCCACCAATCCAAGTGATTTATCACCCTCTTTGGAGCCAGCCGGTTCCTGTATCCCCGAGAAAAAAGTGAGATCTACCGACTCTATGCCAGTTGACAAACAGACTCCCGACGCCAAACACCCTGCTTTGATGGGCCGTGAAGATGGAGATCAGGGTACAGATAGCTCATCTCTTGTCTCTGAACTGCAATCCTCTCAGCAGATGAGTTCATTCTCGGATAAGAACGACACCGATAGCTCAAGTCTCCATGAGACCACTGGCAAAACTGGGCTGCAAGATATGGAGGTCGAAGATACTGTAAGTTTTTACTATGTTGATTCTGCATTTTGCGGTGCAAAGCGCAACTAATGCTATCTTGAAGATTCAGGAACCATGCCTCCATTCGGATCCAGCTTCGCCTGACCAGAGAACCGAAAAGACAAGTGAGCATGTCACTGTTGATCCCCCTTTCAATGGTGCCCAGATTGAAGATGTTGGAGCTTCAGCCAAAGGGAAGGAGACTTCTATGGTTGAAGATGAAAGCACCACCACGAAAGCCAATGCCCCCCGAATTGGCTTGAAACATGACCCAGCGGAGGAAGCAGTCTTGGCACAGTTTGAGCCAGTGGAGGTAGCCACCGGGAAAAAGAAGAAGAAGAAAAGGCGCCCCAAGAGCCAGAGAGGAATTGTAAGAATTCATTCATGCATTATTCGTCCTCCGGTTCGTTGACTAAATCTATAGGGTGCACCGACTGGTTTTGAGCCCTGGCATGCTGATGCCCCGATGACTCCAGCAGAGTTTGAAGAGGATAAGAGAATTTACGACCCGTACGTCCATTTGTTTATCCCAAAGTGATACATCACTAACCCCCTATGATAGAGCTCTGCCGATTCTTGAGTAAGATCAACCAAGTTTGTTCTTTACGCTGTGTTTGCTGACCTGACTTGTCTGTGTAGTCGGTGCGACGAAGCAATCAAACGCTTCCTGGATAAGCGCCGCCTCGAGCCTGACAGGCGCAAAGTGTTTCTGAAATACCTTCAATACGGCGGTGTTAGCGTTAGTCAGAATCAAATGCAGGGTGTGAGTCCTCAGGAATTGAAGGAAATGGACAAGGAAGAGGGTATGCAAGCACGTTGCCATACTCGAATCTTCCCCGATGAAGAAGAGGATTTTGAAATTTCCTTCAATAATATTGCTACAGGCTTCTTGCAAGTTCCCACATCTGGATGAGTATCTGATACCATGGAATTACGCTAACCTTCTTACAGAACTTGTTATTACATGCCTCACTACAATCCCGAGACCCAGGAGGAAATCAAGATGTGCACTGATACCATGAAGAACTTCTTCACTTATCTGCTCTACCACGACGTGTGCCCTGAGCAGAAAGAGGACCTCGAGGCAGCCAGGAAGTCATGCGACCGCTGTGAGAAGGAGTTGTGGCTTTGTCAACAAATTGTCCGCCATGATGGCCCTGGGCATTTCAACCGCGCTTGTTCCACGTTGTTTGCAGGGTATTACTATGACGTCCCCGATGATCCTGATGCGTGGCGCCATGTCAGATTCACCAGCAAGGACACTTTCACTCGTGATATTGCACGCAAGGTCATCAAATATGCGATTGCAATCAATGGTGATGACCGAATGACTCGGAAATTCAAATGCCTCGTCGAATGGGATAAACTCCAAACGAAGCAAGTTGAAGACATCGACGGGTTCGAGGTCATATCAATTGAATATCCATCCGAGGAGGCGCGCGCTTACTACCGAGAGCTTGCTCCGGATTTGCTTCCGGTTGGGAGGGTCAAGGCAAGGGAGTTCCGTGACGAGAGCCGCGGTGAATTTGATCTCGCTCCCTGGGAAAAGATCGACTGGGATGCTGGATTCGCCCCGGCATACAATTTCGAATTCTTCCTCGAAGAGTCAGTCCTTGATCTCCTCCTGCCCGGGATGAAAGTTATCACCACCGTCTATGATACCAATTGGGGCATGCACTTCTACGACGAGGTCATGAGCGTGCTGCCAACCAACTACCTCTTCACTTACAACGACTTGATGATAGATTACAAGAGGCCAGAGGCTATTGAGTGGATTGGTGATCAGCGCGAGATTGAAAGGCGTCGTGCAGAGGCTATGATCGTCCGTCCCCCTGAACGGTCACAGAGATACTTGGTTCTGTATATGCTGGCCAAGGAGATGAGCTGGGTAGCACCGAGGAATTCCAGCAACAGAGAACATTGCAAGAACATCATCAACTGTCTTGAGATATATGGATTCAACATGGACGAAATCAAAGAAAAACTAGAATTGACGGACAGGCATATCCCAGTGAAGACGGTTTGTATCAAGTTACCTCCGAGGGGTCCCGATGAGAAGCCGCCGGTGAAGAAGAAGCCGGCTGTCGTATGGGGACCTAGCAAGCAGGGGCCTGGCCCACTATTGCCTCTGAGGGAAAAGTTCAACGGAAAGGGGGTTATCAAACCTGTCCAGAGGAAGCCCGACAAAAAGGAGCATATCGAAGAGGAGCCCGTCGAAGAGGAGCCCGTCGAAGAGGAGCCTGTCGAGAAGGAGCCTGTCGAAGGGGAGCCTGCCGAGAAGGAGCCCGTCGAAGAGGAGCCTGTCGAGAAGGAGCTTGTCGAAGAGCAGCCTGTCGGGAAGCAGACTATGAAGGGAGCTTCTTAGCAAGAAACAGTTGAGCAAGGTTCCGAGCGAGACCGTCTAGCCAGTTCTGGTCAATTATCCCGCTTGTCGTCACCAGCAAGGCTGGTTGGGTCAATAAGCAGAATTTCATATCCAGATAGTGATACTTTGTTAAGGAAAGCATATTTCAAACTCATTATGAGGTCTTATGGAGCTTAACTAATGGATATCATATGCACGCACTCGTATTTTTGTGCTAATAATGCTTAATGGCTATTGCAACTTTCATGGCTTCAAAAGGGGCTTGCCCATAGTCTTACGTCCTTCCAAGTCCTATGAGACGGATTAGTCTTGGAAGTAATTCTTACGCCGCCAAGGGTTACATACCTTGTGCACTTGAGCAATATCCTCCAAGGGGTACACCTTGTGGATCTTAGTCTTGAGCTGACCCGACTTCAATAGGCTGAACAGCTCATTCGTGTAGTATTCAAACTCCTCGCGAGTCTCAATATAGCCAAAGAGAGTCGGGCGGGCAACTTTGACACACTTGGGTGATAGTTTGCTAGCGGCATAGGGTCAGTATCGGTGGCTGCTAGGATAGCTAGATTGAAAACATACGGAAGAGGCAGCGGTGGGACAGGACCGCTGGCATTGCCGAACCAGACAATCGTGCCCTTGCGCTTAACAGCTTCCAGGCTTCCCTCCCACGTATCCTTGCCGACGGAATCATAAACAACATCAACACCGCGGCCACCAGTAGCTTCTTTGACCAATTTCACCCAATCCTTACCCTCCTCACTTCGGTAATCAATCACCACATCGGCGCCAAGACTCTTTACAAGGTCACACTTCTCTGCACCACCGGCAGTACCAATGACCTTGGCGCCCATGGTCTTTAAAATTTGGGTCATGAGGAATCCAGCGCCTCCAGCCGCAGCATGCAAGAGAACCCAATCGCCCTTTTGAACGGGGTAAGTCTCTTTTGCAAATGCAAGCACTGTCAAGCCGCTCAAGAACGACGCCATGACTTCCTCGTCGGTGATCCCTTCGGGGATCTTGACTGTCTTCGCCGCAGCGACAGCAGTGAGTTCTGCATAGCCGTTAGTCGCCAACCAGGCAACGCGATCACCGACGTTGAACCCGGTCGTTTCGGGGCCCACAGCTGCGACAGTGCCGGCACCTTCTCGACCCAGGATTTCCGGTTTGGGCGAGGCGTATAGTCCTGTTCGGAAATATGTGTCGATATAGTTGACTCCCGAGATATTGTTTCGGACTAGCAATTGCCCAGCTTGAGGAGTTGGCACTGGGTAAGAAGTGCGAAATTGGAGTACCTCAGGGCCTCCCGTTTGCTCGACCACTACGGCCTTCATCGTTGTTGGAACAGACATGATATGGCGGTAGGTCCCGAAATTGAGATGAATGCGGAGAATTGTGAGTCGAGGACTGCTTCGTGCGAGAGAGCGAAACATCACAATGTCCGAGATGTAGAGTGTCGGATGTTAAGTACTTCAGTGGAGCGCGTCTTTAATTTGTCATCCCCCGCATCCCCCGGGCCGAAGACGGAATTCCTGCGATTTCTGCGGTTTTCTTAGTGAATGTTGGTGTTTCTCAGCTTGTTATATGGCTGCTTCTGAAATTACGAGCTATTTCAGCCAAAGGTCATATTTGAATCGATGCTCCCATTTGCCTGAGACGCTGTCCAGGTAGAGAGCGCGTTGAAACCGACCTATGACGCAATAGCCGTCGGATCGCAAAGAATCGGAACAATGCCGATGTACTCCGTGCTCCCTAGTATCTTCGCTGCCACTATATGTGGTACATCAGTTGACACGGCGCCTGGTGAAACCAGGATACCTGGATGATCTTGCTTCGATCCAAGTCTCTTCCGAAGGGCTTCATGTCCAGGCTTGTTTGATATCCAACGGATCCTTTGCCGCCATCGGACAGGAGGTTCGATCATGCACCTAAAATCTAGCGTCGCGAGCCGCTTACTCGTATACCGTGCTAGTATGGAGAGTTTCCCCTCGATCGACTGCATTGGTCTCCAGAACCGTCAAGGTATGCAAGCCACCCGAACCCCATGAGGGGCTTGGACGGCTACGCCCCACGTTTGCATGTCAACTTGGCGAGTCTGCATGACCCAACCCATGACGCTTTCTTTTGCATCATCTGCCGCTGACTGCGTCTCTGAATGTCTGTGGACGGGGAAAGATCTCCCCGCTCCATACACCATGAAAGACCACGCCATCCGATATTTTCCAAACAACCCCTGAGCAAAAAAAAAACCGGGTTCGCAAATCTATTGTGGCCCAATCACCAAATTGTTTTCGATTTTCATCTAATTAAAAGTGACTGAAACGCGGCAGCACCCGTAGGTTCCACTTTGTGCCCAATACCAACAGGCTGCCAGAGCCAGGTGGACTCGGCCGTTTCGGCCTATGTTTCCAATGCGAACCCTGCTCGCATGATTTTTTCCCTTCAGCCTGAAGCTATTTCTGGCTGGTTAACCCTCGCCCAATCAACTAGGGAACCTATCAGAGGTCTGCTCACACAGAGTGGTGCCCGATGTCCATGCTTATATACCCTTGTTCTTTCTGGTCGCACACAACCTTTTAAAGCCCATCTTTGTCTACTTTCTACGAAATTTCTCCTCTCACAACTTCATTGCCCTTGTTTCGAAAAAAATTCCTTTCCCTTTCGGCCCTACCGTCTATACTATGAGCCATACTTCTCGAGCTATTCCAAAAGACGTCATCGCAGCAGGTTAACGTTTGAAACAAACATATTCCACACTCGTCGTGTGATAACAATCAAGAATGACTTATTCCCGAACCCCCCGAAGGGTTCGTGTGCAATGGCCTCCGGCGCCCTGCGTCGAAGAGGAGCCCCAGTCTCTATCGAGGGAGCTAGATGGTCTCTCGAAGCTTGGAGACAAGCCAGGAGCTGAGGGTGTTCATTTCAGAGGCGCTATTGACCAGTACCCTATCTTGGTGTCTGCTACCCCTCCTCCTCCATCGGTTTCCCCCGACAGCCTGTCAAACGTGCCTGGACTAGGGCATATGTCCTCTTCCGATGAAAGTTTGGGGCCAGCGACGCCCCCGCTCCACGAGCCCGTCATCCGGAACACAGTCAGGTTCAAGGATGAAGACGCTCCCACTCCTACTCCTGCCCCTGCTCCTGTGCCTCAAAGAACTGTCAGCCAATCTAGAAGCCAGTCGACTCGACCTCCACAACCGCAACAACACAAACGAGAGCCCAGTGTGCAAAGGGAATCCCGACACTCCTCTCACTACCGGGAAAACCCCGCCAGTCGACCCATAATGCCAGTCGAGTACGGTTCCCAGGCTCTACGCTCAGAGAGTCCGCCAGATCGCCCGGCCCCTCGAGCTCCTGTACCTGAGAAGAAGGACCTAGCGCCGCCCAAATCCTCTCTTGCTCGCTCAAACAGTGCTCGGCCCGCACCCCCAGTGCAGCGACAACTGCCGGAACGCCTTCGCAATGAGCACGGCTCAGGATATCTGTCTGATTCAGCCACTTCCTCTAGCAAACCACCTGTGCATCGATCAGAAGCACCCGTTCAAGCCCCCGTGCCCACGGCTCCAGTGTTACCTGTGCCAAATGGCCCCACGCTTGCAGACCGCATAGAGGAGAAGCTTCGACAGCGACAAGAACGACAAGAGCAACGAGATCCAGGACACGTTTCGGACACTGAGGGACACAAGTCAACCACAGCCGCCAAGATCTCCAACATTGCCATCCCAATCTTGTTCCCGCACCCAGCCCCGGCTACAGCACCGCACTCCCCTACACGGGAGAGCCGTGCCCCAAACCAGCGCGTTCAGCAAGAACCACAAACTTCTCGTTTGCGGGCACAATCGGTCACAGCGCCACCCGCTCGGGCTATGTCTGAATGTCGCCCTCCGCCTCCTTCTCGGCCGTTGCCTGAGATGATGGAGAAGTCCAAGCTACTTCCAACTCTGGTCCCAGTCCAGCCGGTTTCAGCTCCACCTACCACTGACAGGTCTATGGTGCAACCTGCTTCTCGGCACACCAGCACAACTCATTCCAGCCCTGACAGGTCTACAGTCCAATCCAGCTCTCGGCACCCCAGCGCAACCCGATCGAGTCCTGAAAGATCTACCGTTCCATCTACTGCTTCTCGGCACCCCAGCACATCTCCCCAGCGCCCTAACTCAACAGGCATGGGCCTATCGCCCTGTCCTCGCACCATTGCAGTTGCCGGCTATCAAGACTGGTACACATTGAAAGGTCTGACGCACCTAGACATCTGTCCATCATGCATGAGTCAGATCGCGCACTCGCGGTACAGAGATTTCTTCATCCCGAGTCTAGCCAAACCAGCAAACCAAAAGACACGCTGCGCGTTCGCCAATGCCTGGACCCGTCTCGCCTGGGCCCAAATGATCAAAAAACAACACGACAGCCTGGAACTGCTATATCAAATGACACGCCCACCACCAGGAAGCCGCGGCTGTCCCGGCCGCATAGTCGCCGAACAACCCTGGTACAGAGTCTATGACCCAGAAACCAACAGCGACCTATCCAACTTCCACGTCTGCAACAGCTGCGTTCGAAACGTCCGCATCCTCATGCCCGCCCACCGCGACACATTCACCCAGAACCCAGAACCAGCAGAACGAATCTGTGACTTTGTAACTTCGTCGCCACGTTTCGTGAAATTCATCGATCTCCTCGACGCATCTGCCTCGCGTGCAGAAGCAGACCGTGCCCGTCGTCCAGACACCCGCGATTTCCTAAGCTACGCCCGTCGCAAGGCTGTTCTTCGTGACTGTCGTCGCGACAGACCAACACTCAGTACATGGCATTTCATCCCATCTTTGCCAGAGATGTGTGTCTGCGAAGACTGTTATGATGAAGTTGTCTGGCCACTTGCGAGGGTTCATCGTCCCATTGCGCGAATGGTGACAACATCCATGCGGATCTTGCCTGGTGATGCGCCTGGGCGCACACGTGAAGCAAGCTGTCAGCTTTATTCGCCGCGGATGAGGGCTAAGTTCCGGGAGGCGGTTGCAAGGGATGATTTGGGGATGTTGGAATCTATTGCTAAGAGGAGGATTGAGGCTGAGAGGAGATTCATGGATCGTCGGGAAGAGTTGCTTGAGGCTTCTGGGAGAGGGTATGATTGTGATGAGGAGATGAGGAAGGCTGTTGATGAGTGGAGGCGGTGGGAGTGATGTTTTTGTTTTCTTCTCTCTTGTTCTTGTTCTATCTACGTGTACGGACTTGGCTTTTTGTTGGTTTGACATGGGCATTGGGTGTATACTTGTATACTTGGAGCATTGGGATTGGGATTGGGATTGGGATTGGGATTGGGATTGGGATTGGGGACTTCGGTCATTCTGTACAATGGGGGTTCATGTTTGCATTGTACTTACTAGGTAGCATAGCATAGCACATCGTAGCATATAGCATATAGCATAGCATCAAAGTTTTCTTTTGTTGATAAATGTTCAAGATTCCAATTTGCTTCTGTTAAAGTGGTGGTCTTCAGACATGAGTCCTAATGATAGTTCCTCTACATGGCAGACAAACAGTTGGACCATTGGTTTCGGCTCCCCTTGCGAACACTACACAGTAGAAAACTCGCTCGAAATGAAATTCTGCGTTCTTTATATGTACCAACTATGAAAGATCCATGCTAAAACCCCCAACTCCCAGAAAATAATGCAACCTATATGCCAAGTATTTACAGAGCGGCTAACCAACCAGGCCAACCAACTCACCTGGCCAGCGCTTAGCCCAGATAATAGCACGGGGTGGCATTCTGCCACCAACCGGCGCAAGAACCCGAATCTTTCCCTTATCCGCATCAACGTCAGCAACATACAAGAAACCCATGATGCTCGCGTCGCGGACTTCGGAAGGCGATGCGTTAGCCGGAGCGTGGGTGATGGCTAGAAGGGTATTGGCGAGAGCCGCAGGCGCAGGCGCGAGAACTTTCTTCAGAGGAACGGTGCTGTCGGTCTTTTCAGGGGCGCTGACAGGCTCGGAGAAAGAGCCTACCACGCCGGGAAGAGGGGCCGCACGATCGGGGTCCTGTTTTGGTTCGGCGTAATCTTCTGCACCTCCGCCAGGGAGGAAGTCAGTCCCCAGTTGTGAGGGGTCGTAGTCGTCCTCGTCCTCTTCGTCAGCGGAGGGCATGGTGTAGTTATAGATCGGGAGGGTGGCGAAATCGAGTTGCTGTGCGTGGGGAGAGAGTGTGATGGTGGAGGCGGGGGATAATGAGGGCATCGGATTGCCGAAGAAGTATGTGCGGATTTGGGACTCGCGCGTTGCTTTTCGGAAAGCTTCGTCGCGGTCAGCGCAGCCACCTGATTTGGAGAGCTTGATGACTGAGACTTGCTCGTCAAAGACGGCGGCTGTTGCACTGGAGCTGGGCTTATTATCGTATTGCTTGGCCACAGTGCTGTAGAGACGCTCCGAGCCCAGGACGAGGATTGTAGTGATTGAGAATTCGGTAACGATGTGATTGATCAAATCCATGCTGCCTGGTTTATCAGAGCCAAGGATACCAGGAGTGTCGACGATGATTCCCGTCTCCCGCGCATCTTCATCCTCGGCCATACGGCCCGTGACCGAGAGTGCGAGGCGCGAAACAATTGGTTTATAGACGCTGCCCTCCCCATCTAGTGGGTTCTGCATGGGGTAGCTATACACGAGAGGCAGCTTGACCGGCACCGGACTGGGACCGGACATGGGGCTGCTTCCCCAGCCATCTTCAACATCCAAAATTGTTCGGAAAGCGGTCGCAGTCAATGTGCCAGGCACGCCGAGCATACCCTCCGTCGGGTCGAGGTTCACAACCAGTGGCTGACGGCCAATCTTGGTAGCGTAGGAAGTCAGAATCTTAGCAAGGGTTGTTTTCCCACTGTTTTCAGAGCCAAGCAGTAGCACGCGTGGACCGTCTTTGCCAATTGACAGTGCCTCCTCACGCATCGTCTCCAGCGCGAAGTGGACATTGGCGTATTCTACCATTGGCGTTTCCTCGGCTGTGTACTCGCTGTGACATCCGCCCGCACCATGACCAAATGTTGGCGAAACTCCGTCCGATGTGGTTTGTATAGTCTCTGCTGCGCTAACCTCCAGTGCGCAGCCATGCCAAGTGAAGATTGCCGCCTTTGTGCCGGTGAAGGTGTAGGTTTGCGACTCGGCGAGTTCTGTCCCGAAAAGCTCTGCGGTTCCATTGAGAAGCTGTACACTGAGTTAAATAAGTCCCGAGGAATGTTGTGATTATCAGGCTAGGGCGTTGTGACGTACTTTGACCTTGATAACATGCCCAAAGGCAACCTCAAAGCGCCATTCCGAGCCCGGGGTCAGGTTGATCTGCGACGGTGGTGCGGCGGCCTGCGATCTATCCTCCGACGGCTGGGTTAGTTCTAGACCTGGTAGCGACATATTGTCCAGGCAAAAACTTCAATAGGCACTGGAGATGGGAGGAATTGGAGAAGGGCCCTGGTGACTGGAGCGGAACTTGTTTCACGTGTTTGCAGGCGCTTGTCCGCGATTGGTCGGCTATCTACTCAATACACGCGCAGTAACCAAGACTTTAAAATCTGCTTATACTTCATACTTTGATGTTCTTTTGGTAGAAACAATTGATATTTAAGTCGCCATGATGTGTACCTATCCTTTCATTCTAAGGTTATTTTAAGACTTTCTACGGTGAACATAACAAGCTAATAGGTGCTTCCCAGGCGAGAGACACCAGTGTAATATATATCTGAAACCACAATTTCAGAGGATAATCTCGAAGAATATCACTATCATTAGGCAAGTCTTGGCTACATGTGGGGCAGTTGCCACGGGCATAGAAGATGTGAGGGACGTGGTATCGGAGAGGAAGAGGATTGGACCAGAGAGTTCGAGTGAGGAAAGACAAGTTCAAATCCACTTGGTCAACTCTGGCATAGGACGAGATGGGAAGGGGGTGAAGGAATGGGCAACATATTAGAAAATTGTGTGACACAAGTACAGTGCTCTCAGTATCGCCGGCGAGGAATATATTTATGATAACGACAAGGGGAATTGGGATTCAGAAGCGAAGATTGGGGGCAGCTGGGCTGTCGCATGCGACAGAGCAAAGGAAAATGGGAGGCTTCCAAACAGATTAACTGGACGTTAGCAAGCAAAGAACCAACGTTTGCTCAAAAGAAGTAGGGAATCGAGGCACTATAAACAATGTTAGCATCACGTCTGGCTCGAGGGTGCCAAATCACTTACGCAAGGGCAAATGCAACTGAGACTCCAAAGATGGAGCGGTTGCGCACACGCTCTTGCTTGAGCTTGTTCTCGAGCACTCTGGCTTTCTTAGCCCGCTGACGGGCTTCAGCCGAGGTTTCCTCCTCCTCATCATCCTCGGGCTTGCGCTTCTTTGTCACCGTCACAGCTGACTTAACAGGAGTGCCATCGGCCTGCGCCTTGATGGCGTCTTCAACCATGCTCTTGGCCTTGGCAATCATTTCCTGGGTCTCAGCTGCAGATGGGACTTCAGGAAGGCTGATAGGCAGATCAAGAGAAATGGTGGGCTGAACAGCCTCAGTGGTGTGAGTATCCTCGGCAGCGGTTTCGGTGGCTACTGCAACTTCAACTTCCGGCTCTGCCTGGGGTTCTTCCTTCTTCTTTTCTTTCTTCTCTGTCTTTTTCTCCACTTTTTTCTTCTCCGTCTTTTCTTCCTTCGCTTCTTCCTTGGTCTCTTCTTCAGGCTCCGCAGTGGTAGCCCGAGTGGTCTTCCGGGCTCGAGGTTTCTTAGACGGCGACCCAGCAGACTTCAGTTCAGACAGGGTATCGGCTTCCAGCTCGGGGATTGTGCCGGCATCCAGAGTAGCAGTTGAGACCGAGATATCCAAGGTGGACTGCAAGCTGGCATTGGCGGCATTTGTGGATGGGGTGCTGGTGACATCCTTGGTGATGCGAGTGGTGCGAGACTTGCGGGGAGACGACTTGCTCGGGGAAGCAGAGCGACCTCTGCGGTGGCGGTGTCCGACAGGCGGCTCGTCTTCGGGGATTTCAAATTTGGGAGGGGGAGTAATCTGCTTCTTCGCGCTGGACGGGCTTTGGGCAATGTCGCTTGGGTCCAGCAAAGCTCGCACCCATTCGTACATTTTGTATTCCTTGGAAAGTTCAAGAGCTAGAAATGTTAGCAGGTGATAGAGCCGGTACAGAGTTGGAACATACCAAATCCAGGAGAAATCCACACGTTGCCAGCCACTTCCTCCTCGCTGGTGTGCTCGCGCGCCTTCAAGTATTCACGCTCAGTTCTCTCTTCCTCGGCCTTCGCCCAAGGGAATGCGATCTTGAACATTCCAGTAGCGCTAACGAAGCCATCCTTGCTGCGTCGCTGTAGGATCGAGATGTCAGATCAGTACGTGTCTTTCGCGATGGGAGAAATCATATATATATATATATATATATATGTATATAGATATAGAGCTGTGCTCACCATCAAAAAGTAGGTTTCGGGCTGTTGAGCTAGGGTGTGCGAAGGGAAAATCTCTGAGCCCTTCAGGTCCTTGGGCAATGGGGCACGTAGGTGCGCGTACTCAAACACACCGAGGTTCTCACGCTTGGTCGCATTTGAGGTGCCGATTTGGGACGGCTTAACTGACAGATTAGTCTTGCCCAGACGACGGCGCGTGAGGAGATCCTCATCTGTGAGATGAATGGCGATGATTAGCGATGAGTAGGATATTTGGCGCATCGTTGGAAAACGAGCCAATGCGCACGCGGGGCGCGCACGATGCCGCGACGCGCTAGTCAAACTCACAGGCAGGAGCAACTTCTGAGACGATCAGAGGGTTAAGTTCTTTGGGGAGTGTTCGCGCCATGGTGGGATGTTGAGATGACGAAGATCCTTTGTGGTGCGAGATGGGAAAGATGCGCGGCCACGTAGCAAGCGCGTTTGGCGATCAAAAGTCCACAGCGAGTTCACACACGTCCAATTTCAGGATTAAAATGCGCCAATATTAGCAAGACACGATAGGGGAAAAAAAAGAGGCCCGAGATAAAGAAAGACAATCAGGAGGAAAGATGCGAGGCGCGAATAATTGCGTCTGAGACTTGACTCGTTCCGGTAAAGTCCGGTTTGATGATGGTTTGATGAGGTATTTGAGGGATGTGATTGGATAAGAGATCATATATACAGTAATGATACACCTCACTGTAATATATCCTGTTTTGGCGTGACATTCCCATCCCTGGCCACTGCGCCGTTCTCTCTGACCTCTCGTTTCTCTGTGGACATCTATCATTTCACATCTATCATATGCGACTACTGAGTAGGAAATATTTCATACCCAGACAGGTCGAAACCATGCTCTGCCATTCTCCTGAGACTTGGCGCAGTATGGAGTACCCCAACACACTATTTGTGCAGATCCTCGTGTTTGTTTACTGATATTAAATGCCTCTCTACTCCGTACTCTGTACTCTGTCTCAATGTAAAATCAATTTTTGTTTGTGTGATTTCCAGTCTACTTTCACCTTCGTCTGACTTGCTCTCTGATATTGCTCAATGGCAGCAAAGGGAAAATATGTCCTTGGCTTATACTCCGTACAATGCACCCCATGTCCATATCCCCAATAGTGTGCTTCAAAGACTTAAAAGAGTAGGAGATAGTGAAACGATGGTGTAAGCTACCATCTCTAGATGGATACGATCATATATCTGATGCATTTCGAAACAACACGGATCCGTGGCTAATAGTTCATACGAGTACACAAGGGACAAGCATTCCGGTCGACTGTCCCGCTATCAACGTGGCCGGTCCGTACTTTTTTAGTTGCATGATCTCCTGAAACCCCACTCCATATACTCAAATCAAGGCCTAGATCGCCATGACCTTGTAGTTATCCGTGACCAGAAATAGAAGCAGAGCAAAAGAGTGCCATTCAGTAAAATCCAGTAGAATTGAACGGTCAATATAACCGTGCATCAGGGCGCAGGACATGCGTATCCAATTCTCATCCGAATAGCCTCGCCCCTCTCCCACCGCCTTTCCACCCCACCAAATCCCAGACGCTTGGATCCTAGACTCTCCTGATTCTCATTTGCATTTCCTTCTTCTTCCTGTTCACTTCTCCATACTCCCCCGACACTCTCCCCAATCTCCTATTCTTGATTAACTGTCCCACCTATCTAAACAATGGCCGACAACGCAGACGATCTCGCCGCCACCAGAACCGAGGGGTTCAAGGTCGGAGAGAAGAAGACCATTGACGAGTACAACCAGCTGGGTAAGAAATTTACCTGCAATTCTCATTCATCCCTAATTGACTTCGGACTAACACCCTTTACTCCACAGACAAGGACGATGAAGCCATGCAGCGCTGGAAGGCCTCACTCGGCCTGAACGCCGGTGAACCCATCCACGAGCCCAACGACCCCCGCAAGTGCATTATCAAGTCTCTCGCTCTGCAAGTCGAGGGCCGCCCCGACGTCATTATCGATCTCTCCACTCCCGGTTCCGTCGAAGATCTCAAGAACAAGCCGTTCCAGATTAAGGAGGGCTCCAAGTTCCACATCAAGGCTACCTTCCAGGTTCACCATGAAGTTCTGAGCGGTCTCAAGTACCTGCAGGTCGTCAAGCGCAAGGGTCTCCGTGTTAGCAAGGACCAGGAGATGCTCGGCAGCTACGCACCCAGCACGAACGTCAAGCCTATCTACGAGAAGATTTGTAAGTTTATGGATTTCAAGATTCGATTTTTCTTGTCAATACACATGTGCTGACCCTTCCTAGTCGCCGAGGAGGAGGCCCCATCCGGCATGATTGCCCGCGGACACTACAATGCCACATCCAAGTTCCTGGATGACGACGAGAATACCCATCTGCTGTTTGAATGGGCCTTCGACATCGCCAAGGACTGGTAGACATGACTTTATCTTGTTAAGTTCTTGAGCGGTTGTTTGTTTTCAGAGCGTGATGAAGCTCCTTCTTTGATAAAAACTGTTGTCCCACAGGCCAGCACTTGGACTCCGTTACATTGTTTAAGCGTCATACCAAAGTTCTTCTGTGTGAGATATTTTTGTTTCAAATGCCAAGTAGCGTGTCTCATGGGTATGCACAGCCTATGCCAACTCCTGTCTAGTGCTGTCGAAAGAAAATCAAAAAAGTTGAATATTAACACGAAGAAGTAGTGGGTATCACAAGAAGTAGTCAATCACTGGACTGGGGCCGCCATCCTGGTTCTGCTGGTGCTTGCCGAGCTGCTCCATCCGGTGGGCATCGTTTTCAGGCGCCGCGTCAAAGATGTTGAAATAGCGCTCCCCCGTGTCACTCACTTCGAGCACACTAGCCAGGTTTCCACATCGATAGCAATAATTGGGGGCACTCCAGACAGTACTTAGTTGGTCATCGTAGAGGACCTGGTATCCCTCTTGACATAGCTGATGAGCACGCAGAATGTGCGTCATGCTGTTCACCTCCAAGAATTTCCGCACAACCTGCGCTCCGAAAGTGTAGCCAGCTCCACGGGGAGACAAGGAAAATTCATCTCGCTCCGTATCAGGGTCAGACCAGACCAAATCAGCCATCGGACCCTCGTGGGGAATTTCGCGGAAACGGTCGATGATCTTGATCTGATCGATGGAGTGGATGGAGGGTGAAAGTCCGCCGTGTACACAGAAAATCTCATTGTTGATAACAACACTCAATGTCAAGAAATCAAACATATCGGTAAAATAGTGCCAGACATTGGCGTCGCCGTATTTGCGCGCGCACTCTGTGTAGAAGCCGTAGGATTGGGTGACTCCGCGGGATTCATGGTTTCCGCGGATGAGGTGTACTCGAGAGGGATACCTTAGCTTTAAGCAGACGAGCAATGAAATGGTCTCCACGCTGAAGAGACCTCGGTCGACATAGTCGCCTGTATCTAGTCAGCAACCCATCGTGCTGGGATTCAGAACCGCTGTGGGGCCTGGCTTCGGGGATGTCGGTGTGACGTACCTAAAAACAAGTAATTGGTATCGGGACAAGGACCGCCGATTTTGAAGATCTCGATCATATCGAAGAATTGTCCGTGGATATCACCGACCACGGTCACTGGGGCAGCAATATGGACCACATTGCTTTCCTTCATCAGCAACTCCTTTGCCTTGGAGCAGATGGCCTCTACTACCGAGTCCGCGAGAAGCTCCTTTCGGTAGAGCCGGTTGATGCATTCGTCAAGGTCGATGTTAGCTATGAAGCAACGGGGTCAGCAAGGTCCATATCGAACAATCTCTTATCGCTTTCAAGTTTCAAGGCTTGCACATACTGGGAAGACCAGGCATCGTGGCGGCCGGCGGATACAACTGGTATCAAACAAATGATTCGAGACTGTGTTCTTGTGCTCAAAAGGTGTGTCGGTCCGCGGAGAGAAACGTAGATCGCTGTAAGTGTGGTGAAGAGTCGATCAGACGAGTGCACAGAATGTTAAATAGATAAGGCTGTGAAAATGATCGTGATGATTCTCGTACTCAATTCGGGGGGATCAGTATATAATCGACGATGGCTTTGACTTGGCAAGCATTATGATGCGATCCTCAATTGAGGGGAGGGAAGGTCGCTATCGATCCAGGCACCGCTAGATCGCGGGATGAGCTTGGGGGCACTAATGCTCGGCTAGGGCTACACCGCCCTTGGTCACACCGCCTTCGCCCGTGTGCGCGTGAGATCAACAATCAACCTGATGTTCTGTACCTAGCTATTGTCTGTATGTTGAAGGGGAAGGGTTGTTGATTGGTTCATTCATGCTGGCCAAGAAGACCTCAAAGACGAGCAGTGCAAATGTTATCATGCTGGATCATAACATCCGGCCCGGACACTATCTATCCACTACTCCATACCTACATTCACAGCTAATCTAGTTCCAAGGTTGTTTACTACACGCTTGGTCTATATGGTCTTCTATCTTGGAAAGAAAACTCTGGATGAATGTGGCCATTTCCAACTCCTCAAAAAATCTTGAAACAAATAAAATGCAAGTGTGTTATACCTAACTTGTATCAAGGACGGATATCCACCTTCAACTGATCCCATCGCGACGTGGCAACTCTCCCATCCTTGATAACGCTCAGGACATGCTCCTCCACCCGATCTAGGATAGTGATATTCTCCAGAGGGTTCTCATTCAAGACAAGCAAATCTGCCACAAATCCCTCCCGAACCTGACCCAGGCGGTCTTCCTGCATGATGAGACGAGCAGCATTGATAGTGGCACTTCGCAGGATCTGCAGTGGAGTCAAAACAGTACTGCGGATAGAGAACTCCTTGCTCTGAGCAAAGTGCATGGGACCGAGGAGATCAGTTCCAAAACAGACAGTGACCCCAGCATCCACTGCCATCTTCATCGCCTTAAGTCCCTTTTCAAGGACTTCGTCATTTTTAGCTGCCCCATCGGCTGGGAGGAAGTTCATCTGCTTTGACATGACATGCGCAATGAGGGTTGGTGTCAGAAAGACATCCTTTTCAGCCATCATCTTTGCCGTCTCATGATCGAGGAGGTTTCCATGCTCAATGCCTCGTACGCCGAGATTGATAGCCTGCTGAATTGCCTGTGGTGTATAGCTATGGCTCGTAACATACGTCCCCGCATTTCGTGCAACAGTGACGATAGCCTTGATCTCCTCGTCTGAGAACTGCACATGCTCAATACGGTCTGTCGGGCTAGCAACGCCACCCCCACCCATGATCTTGATGAAATCAGCTCCTTGGCGAAGCTCATCGCGTGCAAACTTGTAGCATTCCGCAGGGCCATCGACAATCCTGCTAATCCCGGAGAGCGAGCCACCGCAGCAGAGTTGGGCATCGTGGGGCCCACGCATATCGCCATGTCCGCCTGTCTGTGAGAGTGCGAAGCCAGCGATGAAGAGCCGTGGTCCCGGAACGACTCCCTCTTCAACTGCTTCCTTGACGGCTAGACTTGCGCCGCCGCAATCGCGGATCGAGGTGAAGCCGCGGTCGAGCATGGATTTCAGTACGCGTGGTTGGCGCAGAAGGCTGGTTCGCTCTGACATGTCTTTGTAGGCTCGTAGATCGGCTTCGCCTGGCACAACTGCAATGTGCACATGGCAGTCAATCAGACCCGGGCATAGGAACTTCCCACTCAAATCAATAATGCTCTCATCCGCCACATCTTCTGTGGCTGTGGTAGTGTAATCGGTGACAATATGGGTGATTTTGCCTTCCGAAATTCGAACAGTAGCATTGTGGATCAACTCTCCTTGGACAGGATCGACGATGGTTGCGTTCACAAAGACCAGGACGCGTTGAGGGTGAAGCTTCCAGGGCTTGATTATCCGAGAAGGGTCCATCTTGCAGCTTGAATCAGCTTGATTCCTGATGGTTTCGTGGTATGAATTGCTTGAAGAATGGTGTTCGATCAGGCAACCAGATCTTCGAGGTGACACTGCAGACAAAGCTATGAAAGAACAACAAGACTGGATTCTAAACTGGGCGTGGCGTCCGGGTACTCCGGATCTGTTTGCAACCCTGGTCTTCAGCCTCGGCTAATTTGATCTCGAATTCCATGCGGCAAACTTGTGTGAACAGGGCTCGGGTGTTGATCCCATATACATCTGCAGTGGAGACAGTCGATCCAGCCGACGCAGCCAGTCAAAAGCCACCGAAGCCAGGAACAACGACATGCGATTGGCTGTTTCGGCAATTAAGCATGCTAGCCGTAGCTTGGCGTTCTGATGATTCCCTCCCCCGCGTTTTTGACAGCAGAGGTCTCGACCAGGGATGAGATTATGGGAAAAGCCAAGATATGAAGATTGATCCTGGCCTTGATACTGGCTAGAAGCAGAGTGTCGACTCGCAACGCCCCAAATCTCCGGGGCTGACGTTGCAAGGGATACCTCGGGAAGTATACACCGATAGGTATAAGAGACTTTCGATCGTCGACAATGGACAAAGAATTGCGCCAATCTCCTCCGCTGAGATCATACCTGGCTCAGTTTTCAATGTCCTCCCCTGAACCTGGAAGGGACCAAACGATGGTGCCTGCTCAGACAAACTCCGAGCCCAGTCCCCCGTCTCCTGACCACTTGCCTCTGATGCAAGCGGTTCGCATCTATCCCAAAATCGTCGCCTGTGCATTCGGCCTCGCCTTAGCATTTCTTCTCACAGGATACGATACTGTGATCCTCGGCACCATTACGGCTGTACCATACTTCAAGCACGAATTCGGTGAACTATACAATGGGTCCTATATCATTCCAGCTTCATGGCTCTCGGTTTGGAGCGCCATGGGACCAGTAGGGTCGATGGTGGGCGCAGTCAATGCTGGGTGGCTGCAAGATCGAATTGGACGTCGTTGGTCATTGGCCTTGAGTTGCTTCGTCTGTGCCGTTGGGATAGCCATCGCGTTCTGTGCCGATCTACCGGATGAGATGGATTCCAGACGCGGTGCCTTTCTTGTTGGTCGAACTGTGCAGGGCTGGGGAGTTGGCGGTGCTATGGCTGGTGCCCAGACGTATCTTTCTGAAACTGTTCCAACTTGTCTGCGTGGATCTGCGATGGGACTATCTCCGACCTTCATGCTTCTCGGCGAACTCATTGGAGCCGCTGTTATCTATGCATGTGAGAAAAAGACATCAGCTGCATCTTATTTGATCCCATTCGGCACGCAATGGATCACCACCGTCCTTCCCTTTGTTCTGGTTTGTTGCTTGCCCGAAAGCCCATCGTACCTCCTTCGGAGAGGAAGATATGATGCCGCCCATCGCGCTTTAGCATGGCTTCACACTGATAAGATCAACGTCTCTGAGCTTCTTGATCAAATGCACCTGTCTCTCATGCATGAGGAATCACTGTCACGAGAGTTGGCCTATGTTGACTGCTTCAAGGGTGTGAACAGACGCCGGACGATGATTGTGGCTTTCTCTTTCGTTGTCCCTAGTTTCTTTGGTGTCCCCCTCTTGGCGAGCGCCAGCTACTTCATGCAGGTTGTTGGGATGGATTCGAGCCTCAGTATCATTGTTCTGATTCTTGGCATTGTCTTGGGTCTTATTGCTAACGGGGTTGGCATCTGGCTTATGAGTCGCTTTGGCAGACGTTCACTGATGCTGAGCACTCTGGCAGTCACCACTTTCATATGGCTGAGCATGGGAATCGCTGGATGTTGGACCGGCAACATTGTAATTTGGTGAGTCATATAAATCTGTTCTCAACTCCTATGATCTTTATCTGGAACTCATACTAACATGATCAACAGGTATACTGCCGCTTGCATGATGGCCGTCGTGGTGGTCTGCGGTCTCGGAGCGTGGCCAGCATCATATGCAGTATCAGGCGAGACTTCATCTCTTCGTCTCCGTGCTAAGACCCAGGGTATCGGTGTTTTGTGCTATATGTTATCCAACGTTGTCTTCAACCTTGTTCTCCCATATATCTACAACACGGATGCGGGTGATCTGAAAGGCAAAACAGGCTTTGTCTACGCAGGCTTGTGTTTATTCACTTTTGTCATAACATGGCTGATTGTTCCTGAAATGAAGGACCGCACAGCTTTAGAGGTTGATTCTATGTTTGAAGAAGCTGTGCCCTGTGCACATTTCAAGAAATGGAGGCCCGAGGTACTGCCAAGCAAAGATCAAGTTTCATGAATCTTATGCGAACACACGAATTCTACAATTACAAGGTTCTATCAACCTGTCTGCTATGTCAGACTGCTATCGCACTCTTCCCTCTTCCCTAGATAGGTGCGAAATACGGAGGAGTTTGTCAAGATTCATCAATCTGCGCTAAACCTCTTTGAACTAAGTTAATGGAATCACTCCCTTACCGATTCGAACATCATCCTACAGCTTTATAACGCTTGTATGCTAGTATATATATAACTTTAGAATATGGAGAGCCCCACGAGTTTAAGATCTATATAGATGTACTTAGTCTAACAATTCGGCCCCCAAAGCCCTTACAGGACTTAGCATTCTTGGGCGACAACGCACCCAGTGACCTCAACATTTCTATCACGATACATCCAATATCATCAAGTAAACCCCGATAGCTACTTTAGTACTGAACGTCTGCAAACATGAGCCAATTTGACGAGTAAGTCTCATTTCAAACCACTACTTAAGTAGTACCAAGATGTACTTGTGCTAACTGTCACGCCAGCCCTGGCACCGAGAGGCTCCCGTTGTTGTTATTAACATTTAGGCATATTCTTTTTCTCTTTCTACTCTATGTTCAAAGAGAACTACCTAAGGGGTCCAAATTATCAGATGACAATTGGAAAAAAAGAAAAAAGAAAAAAGAAAGCCCGAGGCCCCAGGGTGAAAAGTGAAGAGTGATTTATGTTCTCAGGTGGGCCTGTGAAAGTGGAAACACAATAATTCAAACATTTTACATCCGAGGCCCGACTGGCGCAATGGTAGCGCGCAAGACTTCTAGGGATCCTCTGGAAATTCCGCAAGATGCGTAAGCGCTGCAGAATTTTCAGAGGAATTTCTGCGACAGCGATCTTGAGGCTGCGGGTGACCCCCGCGTTGGGCTTTCCAAATTACCCCCGGAAGGGGACTTTTTTGATTTTTTTTCGAGTTTGCTTAGTCATCATCACTATGAACTTGGAATAATCGACCAAGAACTCCACCTGGCAGAGCTCCGATGTCATCTCGGGCTTTCTTTTTTCTTTTTTTTTTCCAATAGTGATTTGATAATTTGGTGCCCTTAGTTCTTCTCTTTGAACATAGAGTAAGGGAAAGGAAAGAATATACCCAAATGTTATCCCCCAGGATGAGTTTAGTTGACGTGTATAACGAGTGTACAGACGCAGGTGTACGACCTGTCAACCCGACAGGAGATTCAGAAGGGAACCCTGATAGATTCGAATGTCGTTTTCCAGGTGGCTCAATCTCAATTTTCACGTGAACCAAACCCTGAGCAACAACGATACCCTTAGGAAATTTGACAAGGATATAGTTCACATTCGAGATCCGAAATTTTGTTCCGTCCGTACCAATGTTGTAGGTGTAGATCTTCTCTCGAAACTTGTCTTTCTCATGGTTCCATATACGAGAATCAGGGTGCTTCAGCCGACCAGCATCTGGCGTTGATTTGGAAATTTGCGGGTTGAGTATACCGAGTTCAATTGATCCTCGAGAGACCCACTGTAATTCCGTAAGATGTACATCCAGTGGGTCCTCCGAACAAGTCTCTTGGTCGCACTGGTCTTCAACAATGCAACGGACTTGGTCAACCTTCAAGCTTCGAAGATCCATAGCGTCTGTCATTGCTAGCTCAATAATATCGAAGTTCTCGTGCTGGTCGCTTTGTGGGTATTGTGGCGGGGCTTCATAACCTGATAGAGAGATGTGTATAATCTAATAGGAAGGATCACAGAACGAGAATCTCTAAATGCGTGAGGAGAAGGAAAGAGAAGAAAGAGAGAAGAGAGGGGGGGGAGATATAGAAGCAGGATCACGTGACCCTGACCTACATACTCCATCAAGGGGCGACGCGCGTTACGAGCAGATACCCAATTCTAACTACTGTGCTACTTCGGCTTTTTCGTATTGGTTAACATCTGTTATGGTGCGAAATAGTCCAGGCCCACGCTTTATTCCTATCACAGTGGATGACGGTGATATGACAACGACATTGTCACTTCCGAGGCGTCTGCTATCATTTCAGCCTTCGAATCAGTCTTCGATGAGTTCTCGGCCAGGAGGTTGGAACGGAGTACTGCGACTACTCCATTCATCAACAGTGCAATACCCACGCCCCCTTTGTGAATTACCATTCAAATGAGCCAATTTGTGTTGGGCAAATAGATTGGGCTTCAAGAGTTCACGCTATCAACATTTCGCCTCTTCGGAAAGTAGTCTCATTGCCGCCACATGATCTGCTTGGCTTGATCTTGGATGAGTGAGATAACATCAGCCTGTGTGTAATCAATGGTAAGCACAGTCCCTGAATGAATGTCCATGAGCATCTAGCTGATGGGCAGACAACACGTGCTACTGACCAGACATTTCATTCTTGATAGTCCACGGATGAAGACTCCCAGGCTGATTCACTTGCGTGAGACATAAGGCAGGATCCACTGGAAAACTTGTGTCCTCCGCCATATCTCGTAGGCCACATTGCTCCTCAGCTTGGGTAACGTGTATTCCACTTTCAGTCTTAGGCGATGAGTTGGTGAAGTGAATCCAGCTTTCCATCACAGCCAACCGCATATCGATTCGATCGTACTCTCTTTTCAGTGAGCCGATTTCCGTCTTTAACAGATCGTAAATCCTTTGTGGACCGCCCCCATCTGGATCCCTTCTGATTTGGTTGATCTTCTCTGCGAGACTGTCGGTTTGGGGTGCTTCTGTTGCTGTCATTTCGACTGGTTGTTGCTCCTGGTCGGCGACAGGAGGAACATACTCTGGATTGAACTGTGTGGATGGGATCGGTCAGCTCGGTAGAATCAGATGATTTACCCAGGTGCTTACGTGCCTGAGAGGACATCGTGGAGGTTGGCGGGTGAGACCTCGCCGAAAGACGGTTTGATCTGCGCTGGATCCCATTTGAGTTGGATCGGGGAGTTCTTTTGAGTGTCTTTTTTCGGATCATCGTAGCAATGGGGTGTGGTAGAATGCGAATGCCTTCCAAGTTTGGAGTCCTGGGGAAAAAATGGAAGGTAAGTGCAAAAAGAGAAAGAGGGAAGGAGCATCTGCTGAGTATGTCGCACTCATGAATCTTAGTCTTTAGCATCAATTCATTTCAGATTGAGTGGCCTCCAGGGCTCTAATGCCATACTTTCGCTCTTGGATTCTATAGCGTCAAAGATTTTCCTACAGAGTTTCATTTGCGTATCAGTGAAGCCAAAATACGGCCCCGGTCTATATCGATCGTTACTTGACATAGCCTTTAAATATAACGTTAGATCGGGTTCATCCCAGCAATTGCTGTGCCTCTTTTTGCACAGCTTCGGTCTCAGAGTCGGACTCTTCTTCGGACTCTTCCTCGGAGCCGGACTCGCCTGACTCTTCTTCCGAGTCTGTCTCCTCCTCGGAACCAGTTTCTTCCTCTGACTCCGTTTCAGACTCCGTTTCGGACTCCGTTTCCTCATCCTCCTCTTGAAGCCATTGATCGAGGGTCTTCTTCCCAGCCGGATCGACTCCGATTGCGGTACCGTTCTGATCGCGGCTCGGCATGGCTGTCGACTGGTGCTCGCGAAGTGCACGGTCAAGACGGTCACCTGCAGTAGATTTTGTGTTGCTAGATGTATCGGGCTTTGTTTCATCAATGCGTAGGCTAGGATCTGGCTCTTGGCCTGGCACCACCCAGTCTGGCAGGTTGGTATAACCTCGGAGACCGAGGTAACCCGCCTCTGAGCCCACGACTAGCGTGGCAGACCCAATGACAAGGTCCTTGCGTGTCTCCGATGGGCTGGGGGCGTGGGGGACGGGCTTCGGCGCCAAGAGGAGGAGATTGGCAAGTTGTGTGGAGGAAGGCGTTTCTAAAAGGCTTTTATAGAGACGAGCTCGATCGCGGAGGTCATAGGACGTGTCATAGCGTGCGAGAAGAAGTATGTACCGCCATAATAGGGTGATTCGGTCTTCGGTCTCTTCTTCTTCTTTCGCTTCAGGTTCGTCATGTTCCCCTTCGCCTTCTTTTTCGGACTGTTCGGTAGTACCTTGTCCTTCAGCTTCATTATCAGCCCATTCGTTGGGGTATTCTGCCGTGGGCTTTTTGACCGGTTCAGTCGATGCAGGGACCTCTGCATTCTCCTTCGGTGGGTTCCGCAGTAAATGGTGGAGGTAAACCTTGGCACCAAGAAGCACGATCTGCTGTTTAACTAGTTCCATCTCATCTGCGAATCCCTTAATTAGAACTCGCAGAACGTCAGGCGCGATGTTGCTGTCTGGCTCAACACCGGCGAATTCACCAATCAGCCAAATAATGGTAGCCCGTGCGTCTGGGTGGGTTGTTGTGCCAAGGTTCTTTACAAGCTGGAGCACTGTCTCTTTATGCGAGGTCGGATCTTGTTGTATCAAATGACGAATCACAGTTAGTGATTCTGATACAAGATTCCCATCCAAGCTGGAGATTTGACTGAGTAGAATCTGTAGACACATGTTTGCCGTGCTTGGGTCCCCTTGCGCACATCGCCCGATGGCCCGGACACTTTCTCGTACTAGTTCGGGGTCTGTGACTTTGGAAAAATGCTCCAGTTCGCTGATTATGACACCTTTCCAGTGCTTTCCGCAATGCGGGAACAAAATGGTGAGCACCTCCAGCTTGAGGCGCCATATATGGGGCGGGTCGTTCGCATGGACAAGGAAGTGCGATATGTATCTGGCAAACGGCTTGGGGATTTTCATGGCCACAGCAACAATATTGTAAAGTGCGATGTGCTTCATGTCCTGGGGAGTCCGCACAAGTGCCACAAGCGGCCCAACTGCTTCAGCAATATACTCGGGGGAGGCGAGATACAGATAGCAGCGGACCACGCTGACAATTACTGCAGAGTTTCGACTCTGCAATAGCGGTTTGCAGGCCCGGAGTAGAAGCTCGAGATCAGGGTCCATCACCTGCACTTCAACCTCGTCGCCGTCTGCCTGGCCCTTTTGCTCCGTGCTCTCGTCATCATAGAATGCCACAGGGGCTGCTGGCTTGACCTTTTGAGTCCGGCGGGGGAAGCATTTACGTGCATAGAATGTCAACAAGCGTAGAGTTGCTAGCTGACTCCATTCATCCATGTCAGCCAGTTTTTTGACAAGGCTGCGATACGGCTTGTGAATCAAATCAATTTCCTCGGGGCACAAATCCAAGAATGCGGCCACTGCGGGGCCAACAACAAAGTATTGGGGATCGTTCAGGAGTGTCGACAGATACCCTGTAAGCTGTGGCAACGTGTTGGGGTCTAGGCGATAGCACTTCGGGATAGCCAAAGCAGCAGCCTTGCGCACATGTGGGCTCATGTCTCCGCATCCTCTCTTGATAGCTAGTGACACAATTTGGCTGATCACTGGAACCCGAATCCCAGACATAGTCCGAAGCGCCATAGTTCGAACTTGGGGATTCGAGTCGGTCAGCGATTTTTGGATCGCGTTAATGGATAACAGCGCCAGGTCAGGTTCGGCCTCTGCATGGTGAACCAAGTAGATATAGACCAATTTCTTAACTTCGAGGCTGGCGCTAGCTACATTCTTGACGACGGCCGAGAAGAACGTAAGGGAAGGTTGCGAGCGGTACATCAACTGTTGCGAATTGAGTCAGCCATTGCGAATCAGATGCGTACTTAGACGCGGTCCTACCGAGATGACCCTCCGCATTCCATCCAAGACCTCCCGCTCATGACGGCTGTCAAGAAGCTTCTTAATGTGTGCAGGACTGTATGTTTTTGAGGAATAGTCGGTGGTTGAGTTTCGGTTGATAGCAGCGGACTGGGCAGCCTCTAACGTGAGCTCTCGAGCTGTGCGCGACGTACGGTCAGTTTCGGCCAGATGGTGCACACCGCAAAACATGGGGTCTGCATACCTGTTTCCAGCATCGAGGATATCCTGGAAATTGTTTCCATCTTTCCAGTCACAGAGGACCCAGTCCAAAGTTGTACCAGTGTGGGGGTGGATATGGGTGTGAGGAGGGGAGGAAGAGGCGGAGCTGCTCCGCGGAAGTGAAGGTGGATGATGCCGCAATTTCGCCGCCCTCGATTTGCACCGTTCACTTCTACAAGTGTTATTTCGCGATTATGACTCCCCAGCACAACTCTACAAACGATAAGCAATGAGCCTAATATGAAAACACACTCTTTCCGGTCGATCATACTGCAGATGAAACAGGGGCTATAACAATGGCATCCGAAGCGATGAGTCCAAAGCGAATGATCGCTCATTGCGATATGCTTCCCGACCTCCTGCAGCAACTCCTTGAGAGCGACTCTTATGCCCATCTCATTGTCTGCGCTACCAAGTCCGAGTTTCTGGTACATCTTGCGGCGGCGATCCGCAAGCAGCGAGCTGACCCTGAACCTGTGGCAAGCCATGATTTGCTTACAAAAACCATCGGGCTTCTTGCGAGGTCCAGCAAAATTACTGTGGCATTTTGTCCAACGCTCGAGAGCCTGCGGGCGCATATTGCGGTTTTAGGGGCCACCGCAGATAGTTCAGGCTTCCATGACCGGCAGCTGGTCTCCGTCCTTGATATGGTAGCGTTGCATGGCACAACCTCTGAATTTTCGGCGCAGGGGCTCTCGAGAACATTTGCTTCGTTTGTTGAAGCTACCTACAAAGCGGGTATGGACCTCAGACTATACGAGTGTGAGAATGCCCTGGACCCGTCCAATCCCATCTGGGGAGGAAGGGTATGGGATATGAACATCCCCCTACTAAATGGATCGGTCCGAATGCGAGGCGACGAAACCAACTGGGGTGCACGGGGGATTCCCGTGAAACATGTTGCTGAGCGCTGGTTTGAATTCGATGCATGTCATTCAACCGGGTGATAAGGCCGACGCTGTACTCAGACATGGCATTGCAACAGAAGAAAAGCATAAAAACTCCCTTGGATGAATCTGCACTACCGGGTATCCTATATCTGAACACTGAACTCCATTTCGCACATAAAAAACCCCCATATATCACAGAGATTTCTCCATCTCTGTCATGTACAGTTTGATGTGTGATTCCAGTTTCAAATACTGGTCGTGCGCGGATTGGATCTCGCCCTCAATGTTTTCTTTAAGGTCGACCATCTGAGCGAGGGCATTAGTAAATAATGATTGGTTGCGTCACCAAGGTACTTTACCTTCTTCTCTGTTTGTTCAATACGGATGCGCCTCCGCTCCATATCACGTTGCTTCTCGGCACGCTCCTCGCGGAGTTGCTTCTGAATGTTGCGGAGCTCTTCCATGCGTTCCTGCGCAGTCTCCGCTTTCTCCTGTGCATTCTTTTGAAGCAACTCAATACGCTCGACCCAGCGCGTCAATTGACGTTGCAGGAGCTTCTCGGTCTGTTCAACTTCGCGGACGCTATTTCCCCTGTCTGAGATAGCTTCCGTTGTCCTAGCAGCGCGGGACTCTTCCTCCTCCTCTTTTTGAAGCTCGGCTGAAATGTCATCAAGTAACTTGACACACGCTTGTACGTCGTTGGAAACGACAGTGAACGTGTCTGAGGAGGTCTGGAGCGCCCGCGCTCGCCTTTCCATTACATCGATAGAGCTTTTCTCGCGCACCAAATGTTCAGATAATTCCGCCAAGGATGACTGAAGCGTTGCCGGGGATTCAAGCACGTAAGGTCGTAATTTCTCTGCTTCTTGTCGCGAACGCACGGTTCGCTCGGTCTTTTCTTCCAACTGTTGCTGTCGACGCGCTCTTTCCGTCTTAACACGGTCAAGTGTCTCCGCAACTCGCGACTGCTCTCGGCCAAGCTCTAATAAACGGGCCTTGAGCGCATCGTTCCGGGCCACTTTTTCTCTCACATGCGCTTCATTGGATTGTAGATCTTGTCGCATCTCGCTTAAGCGGAGTTCCATTTCCTGATTCTCTGCGAGCAATTCGTCGATGCGTGATTTTGTTTTTTCGGTTTTGTTAAAGTGTTCATCGATAACCGGTGTTTGTGATTCGCGGAATCGAACAAAGTTTATCAAATACGAGAATATCTTGACAAGTCGTTCGTGTGTTGGTTTTGTTAAATCTGTGAAAGTAAAGTCGTTGACACCGCACTATATGGTGACGAATGGGTCAGCCATGCGATCAATCAGGGTTCTGGGGCAGCTAGTGAATACCTCAGCCAATAGCTTCCGAAGCATCATAAAGAAACCCATGAGATTGCGGGTGTCATTGGGGACAATGTCGGGGTAGTCGCCACATATCTCTTCCGCAGCTGCGTGCATAGCGGGTTCTACTGTCTCTTTGGTCGTGTTCATGAGTAGCTCCGCGAACCATTCGAAGACCATCTGGATCTGCTGGGCATTTGGCTTGGCCAGGTCGGCTAGGGTAAAGGGGATTCCGATATCGTTGATACATCCTGCGATCTCTTTATCAGGCTGAACACAGTCAGTATGGTCAAATGCGCTCCGACGAAGGGGTAAGCTCACCAAGCGCATCAGAGCATCATTCTCATCTTCCTTCTTGCGACCACGGCCCTGATGTTGGGTACCTTGGAATTGGGAGCTCATGCGGTTGTTGTACCCCATCGCGATAGAGTTGCGCGACATGCTATCAGATGTGCCTATCGACCAGGCAAGGGGTTCAGTCGCAAAGTGGGCGGGCAAGTGTTGTGGTTCAGGTTGATTGTTTACTTTGGAGAAGAGCCCGCACACCGCCCGATTGGGGTTAGCGTCAGGCTGGAGGGGCATGGGACAAACAGTACAAACATAGAATTCATGACTCTTTCTTTCTTTCATTGTTCGCAACTTGATAACCTCAATAGTCAAACAACATGGCTACTACTACTTCAGGAACCACGGCGGCTGATGCCGAACCGTTCGAGTAAGTGAACTGCGATCCACCCAAACTACGCTGCCCGCTCACTGTATCCTCAGCATCGTCGCAACCTACAATGAACTCCTCCGCTCCGATCCCGACCTTACGATGCCTATCGCGGCCATTGAAGCTCTGGTCCTACTCCTCACACAGTCTGTCTCCTCGACGATATCAGAAACCATGGATCTGCTCGAAAAGTCCACCGCCCATCTCAAGAAATCCATCCCCAACCCTATTGGTCTCTCCGCCGGAACCGATCTCTTCCAACGCTACTTGATTACCACACTACAGCGCCCTGGTCTTTTGGGACCCGCGGGTGACTTTAAGGCAATCCGAACCCATCTCTTGACGAATGGTCGTCTGTTCATCCGTCGTGCGAAGGAAAGCCGTCACAAGATCGCAGATTTCGGACGTGGCTTCATTCGCGACGGCAGCACTATCCTCACAAACGGTGGCTCTCGAGTTGTCGCAGCACTTCTCCAAAAGGCCGCAGATGAAGAAGGTGGTCCTTCGGCGGTGCGATTCCGCGTCATCTACGTTCTGTCCTCGACCGCCCAAGATTGCGATCATCCCAATGAAGAGCCAGAAGGTATGGAGACAGTACGAGCTCTGCGAGAGAAGGGTGTTCCGGTCTCAACGATCCCCGAGTCCGCTGTCGCATATTCCCTCGGCAAGGCCGATATGGTAATTGTGGGTGCTGAGGGCGTGGTTGAGAACGGAGGCATCGTTTCTCGCATGGGAACTTATCAGATTGGAATTCTTGCCAAAGCCATTGGAAAGCCATTCTATGTGGTTGCTGAGAGCCACAAGTTTGTTCGTCTGTACCCTCTTGGGCAATATGATCTGCCAATCAAGCAGCGCGTCATTGAATTCAAGTCCGCGGAAGATATTGCAGAAGAGAGCAAGCAAGATTCACCCGCCACAAGCTCAAGCGGCGACGATCAAATCGAGTTGCCGCTCTGCCACTCGGTTGACTTCACCCCACCTCATTTGATCTCAGCCCTGATCACAGACAGTGGTGTCTTGACCCCCAGTGCAGTCAGTGAAGAGTTGATCAAGATCTGGTTCTGAAGAAATCACTTCTTGTCGTGGCAGAGCTTGCATCCACTCAAATGCTTTATTAAAGCTTACCAAAAAAAGAGGAAAGAACACAATCGAAGGATACAGCAGGAGAAGCTTGATGCGGCGCTCGCTTTTCTCTTGCGCTCCACGCGATCCCCAGGATGATTCAAAGCCAACTACAAGAGACTATATCTAAGGCCAAAATTGGTGTGGATATTAACTCGGCGGTTCTCATCGTGTATCAAAATCGGTTGCAGAAGGGTGGACAGATCGTGCACCTTGATATTCCCGTCTACAACGCCTCGATACGAATAGGAATGACTGTTGATAATGTGTTTTTCCTTTATTGAACTTGATAGAAAAGGAGTTTTCGGGTTTCTCAAAACGAAAGTGCGAATAGCAAATCCTCTAGTCAAACAAGTGAACAATCTTAGCTCCTTGCTTAAGTGTTCCATGGTATCGAACGCTGCCTGGGCGTTTATCAGCCCTGTAAAATCATACAATCAATTTCATGGATGGATATGAACTTGATCAGCTGTATTGAACAGCTGGAACACCCCTCTTCACCCCAGAGCTCTGATGGCCTCCCAAGGCTGCAGAGGGATATTCGTAGTCGTAAATCGTGAGTCATGAATCGTGATTGTGGCCAATCGATATTTGCGCTACAGCTGTATCGCCTGACCGCAATTCGATCCCAAATTCGAGGATATTGACACTGGGCAGCCATATCGCCCAGTTATGGTGTTGTGCACCATTCAATTGCCTATGTGGCCTTTCACGACGGCATATTCTTCGCGTATTTCCAGGGCGAAAGCATAGAGTAGCAAGTACCCCAGAGCCACGAAGAGCCATAAGGCTACCATATCGAGAATTTGACAGTGGACGAAGATGGTTACACTTGAGCAGAAGGCTCAGACGGAGACGACCATGAAGAGTCGGTGTAGATGCCCAGGTGTAGGATAGGGCCCAGAGGATAGGCCCCAGATATGAGTTCTTTGAACACTGCTAAGTTTTGCTATGTAGAAAGAAAAGAGGATGTAAGACTCATTTGGGAACCCACCTAAGTACGGATATTGTTGGTTTTTCATTGTCATCCCAACCAGACCGACATTAGGGCATTCTAGATTTTCTGGACTTCCGAATTGTTCCATCCAATACGAGACACGAGTGGGTTGTATGTTCTGTTTAGCGTGGGAGGTGCGGGGCTTGGGGAGAAAATTACTTCAATACAAGGTGGTGAATTGTGTAACATGACTTTTCCGAGTCAATTACGGTGAAGATTGGTCTACTCTCTATTCCACCAATGGCGATGCCCTTGGGACAGTCCAGGTTTCTTTTGCAAATGCAGGGAATTAAAGTTCGATGTATATCAGGTGCATTATACCCAAAATCTATCACGCGGTCTTATACTAAGTAGTCGGGGGGCGCAGTCCTGAGTGCTCCGTACAGAGTACATCTATAGATTCTTGAAAAGTCCGGGGCTTCTTAAATCAAAGCCTTTTTGCCCATGTGTTTACTCGTAGTCAACATTGCTCACGAAGATTGAATCTTCATGATATAGATTCCCACCTAAGCCGGAGGTATATCCATGGATGTCTGATAGCCGCTCCAACTTTGGAAAAAAAGACCCAGTGCAGCGGGATCAACGCCAATATACGGGATTTATGCACCTACCTCATAGGTAGGCAACTACATGTACATAAATGCCATGACCATAGCAGACTACATGTACATGGCGGTCGTGTCACTTGATTGCAAAAGTCTCGAAAGCGCCCCAGGGCTTTGTTGACTGCACCTGGAACAGCCGGATGATTCAAATAGCCAACTAGATGAGACCTCAGGAGGGTTAGGTGCATCTCGATCGAACACCACGAACCCAAAGTGAAAGACTAAAAGAAAGAGAAAAGAAAAACAAGGGAAAAGAACAGAGAAAAGTGATCAACAAAGACGAAAGTCATCCATGCCCCACAAGGATCAACCCCGCTCCCCAGTTCCTGATCAAACACCCCATCAACAACACTTCCATCTCCAACCCAAAGTCCAAAACGCCTGTCCTCAAACTCAACGGAGTAGTCCCAAGAACCCTAGAAACTCCAGCCACCCCCGCCTCAACGCCACTTTCGCAATGGATGCCCAACGGTCAACCGACCGTCAGAAGCTCCGCCCTGATCCTACGGATGCTACACGCCCACATGACACCCACTGTCAAGGGTGGTCTATCCGGCGGCTTCTGAGCAGACGTGGGAGTCGCAGGTACAATGTTTTAGAGCGTGAGCCCAACCGGCTGAGGAAGCGTATCAGCAACTGAGCTGTGCGATATCTCATCTCATACTCCATGCTCGTACGGAGTACATTGTACGAACTACTGCACCAGAGGTCAAGGCATGCGATCCACTCATTTCGTGGTGTATGTTGACCGTTTCTTTTTTCTTTTTTCTTTTTTCTTTTGGCTTTTATTTCCGCGGAATCCTTCACATGGAATGCGAGGTGTATTGCCCTCGGCGTTTGCTTAGAACCGGATACGGGCGTTTTGGGGGATTTTGGGGAGGAATTTTGATCTGTGTTGTCCCCATGTCTCAATTTTGTTTTTCTAGCTCGGTTTTCAGTGCAGTGAAAATTCATGAGGGGCCTTCATTGGTGTTTGTTTCTTTTTTTTTTGTTTACTGACCGACTAATTTCGGCAAGTTGCGGTGCGATTGCCTTCGTGGCGAATCGTCAATGGCTTGGAGGCGTTGCCACCGTTCCAGGGCTGGGGTTGTCGGTTTGTCACTGCCTGGTTGGAAATTGTATTTGAAATGTACGGAGTTAATAGATTTGCAATGTTGCGTAAGGTATCGGACACATGATATATTGCTGCCGAACAAGATCGGGAAGGGGATTGGCCCGGCGCATTGTGTCAGATGTGCGATGAGCTTATGTTGGGAAATCTCGATCAATAATTCAATACTATTTCATTGTGGCGGATATCTGCTCCTTGCAGATTTTATCGCTCAATCCCTGCCAAAGCAAATCGGCTTTAGGACAGGAGTACTACCATGGGAATCTGGTTGAGCCGAACGCTCCGCTTTTTTCTAATAATCTAACCTATTTATATATGCCCTTGAATCAGAAACTGAGGGGTTCCGACGGACCTGCAAGTTGAGAACCAAGGCTGAATCATTTGGGACTGGGTGGCAAGATGATGCATATTCCGATTGCCTGGAGGGCATGAAACAAGGGTGTCAGATGACTTGAGACCATCAACCGGGAGAACATGAGATCATGAGAATATGAGGTCGGCGATGGATCTAGGGCCAATGAACTATGGTGAAATACAGACGCGGATCTTATCTGGTACAATGTGAGAATCAAATAGTGCTGACACCTTGCACAGTTCGTTGGATTGTGAATGGGATAAATATAGCATGGTAGGGGTATGATGTTGGGTAGCCCTTGTTGCCGATTGAAAGGCGACCGAGGGGAATCAGGTGGCAGATCTCGGAGTACATATACATGAAGTACTCGTACAGAGGATAAATTATTGTATGCTGTGCTCCAAACCAGGAGAACACTGCGTACTTAGTACGTACCGGAAATCAAAATCCAGGGCAAGACATTTGAGACCCAATGTTCGGCGAATTTCGCCGATCATTGCCTGAATTTTAAATGATGTTCCGCTAGGCTGGATTGGCCGATTGAACAGATTGAGGATCAAATTCCAATAGCGCGATCAGAGATAGATGAGATAGTACTCCGTATAACTGCAATGTGTAAATACATACTCCGTAGTCTGTGAGTGGAAATTGGGCCGATCAGTCTCGACTGCGTAAGATAGACTCCATTCCCGCGTGTCAACCAAGGGACTCAAGGGCCGATTCCCCACCGGGCGTTTAAACGGTGGCTTGGCTTGCACGAGGGCAAGGGTACTTGCATAAGTCTGCATATCCGTTGCACAGAATTTCGTTTTCATTTCCGAGTTTTTAGAGTGGAGGGATGCTTCGAAATTTGAAAAAAAGAGAAAGGAAGACAGGAAGAAAGAGGGGGGAGAGAGGGCGAAAGAAAAGAAGGGATACGTCACTGTGCTGAAGTCTCCACGGTGGGTATTAGTCTGTATCCCCCCACAGTGAAAGTGCCAATTTCCAATAAACGGCAAGCCTAGACACCCGATGTTCCCCTGGCGTGTGACGAGACTCGTGTTAACTAGCGAGATCGTGCATAGAGAGGGTCAGGTACCAGGTACCCGTGCAACTAGGAGAGAGACCCTTGGCTCCCTTTTGACTGAAAATCATCTGTACGGAGTATATGTAGAGAGTATCCATGGAATACCAGATACCAGAATACCAAAATAGAAACATCAGTACCTGACCCAGAGAAAGGAATGCCAAGCCTGTTAGTATTTGGGGAAAAACCAAAACAAAAAAAGGGCCAATTTTCAAAAAACAGAAAAAAACAGAAACAGAAAAAAAAGGGAAAATCCCCAAAGGGCGGGAAAAAAAGGGCCTGGACTGTTCAAATTGAAGTGTATGGTATTTTCGTGTTTTTTTCATCTTTTCTCTCAGTCTCGACTTTTTTTGTGTGTTTGTCTCCTCTTTCAAACTCTTTCTCTCTTCCTTTCCTTTCTCTATGTTATTCACACTTTTCACTTTCGTTGACTCACCATGACTTTAATCCCGTCGCGACACTGATACCGATATTCGTGGATCACCATGGCGATATGGCCATTTGGTCGCAAGAGCAAGCGGCACACGATCCAAGTGACCGGTGCCGAAGCTACTGATCTCCAGTCGTCCTTGCCTCAAGAGGCCACAATCGCACCGACCTTGGGTCGCAAGCCCTCTAAACGCCAGCATCGCTCATCACGGGAAGACCACCGACGCAACTCGGCCCTCGTGCCCTCTAACCGACCTATATCATCCCTCGATCACCCATCGTCGCTGGCCGATCACTCACGCGAGCACCCGCCCTCCAGGACGGGATCGCTTCTCCGGCGAAAGCCAAGCCAGCAGAATGGCCCGAACAAACTTCGTCGTAAGCTGAGCAAGCGAAAGGCCAACGAAATCATGCGAGAGCGTGAAATCCGTATGCTCTCCTCCACCCCCATCGATATTCCCCATCGCCAGACAGCAGGCGGCGGTGATTATGTCCTGGATCATCGACGTCGCAAGGGCAACGAGAGACGTGCCGACCGGTACATGTCTGACATCAGCCTCTCCATACGGGACTCCACCGCCTCCTCCGCGTCTGACATGTCCGACCCTTACACTTACAAAGTCAACGCTTTTGCTGCCTTAACCCCCCGCCCCGTTGTTCGTTATGTGGAAGCTCCCCGACTGCACACCGCGAAGAGTAACCGCCCAGCTTCCACCCGGCAGGACAAGGAGCGACTTGCTGCTTTGACGCGGTCGGAAGAAGACCTCTACTATTCCAGACGCCGAGTGAATGAACTGGCGGACTCGTTGGATGCCGGGGCTCTACGAGAGTTGTTAGACCGAGACCGACGCCGTCGCGAGAAGAAGCAACTTGACGACCAGGAAAAGCTACGCCGTAAGCTGCAAGAGAGGGCCGATGCCCAGCAGGCGCGGGAAGAACAAGCCCAGGTTTCCCCAGAACACGAGCCCAAACCCGCCCAACCAGAGCCGTCAATCTTGGACACCGAACCCTCCATCACCGAACCTGAACCGTCTGTAGCCGAGCAACCCGTCACGGAAAGCCAGGACATCCCCATGGAAGACGACACCATCATCGAAGTGGAGGAGCCGACTCCCGTTCCACATGAGCATGGGTCGTGGTTGCGAGGTGAATCCAAGGGCAGCGACCATGCGCGCGAATCACTGGACAGTGCTCGAGTGATCGGAAACATTGACGATAGCTCTCTTCGTGAGCGGAGATTGATCCAGCGTCCCAGTTTCGCTCCTTCGCACGATATGGCCCTATCTCGAACCACACTGTCGCCATCCCACTCATCAATCCGACATGGCGTCAACAGCCCCAGCCACTCTCACACACTCGGAGCCGGCTCAACATCAGACATCTCTCGAGGAATCGATTCCCGCCGATCGTCAGACACCAGCGGTCGCCGGGGTAATACCATCACCTCCCTCTTCCGCCGTGGCTCCTCCCGCATTAAGCGACGCTACAAAGAGCGTTTCCAGGAGCCTTCGCCGGAGGTATCCAACACCTCGCATGAATCTTTCTATAAAGTTTCCACTCAATCCTCTCCGCCCCCCGCTTCGCTCATTCCCCCCCGAGTCTTGATGCCCAGTGAACCCATCCAGCGTTCTCACTCCAAATTCACCGAACATTTCGGCGATGAGCCTTTGTCGCCACCTGATTCCCGCCTCCAATCTCCAGATATCCCAGAAGAAGTCCTGGAGTCTTCTCTAGAGAGAGAGGACACCTTCCTTCGTGGACCGAGTCCCACACCCGGCGTTGACATCCAGAACCCGAACCGGAGTCACCACCGATCCTGGACCTCTGAACTCATAGATGCAGAAGCAGACAACGTTCCTCTTTCGCAGTCTCTCGCCTCAATCGATTCCGAGGGCTCGTGGATGTCTGGACAATTCTTCAAGCGTATGTCTCAGAATCCCAGCAGCCCTATCCGATCCAACCTGAATACCTTTGGCCGCAACTCCGCCGACGTCCCAGCAGATGCCCTTGAAGACATCAAGGACATGGATGAGCCCGACCGGCCCGACAGCCCCGTCGGCGACGCTGAGCTGGGAGTCGACAGCGACAGTACACCCGCCGAGCGATGGCACAACGAAGTTGGCCGTCGTCCTGTCGTGATCACACCCGCATCTCGCCCCAAGTCTACTCAGGGCCTGCTTCGAAACTTCCCCTCCTTGACGCCCATTTCTGCCGAAGAGGACTACATCGTAGCAGAAAGCCCTTCCGAATTACAACGGATCCCCAGCGCAAAAGCCGAGATCGGCTACGCAGAATAGATCTCCGTTGAGAGTCGAATTCGATAGATTCGGTCTCGTCATGTCGTTCCTTGCCTATTTCTTTTGTTGATTTCCTATGTCACTTCGTGATCTTGCCCTGGTGAAGCCTTCTTTGGCCTGTACGATTCCGATTTGTGTATCGCATCATTAGCACCCTGTTTCTCTGTTGATACCCCATGTTTTGCATAAATGTTACCAAATTCCCTGTTGGATATTTCCCTGAACTGTTCCTTTTGCATATAGTTACTGTCCTTCCATGGTTGATATTGATGTTAGTAAGATAGTTCTTTCTGGGCTATGGTAGAAAATCTCAGTGAGATGGCGATAGTTAATAATGACAGATTATCAATCTACACCTGTTTTGACTGGGAAGTGTAGACATAAAAACGGAGCTGCCCTTGAGTGTCGGGAGGTAAATCCAGACTCCCCCAAATTCGTAAGCAGCCGACCACCCGAGCACGTCATTTTGCCCCTGTCCTTCAACCTCACCTTCTCTTTCATTGGACCTCCAATTGACGATAGCGACCTCGGGAGTATTTCGCTGACTGACAAATTCATCATGCAAGCAGTAAGTTTATGTCCGTGTGAATCAGGCCTTACCAACCGGTTGTCTTTGGCAACATTTGAAGCTCCAGAGCCTTCGGTCTTTGAAATCTTACATAATCACCGGCGCAAGCGTCATCACATAAAAAACCCGCTGCCCCTCCATTCTAACCGCTTCCCTCTAGTTCAAATCTCCCGCTTTCAAGAACATCTCCGGATCTTTCAATCGCTCCTTCCGCACTTTCACCACATCTCCCATCTCCCGCTTCACACCTTCTCCTCTCAAGATGGCCGTCACCAAGCTCACCACGTAAGTCCCGACTCGACCTTAGCAATGCACCAGCGGGGTCAAAAAACAAAGCAACCAGAAACAAAAACACAAAAACACAACCGTTCTCTTCTAACACCTTTCAGTGCCGCCGAGTACACCGAAAAGGTGACCAACGCCCAGGGCCCTGTTGTCGTTGACTTCTTCGCCACCTGGTGCGGTCCCTGCAAGGCCATTAGCCCCGCCCTCGAGCAGATGAGCAAGGACAACACCGGCGTCTCTTTCTACAAGGTTGACGTTGACGAGCTCGCCTCGGTTGCCGCCGAGAACGGTGTCAGCGCCATGCCTACCTTCCACTTCTACAAGAACGGCCAACGTTCCAAGGAGGTCAAGGGTGCCAACCCCCCCGCCATCAAGGCTGCCCTCGAGGAGATCCTGTAGAAGGTGCTGCTTTTTGGGTCTTTTCGTTTGTTGATACCGCTTGATCCTTGTGGATCATTCAATTGAATACTTATACATTTTTTTTTCTTCTACCTCTTCCTGTCGTTCATTTTCGGTGGGGTTGTGCATAGTTCCATATTGAGGTTGCTTTTTTTTTTTGTAGATTGAATCTCTTATGAGGGTTGCATAGGTTGCCTGGACTGTTTGGAGTCTGCAATGCTCAAGTGTAAGTGTGCATTCTGTACGGAGTACGTAGTACTCGATATGGAATATAGGATGCTCTTGCAGGTTGCATGCATGTCGATCGTCAGTGAGCTGCGCCAATCTGCAGTGTCGTTCCCCGCATTCTTCACCTGTGTCCGTTCCTCTGGGACGCAGAATGAATTCGAGTCACCTGGTACTTACATTGTTGCACACATTGGATGCGATATGTTTGAAAGTCAATAGCCACACTTTAGATTGGTGCAATGGTTGTTCATTGGCAGTGCCTACAAGCGCAATCGACCCGAGCTCCATTTCTCCCCAAACTTGTAGCGTTCCAAGCTTCGACTTACTTCGAAAATGATGCATAGAAACCTTCGGATATCGGTATCTGATCTGAGATCATCGTGATCCACGGATCCAAAAGGGTCGCTCCAGATCCAGGTTTTAGGGTTTGAGGCTATCAAGTGCACTTCCAACGAGTATGGAAATGCGATCTAGACGAAAGACACTCAGACAGGAAGGCGACTCAAGAGACAAAAGAGATGGCCATAGAAGCCTCCAGACTTTTCCCTGGATTTACACATATCTGCTGACCGAGGGCGTATGTGAGCAACCAAACAAGAACGGATCCACACACAGCCACTCTCTTCAGGCGCCGCCCAGCTTCAAATTCCCCGAAGCCAACTGCCCAAAGTCGGGTGAATACTCCAATCCACATGGAGTAATCCAGGTCAGATCTTATGCAATGCATGACGGACGTCATGGCCATGCGATTGACAGCGGAGTAAGAATAGACTCCGAACATGTTCGTTCGCTCGCAGGAGACACATCACACCAAATCCGGATTCTCTCTTGAAGCTGCATACCTATCAATTGCCACTGATGCCGCTAGAGGGGTTCTGCAAAACCTTGTTGCGCCGCATGGTGGCAACATGGGCATCTAATCGTTTGGCATCTTTGAAATGTTCGTCGAGCCGACGCTACGATCTGGGTTAAGTGGGTTGGGTGGGACTGATCAAAACGGCTTGGGGATTTTGTTTGCTGTTTACTTTGCTTGTGATATATCAAACAAACAAACTTTTTGCTTGACTGGAATTCGGGAACCGGCATCATATTCGAGTCATTCTCATTATCTATATCGAGAGGAGCTTGGAGCTCAACTCAAGTAGATTAATTTTGGTCCTCGCAGCTGAAATGGAGACCCGGAGGCCCACTTCATTTGTCGCGTTTAACTGACGAGTACCGAAATAGTGGGGGTTAAGAGACATTTTCTTTTTATTCCCCTCTCCGGGATATTTGTTTTTGATTAAAAATTAAAATTGAGAGACTAGCCCATAGTAGGTCTTTGGCTTGGACTCGGTGTGACTATTTCGTGCTACCCTCATACCCTTGCCACATCCCGGTCCAGGGGGAAAGCTTTCAAAGAACCAAAAAGGTAACTGGCGCTCGCTAATTTCCACTCCAGGCGTTCGTTTTTGAGTCGACCAGGATTGGAGTCAATGTGACAGATCGCCGGACATGTGACGTGCAGATCCGGAACGGTTCTCTAGCAAACATGAGATGCGCAAATAACTTTCAATCCGTGGTGGACCTTTACAAAATGTAATCAAGAGTCTCGCTTATCGTGTGGATATTGAACAATGGAGTATGTAGTAGTATGAAAAAAAAAATTAATTAATCTATATGTACGGAGAAGGCACAGAACTTCCTACTTGGTCAAGTAGTCGGCGGCACCGAGCCGCACAGCGACCCAAGCCAGTGGAAATAGGCAAAACATCCATCCGATTAATGTGGAAACTGTAAAGTCACAGGGCAAGCAAACTGTCCAAAGACACCAAATTAGGGCCACGACAGGGCGCTGATTCGCCAAAAGGACAACCTGCCCCATCGTTCAGTACCCGCCCCGATCCGATCTAGATCTCACCAAGCGAATCACAACGCATGGGCTAAAGAATCCTCGCTTCAAACCCCCAGCGTTGTAAAAAAGGCCCCGATTAGCTTACTATCGCAGAACAGATTGATTAATCCAATTCTTTCATGGCCTCGGCACCTGGGCTGCGGGATTTCTGAGGGGGTCGTTGACTCCGTACTGCCACGCGAGTCGTACGGGGTCTCTTGCAGGCCAATGCATGGCTTGCGCTGGGAGTGGAGCTCATATTTAGATTGGACTAGAGCTGGGGCTATACAGTCAATTCATTCGCTGGACGCGAAGGAATTCTGGATACGCTGGGCATATACGATAACAAAAAATGCGAGTTGAGCTTGGACTGGTGCAGCTAGGGCTATATTATAAGATGCTTACCCCGGCTGCTCTGAGCCACTGACCTTGGATTTGTCTCTCATCAATCTATACCAGCTCAGCTTGTTGCTTCCTTCACTTGGATTTGAAAAGCTGTATTCATGTTGTCTCTCTTTTAAACACTGCGTCGTTGTCGACCCATTCCACCGTTCCTTTTTTTTTTTCTATGCATGAACGTGCGAACCAGATGACTGAATAAGGAACCCCCACAACTCCAGTTCTTTTCCCTATATACTCTCCAGGATGGCGAGTACAGATGCACAAGTCGAGCCAGTGGCTCGGGTGACCTACCTGGCAGGCTATATCTTCCTCTCCTACGTTATTAGCGCAATGGGATGCGCAACCACATTAGAGCTTCTCCACCGCCGGACATCAAGATCCGGTCTATACAACTGGTCAGCAAACTCCGCAGCATTAACATGCATGGACCCAACGGCTAACATATCACAAGGTACCTTCTCCTAACATCGTCAATCACCATGGGTGGCATCGGAATTTGGTGCATGCATTTTATTGGAAACCGCGCAATCGTGCTCGGCAATGGCGAACCCAACATCCAGATTCTATACAACGTCGCTTTCACAGGAACCTCCTTCGTGCTCCCAGTGGCAGTACTACTCTTTGCCTTCTATGCAGTCGGCGTGGAAGAGAAGGCAGGTTACCTGCGAATCCTAATTGGAGGCCTGCTCACCGGTAGCTCGGTCTGCGGCATGCATTATGTCGGTCAACTCGGAATTTCGAACTACAGCTGCTCTTATCACCCAGCCAATGTCGTGGGGTCGGCCATCATCGCTATTTTCTCCAGTATTGCTGCCTTGGGTATCTTCTTTCGCTGGAGAGCTTCCTGGACCGATAGCTGGTGGAGACGCGGCATATGTGCGTGCTTGTTAGCCGTTGCCGTCACTGGTATGCATTGGACCGCGGCGGTTGGAACCTCGTACAGGGACCATGATCGCAATGTCGTCAATGGAACCCAGCTGTCAAGAAGTCAAGTTGTGATCGTTTGCGCTGTGCTGGTATGTGTCATAGTCCACGGGCTGACTTGGCGAAGCTAACATCCTTCGAAACATGTAGGCTTGTGTTGCGTGCGTGATTTTGTCCGCCTGTGCTATTGTTGCAGGTAGCAATCGCCGAAAGTCGACGACTCGTGCCCACCAGCTTGTTCTTGCTTGCGTGTACTTCGATCCTACTGGACGGGTTATGGTCACCCCTCAGGCTCTTCTCCCAACACGCAAGATTGTTGATCATTATATTGGAAGGGTATGGCTCCAACTCCGATTGAGCCTCAACGATTGGTACTAACATACCGCAGACCTTTAAAGATGACGATCTCACCCGAACACACCCAACCTTCCTTTGGGCCTTTAGGGCGACTCGCAACTGGCCAGTTGTGAAAGACCTAGTACCGTTCATGCGAAACCGCCTCAATTCCGAAGAAAGTGCCATTCAAAAACACGTCCTCTCACGAGGAGTATTCATGGACAAAGATACCGAGTTACAGACCGACTTTGATACATTATTCAAACAGCTCTTCTGTGTCACGGCCCAGGAACTCTCAGATGAGCTTCGATTGCCTCTCCAAGATCTAGGGACGCTTTATGACGACGTCCTATCAACGGCGATTCCCGTGTCTCGACTCTCTCGTGCAATGGGACGCTCCTCCCTACGAACGGGCAAAGGTCAAATGATGTTCTCTGTCCGTCAGCTGAATAAAATAGAATCAGCGAGACTTTCTTCCCAAGGATTCCGTTTTGCGACCATCGAACATGTCACAGGGACTCTCTCTCGTCGCATCCACGTCCCAGAAGCAAGCCTGATTCATACTCTCCGTGACATGCGCGACTACGCAAGCACAAACCGCGGCTTTGAAGAAGGCGTCCATCTCATCTCCTACGTCATGCGCCCGACGGTCCACGATCATTTCGAGATCCTCACAACAAAAGGCGTGGGAAACCCCCTCCCATCAATAACACTGCCAATGAAGCAACTCGAACCTCAACACCTACAACTCCTTTTCCAAATGGAAGGCTGGTCCATGAACGCATGTATAAAGTACCTCCTGTCCGACGCCTCATCTCGCGCTTTCCCCAACCTTACCGACTTCCGCTCTCAACTCACTCAATCCATCATCTCACTCTCGAAAACCCTCCCTGAAGACATGCGCATGGCAGCCCAGCTCTCAGCCCGCCCATTGACTGCACCTTGTCGCAGCCAACCATCAAACCCAGAGCAATCCTTCCAAAGCTGTACGCTGCTCACCTTCTGCGTCGTCGGAACACTAGACACCCAAGTCCCCAACCCAGACTACACATGGACCCCATTCCGCCTCTTCCGCGTGCAGCAGCAAGTGAACGAGGCACTCGCAGACCGCGAAAGCTTCGCCCGTGAGCTAGGCCAAGAGCTCTTCTGCACAGATGTGCGCTCCGGGTCCGCAGGCAGCGACAACGATCTCGCCTCAACAACCAAAATGGCCATCTTGCAATTATGGCCTTCGCACAAGCGATCCAAATCTTCCAAGGGTGGCTCAGGTAGCTCTCTTCACTCGCAGGAATCTTTGGTTGAGCCTGCTGCCATGGCATTGCGCGATATCACTGTCCACAAGGAAGTCAGGGTTGATATCACCCGACTGCATGAGACTTCTACGCAGAATCCTTTCAATGGTCATGATTCGCGGACTATTGTTGCCGCTGGCGAGGTGAATACCCCTGCAACATATGTTGATGAATTGTACAGCCTTTGCTATTCGCCGGGCATTCGTTTCAGGCCTGACTCCTCGCTGCATCATATATCGCACATGTCGAGCCGGTGATCTGCACACTGCGCAAAAATGAGTGCTTTCCGGGAAAAGCCTCGAAAATAGTTGAACCTGTATATATAATGTTTTTGATGAGCTCCCAATGATACCTACCTCTGTACATGCTTACATGCATTGCCTACCTAGACATGGACATAGTCGCGCATCCAGTAGAATCACAAGAAGATGGTCTTCAAAGCTCAGGTACAGTGACAAGTAATGAAATTCTGATGTACATGAGATAAATCCAAGTCGTCACACATTCCATGACCATGACACCCCTGAAACACAAAAGTCGCTCAATTCTCGATGCCAGAGAAACATGTACTCCTTGCTGCAGATACGCCTTCAGCGTCTTCAAACAAATGCAACTCAAATTAAAAAAAAAAAGAAAAAGAAATCAAATAACCAGAAGAGCAGTCCAACGCCGATTATGCATTTGCATTGGGGTCCTCACGCTCCAAAAATGCCGGGTCGACTTCAATGCGCCGCTCAAACTTCGCCCACCAATCATGGAAGCTCTTAAGAGGCACGACATCCTGGCCTTTATCCGACGACGCAAAGCTAGCCAGGAAATTGAACGCACTTCCAATAATACGCTGGGCCAGGACCTTTGTCGAAATCTGCCTCTGTCCAACAGCCTGACTGACCAACGCTGTAGAGCTAGATTGAGGCTTCTCCGCCTCGAGCACAGCAAGCTGCGGCGCAATGATCTGCGCCTCTTCAATTGAGATTCCGAGGGTCAGTACGCCAGCGCCATTGGATCCACTCTCGTCTAGCATGTCATCCTCTTCTTCGGCCTCTGTGCGACTGGGTGGTCGTACGGTGAAGATACCGGAAGGCTTCTCGTTTGCAAGTGCGCCGATGAAGCGGAAGTCCGAGGGCTGTCCGTTGGCGTCGGGTAGCTGCGCGTAGATTGCTGCGCCGGTGTTTGGAGGAAGAACTGTTCCTGGCAGAAAGAAAACTACCAAGTCGCTGAGAGAGGCGCTTAATGGAATCGTAAAAGCGAATTTGGTTGCTTGGCCATTTGGTTGGCCGTCGACTGCGACAATGTCCGTTAGACACGGGCGGCCGGGGACCACGACGGAAAACATGGAGAGATCTGGAGGTCGAAGTCGATGCGGTGGATTGAGGTGAGAGGGAGAGATTGGAATTTGCGTGCAGTAAGCTTCTCTTTGTTCCTGGTTTTCGATGATGAAATGTCAGTGACATAAGAGGCCGCGGGCTTGGCGGGGCTGCCCTTATCGGATTGGATAAGGGTTTGACGGTCTCCGACTTGCAATTGAGGTACCGTTGTGACAAGGGTGAATATCTTCAAGATGGGCAAGTCAAACCTTGAGCTCGTCGTCGAATGCGATAAGTAAGGATCTTCTATTTGAATTTCTTCACCTTCAGCTTACAATCGCAGCTTCCCTTACTACGAGGATGACCGCGCTGCATACACGGAGAACCTCAACAACTACCATGCCTTCAAAGTATCTGGATACAGCGCTACTCTTGGATATATCCTGAATGCCGTGGTGGAGAAGTTCCCCTGGCCAAAAAACAGCTGGAACATCGACTCCGATTCCCGCACTGTGACACTAGTAACACCCCCGAATGCCGACCCCGCACTCCGAAGCAGCCTCGTAGCGGAGGCCATCAACGAAGCAGTCAAGCAAGACAAATTCGAGATCTTGAGGGGATGGCGCAACGAGAAATACCCTGTCTACGGGCCGGGTGGTGAATTCCTCCTCGACATGGAACGTTGCGCCTCCCCGCTATTCGGCATCGTTTCCTACGGCGCCCATATGACAGGCTACACGCGCGACGAATCCGGATACAAGATTTGGGTTCCACGCCGCTCAAAGACCAAGCAGACTTACCCCGGTCTCCTCGACAACACTGTCGCAGGCGGCATGTGCACCGATGAAATCCCATTCGAGTGCATTGTCCGCGAAGCAATGGAAGAAGCCTCCCTACCTGAGGACAAGGTCCGCGCAACAATTGCTGCCCGGGGATGCGTAACATACTCGCATGTGCGTGACGCACGGGCCGGCGGCGAGACAGGTCTAATTCAGCCCGAGGTCGAGTATGTTTATGACCTTGAGCTGGATGCAGAGACGATCCCTAAGCCTTGTGACGGTGAAGTCGAAGAGTTCAAGTTGTTGTCTATTCCCGAGATTCGGGAGGCCCTCGCGAATGGCGAGTTCAAGCCCAATTGCGCTACTATCATGATTGATTTCTTTATTCGACATGGCATTTTGACTGCGGAGAATGAGCCGGATTTCTTGTCTATTATTGCGGGTTTGCATCGCCGATTGGAATACCCCACTGCCTCGCACTGTGCGAGGTAGATGCATCTTTTACCGTGCATTTTCTCAAGTCTGGCGGTACATAATCTAGACATTGTGTTTATATTGGACATACAAAATCCGAAAGAAGTTAGATGCTGCTTCCCACCTGCCCAGGTGGACAGGACGCTTGGAATATATAAACTTCTGAGATCAAAGGGCGATTTGGCATTTAGAACCAAAGCATTTTGGTTCATATCTTGCTTCATTTCTTTGCCTCTTCCACCAAATCAGCCAAAGCCTGCATTGCATCGTCCGCTCGCCCCTTCGGAACGTAGATATGATCATGGAAGTATCCACTAACAACATTGGTGCTGATCCCATCAGCTTTTAAGCGATTTGAGATGGCGGCGATCAGGCCAACGGCTTCCAGACTGGAGTGGATCTTGAGAGAGATCTTTTTGCATGGAAATACAGGTTCTTTGAACGCATGTGACTCGGCCAGAGCTTCAGTCGTGACGAGTGTAGTACCCTCGTCTTCCTGAACGACCAGCTGCGGCTGAAGAGTGGCTAGTGGAAGCGAATCAAGTGGATCTTTCGTGGTAAGGAAGATGTAGGTCGTTGGGTCTAGCATGGGTTGCATTGTTGCCAGCAGAATCGAGAGATCCTCTTCGCCGGTCGTTGGAGCCATTTTGGAGAGTGGGAGACGGAACAGTTAAACCTGGAAAAAGAAGGAAAAAGGTCAAAGTATTTAGGGACAAACATTCATTTTGCGCCTGAGGCCCTGGGGTTTATATAAGAGTTCCAAGGTTGCCACATGCAGTGGGGAACCTTGGAGGCTCCCAGCCCTATGAGTCGCCAGATCGGATACATCGCCTAATGCGGAGATCATGCACAATATCACATTGTAAGGAGTATATGTTTATTTTCAGATCACTCAGACATGATAAGAAAACATCTTAGATCAGAAGATGATCAACGCAAGGAAAAAAAAACATCCAACAGAAAACGTACTCCGAAGTCCTCCCACCCCTGAAAATCAGGCAGAAGTATCTCGCAGAGCCTGGGAGATTGCTTGCAAACCACCTTCAAGCTCTTCGATGGTGGGCCATCCATAGCCCAGGCGGAAGAATGTGTCCGGAAGCTCAAACCAGTGCCCAGGTCCAACATAAGTGCCGTACCTATGGAGAAGACGATGATAAAATGCTTCCAGTCCACCAACTGGCTCGAACCCGTTCTTGATACGCGGGAAACAGACAATACCGCCATCGGGGCGAACCCATTCCAACAGGTCGTCCTTTTCAATCCATGCAGCCACAATCTCGCGGCGATGCTTCATCTCACGAATAGTAGCGGAAAGAATTTCTGCTTTGCGCGACAAGACTTGCTCGGCAATCCATTCATCGACCACACTACCACTGATACTGATTTGCTCTTTCGCAGCCAAGAAAGTCTCTTGGAGAGAAGGGTTCCGGTTGATCAGCCATCCAAGTCGAATGCCGGGAATGCCATATGATTTGGATAAAGAGGACACACTGATGACATGGTCTCCCAGAGAGGCAGCAATAGGCAGCCGTCCGTCATAAGAGATATCAGCGTAGGTCTCATCTACCAGCAAGAGGATGCCTTTTTCCTTGGTGAGCGCCACCAGGGCGCTCAATGTCTCGAGTGACATCCTTGTACCAGTGGGGTTGTGAGGTGTGGTAATGCTGACAATTTTGGTGTTGGGCTTGAGAGCAGCCTTGACAGCGCTCAGATCAAGTTGGAAGTCAGACTCAAAAGCAAGATCGATGAAAGAAATCTCGCATCCAAGCGCCCGAGGTGTCTCAAGGTTGGTTGCATAGTTCGGTCGCACGACGACGAGATGATCGTTCACGCTGAGTTGAGAGCTGGCGATAATGAATAGAGATCCCGCTGCACCAGTGGTAACCAGGACGTCCTTGTAGCTGAGGCCTTTTGATCCCTGGACAATGAGCTTGCGAAGAGCAGTGCCTCCTTGATGCTCGTTGTAGAGCAACTTCAAATCAGGTACTTGTAAGCCCAAAGATGCAAGAGACTGGTCGGTGATGGAACTTTCGGACAAGTTGTACTTGATGTTTTCATAGCCGTATTCTTCAGGCGATTCGATCTCAATGGGCATGCGGTTATACTTCATGGTGACGAAAGAGACAATTCTCTAGGGAGTATTCAATGTAGATTGTCAAGGTTAAAAGGAGTAAAGGTAGTTGGAATGGAGTTGGTCAAGGTCGGATAATTCACAGCTCTCTAGGAATCGCATTTGACTTAAATACTTCTGCATCTCAGAGTCCCACCTTCCAAATGATCAAACATACTGTCCATGTTTAGTCGCATGTCATGCCAAAAGGGTGAAGTATGCGATCCCGCAAATCAAATCCTTGCTCTACTCCACATTACCTGCGTTCCCCTTTCGGAGAATTCATAAAGCCATGAACTGACCTACTTATGACATGGATTGATCAGGTGTTTCTCGCACACGGGTTTTAGCCGTACCAAGACAGCACAATATTTCGCCTCAATTCCCGTTGGAAGCATGGGAGTGCGTTGCGAGAGATGAGTAGCGGCTACCATACGTCGCAAACTCAAGGTGATCTCTTATTCAATTCATCAAGCAATTAACTGACAAAGAAAATCAAAGCTCTTGCCATATATCACCTCGATATCCATAAGACTGACGTGGAGTCCAGGCCGACCTTGTTCTGATAAAGGATCAAAACAAGAAGAATTTACAAATTGCCACTATGCGACCATCATAATGCTCTATCAGTCTTATCAACCTTGCTCCTCGGAGCCAATGCGAGAAACCCACCGAGAATGCTGTGGGCGGAGAATCACCAACAAAACGGAGTTTAGTCTGCGGCTACCCCAGGTCTTGGCCCGGCTCGACTTTCCCGCCGAGTGTATCCCGGGAACTACACGAGCTCCAGCCCCACAACGCCCCGATCGGCATCATGACACCGGCGCGGTTATCAGGCAGAATATGGGGTAAGAAATGTTATCTTTGGCCGAGAGAGCGTCTTTTAACTGAGAAATATCTCATGTATCTGCGGTCTGCTCATCGGGCTTCAATTGATACCCTTGTTCTCTCTTCATCACACCATGACTCCCACTTTCAATGATGCCAAAATGACCGAAAAGAATTACAAAGAAGATACCGACATTGATCACTCCGGGGGTGAGGTTCTCGGCCAGATTGGCCGCTATGAGGACCACGAGAGGGCTATTCAGGGCAATGATCACTTCCATCGCCTGGGCTGGAAACGTCTCACGATTGTGCTCATTGTCCAATCAATTGCCCTGGGTAGTCTCAGTCTGCCAGCTGCGTTTGCAACGTTAGGAATGGTGGCTGGAGTGATTCTGTGCATTGCACTAGGTCTCGTTGCCATCTACGCAAGCTACATGGTTGGGTTGGTGAAGCTCAAATATCCGCATACTGCCCATTACGTCGACTTTGGTCGTCTGTTAATGGGCAAATTTGGTGATGGGCTGTTCAGCGTGGGCTTCATTTTGTTGTTGGTCATATCAGTTGGGTCGCATTGCCTAACCGGGAAGCTAGCCTTTGCTACGCTCTCCGACAACGCCGCATGCGCTCTCATATTCAGTGCCGTGTCTGCAATTATTCTTTTCGCCTTCGCCATACCACCGTCGTTCGCCGAACTATCGATTCTAGGATTCATCGACTTCGCTTCTATCATAGCCGCAATTGGAGTCTGTATCATCGCAACGGGCATTCAGCAGGGCGATGCAACTGGGCCTGCTTGGTCCGCATGGCCTCAAGACGACATAAACATGAGCAAGGCATTCGTTTCAATCTCAAACATTGCCTTTGCTTATGCTTTCGCCTCCGCTCAACCTTCTTTTATGGATGAGATGCATACCCCGGAAGACTTCACCAAGTCTATATCGGTGTTGGGTGTGACACAAATCACCATCTACACATTGACGGGGGCACTCATCTATGCGTTTGTCGGACAGAAAGTTGGGTCGCCGGCATTGCTATCAGCGGGCCCTCTTCCTGCCAAGATTGCATTCGGTGTTGCACTTCCGGTTATTTTCATCTCCGGTTCTATCAACGCTACCGTCGCCTGTCGCTACATTCATGGCAGGATTTATCAAAACTCCGTCGTCCGTTACGTTAACACAACAAAAGGATGGGTCACTTGGCTGACAATTGTGGCTTTGATAACCATTCTAGCATGGATCATCGCAGAAGCTATCCCGTTCTTCTCGGAGCTCCTCGCTATTTGCGGTTGTCTGCTGGTCTCTGGCTTCTCGTTCTACATCCCCCCGGTCTTATGGTTCTTCCTTCTGAAGGAGGGAAGCTGGTATGAGAAGCGGAACATCCGCACTGCAATGTTGAATCTTACTGTATTCGTGATTGGCGTCGTTATCCTTGGATGTGGTCTATACGCGAGCATTGTTGGCATTGTAAGTCACTTTCACCTGAGCCTGCAAGGTATTATGATACTGACATCTTTTGCAGATGACTGCATTCAAAACAGGCTCTATCAATAGACCTTTCTCATGTAATGCTGGATAGAGAAGAACTGGAGAAATATCAGGGTTCGTTGTCTACAAAGCCTACTACGGGCACCACGAACACCTTTTGCGGAGCTTTGGATGTATTGAAATGTATATAGTAGAAGTCATCATCTTATCGAAAATTCTTTCCTCTACACTCATCGAGCAAGGTCCCTACTGAATCATGGATTGCGACAACAGCATCAAAACCCCCGACTGATATTTCCAACCTAAGGACTCGCACTAAACATACAGCCACCTGGGCACTTGAGCAATAACAACCTTGAAACATGCCCACAAAGTCTCGCCATATTTCACCTGCCTAGGTGCAATTCAACATCAAACGTTTTCAAATTTTGTGATACGAGGATCGTCCCACTTCCTGAACCCTCGGGGCCCCGGGGATAGATAAGAGTTACCTAATCAGAGGCGGCTCGAACTTCCTATTCAGGAAGCCCGGTCTTCCCAGCTTCCACATTCTGCCAACTCTACACACATTGTGTATACCAACTATATCGGTTTTTCTACCATGCGTTCAGCCACTACAGGATGCTGGACATGCCGCGTTCGACACCGAAAGTGCGACTTGGAGAAGCCCTCCTGTAAAGAATGCACTGAGAGAGACGTTCGCTGCCACGGGTATGGACCCAAGCCAGTATGGATGAACGGCGGACCAGAAGAGCAGAAAGAGCGATCAAGAATCAAAGCTACAATAAACAAGAATTTTCGACGAGTCAAGAAATTGCAGCATCTAGCTCGCCAAAGAGAGAGGGAGTCAAATACATTGCATGATGTACAAAGACAAGACGAGATACCCGATGCGGTAGCAAGTCCAGCATATTCTCCGCAACTCGCATCTCTGACTTCTCAACACGAAGATCTCGAAGTGACTGTTGACTCTGAACCTCAATCTGTGACTCCCGTCTCCGATCGAGCCTGTGAGCCCCGTCTAGATTCCAGCCCACGGCGTACTGGGGGTGATGGTGGGATTGACAACCAGGAGGCTTGTTTGTTGATGCATTATCTCGATCAAGTCTTTCCTTGGCAGTATCCATATCATGACTCCCGCTCTCGATTAGGAAATCGAGGTTGGCTCTTCCTACTGCTGATCAAGCGTGGACCTCTCTATCACGCTATATTGAGTCTCTCTTCTCTTCACCAAGGTGCTTTACTCGACGCCAAAGAAGATATTTTGAAAAAGCAAAAGGCATTGAACCATCACTCCAGGGCACTTCGGGAGCTGTGTGACATGATGAGTGAAAAGGGTGATAAATTAAGGGACGACCATGCCCAATTGGCCGATTTTTTGACTTGTAGCTTCATGTTGATCAGCTTCGAGGTAAGTTTTCAACAAGCATAGATCAGCCGTCGGAGGTACTGACACAAAATAATAGGTATTCTGCGGTGCGGAGCATGATTGGATTCCACATCTAGATGCAGTTACATCTGTCATGACTGAATTATCTCCAGAGGAAATCTTCAAACCACAGACTTATGATGACACCAACAAGAGAAGTGGAACAAATGCCGACCTTGAATTCCTGATGGTTGGTGTAATGTGGTATGATCTTCTCGCTTGCGTTTCAACGGGCAGTGTACCACGGCTACCATACCAAAGCTGGCTCCAGACCCCACATCTTGATACAGCTGACCTCATGGGTTGTGAGAACTGGGTGATGCTAGCGATCGGTGACTTAGCATATCTTTCGGCGTGGAAAGGGCAACAAGAAAAAGACGGGCTGTTGAGTATTCGAGAACTTGCGTCCAAAGGCATAGAGATCGAGACACGATTAGAAAATGGCATCAAGAGCTTGGATCAGGAAGAGGTTGTGAGTCTTCCGCCCTCGGTGTCAATAAATATTGCACTGGCTTGTGAGAGCTGTAGCTTACCCTTTTCACATAGGGCGATGCAAAGATGGAAGGGGTCCGAAGTTGGGTCTCTCATCTCTTTGCGCTCGCAGCTCTTGTTTTGCTGCACACGATAGTCTCAGGGCCACTCCCAGTGCTTCCAGAAATAAGGAATGTCGTTTCTAGGAGCATCGCGGTGCTCGAGACGAGGCCCAAGACTTGTCCTCTCACAGGGTCTGTATGGGCATTATGTATAATAGCGTGTATGGCACAGTCCCACCAGCCATTCTTTGAGAGATTAATGGGGCAACTGATGCGCGAGTCCGGACGATTTGGGAATACTGCAACCGTGCAGAAGATTATCACCAAATGCTGGGAAATGCAGGAAACCGGTCGGGCAGATTGCCGGATCGCCATGTCCGAGATGGGAATCCATGCCCTGTTGATATAAAGTTTCCAAATGCGTTCTCACGATCATCTAATCTCCAATATACATGGTACAAGTGTCGCGATACTGTAAATGTTTGATATCCCCGGAGGTAGGGCTTTGATAAATGGGGAAAGTGGGAGGGAAGTTCGAGCCGAGATGCCCCAAAACGAAGGTCGAACCGGGAACGAAAGCAAACGAAGCACCACCAATCAGAGGTAACCTTTCATACTTCGAGGTTTTGAGGATGTTCGGAAGTCAACATGGGGATGAAGGGGTTCACTGATCATTGTGAGTGCTAATATGAAGGATATAAGGAGCCGGTGAGCCACTGGTATCCAGTTTGAGATCATTCGATCAAATTCCCAGTTGTCTGTCTGCTTCCTGAAGACGTCGGAGGCAACGCCGAGGCTTTTCTTTTTTCCTGGACTTGATATACTCTTGAAGAACAACATTTCAGCCAATACCAGAATAATGCCAGGACTCAGCACCCCAAAGCAACCGGAGATGTTGAATCTTGCCAACGCCAGTGTCAAGGACCTTCTTCACGCCCTCGATATCCGCGCGGTAACTAGTGTTCAGCTCGTCTCGTGTTATTTTCACCGAATCGGATCCTTCGACTGCCGCGGCCCTTCATTGAACTCAGTGTGTGTTCTGAACTTCAACGCCTTGGAGGAGGCACAGGAATCGGACGATTATCGTGCAAGTGGCCGACCGCCACGCCCACTCGAGGGAATCCCCTTCACGGTCAAAGACAGCTTCTTGGTTAAAGATATGACAGTTGCAGCTGGGTCTCCCGCCTTTGCTGATCTGATGTCGACCCAGGATGCAGCTGTTGTTACCATGCTCCGGAATGCCGGAGCTGTGGTGATTGGCAAGACGAACATGCCAGCAATGGCAGATGGCGGACCACAGCGAGGTCTGTACGGCAGGGCAGAAAGTCCTTACAATATGAAGTATTCCACTACTGCCTATGCATCTGGTTCCTCCAATGGCTGCGGAACATCTACCACAGCCAGCTTTGCGGCATTTGGCTTGGCTGGAGAGACCGTTTCCTCTGGTCGCTCGCCTGCCTCGAACAATGCACTCGTTGGGTACTCGCCTTCCAGGTGCATGATACCCAACAGAGGCCAATGGCCGCTTTATCCGACATGCGATGTCATCGTTCCTCATGCAAGGTCAATGGAAGATTTGTTCTTTGTGCTCAATGTCATTGCAACCGATGACCCAGATGCCGCAGAAGGAATCGACTTCTGGAGGAATCAAGCGTTTGTTCCAATCCCGAGAGTCGCCGAAGTTCGCCCAAAAAGCTATCACAACCTAGCAGACCTAAACTCTCTGGCGGGAAAACGTATTGCTGTTCCCCGATGCTTCATTGGCGCACCGTCCGCAAGGCCATACCACGTGTGCACTGAGCCAGTACAACAACTTTGGCAGAAGGCTAAGGCCACACTGGAGTCCCTTGGGGCGACGGTCATTGAAGCAGACTTCCCCCTACTCGAGCGATACATGAAACAGGACTTCCCGGGACAAAGTTGCAATGTACCTGGGATATCCAATGAGTGGACCAGTGTTGAGCGTTGTAAAATGATTGCAACAGCATGGGACGACTTCCTCCGCATCAACAGCGATGAAAACTGTTCGAACCTTCTCGCATCCGATCCTCACAATATCCACCCTCACGTTGCGCCTATGGACGATCCTTCAAACCACACCGAGGCACAAAACCAAGTTCGATACCCAGAGATGTTTGACTCCGTGAGGGATAGGCATCACACACTCTATACTCTTCCTGGAGTCGCAGAGGCAGCAAAAGCCTTAGAAGACATGCGGAAGAAGGAGTTCGAAGATTGGATGGACCTTCATGCTTTCGACCTCCTCGCATTTCCCACAAATGGCGATGTTGCTGCAGCAAATTCCGACGAGGATCTCGAGTCGATGATCCACGCTCTTCAAGATGGTGTAAAATACGCCAACGGGGGTCGAGCCATGAAGCATTGTGGGATTCCGTGCATAACACTTCCCATGGGCACATTGCAAGACCAAAAGATTCCCGTGGGTGTGACTTTTGCATGTAGAGCATACTCGGATAATGACATGCTCCGATGCGCGTATGCATATGAGGCAGCTTCACAGGCTCGGACCGCCCCTAATTTGACGCCGTCTATTCCATCAGATCACATACCGCTTGTGCCTTCGGGCGCAGGAGATTCAACGGCCAAGCCAATCCTTGATGTATCCTCAAAATGGGCCCCAATGGAAGTGTCTGAGGACAATATTCATGGTCAAATATCCTTGGAGGGTACTGTACGATCAAGCGACCCTAAAGTTGACGTGGGCTCTGTCAGAATCTTTGTCGACGGCGTTAAGCTATCAGAAATTTCTCCTCAAGGCGAGAAGTGGAAATGGGAAAGTCGCCTTTCTCGGCCTAAAGTTGTCGACCGTTTCCCGACAATGGCCAAGGTTCCCAAGGATCACCACCTCGTGCTCATCGTGGCTAATCTGACAAACGGAAGAAGTGCGGCGTCCATGTTGCTCGTAGACTAGAAATCAATGTGAGATAGTTCGTCCCAACTGTTAGCTCGTCTCCCACCCAATCCCCCCTTTTCTCCCTTTGTGGCTGTCAATAGAATACAATCAACTCACGCGCTATCCCTTGACATTAGGCCCAAAATTACAGAAGGGTAGAGAGAAAGAAAGGCCATCGAGCGTCAGATCATGGTCCTGGACCATCAATTTCATGTCTGCCAGGTGTTGTTGATAATCTTTTGGTATTTCCAATTAAAATGCAAAAAAGAACGCCTGCGCTGCACCCCGTAACGATATAAACATCGGGTTGGCTTCAAACCACCAAAACTTTCCCCTTTGGTCTTTTTCCCCGGGATAGATTGTCTATTTCACCAAATGCTGAGCCCATCAGCAAATGAGCGAGAAAATTTCGATTGTAAGCTTATTTCTTGAGAAGCAGGTAGACGTGGTCGATTCTCAACGGCGCGAGCTTCTTGTAAGGACCCTCCAGGTAGAGAAGGAGACCTCCGAAAGATACAAAGACGGCCCTTGAATTCGAGGGTTAGTAAAAGAGCTTCACAACGAGAACCTTGTCTCTGTCCCGATGATAGGATAACTCACATGGTATCCTTATGGGTACCTTCCTCGAAGCGGTACACCTTGCCGTGGCAAACATAATCATAATCATCGGCCAGGGTCTGCTCGCCCATGCTGACTTCTCTCCAGCTGGCGCGGGTATCCTCCTTGCCGTCGAGGGACAGGGTCGAGGCCAGCGCAAGAGACAGCGATTCGCCCGTCGCGCACGGGTACAGCTCGGAGTTCACATCGAGTGTGAAAGTGACGGAGGCATCGTTGGAAGTGCAGGTCAGACGAGAAACGCGATCGTACTTTTGAGCGTTGACGCCGGTGATTGTGAAGGTATCTTCAAAGAGAAGCGGGTCCGACATGGTTGCGACCACAGAAATTTCAGAATATGTGAATGGAGTGGAGAGAATCGTGCGTGAGTCGTCACACACGGTAATTCGTAGGGTCAAAGGTGCTCAATGGTTGGTTCGTGGTAGGAAGAGGACTTGGAGTCGGAAGTGGAGAGTTCGGAGAATCTGAAGCTTTTTTTTCTGCCGCTTTTGGTCCCGCCGATAACGATTTCGCTGGCTTGACATCAGTTGCTTGATACATTTGCGATACATACTTCCTTCTACTTGGACATCTTCGCCATGTCATTTCGCAAGCGCAATATCGGGCTTTCCCCCGGTGTTGACCGCAATGCAGTCCCAAATACCGCACAGCCCGCGCCAGAGAGTACGCCGGGAATCCGCCCCTCACCCGACGATGGACGACCGACAACTTCGACAGGTACGCGATCCCTTGACAATCTTCTTGCAGGCCATGCAGGATTGCCAATGGGAAAGCTATTGTTCATTGAAGAGAATGGAACTACAGACTTTGCGGGCGCATTACTACGATACTATGCGGCGGAGGGAGTAATTCAAGACCAAAAGATTCATGTGGTTGGAGTACCAGAGCAGTGGGGTCGAACTTTACCTGGCCTGATAGGGTCGGCAGAGTCTCTTGATGAGAAGAGATCCGACAGGCGCAAAGATGATCGCATGAAGATTGCATGGCGATACGAGCGACTGGGCGAGTTTGGAGCAGTCGCTGGTTCGCGTGATGGTGAGCCTCGAAATATCACAAAGCCCCGAGCTTCAATATATTGACGAATTCAGCCCCTTCTACTCCTGGAGAACAGGATTCAACGGCAAAAGAGGCACCCGCTTTTTGTCATGCTTTCGATCTCACCAAACGCCTCACCCACCCATCCATTACAAACATGTCGTTCATTCCCCTCATGCCTTCGAAAGAATCACCATTTGCTGCCATCCTCAAACGGCTCAAGACCGCCATCACATCCAGTCCTGCGAGTACCATCCACCGAATCGTTGTTCCTTCCTTGCTCAATCCAACAATGTACCCGCCAGGATCCTGTCAACCCGAGAACGTGCTCCAATTCCTCCACGCACTCAAGGCATTGATGAGCGCACACGCAACTCGCGTGACCGCAATGATAACATTCCCCCTGTCTCTGTTCCCACGATCGTCGGGGCTAGTTCGTTGGATTGAGTTACTCAGTGACGGTGTGATTGAGCTCTGCCCCTTCCCACACTCTGCAGATGCGACGGCTACCTCGGGGGCAGCCACATCCCAGGAAGAGCCCCCACAGGGTATGCTAAAGACGCATCGCCTACCAGTCCTGCATGAGCGAGGTGGCGGAAGCGATCAGAACGTCGGGCAAGATTGGGCGTTTATTCTAAGCCGTCGGCGATTTGAGATCAAACCGTTTAGTCTGCCGCCAGCCGAGGGGGACACTGAAGCGCAGGATACAGCGGCGGCGGGAGGAATGCCCAAAAAGTCCGATCTTGAATTTTGAGACGTGATTCAGGTTCTCCATCTGAAAGACTCAATCGTCTTCCTCGAAGTGACGGTGTGTTCCTGGCTCCGCAAGCATATCGTCCATCTCAATCTGCTCAGACATGGCAGGCCCGGAATTAGCCATGGTGCGGAGATAACTCGATCCATAGGCGTCTGATCCTGGCCGTATCGAACGTAGGCGATTTCCTAGGCAGGAGGACGCTGCAAGCCATGCTGTTCGATGTTAATAAGCTTGCAAATCTCCCCGAGATAAAATGCGGGACACTTGCCCACAAATAGTAGCAGTGGTGCAAAGAACACCAACAATAGAAGAAACAAGAAGCCCATCGTTTCTTTCAGCTGTATATAAGAATGGTAGTAAACGAGAATGACATTGACAACTGCAACAAGCGTCCGGAGTCCGGAGTAGAGCACGCTTCGCTTGCCAAGCAACGCTATTCCAAAAGAGGGCAAGCGCATAAGCTGAGCTTTTCCTTTTTCTTTCGACTTTTCGACTTCCACACATTCTTCTTCTCTCCAACTCGGCTTTGCTGGCCAGATCCGCTTTCAACTTTTCTAATGGTAAGCTTCCACCCATTCTTCTTCTCTGCCCTCTTCGCATGATTATTTAAATACAAATCTGTCAATCCCCTGAAGCTCTTTGATACGTCACTGGGCGCTTGCTGAGAAACGTACTGGAAAATGATTCGCGAACTCAATCTCACTTTGCTGTCTGCAACTCTGCTTTGGCGAATGTGTGCTAACTGCGCATACAACAGAATATTTGAAGCTCTCGTTATCATATCAAAAGAAAAAGAAACAATGGAATCTCAACCAGAACTTCCCATTCCGATCTCCTATGTATCCGGTAGATACCTCTTGCACTCAATTGAGGCAGTGACATACCTGCGACGTGAGCATCACATCTGCGGCGTGCTCATCGGGACGCTGCCCCAGAATCCACAGCAGAATGTCTTCCTGGGTCTCCCTTTGGAGCTCATGCCCGAGGAGGCTAGGCTGTTGGTGGACAAGGATGTAGCTTGCATCGTAGACGAAGCCAAGGCCCAAAATGGCATGAAAACTCTACTAGAAGAGGACCGCAGAAGATATCTCCGTGAGCTTGAAGCCGAAGGCCTACACTACACGCGACTCCAGGGCGATCTCAAAGACTCGAAGCGGGAACAATCCTTGAAGAAAATAGAAGAAAAGAAAGCCAAGGCGAAGGCTGTTGCCGCTGCCGCTGCAGCGAAGACCCAGGCAGCCGAAGATACATCTCTTGAGCCCTCGCAGAAGGACGCTGCTGTCGTGGATCTCTTCGCTTCAGAGGATACTCGCTCGTCGTCGCCATCCACATCGACGCCCCCACAGAGCGCAATGGCAATCACCCCTGCAACCTCCTACCCACCGCTTTCCACGCCTTCATCGTCGAGCCACCTCGCAGCACCCGCAGTGCCTTCGTCTTATCCTCTCTTCGCCCATCTACACTCCCGGGGTTACTTCCTCTCTCCCGGACTTCGCTTTGGATGCCAGTACATGGCTTACCCGGGCGATCCACTTCGCTTCCACTCACACTTCCTCGTGGTTTCTTATGACTGGGACCAGAACATTGATCTAATGGATCTCATCGTCGGCGGTAGATTGGGTACTGGCGTGAAGAAGGGCTTCCTGATTGGCGGTGCACAAAAGACAGTCGATGAAGTGGATTCAGAGGCTGATCGAGTGGACACCGTTCGGGCATTCAGCCTTGAGTGGGCTGGCATGTGAGGTGTGAAATGTGGAGGATTACACAAGGAACGCCTTGAATTTCACTCGCTGCGCCGGTGACCTATAATTTGTGGGCCCGGCGCTCCAGCTATCAAATACATAGCCTTTGCAGTGCTACTCGGTCATATCGGTCACTGCAGCCAGTAACTGGACCAAGCACGCATTGCCCTGCATCCAGTGCAACCTTTTGTGGCACGTCACCAGTCGTCACTTTGTTTGTGGCGATGACACCACATATCATAAGCAATGCATCGCCAGGCAAGACTGCCTTATTCCGCAAAATCTTTGCAGTCATCGTACCGTGTTGCTGTCTGTCACTGTCTGTCGCTGTCTCTGAAGAGGGTGCTTGTCAGCACGTGGTTCACATGGGGACCTCAGCCAGTCCACCTCGGTACTACAAATTGTGTTTCTGAACATGGAACATGGAAGGTTGCAAAGAACCCCTACAGGCGGGAGTTCAGCGTCGGACTATCTTTTAGGAGTATCTCTTCGGATAGTTATCAACTATGCCATCCCGTGGACTGCATTCCCGTACATTCAAGTTATCATCCATGAAAGGCATCAAGCTACAATCCTCGCTGCACTGAATTCAAAATTCGAATACCCGCCGTTCATTTCTGCAAGATTCCGATTCAAGTCCAGATCCATGGATATATCCTGTGTCAACAAGACCAGAGGCATGCGGTCTAACAGCCTCTTCACTGCCATACTCATTGCTTTGTACCTCGCGAGAATTCCGGAACTATCTCTATATTAGGGAAGTAAGCTATCAAATGTCACTGTAACCCGACTCAGCAGTCAACCATTGAAGCGCGATTGATGTTGATCTCCTTCACACGACAGGGTATTTGTCAAGTACCATCGTCTATGTCAGTATCCGCTCCAGGCTATGCCCAAGGGCTTGCACGACGGATATTGGCACAAGACCTTTCTTGGGGCATAAAAAGCCAACAAGCTGCAATTTTGCTGTCTGTTTCTTTTTCATCTCTACACCTGGGCAGGTGACCGTCGATACGCCCATCATGCAATTCTTTAGTCTTCTCATAATATTCCTCGCCCCCGTTGCTCTCGGGGTATGTATAGACCTCGCGGCTTTTGAATATGATTATATGAGCATATACCGACTAAAGATTCAATACCAAGGTCCCCGCAAACCCCCAAATACCTGGTTATAATATAGTTGAGATTCAATGGGAAGTCCAGCCATACCCAGATGGCCCACTCATACTTGTCAATGGCACAGTTCAGGATGTATACCGCGAGATGACAAAACTGAATCCCAATTACGCCATCGACTACGCAATTCCTGACTCTGTTCCAAGCAGCGATATATGGCACGACGTAGATTATGATGTCGAAGGCTATTTTTGTTCGGGTAGATGGGCGGCCTGTTATCGGCAGTACATAAACGATGGGATCAGTTATCTCCGCCGTGTTAGAGGAAGGCCACATCTTGGTCCGGGGCCCAACGCTTGTGGTCGGGTAAGCTGCTCATGGAGGGCTGCTATTTACCTTTGCAATGATGTGAGTATTGCAATCTCTTTTACGGCTTCTCCGGAGAAACTCATATGAAATCGTCTCTTTAGAATAGAGATGGCAAAGATCTGAATAGCTGGCGCGATGTTGCAGATGCGGCACAATTCATTTCACACACTTGTTGGGCTGGTGTTGCTACCACGTCTGGTCAGGTATTCTACCGGGATAAGTGGAACGTGATTGTGAGGGACGACAACTGTTAGTTCTTTTGAGGGAAGTCAACTCATTTGTTCCAATGTTGGTCTGGGGCTGAAGTTAGGAACCTTGGAATATGGTCATTGTAGTCGAGCATATGGAGTAATGGATTCAATGGCAGATTATCAGGAGCAGCAGTCCAACCCTTTTCCAAGGTTTCTAAAGTTGTTGCTCCGATAACTCATCATTCCAGCTTCCGGACTTTCCGATGTCGGCTTTGGGAGCCTCAAAGCTACTTAAGTAGCGGTTTTCAAGGCGGTAAAAGACATATATTTCTTGAAAACATAAGAGGGTGGCAGTCTTCTCCAGGGCCCTGCTTTCTCCAATCAACAGTTCCGAGACTCATAGTATATCCCCCTGCTCTATGCATTTCTACCAGGTGCTTTTGTTCTCCAGGGCCGGCAGCTACAAATCAGAATACCGATGTGGATTAATATGCCCCCGTTAAAACCAGAGCTTGCCGCAAACACAGCCCTGGAGGCCCACTGTTTGATTGCCACACGGCAAAGCACCCCGTAGTTAATGAGCTATGTAGTTACAAATTACTCCGTACGGAGGAGTAAAGACCGCTGACAAGTTACAAACGCAAAGTAGTATAGTTGAATACCTCATTTTGGTAAGAGTCCACTCTAAAATTATACTCCTACCCGCTTTCTTTCAGCTCAGATAAACTTTAATGAGCAAGGAAATTATATCCTGCGAACCGGCGGTTGGAGCCCCATATCTTGAATTGACAGCCTCGATTTCAAGTCCCAGCAGTCTGGTGCCCAGGCGAAGATAGGCTGTGCTCTAGTTAGTGAAGAAGCTAGAATAGATTAAAGGCTGGATAGGTCTCCCTGCGGCTCGGCATTAGGAGTACACTCCGTACGAAGTACAATTCCCTAGTGAAGGCGCAATTGAATATTCCTTGCCGTACGTTGCTTGGTTTCAATACGACAATGACAGTGTTCGATAATGCTTCTAACCAATGGAGTATCGAGGACAACATAGTCATTCCCGACGGCGTGGCGCTGACGTGCCAAGATCCAAATATGGCAATAGTCTTGACCGCATATAGAGGGTACTACATACCGAGGTTGCACTGTACCTTGTATGCTGTGTCCAGGTACCTAAGACAGGAGGCAAACTTGCTTGAACATGACAGCATATGTTGAGATCGCGCATGCCGATCCATGCATGATCTACGAATACCTCGCCATTTTCTGGACGAATAATTGAGATAGTTTACTCATACGTACAGACATGGTGGCTCCTGTAACTTGGACTATCTGGTCGAACGGCCATCCCGAGTCACCATTTCGTTTCAAGTGGGTTATAACAGTGGAATATTCGTGCTATGATCATGAGGATCTTCAATCTTTTGAGACCAGTAGGCAAATTTTCACCCTTAACGGAGCACACTGGAGAACAATAAGGCCGAGTTATCTTACTCAATTGGGTTAGTTGACCGTTGTGACCCATGGACAATGGAGTTTAGCCGTCAATCTTTCCCAGCCCCAGTCACTATTGGACACAGTAAGATGGATATTACGGAGCATGACTCGTATTACGGACTTCAGGAGCACATTAGGGAGCAGACCCTGGCCGCCTCCTCGCAGTGTTCCAACAGGATGCATGTTAAAGGCCCAGTACTTTGGACCCGGGTCAGATACCCTTGCACCGACGTTACCCCCTGAAGGAATGACATTTATGCACAGTGAAAATTCTGAGTCAAGCACGTCCCACGGACTTTTGACACGTTCGACTTTATATTAGTCAGAGATGTGTAATGACGGCTGTGGCCGTCCCGGAGTTTGGAACAAAGCGCCTGGCTGATCCCTGTAGCCCGACAATCTGGGTATGTTCGGTTTGACAATGCACCGTGACAACGGGTGACCCTTGCGTGCCAGATTCTCGATGCCTGTCAAAAGAACAATCTGCCAGTCTAGTGCATTAGCTCAGTTAGCTACAGAAGTAGTAGCCAGTCATAGCGCCCACCAATTAAGATCTTGGCATGGAGAAAGACAGGGGGTCTTTTGTGGGACCTTTTTTTCATTTTTCATCAGCCGCGGAAAATACCAATGACACCTTTCAGATGTATGTATACGTCGGAGCCGAAGAATTTTAAACGGGACCAACTACGACGCAGATTAGTCGGATGGAATGGGTCAACTCAGAATCCCAAAGCCGGAAAACCCCCAAAAATACAGGAGAATCCAGAACGTCTCCCACTAGTGAGTAGTGTGCGAATCCCAGCCCTTCACCCCAAACCTTCCCACAGCCCCGTCAGCCCCGACCGATCAATACTGCAACAGGAAATCCTGTGGCCGAAGCTAGAGGTAAAGAATCGAGAATCGAGATCCTGGTTTTGCGTAATTCCTCCGCCGCCAATAAGCGTTAGTCCAATTCCCGTCTTACATGTCCCCCGCTTTGCATTCTCTCAACGTACTCCGTCGAGCTCCCAGCCTTGGCATGGACGTCCTGCGCGGAGTTCGGAGTGCGGATTCTAGAGTGCATGGCTTTAACCAGCAATTCTATGACACAGCGCGCAGATGCAAACGAAGTCCTGCCAGCTGTCCTCATTTTGCTTCCGAATGGGTCCCAATCCACTAAACGGCTCGGTCCGTTTGGACGGAACCACGCGGCTTCCAACACCCAGTCTGCCAGTCGCGATGCCAATCCCATGCCAAACTTCTGGAACTTCGAAGCTGAATTGGCTTCGGCCGAAAGGCAGGTATCTCCCCCCTACAACCGTGCATCCCCGGGTGTCTTCCGGTTTGTGTTCGGGGAAGTGGCGTTGTGCCACCATGGTCATGAAGCTTGGAACCCTGGTACCCATCTCGGGAGTCTATTTGGGAACCTGGAAACAGACCGCAGGGGCTGTACTGTATACTCGTACACGCATCCATGGATCAACGGGGACATACCATACTCATATGACGTAGGAAATTAATTAATTTAGACTGGACTAGACTTTGGCTCTAGTGGATAGCGTGGGAATGAACACCGTTAGGATGTGGGTATCGACGGACAAGGTATGAAACTGAGTTTGGGCAGGAAGCTCATATCCGTAGTGCAAATGTACAGTAGTACGAAGCACTAGTTCAGAGGCATCGGACATGAATCATGCAATACTTCTGGAGTCGAGGCCAAGCCTGGAATGAAACCCACTGGATCCCAGGAAACTGGACACAATGGGGTCTTACCCGGCACAGGTGGATCTGTAGCCTATTGCCTTGTTTGGAATTGCCGCCAGGTTTCAGGCTCTGATGTCTGCCAGCGAATGCCAAAGTGGCATGAAGACTGACCGTCTCTGTGCCTGTGTAAGTTAGGGAATTTCATTTATACTGAGGGGCAATGTCCGGCGTATGGATCGTATGTTCGGTGGATTCCCATACCATTGGGACACATGCCGCGTGCGCAGTTGTGTGTAACCGAAAAACTGGAAACAAATGGCGGACGCTTGAGGTACGAGTAGTAAGACGCAGACCGTCGGGGCCGACCCCCGCCAAGGTATTGGGGTTCTCGATTTGCGTTGCCTTGATGCATAGGCCGGTTGCTTCGCTTTTGGATATAATCAAGTATGAGGATCTGAGCAATCGTCTATTATCTCCGGGCCAAACCCAGGGGAAATAACTCAAATGGACAGTTAGAATGTAAAATGGATTTCACGCAGAATCTTATTGATGAGATGCATAGATTAAAAATGACGCATGATCCAGCTCAACCCTCCGCGGCAGTTTGTTTTGGTGAGATCGCCATGGCTGCTAGCTTTTCTTCAACACTCCGGACAAGTTCAGGGTCTGGTTCTCGTTTGACTTTCTTGGGTCTGGAGAAATTGATGTTAGCAAGGGTCTCAAATTTCAAATGATGCATTATACTCACGGGATCCTTATGGTCTCAGCACATTTCACCTGGCCACAACCCGCGCAAGTGTCACTGTCTTGTAGATAGGAAGTAGTGCAGATATGGCACAAATAATGGATCCGCTGACGAGGCCTCTTGAAAGCGCGGTCGGGTAAAGCCTTGGGCGGGTCCGCATCACCCGGATAGCCATCGGGGTATTTGTCCAGTTTGGCAGGGTCCCTGGGACACTTCTTGCAGCGGGCATGGCTGCAGACCTCGCAGTGTTTCGACCCAGATGTAAACTGCGCAGTGCATACATGGCAACTGCGATGGACACGCTGGCGCACTTGTTTTCGGACCAAGTCCTGACCACCCGTACGCGAGAGTTTCAACAGAGGGTTGGTTGCATCGCCGCTGTACTTGATGTGCGGTGTGGCGGGGATCCCTCGGGGATGGTTAGCGCTTAACTCCTGGATCTTGGGCCTGTGGATGTGCGGTTCGCCTTCAGCATGAGCGGGTGGGAAGCGAGGACATTTGGTGCAGCGTGTGTGCGAGCAGTTGATGCACACTTTCTCGGCACCGAAGGTTGTTTCGCAGCGATGGCAGGCACGGCGAACCCTCATGCGGATTGGCTTGGTCACTCGGTTGAGTTGTTGGAGGTCGGGTGGGGTTTTCCATGCACCTGGGTCGAGAGAAAGGCCATATTTGGCGAAGAGGGCGCTGGTCTTCGCATGCTGTGTAGTGGTGATAGTCTCGGACATTACTACAGGCTCTGGTTCAATAACTCCATGGGCTGGTGTAGTTGATTGCACTGGTGCTGGTGCTGGCGCTGGCGCTCTTTTGGGGGTCAGTATACATCAATCATATGTAAGGTTGAAGAATGGAGTATGACGTACGGCTCTGTTGGGGCAGCAGTAACAGTCTCTGGAGCGGCATGCGATTGACGCTTAGATACTGAACGAGGACGAAGGACGGTTTTCATGCGTTTGAGATACTTGGAGAAGCCTTCTGGCTTCTCCTCGCCGGGGCGATCTTGGGCCATCAGGAGTGAAGTGGCGCAGGAATGTTCAAGTCAAATGTTTTACTGTTCAAGTGCAATGGTGTGCACTTTCATTCCATATGGATTAGTCTTCGATGATTACGTCCACGGGTGAAGAAAATTTCCGTGCAGAAGCACTGGAGTTGATAGAAAGTAACGATTAAAAGAGGAGGGAATTCAATATTATAAAATAAAGAGAGTGTTATAATACCAGGAAATAGAAATGTACAGTACAAAGTACAAAAAAGAAAAAAGATAATAAAAAAAAAGAAAAAGGAAAGGAAAAAAAGGCCAGTGGGGATTTCCGGGACAGTGGTCCTGTGGATTCGACGTGCTGGGTATTTGGGTATTTTTGGGGTATTGGATTGGGGATCTCATGTATGGAGTACGAGTACATTTAATGAGGATTTACGGAGTACATACCTGCTCAGACGTGTTCTTGGCTGCCAGGTACTCGTACTATCAATAGGGCCACGGAGTACGGAGTTCGAAGGACTTCTAGTTCGAAGAACCATCTATAATGTATTAAATAGAGTATACGAGTATATTGAATCCTTCCACCCCACTCAGGCTTTTAACATTCCAATATTCATCTAGTCTATTGCGGTATCTTGGACATTTCATTGCATTGGCGGCACAATAGAGTTGTACATATGCACATATGCAGCCTACGCGATCGACGGGCGTAAACATACGAGGACGGGAGTCCAACGGGCGAGCCGGGGGAGTGACATCTGTCTTCAACCAGGTTCCCTCCACGGAAGTACCCGCTATTCCGGCTGCCTTGCTGAAAGTAGCTAGCCAATGCCTATCAGTGGGAGCGGATCGGGTTGAAAACAATGTCGAACGGGGCCGCAAGATTGCCGTGTTTTTAAGGAGGTCCGGCGAGCGCGCTCCGTAATCTCTTACTTTGTAAAGACAACTTGTGTGGAGGCCTGAGGACGATCAGGAGGTTTACATTTGCTCGGGATTTGGAATGTTGTGGGGATCGTGAAGTGGTTGGTTTTAGGTCTCCATACGAGTATCCGTACTTCATATGTATTCTTTGACAATGGCATTGTTTAGGAACGTTGCGAAATCCAGTTGCGTGAATGTTTATCCTGGATTCCAGCGACATACTTCCGTTGTACTGGATTATTGAAATCGCTACCATTGCCCTGGGACTGTGAAGAATCAACAACTCAGCCACTGGACCGATCGATGGCAGCCTGTCAGAATCCTGGCGATGCTAGGACCCACGGGGAGCGCTCCGACCGTTCCCAGGGCTTCATGCATGCATAAGACTAGAACGCGATTTGAAGAAGTTGCGAGAATACTTGTAACTCGTCATACAGAAAACTTGCGCCCTAACGAACAGGCAAAAAAAAAAAAAATTTCTTTAAAAAAAAAAACCAAAAAAACCCCCATAGGTTAAAAACAAAAGCGAAAAGCGAAAGACGAAAAAACAAAAAACAAACGAAAGCAGAAAGACCGTCAGAAATGGGCTTTGACCCGAGGTTGTGCCACACACTACTGCAGACTAAATAAGTAAGCGTTGATCATACTCGTACCAGTTTGAATTCCATCCCTCGTTGCCCAACGGTGCACCTAATTGTGCACGAGTTGCGTTTGTACAAGTGTCACTGGGTGTCTGCAAGGGAACGTGTAAACGTCAACTTCAGGTACTCCATATACTAACATTTGAACCCTTGAGTTCATAGCTGAACACAACATCCTGTTTCCAACTTCACCGCCAACTGCAGAGCTGAACCAGCCCCCTGGGAAATAATCAATCGACAAGTTCGTACCAGAATGGTCAGTGCAGCTGGGAAACATTTTCCTGTCCGCCTCGGGGCCTGGAGCTCCCTGCTAATCTCGGGGGTTCCAGGTCAAGTGGAGAAATTAGTGGAACTTACATCCGACGTTCATTGCCTCCCCTGGAGCGGGCTGGAGTGGAGCTACCTGGTCTGATCGCCGGGTCCCAGCGCTTTGGAGCGTGCAGGGATGTTGTACAGCTTGGTAATAATACCAAACAATACTCAATATTACCCATGAGGTCTCCTTTTCTTTTTTTCTTTTTCCCTGGCCGATCGAGCTTAGCCTACTACAAATAAATCCGATCGATCCGTCAGACAGGGGATATCACGAGTTCAAGCTCACTGATGTTTCTCGGTGCTTTGATGGCGGTTGTACATGCTTTCTGTACGGTCACCCCATGTGGAGGGAAACCTTATTGGATTACTTACCTGTCGAAGTAACCTGGAAAATGTACATCCAAGTACGAGTACTCCGTACTCCGTACCGAGTAAACCTTTGTGAATACTGTACGGGGATTTACATTGTATAGATCGTATTCCGAAGATCCAACTTCCCCTCATCGTTTGCCCAGATGACCCTGCCTCGTACTTTATACTTAAGTAGTTAACGCGCAATGGCACCTGTGGAACATTCCATGTGCGCTCATGCATATTTCCAGGATCGTTTGGACGTTTCGCCCCCTTCTAAAGTTTACATGGACTCTGCTAATACTCGTACATACTGTACTCAGAAAGACTGCCATGGTCCGACCCGACACAACGGTAAAGCAAGAGCAAGCCCTCGCCACATACATTGACAAATAAGTTCCATGTGCACAGTGCAACCCCTTGGTACCATCCTACTGGGACTGGCACTTAGAGACGCAGAAGCGAGAGCGAGACAGGGATTTCAGATCATGCAATGTCGCGCCACTCAAGACAGAAACGGGAGGCATGATTTCATATGCACGAACAGCCATTGCCGCTTCTCACCTGCCGTGTCCCGCTCTCGCCTGCTCGTATTCGGGAACCTCAATTGGGTGCCCAGGTGTTTGGCTTGGATGACTTTTCCTTCACCACCTGCAATTTTTATTTGTCTGCAGTGAAGGAAAGCGCCCGGTCCATGAATGCTATGGAGTATTCCCGACACAATGGTAAACTGGCACCACTGGATGGAATGTACATTAGGCCCTTGAGATTCGATTCATCGAGTCACTGGTGTGGTATTGGCGCGAGTATACAGAGTAAGGTAACTCAGCTTGATGCACAGTGCAGTGAGATTGCAGTTCAGTGGTGGTCTGACCATTGACCAATACAATGACTCAATGAGTAGGTTGGTTTCAATGTGCCAAGAGTCACCAGCTGTGGTTGATGTCGTGTATGCTCTTGTCCAGCACAAGGCGTTGTGTCTGTCCCTCCGCTCGTCTGCCATTGAACATGTACTCGTAGACATCGTTCGGCTAATCTTAACAGAGGGGTTTGTAACGAAAATCGAACGAAGCAAAGGCAATTAATCCAGAATGGATGATCGGTTACTTCCTGTGGATCCTCTAGTCCATTAGGTCTATGCCCAATGCCACCTCCATCATCTTAACATTGAGACTAATCGAATAGGTACACCCTAGGATCTAATTCGGCGGTTAGATAGCGCGAACGATGGAGATGGCATTGAATAGATGAACGATCATCGACTTGGAAATTAGCACGAACACGAATAGAACGCGCTGGGTAGCCGAGGCTGACTATCTAGTAAATATTGGGACTAGGTGCGGAGATCAGTCGGGCGAATCATCGCTTGAAGGTGGTATCGGCGGCCTAGCTGCAGAAATACTACCCGGGTGGAGGGAAGACTATTGGAGATCTGATTGTGGCCGACCATAAAAAGCAAGTACGGTTCTTCGTGATACCGGGGTTCAGACGAAGCCAGGTGGTTAGGGCAGTCAGGGTATTCACCGGCGTCCCCGAGAATACGAATCTGACCAATCTCCATTGAGAACCCTCAATTTTCTAGTACAAGAGTTGTGAGATCTACCGCTAGTTGGGGGCGCAGGCACCGTTGTTGTAAATCATCCAGTTGATAAATCATAAATGCCGGCCTGGGAATTTGGCTCCATGGGATCGACACTAGCCCATGATTTGAGCGTCTCAGTGAGCTGCACAATCCAATATCCGATCTCGATTGGAGGCTGACAGCAGAGAGTGTCATATTTGACACCCACATGTGATGCATTTGTTGTGTATAGACAGCACCCATAAGCCAATGATGCCCAGTCAATCCGCAAGAGCACCATTTGTGCAGACCCCACGCCTTGGATATATGCCCAATGCCTTGGCAGTAAAGCTTTCAAATCAAGCGACCTATCATCCAGAGATGGTTTAGTCCGACCCGGTCAGCTTGTCCTTGATGTCGATGATATCGTCGTCCGTCTCCACTTCGATGACTCTGTTGACCTGGGCGCTTGTGCGCATCAATTCCACTGCGTTGGCATACGACATTCGCTGCATGGGATTGCAGTTCTCAGGAAGCCAATATAGTAGAACGTAAGGGACCGAGGGACGTCCGTCCTTCTGTGAGGAGTTGCCTCGTATTAGTTATTTGAACGACTCGGCACCTAGGTATTGAGATCGACAACATACCGTTGTTAATGGGTAGCTCAGAAGAATGAATCTTGGCGATGATTCGGGGAGGTCATCCGCTAGATCCTCCATCTTGGAGTAGACCTCGTCATCTTGAGGCCGAATCTCCTGGGTCTTGGCATCAATTATATCTGCGGTGCGACTTGTCAGCATGGCTTTTATGACGCCCCCCACAGTCGCCGGAGACAAGCCTGCATGATCGCAGGTCTCATCTGGCACCGTATTGGTTGTTTAGGTTTGATATTGGGAGTATGCGGAGAGGCGCATGCGTAGGGGCCGTACAAATGATAGCTTGCGCGTCCTTGGCTCTGGATGTGCCTAGTCGGAACTTGCGTAGCTTCTCCTTTGTCTCCGGGGAGAAGGAGTATAGTCGTGAGTCGGACTGCAATAAGTTAGCTGTTGCAAGCATTCGAATGCTTGCGTGTCTGCAAAGCCGAGAAAATGACCCGGCGAGCGCGGATGACTGACCATATTTCAGAGTGTGTGTGAGATAGATGAGAATCGGAAGCCTCTCTTCCAGTGGCAGGGAGATATTGCGAAAATCCGATCGAGCTTGAGAAGTTGTCAACCCTGGCAGAAATGGAGCTGGAG